CCCCCAATGGGATAGGCAGCCTGTGGTACATCTATGTGGGACTTTTGACATCTTTCTTATTTTGCATGAACATTTCAATCAATCAATCAATCAGTCTTTATTTATATAGCACTTTTCATACATAACATGTAGCACAAAGTGCTTCACACAGAAAAAGGAATAAAAGAAACAAAGAATACCAAAATTTACCCCAACCCAAGATTAAAAGAATACCCAAATAAACCCCTGCCCAACCCCTCATTCCCACCCCACGATCTAATTGCAACAGAAACAGTATTAAACTGCATGAACGTAAAAAGGGCTTGATTTCAGTGTTCGTCCCATTAGTTGGGCTAAAATGACACAGATTTTAAGGTCTTTATAATTTTCTGTTACACTAAAATTGTATCAATCTCACGTGTCATAGTGATATACAGAAGTATTGTTTCTACCTCCCCAGTAGTGGCACCTCTGATGTGAGTTAAATCTTTGCAAGACTGCTTTTGACTGCTTATTGATGACTGCCAGAGCTTTCAAAGTGTCAGAAGTATTTTATGAGTGGGATGATGAAGGTTTATAGACGATGGCAAAGGAGAAGAGGAATATGTTCTTTCGTCAGTGAACAAATAACTGGTTTTTAATGTTGAGCGACTGTCACGGCTCATCCTCTGGGTTACCACAGCTGTCTACCATGTGGGCCCTGTATGACTTAAACACAATTATGCCTGTTTCACCAAACCAGGAGAGCAATGAGAAAAAACCCACCAACCCACAACGAGACCACCATCATGCAGCTGCTAAACTGCACTGTTGACACATAAGAGCCAAAGCTTTAGCTTCTGCTTTAAAGTGGTCGTCTGGCAAATACAATGAACAAAGAAGGATCTCATATTAAACTTAGAGTCAGAAAGTGTAATATTTGAGATGGATTGGTTCTTTAAATCACCTAAAAATATAATTAAATATCAAGGAAACATGCTATGATCTGTGTCTAATAAGAAGACACACTAATACTGTCAAATAATAGTTTCTCTGATTACAACACAGCAGCCAGCATGTCCTCCTTCATGAATTCCAGTTTAGAGTAGCTGGTTTTGGTTTGAATTTTTAATCAAGGGGATCATTTTAAAGAGATATTCCTTGACAAGGCGATCACTGAAAGCAGCGGATCATTTCCATGAAGTAATCATCATCATAATAATCATTTTGCACTGCAGACGCGGTAGTTCCTCTGCCTTAGCATCTCGGTCTGATTGCATTTCCATGAAGTAATAATCATAAATGTTCTTCTTTGAGCTGCGAAACTCCGCTGCACTTTGTGATTGACTCATCAGGGCTCCCCCACAAACCAGTGGCTGCTGGAGGGGAGTGGGTAAGTTGTGTTTGGTCTCTTTGCTAAAGAAACCAGGCAAAGTTAAAAAGATGTTTGATGGCTAGTACTGTGGCTGGGACCCTATATGTACTGTTGGTGAAGTTAGGTGCTATTCTAAGCATTATTTGTGGCTATAGAGTGGCTTTTTGGTTGAGGTTTATGCATGGAGTGATAGACCGCTGTGTATTGCTATCATGTTGTTGTCACTAAAGTTGGTATAACTAGAGAAGCAAGCAGTCGGCAACATTCATCTCTCAAGGGGGTGTCTAACACGGTGTTACAGTGTGTTTGACAATAACTTGAATTTATGCCTGAATAACCCTTTAAGGTGAAAAATATTTTTGTAGTTCAAAGCAATCCCCATTAGGACATAAGTATGAAAAAAATCACCAACCTGAGAGAGTCCTCCAGCTAATTTTGCTGTTTAACAACGTGAATGCAAAGATGGGTTAAAATGAATATGTTTACAATGACAGTAAAAATAAAGTAAGTTACGCTCTGAACACAAGTATTTACCCAAAGGCTGAGGGAAGGTGTAAAGTAGCCTGTCTGGTCACTGGTCGTGTCACCACATTGAGACTAAAACCAGTACTGTTCCCAATCTATCAGCAAACTCCCTAACAAAATCATATTTTTACTTGTTTATTTGAGTATGGATTAAATAAATGTGATAAGACTCAAGTAAGATTAGTTGAAGAGCTAAAGGAGATCCAGATGAACCAAATTTGTGAGATTTAATGTGTTTTTGTTGGCATTATTTTAAACTTTGAAGAGAGCCAGGCTAATTTTCCCCCTCCTTTGAGTTTTGTTAACTTCCCAGTTTTTATAAACCTCTTACATCCAGCTCCAAACTTAACAAACTTTTTGGGGGAGTATTAATCTTCTGAAACTCTCTTGTTGCTTTATTTTGGACATGTACATCTTAAAGGAGATTAGTTTGAGATTGACGTAATCTTTAATTTTGAAGGACCAGAACAAGAAGATGTTTAATCAGACACAGTGACTGCAACTAACATGGATCTGTTGTAATGTACGAAGCTCCCTCCCGACCCCCAAATTTAGACTGACTTAATAGTCCTCACTACATCTGGAATGTAGTGTGCACATGTATGGATCCAGGTAGGAAATAGTGCCTGAAAGAATACTAAATACACATGAAAATACAGACTTTCTATTCTCACGTCACACACCTGTTTACCTTGAGCTACAGCCCAGCTTCTGATCCTCTCAAAGACTGTTTTCCTTTCCCAGCGGAAAATGATTTCCCTTTAAAAGAGCTTTCTCTTTGCTCGAAGGTCAAGATATTTTAATATGTTACCTAAAATGTAATACAGACACTAAATCAAAGTTGTTTATTTGCTTTAGCAGCGGGGAAAATTCAGCTTGTGTGTTATTATTACCATGTGTTTGGAGTTTATAGTAAAGCTGAAGCCAAAAGAGAAAGATTAGTCCTCAGTTGCAGGCTTGAGAACACTGCCGATTTGATTCCCTCCATTATATTTTGGCACTTTTAACCACTAAGTGGCTTAAAATGTTCCTTTTATTGAGGCTGATTCCCCCTGAAATGCTTTTTCTCGGTTGTAGAAACCTGGCAAGAAATGGTAATTGAGGAAGGCCTCAGAAGTGTAAATCAGAAAACAACACATGTGCAGGAAACTTGTAAAGCCCATTATAATGTTTCATGAACAACAGAAAAATAACTACATTTCTACACACTCACATGATGGCATTTTCCCTCTGAGGCGAGTGCTTTAAGGTCATGTAGAAAGTCACAGTTTTCTTCCATAAGCAATCAAACACAGATCAGCCATAACAATATTACCACTGACAGGTAAACAGGGCTATCACTGGACACAGGACTACAGAGTCTAACTGGTTTAGTCCATGGACTGTATATAGAGTGGACAGAGTCTGCCTCCTTGCTGGGTGAAGCCACTCTGAGAACAGCACCCTCTGTTGATGGGCTGCAGTATAGGTCATAAATCCCGCCTCCGCCAGCAAAGCTTATCGGGCTGTGGACAAACTTTAGAAATTTATTACACAGAACATAATTTTTCTCCCCCCTGCTTGTGATGTTGACATGTAGTTACATTAAGACTGGTTTGTGTTCAAGTCCTCTTTTTTCTGTGAAGCTCCATTTTTAAAGGTTATTAGGGGGCTCATATTTTCTATGATTGATACCTTATACAGCCTATTGGTGTTCAGGGATTGCGTAGCTAAGATTGCGTAGTACGCTGTTTGAGCCAAGCGTCATCACAGTGACTCTGGGCGACTCCCCCGCCGAATGCGCACAATGCTACTGCGCAGCACTGATTTCAGGAAATGAAGAAAAATCCCGGAAATACAGAGAGCTTTTTGGCTTCAAATCCTTTTACAGGTGGGAGGCGGAACCAAGTTGTCTATCCTATATACAGTCTATGGTTTAGCCTTTGTGGCTACCACCAGCAGAACTTGAAACACCAACCTTCAGCCCTCCAAGCAGGTAATCATCCACATGCCTGTGCTGGTTTCACATTGCCCTGGATTATGAGATTGATAGGTGGACTGGTGCAGCGCCTGCAGTACTGCAGTTGTTTCACAGGGCCGTCCTGGTTGAGAGGGAGCTGAGCTGGAAGACAAAGTTTTTGATTTACCAACCCTCACCTGTGGTCATGATCTCTGGGTCATGACTGAAAGAATAAGATCATGGATACAAACAGCAAAAATTTGTTTCCTCTGAAATGTGGCTGGGCTGAATATTGGAGGTAGGGTCAGGAGCTCAGACATCCTGTTCTGAGCATTATTTGTGGCTATAGAGTGGCTTTTTGGTTGAGGTTTGTGCCTGGAGACGTAGACCACTATGTATTGCTATTGTGCAGTCATTACTAAAGTTGGTATAACTAGAGAAGCAAGCAGTTGGCAACATTCATCTCTCGAGGGGGTGTTAAACTTGTTGTTACGGTGTGTTTGACCATAACTTAATTTTTCCCCAGAATATCCCTTGGCTTATTGTAAGAGGCTATAGAGCTAAAGTTTCACTCCCATTGACATAAAACCTGCCAAATAATTTGAATCTTGCCAAAGAAAGAGAAGAATCTTTTCTCCTTTTTTAATAAACAAATTTCTCTGTCTGCCTTTGAGGTCATGCAGACTTTATACATCTGTTATCCTTCTAACATGTGGAGAAACTTGTAAAAATACTTGAGCCGAAAGGAACAAGGTCAGGATTTAGAGCCTTTCATTGTTTTTCGTGACTCTGCAGATACTTTCCAGCACTGACTGAACCCTCAGTCCACCCACTCTCCAGACTCCAGTCTGTCATCAGAAAATAGCATCTCAAGCTGGATGACTTTAGTTCAGAAGGTTATTCAGACACTTTTATTTTCTACTGAGCATAAGGGAATAGCAACACAAGTGCTGTTCAACACGTATGGCCCTGATTTAAACTCGAAAATCATTAAAGGCTGGCCCTTATTTACTTTGATGGCATGCAGACAAAAGAACTTCATTTCTAAAGTCTTTTGCAAAGAAGCGGATGGTGCATAAAAACTGAAGGCTGAGCTCTCATGCTAAGTATCAACTTATGGAAATTGTTGTAAAAGGCAATCATTGGACGGTGTCTGATAAGGTCCAGAAGACCTAGTGAAGAGAGATTAGATGTATCATCGTAGTTTTACAGTAAGGGCCTTATAGATGAGCACACATATGCATTTGACTTCTCCCAGCTAGAGAGGTCCATCCAGCATTTCTTCATAAAGTAGCAGTGGTGAGTTTTATAAAGGATAAAGTGGTAAACAGCATCTAGAGGTTTAGGGGTAGACGCAGGTGCATGTATGTAAATCACATCTTCAAAGTCCAAAACAGAGAGAACTTGCTGCAAAAAAACACGGAAATTGTAGATTCATGTCATTTGTAGGTGAAATGGTCTATATAATGTTAAAGTCTGATCATCTATCCGTGTGCCAAGATATTTGAACTTTTAAACACTTTTAAATTGATTTCCTGCTGGCAAAGATACAGAAGTTTTGAAAACTAATGTCCTGTGCATTTAAGAATGTTAAAAATTTAGTTTCACTGGCATTTAAAACAAGATTAAAATCATTGAAAACAGGTAATAAAATATTTAAAGAAAACTGTATGTTTTCAATAGCTTGCTGAGCAACATAATTGTGTCATCTGCAAAAAAAAAGGGGGGTAAGTTTGTTGAAAGGGGGATATTATCATTGATATACATACAAAATATTAGTGGACCTTGAATGAAGCCTTGTGGTACAGTCTTGCTTGTGTGCCTATTAAAGTTTTGATGTAGTTTTTGGGTTAAATGGTCGGTATGATGTTTAAATGCAAGCTTATTATCTATCTATTTATCTATACTTTTCAACTTTTGCAGTATTGATTCCCTGCAAGGAGAAATACAGAAGTTTACCAATGTCCTATCTTAAGAATGACACTTAGTTTTATAAGCATTTAAAACAAGTTTAAAATCAAAAAAGCAGATTGCTGGTGTGGTCTGCAGTGCAATACAAAATTGTGCCATCTGCATAAAAATGTATGACAATTTGTTGAAAAGAGGATAAAATTATTCATGTCAAAAGTAAAAAGGATTGGTCCTAAAATGGACCCTTGTGGTACACCCCTGGTCACTGTTAAAGACTCAGTATGAGTAGGTTCCATGATTAAATGGTGAGACTGATGCTAGTATATCAATATTTGCTTTGTAACAATGTTGAAAATAGCGGGACTAATGCACGCCATCGAGGCAGCCAGAAATTAGGCAGGTCCACCGCAGCTGGACTTCTGCAGCAGATCCAGAGGAATTTATGGGGAAGGGAGTATAGGGAACTACGAGTTGATATAATACCTGACCATGAAGAGCTTTTAAAGTCAGACAGTATTTTAAATCATACCCTAAATTTAATGGGAAGCCAGTGTAGAAATCCAGGGGAGATGTGCCCTCTTCTCCTGGTTCTGTTCTGGTCACTACTTGGGCTGCAACATTCTCTAAAATCTGTGAGAGTAGGTTGGTCAAGCTTGAAATAACTTAGTTTGTGCCTCCATCAGTCATGTTTGGGCACAGTATCAACACTGCAATCACAAATCCTTGTTTTCTAAGCAAACCCCTGAATACTCTGTTTATTTTCACCATTATTTGCTGACTCATTGCACACTTTGCAGCAGGTGTGATTACCGTCTCCTTTCTCTCTCTCTAAAACACACACATTGAGAATAATTGTTACTTGAGCCACAGTGAAAGGCCAAGTGTGTTTTCACAGCTGTCTACGTAATGAGCTCTTTGGGGGCCTGTCAACTCCATGCTTAGCTAACGTCTCAGATTGTGTACACATATGTGGACATGTGTAAGTGTATGTGTGTGCTGGTCCATGTTAGGTAATGTCTCCCTGTGCCACCTCACACTCCTGGCAAGTTTAATAATATAATGACAGAAATTACACCGACTGAGCTGGAAATCAAAATGTCAGGACGGGGTTAGAGAAAAAGTGAATCTGGAAAGGAAAATATGAAGAGGATTCATTTACTCTGATCACACCAGGAGAAAAGCTGGAAAATGAATTCATCTGAAACTGATCTGAGGTGAAGGTGAAGGGTTCAACTCCTCATACTGTCCATTTCATGTGCCTATGTGCCTCTAGTTAAAAGACAGCATGTGACCATGAGGACTGTGAGAAGCAGGTCACCCCTACCGTGTCCTTCACACCTGACCAAGTGAGAAGACAGCTGAAGAGACTCCACCCTGGCAAGGCTGCCGGCCCTGATGGTGTGTTACCTAGGGTGCTTAAAGCCTGTGCCCCCAAGCTGTGTGGAGTTCTTCACCAGATCTTCAGGCTGAGCATGCACCTCCAGAAGGTCCCTGTGCTGTGGAAGACGTCCTGCCTTGTTCCTGTGCCAAAGCTGCCATGTCCCAGCGGCTCTCTGGACTACAGACCAGTGGCTCTGACGTCTCACATCATGAAGACTCTGGAGAGACTGGTTCTGGGGCAACTCAGGCCTATGGTCAAGCCCTTTACGGATCCACTGCTGTTCGCGTACCAGCCCCGACTGGGAGTTGAGGACAGCATCATCTACCTGCTGAGCCAGGTCTACTCACACCTGGACAAGCCGGCGAGTACTGTGAGAGTCATGTTTTTTGACTTCTCTAGTGCTTTCAACACCATCCGTCCGGCTCTACTGGGTGAGAAGATAGCAGCTCGCTGATTCAGACCTGGTCAGCTTTTAGCGTAGGCGGAGCGCAGCTGTTCTAGTGATATTTTAGTAGACCGGCAGAGTAGTGCACACGTCATCAATGCCTCACAGGCGGGGGGGGGGGGCAGTGGACACTGTGGAGGAGTACAAGTACCTAGGGGTGTACTTAAACAGTAAACTGGACTGGACCAGGAACACTGAGGTCGTTTACAGGAAGGGTCAAAGTTGTCTCCATTTCCTGAGGCAGCTGAGGTCCTTTAACATCCGCAATGCTATATTTTTACTCATTTTACTTATTATTTATTTATCTCTATATTTTTACTTATTCTATCTATTTTATATTGTATTTTATCTATTATTTATCTTCTCTTTACTGTATTTGCACTGAAGTTCTGTAACAAAAGCAATTTCCCCCCTTGGGATTATTAAAGTATTTCTGATTCTGATTCTGATTTTTTTAGAAATGCAAGTAGACAAAGACAGCTGGAGCTGACACATCGACTGAGACACATTGGGGAGATCAAGTACTTTAGCAAAATCCAACATATACATTAGGGCTGTCATGTTATCAGATTTTCACCTCATGGTTATCATAGCCATATTATGACTATGAAATCATATTGTCATTGTCCTCATCGTGATATATGTACTCTGCTCTGCTCACCTACCCATAAATACTGTTACCTAATACTTCCATTCCTGACTACATATTCATATTTTTAATTTAACTGGCACCAATGCTCTTTTCAAATTTCAGTGAGAAAGCCCAATAAGTGTTGTATTCTGTATTTAATGTATAGAAAGTTTACGGACGATGCAAATTGTAAATACAACTCTATTTTTTATAATTTGTTATTAAAAGGATATTCCAGTATAAAATGAGGTTATGGTCAAATACACCGTAACACCGAGTTAGACACCCTCTTGAGAAATGAATGTTGCCGACTGATTGCTTCTCTAGCTATACCAACTTTAGTAATGACCGCACGATAGCAATACACAGCGGTCTATGTCTCCAAGCGCAAACCTCAACCAAAAAGCCACTCTATAGCCACAAATAATGTTCAGAACAGCACCTTACTTCATCAACAGTACACAAAGGGTCCCAGCCATAGTAGCCAGCCATACAACTAGCCATCAAACATCTTTTTAGCTTTTCCTGGTTTCTTTGGCAAAGAGACCAAACACAACTCACCCTCTCTCCTCCAGCCGCTGCTTGTTTGAGGGGTAGCCCTGACGAGTCAATCACTGAGTGCAGCGGAGTTTCGCAGCTCAAGAAAGAACATTTATGATTATTACTTCATGGAAATGCTATCAGACCGAGACACTAAGGCAGAAGAACTACCGCGTCTGCAGTGCAAAATGATTATTATGATGATTATTACCTCATGGAATTTGGTGATTGACTCGTCCAATAATGTGGTGATGTGTATTTCTTATATTCCTGTATTGTTTTGGCTCACTAGGAAAAAGCTGCTGTTACACCATAATTACAGAGTTTGTGATCAATCAAGTAATTCTGATTGTGATTCTGAAAATATCATGACAATAATTTTGTTTTGAATTTGTTTGTCTTGCATGTAGATTGCTTTATTTCTTTCATTGTAAGCCTATGCTTTCTCTCTGCCCAATTTAAGATGCACAAAAATGTTAAGAACAGCACTTGTGAAAGGAAAGCTACCAGCTGTTTTTTAAACCAGTTAATATTTTTCTTATTATCAATGAATCCAAGAAATGCCACTCATTTGTTAATGGTAAGCTATAGCACAGGCAATACCACTAACCAGGACTGAAGCTCCAATTAAAAGTGACTGCTATAATGCTATAATGCTGCACTACTTGGATGTAAACAACCACAGAGACTGTTTCCCTGCAGACTCTGTGAGCCTGTTTGGCCACGTTAAGTAAACTGGGTTGACTTTTCTTGTGTTTTCTCACCTTAACATATTTCTACAACTTTGGAATTTGTCTTGTCAAATGGCCTTATTTCCTGTTTCCATGCCAGGATTTGATGCATCTGAGCCATGTGCTGGATGACATCACTCCACAGAGTCAGCAGAAAGCACTGATCCTGTGAGGCATATTAGGCAATACACCATTTTCTCCACTCCAGCACATCACAGCTACTTAATCCCCCTCACAGCCAACCAGCCCTGAAGTGTTCATGTGGAGAGAGCGAAAGAGGTGTTACATCCCGGTCATAAATGATGAATTATGTAAGTTAGAGCTTATAGACCCTTGCTAAGCCCACAGGGTGAGAACATTACACATGTATGAAGCAGTGAAATCAATCCCACCAGGGAAACTCAGACCTGACAGAGGTTTCCAGAAAGCACATCTGGCCACATAGTTTGTGCTGGCTCAGTTTGGTGTTTTTCACCACAGCTTCAGAGCTTAACGCCCCCTTCTCACACTTCTTACTTCACTTCCTTTGTCAAAGCAAAGAGCTGCTCTGTTTCTCTCAGCCCACATTGTATATCGTTTAATGTTACATGTTCATCCTGCTGCTGCACCTCCTGAACTCACTGTACCTTCGGGTAAATGACACTTTTTCAAAGCACACATCGAGTTCATTCTGTATGATAAGAACAATGCTGTTTTTCTGAGTCCAGGATTAAAGACACTGAGCTGCTATTGTAACACAAAACAATAATTAAGCTCCTCCAAAAACCCTTCACTAGTGATCTATGTGCTCAAATATGCTCTGCAAGTAGGTGTGTGGTGTTCTCAGCAAACCGAAATTAAAAAGTGACTGTTGCCAATCTAAACAAGCCTTAGCTACCTTGTCCTTTTCTCTTCATACAACAGCAGAGCAGATCAGGGCTGTTGCTGAATGACTATCTGAATCATAAATCCCTGCATTTTAACTGTGACCACTATAGAAGACTAGGCTGAAACTAGAACAGACACATACCACAGCTAAAGGACACAAAGTCTGCCTTTATTTGTGCTGTACAAGTTTCACAAATATTACCAGCAAAGAAACTGAAGTGAAGTAGCTCCCACAGCCCTATGATATCACAATAAAGATGCTACAATACGATACTTACCATGTTACAGGGGTCACACTGCAATATGTATCAGTATACAGAGATGACAATAAAATCCATATCATAACACAGGTGCCATGATATGATGTATGCCATGATACAGGGGCCATAAACTGATCCATGTCACAATACAGCACAGGCGGTATGATGCATATCACAAATAGTGGCCATGATACAATACATATCAATATACAGGGCCCATGCAACAATGCACATCACAATACAGTAGCCATGACAGAATGCATATCGCGATACATAAGCCATGATTTTATGCTAGCTATGGTACAAAGGCCATGATAGGATACATATCATGAAACAGGTTCCACGATTGGATGTGTATTGTAATACAGAGGCCATGCTATGATGCCTATCATGATACAGGGCCCATAGTCTGATGCATGTCATGAAACAGGGGCCACAAATAATACATGCAATGTGTCTTTCATGACCACCACATCATTTCATACAATATTAGTCCTGGGACATGTGCAGTGGAGCCCATACACACAAGAAGTCCAGGACAGTTTATAGCCATAGTGTTGTTTTTTTGTTTGTTTAAATGCAGCCACAAAAAAAGACGTTTTTTACTGGAATTCTTGTAGGAATTGTGTTCAGCTTGCTGCACAATGAAGACAGAACACCCACACTGATAAAATAATTTATGAAACACAAGGCATTGGCCACATCTCTGTCTGCGTGACTCTTTTCTCTCACTTCTTCTTTCTCTTTTTTTCTTTCCAATACTGTGTCTTTTCTTTCTCAGTGTGTCTCTTTTGTGGCAGGATTTGGTGACATCTGTTAAACTCTTTGCTTTCAGAGCATAAGTCATAGTGATTTATGGCTCTTTATGTGGGGATGGCAGTCCACGAGATATCATCCACCACATGTCCAAACAAAGAGGCAGAGACATAAAGCTGGTAAGATTAAACAGTCTGCAAAGTAAGAATAAAGACATAAGAAAAGAATAATCCAGGACTTCATATCTGCCATTTTTTTATTGCTTCGATGATCAGAAACAGCAGCAGTTTCACACTTGAGCTTGAGGTTTCTGGGATGAAAATGCCATGTGATTGAAAACATATATTCCATACTTATGACTAACAGTTACGGGGACAGCAGGAAAAAGGATTTGAGTGGATTCTTGGAGGAAGTTTTTGTTGGAGATCAGGTTCCCACAAGGCTTGTCATGTTCCAGCACAGAGTAGGAGAAAGAAATGCTGTGAAAGTATCATCCAGGTATGTAGCTATGGCCTGCTGCAGTGAGGTTATTGGCTGATTTCTACCACAACACATCTATATGAGCCCAGACATAAATGTCCTCAAAACAATTTTTTATTATTACTGTAAAATGTTTCTTTAATTGTTTATAGAAGAGCAGTAAAATGTTGATTGCAGAGCTTGTTTTCTTTAGGTGAAATATGTTAAAACAACAATGTAAAACCAGACAAATAAATGACATGAACAAAGCGGCAGCAAACCTCAAAAATCTAATGGGAGGGGTGACATGTGGTTTGAATTAATGTCCACTCCCTTTCCTCCCCAGGCAACAGTAGGACTCTGCTTTGGAAGTACAGTAGGACACTAACAAAGAGAAAAAATGGTTAAAAAGAATCTTTATTGAAGTTCAATGCAAGCCAGTCGCATTTCATAACAACACTCAGCTTTACAAAAATAGTAGGTTTCCCTTCATGTATTGTTTCTGCAATAAAAAGGTTATTTTATGTGCTTCGTTACACTCAAAGTCAGTAAGTCATGACTGTGGATAAGTCATGGTTTTGCTTTCACAACTTATTGGTGGTAAAATAATCAGCTTTCTTTCAAAGACATTTATTCAAAGTTTTATTCAACTGTTAAGTTTGTACACAGTGTACCTACTGTGCCTACATGTCTTGCCATCTTAACATTAAAGGTTTTTTTTGGTGTGCTCTTGTATCTACAAAAATGTAGTGGCAAGCAGCTCTCAGGGCCAGTTAGCTAAGATGTATCGTTGTTTAGATAAATTGGTGTCCATCCAGGAATGAACAGTTAATATAGTTAACATCTAAACCATATTTTTGTTGTTTCCACTTTTAAATCCTTTCACATATTGGACCATAAAAAATGACTACAGAAAAGTCCTCTGAAAGTGAAGCCAATACTTCTAGAGCTCCCCCCAGCGGCTGGCTTTTGTGTAGACCCTAAAGCTTGCCTCCTCCATTGTAACAGATGCAGACTGAAAAACTAATATACATGCCATTACATGTCATTTCTTATCATGCTTATTTATGTGCAAGTGTTCATTGTTTGGAAAATTTCAGCACTAATGAGTAATTTTGGGTCAAAAGTTGTAATTTTCTGTGTAGAGAGGTGTAGAGGAGGAACACTGTGAGAACATGTAACACAAGAGTCACTGAACTCTCCACTAAACCATTACAAGACTTTTCTGCTGTGGACTATCCCAATTAATCTCTCAGAATGAAAAAAGTATTTTCCCCCAAAGTTTTTGAAAAATTATCATTGGAAATCAACAACACTTGCACTTGTTACTTTCTACATTAAAATTTTGTTTATCAATTGTTACAACAGAATCGAATGTTGCATTACTTTTCATTTACAAAGTAAAGAACTTCACTTCTTTCAACACTGATCCTAAAATGACGGTTTTAGTCTACAGAGTACCTGCTCTGCAACGCCAAAGATAAGCAAAAATGACTTCACTTTTTACACTTAGACAACCAATAAAGTGCCATACACATGGATGTGTCAATATGTACAAAACATCATGACAAAAACAATACCTCTGTACTGATATAGTAGTGCATGGAAAAATATACCCTCGAGTAGTCTAGACAGGAAAAGACTGTTAGTCCAAAATCAATACTTCCAATTGACCATAAATCTGTTCAGCCTTCATGAGGTTTGAGTGGCTTGACAATAACCACTAACATAATCTGCACTTCCCGTACATTCAACTGCAGAAGACTCTTACTCAATAACTGGTGTTTTTTCAAATTCACTTAATGAAAAAGAGGTTAATCAGAGCAGTAACAATTCGTACTACCAGTATGACATCCATATGCAGTATAAGCTAGGCTTGATTTCTCTTTGTATTGTTTTTCCTTAGTAACATCAAAACAAGTGCATAATGGCAGTTTTCTTCAACATACCTACAAAGTATATTTATACTCATCCAAGAAAAGTGTACAAAACAGTTCAGCCCTTGGCAGCTGTCTTGTTGTCTATGTTTTTAGACATTCCTCTTACTTCTTTCCATTAGACAATGACTTGTCATACCAGGGAAAAGCTTCTTTTTAAAGTCCAATCGCAAATTTTAATAGGTTGACTTTGTTCATGGATTCTTGATTGTCTTGCATAATCTCAATAATTCCCCATCCTCAGTCTCAAGGACAACATCCCTCAGGTTCATATCTACAAAAAAAAATAAATCTGTAACTTCCTTGAACAGGAAAAATCTCCCACATAGTTCATGTCCATCAATCTACTGTCTCTTGGATCCAGTAGCAGGTGTCACAGCTCGCTGCTGGTTGTTAATTCTCTCATGGTGGTATGGCAATCCTGGGGGTCCAGGGGTTCCTGGTGGTCCAGGTGGACCAACTGGCCCTGGTTTTCCCCTTGGTCCTGTTGGCCCAATGATTCCAGGTAGACCTGCCTGACCCTGCATCCCTGCTGGCCCTGTGGGTCCTGGGCCGCCATCTGCACCAGAGGGGCCCATATCACCCTTCTGGCCCCTCTCTCCACGAGGTCCAGGAGGGCCCTGGGCCCCTTTAGCTCCTTTGATCCCTTGGGCTCCTCTGTTGCCACCAGGACCTGTTTCACCCTGGACTCCTTTAGGTCCAGCAGAACCCTTCTCCCCAACAGATCCACGACCTCCTATAGGGCCACGATCACCTTTGCTTCCAGTCAGTCCAACTGGTCCTTTCGAGCCAGTCTCACCACGGTTTCCTTTGGGCCCTGGTGGTCCAGGAGCACCTGGCGAGAAAGGAAATGTAGTTTACTTCTCTTTAGCCCTACCAGAGCATTTCAAGACCATATTTTCACAGAAGCATTTTTCAGCAGAAAATATTGGAATTAACAGGTGGATGGATTGAATGCTAACTGTAAAGCTGTACCTTTTACTATCGTGAAGTTATTTATGAGGTGGGTGTGGTAAACATCCACAAGCTTCATCTCTTCCATCACCATGGAGAGGTTCCTGACATCCACATCCAGACGGACATTCAACAACATGTTCTGCTGCCTCAGAGTGTCGGCCAAGTGGAGAAGTAATAAGACTGTGTTGTTCAGGTTCTGTAAAAAGCAGAGGTCATCGGTTCAGAGGGAAACCCAGAGGGGAATATCTGTTAGTCACCCTTAGCTAAATATCAACCCCAAATGAGGGACTTTTTCCAATTCTATTCAAACATTTTGAGGGATAAAAATCAAGTAGGAAAACTGGTAACACCTCAGATGTCATTACCTGTAGATCTTCTGTATGTCTGCCCAGGCGACTCTGGCAAGACGAGCTCTCAATGTTGATGTACTTGTACATACTCTGGACATGGCTGACTGTGGCGTTAATGCTTGAGGAAATTGTGTCAATCTCCATTGCGATGGAGTTCAGACGACCATCCAGTGCAGAGAAACGCTCACCTGTGCGGTTCTCATAGTACCTAAAGAGGACGTTTGGAGGAGGAGGGTTACAGTGTGAGTTTCACATGTCTATCTGTTTATCTGTCCATGTGTTTGTGCTGGTTGGGTGGGTATGTGCATACAGATTTACATTTGTCGTGGGAACATCTGCTCACCATGTAAAACACTGTGGGCTCTATTTTCATGTCCGCTGGTGAGGCGGCGGAGGGTGGCAGACCCCGCGCAGTGGTATTTTCGTCTGGCGGAGCACGGCGTACAGCCAGTTTGTTTTTTTCATGGACTGAGGCGCACCAAGGTCCGCCAAGCTGGGCGTGGCAGAGGGAGGTGTTGACATAATCAGCTGTCGCAGTGACATTTTCGTGCTCGTCGGTGGCATATAAAGTTCGCTAAAAGCCCGCCAGTGACTCTGTACAGCGAGGAGATCAGCAGGCAGAGTGCAGCTGGTCTAGTGGTATTTTGGTAGACCGTTGGCTTATTGGCATACGTCACCAGTGCCTCACCAGCAGGTTTCCACAGTGTCAGGCACATTTCAGTGCAATAATCAACAGCAACTATTAATGTGAGTCCGCACATATATTTAGATCTATAAAGATATATTCTGATCTATATCTGATCTGATGAGCGCGTTTGGCACGTGTTTGGACACACAACCTGACTATCAATCAACACAGCTGAAACTGCATTAAATTAAATTAAATATCTAGGAAATAGACACACATGATGAAGTTAACAAGATATGTAATTTGTCTCCCTCCTTTTCTTTCTTCTTCTTCCTCTTATTTCTCGCACAGCTCGACCTGGACATGTCTCCGTGTCCTCTCCCTGTCCTGCTGCAGCGGCTGAACAGATGATTTGTTTCAATGATCAGATGAGTTATTTACTTTAAGCCTACATACGAATGTTATAATATTCAGTTTTGTGAGCCAAATTTATTTTATATGCCAACATCTATGAAAGAAAGAGCCAGGCCACGGAGCGCGATGCGTCCTTTACGCACAGATGGTTCCGATTTTAATGCCATTTTTGAAATTGATGATGTGATCTCTGCACACAACCCACCTTTGTCACGTGAGGTTTGATTATGCAACTTTATGTGAGTGTCTTTATTTGTGGAAAAGAGTGTTTGTCTTACTAGTGGGTCCAACATTACACACACCAAATCTATCTGTGCTCATATGAGAGAGTGTGAAGGACACCCTCTGCAGCTTTTACAGCGACACTTGTTGAGAAGCTGCCTTCTGTTGCCATCGTGTGGCATTGCTGTCTTCAGACATCTCTTGATCTCTTTGACTGCTTCACGAAAATAGTAATACGCCTCGCCGGTGGCGGATTTTTAAGGCGAGGAGAGGAGCTGATGTTATTGGTCAATACAGGTCTCGGCTATGTTAAACCCACTCCATGCCCTCTCTCCTCTCTCGCTACGATTTACGCCGCTGGAAGGAGGTGAGTTCGGGAGGGGGGATACTTACGCCGGGCTGCGCCGCTCACCAAAATACTAAATTGTGCTTGGGAACGCCTGCGCCACGTCTCCGGCAAAGCACGAAAATAGAGCCCTGTCTGTCTTGTGTGTGTGAGTGTGAGTGTGAAAGCATGTTTATGTTCATTGTGGGGACATCTGCTCACAATCTTACACTTGAGGCAAGACCTTATACAAAAGATTGGACCCTTACATGGTTTCCAGTGTTTTTGGATCTATATTTGTGGTAAAAATCAGATTTCAACTTCAGTTAGGTCACCCATTGGTTTGTTAGTAGTTAAACCAGAGGAGTTAATACTTGGTAGGAATATACTAACCCCCATGTCTAGCCTGTTATCTTGTCAGCAAAAGCAAGTACTGTGTGTATGATAGTTGGATTCTTTGAAACATCCTCAAGGTCAGAGTTTGATTTGAATGCTTTCTTTTTTATGTATACCAGTCCTTGAAATAAAAGTTAAACATCATTATCCCGGAACAATTATTCATTTAAATACATGGAGTGCGCTCTTGCTGAGAGCAGCTTTAGGTTGAAAATACAACTATGGAGCAGCCTTTTACAAACTTTGATACTTTTCAGTACTGTTTAATGAAAGATAGCATATTGTTTTGCTTAAAGCATTAGGCAATGAATTGAAGAATTGAAGTATCAAAAAGCTGTGTACTAATCCAGAGGGCTGCAGAACTGTCCTCTGCAGTGTAGTAGTACCTGGAATGGTAGTGAAGATCATGCATGTTCTCCTCGTGTTCGTCCATGAAAGATGTAACGTTGTCAAGTTGCATCTGCAGGTTCATCACCTGAAATAGAAAAAACGACATTTGGTTCTCACTTTACTGTAAATTCTCAGCTAGTTATCACTTCAAAGTTGTCATTTAAACCAAGCCTAGTGGTTTAAATGTTCCTACACAAGACACTGTTACCATGTAATTTCTGGACACATCGCCAACACTTGTAACTTTTGTTAGTTGTGTGATCTAATGAAGTGAGCTCCACATATTGTGCTGAAGTTGTGTATTTTGTGAGCATATTTAGTGCTTTAAGTATCTTAAACCAAATCCAATTTTGTTGCAACTGATCAAGTGGTTTTTCGTACCATAACATCATATTTTATTCATTAATCATGTTGGGTGTGTGTTTCATATCCATAAGTCATTACAAAAGGCCAGATAGTCAAATAAAACATTTAAATCTCCTCATTTCTTCCTCTGCCTTTCGCAATGAATCATTACTCTCTCAATCACACCTGCTGTGTGAGGTCGTAGTACACCTCAGTGGACATGGCGATTCTCTGGTGATCTGCGACAATGTTGTTTTGGAGGAACCTCATGTTTTGTGTGGTGCTACTTGTGTTGGATTTGATGGTGGTCAGGACTCGGCTGTAGTTCTGCCAATCACTAGTTAACTTCTGAAGGACCAGAGTCTCTTCATCGGCTTTCCTCTGCAGGGCATCTATCCACATTGTGCTACAGAGGAGAGGAAGGTAGAGCAGAAGTGAGATGAATGGATAAAGCAATCAGGCAGTACTCACAAACATCATTTCTTTAAATTAAGTTTGCTTCAGATTTCTTGTTACAAATGATTGTAAAACAGTCAAAAACTACCAGATGGGACAATAATATGTTATTCAAACTTGGTCTTTCTCTGTAATTAACCTCCATACGTGTAAACAGGAAATAATTAACTTGGAAAAGTTGAATGATAAACTCTATTGGGTATACTCTACTGCAGATTTACACCAGTGTAATGTTAAACAGCTGTGCCCTTTTGAAATGGGAAATCCCACTTTGTTATTCTTACTGTACTCTCCCTTCATGAATAATTATAAGGATTGTTGAATAATTGCAGTTGTGGCTTCAGCTCTGGTTCCTTTTCTCCTGTCAGCCTCTGATTGAGTGCTAGTTCACTAAAAGGTCACTAACACATGTACATGATGCTAACAAGATGTGATTATATGGTAGCCTGGAGGTGTTGGATCATATTTGAACTTATAACCTAGTAGCTTATGGATGTCCTGGTGACACGTAGGCTGACAAAACAGACTACATATTCAACAATATTCTAGTCAGCCATTCAGAAGTACAACCCAGTTTCAGAAGAGTTTAGGCGCTGTGTAATATGACAATAATAGCAACAGTTAGCAGTTTCAGTGTAAAGTTTGATGGACTTTTGGGATTTTCTTGTGATATCATTAAAATTTTTAAAGGATATGATAAAATCTCTGAGCAAAAAGGACCAAACCCCAGTAGTGGATGGCCATGTACTTTGAAAGATTCTGCAGTCGTAGTCATCGCATGAGCTTCAAATCCCTTTCAAAACACAGTTTACAGGCGCTCTCAGGTTAACAAATGGTTGCACATTGTTGTTTAAAGAAGAGGTGATACATCACATAGATTAATATACCCCACCCCAAATTGCATTTTTTTTGGTGGTTCAGTCTAGGGCTGGGGGATTCTTATGCAAAACATGATTCGTTGAATTCAGCAGACCTGTCTCCATGGCCTTGTTGCAGTCTGTTTAGCCCAACACTAAATAAAAATGGGTGGTTTGGCAAAGACTTTGGAGCCATATTGGGTGTGCACTTGTACTGCTAGGTCTACTGGTGCCCCGTCCCAACTTTTTTAAGAGTATTGCTGGCTTCAAGTTAAATTCTAGCATGTACTTTTCATATAACATAGATATAATTTGGATATATTAAAATAAAGAGAGAGAGAGAATTTCCCAGTTTGGGATCAATAAAGTATATCTATCTATCGCTAGCTAGGGTTTGGATGATATGCAAACCTTAATAGCCAATAGTCAATGCCACAGTCATTTTAGTTGTGAGGTTGTGCATCCCTTCATTCACCTGAGTGCTACTGTTGTGTTAATCTGATGTGCTGTAGCTTTGACGTCGTACTGATCCTCCATCAGGGACTTCATTTTCTCTTGAGACTCCTCAATCACATCCTTCCACCCCTCTACCCGATCAAGGTAACGTTCCAGAGACTGGTTCAGGAGTTTAATGGACATAAGGTGGCTCTGCATGTCCCGTGTTAGGCGGTTGCTGGTGGCCTTTAGGGTGGTCTGTGTCTGGGAGGCCTGGTCCAGGATCTGGAGGGTAAAGATTGTGATCAGAAAATAATTGAGCTAAAAGCAGTCTTTGAACGTGTGAAGATTAAATTAAAAAAATTTGCTGATTTTCTCTGTTTTGTGTCTGTACACGTTGAATGTCTTCTGATTTTAGGCGGTAGGATAAGCAAGTTCTGGGGTATAAAAATGACATTTCAATCTCTTGCAACTTGTTTTGTGGCATATCAAAAGCATGGCATCAGGAGGGCTTATGTTAGAAGTATGGGAGGTAGTCCCTGAATGTCTCAATGTAAAACAATCCATGTGAGGAGCACTAGAGTTTTAACAATAAAGTCCAAAACCCTATCGATGGTCATTGTTCAATAATATAACTACAATTAATCTCAATAGATCAAAATCTGTTTATAAGTGAACCTAGCTATCCTGTCTCGGCTGCTGTGTGGGTAAACAAACTCCATTGTTGCTCCTCAAGTTACTGGTCCAATTGGAAACCACAGTAGATCACGTAAATGGAAGTCTTTGCCAGAAGTGCATATTTACTGAGGCCAAAAACCCCAGGAAAAGTATCCCATCCTCTCTACAGGCTATACAGTTTAACCATTACATTATTCATACATTACCTGCTCCTGGCTTAATATCATTCTCTGGATGTCCTCAAACTCTGTCTTCAGCCTGCTGATCTCCTCGCTGTACAGAGTCACATCCAGACAGCCAGAGCAGTTTGAGTTGGAGCTTATATCTGAAAGAAAAGTGAGTTATGGTGGAAAAGCATTAATCCTCTGAGTGTAAACAGATTTACAATTGGACATCCAATCATCAGGCATCATAAGTGGCCTGTAAACCAGCATAGATTCAGGTTTTATGTGGTTGACTGGACAAACTATGGATGGTTCAATTCCATTTGGCCGTTTTGGACCTGATTAAGATCAAAGGTAAATGTAATACAGCTACTTCACTGACTTAGAGGTTAGATTATTTCTCCATCAGCTGTGACCGAGGTCTAAAATAAACCTAACTAAATTTGTAAACAGCTGTTAATACCGTCCTGTTTTTTGCAATTTCCATGTAACATATTCACAGTAAATGATACAATCGACTGTCAAAGTCAGTAGGGTGAGATTTTTTTGTCATAAGACACTATAAGCAAGTAGAGAACAGGACAAGTGAAGCTTGTCCACAGAGGGGCACTAAAACTGACACAAATTAAAAAGTTCCTCATTGGAACTTTAACTCTGTTATGAAATTATGCTCTTATCCCTAGGCTGGCCGGTCTGACAGCACTACCATTTATGTAGGCTCTCCAGGCTAGTTTACCTTCTATTCTCTGCTGGACCCTGCCGATCTTCTTGCTGTAGATGGTCTCCTCCTCAGACAGACCATCAACCTTTTTGAACACTGCAGGGACAAGGATACATTACCTACATATATTGAGTTGGCCCATGTTGCAGGCATTGAATAATGAAAAACATGGAGGATTGAACAAGGAGCAGATCTACTTTTGATTAACATCAGCAGTTATTTTGAGTTAACAGTCCTTAGGAAGTATTAAACACAGTAAAAACAGGAAGATGTAATTGAACCCATGACCGTTTTCACTACCTAACAAACAGTACTGAAACGCTCATGAGTGATGGTTGAGCCAGCTGGCTGGGCTCCTATTCCTTTTACATATTTCCCATGAAAACAACAATAATTCAGTGGGTGTGTCTTTTTGTATATTTGCCTGAGTGTAAGTTTGTGTAGTGTGTGTTTGCAGACTTTTCATTATCCAAGGCCCTGACTCAGGGGATTAATGCTGGTCTGTTCCATGGTGTGTTTACATACATTACTGCTTCCACATGTGCTCTGTACATACCATCTGCCCCGCTGTATTAGCTGCTGTGATACTGAGGCTAAACATGGCTTTAACCAGGTTTAAGGCTTTGAATTGCACATCCATACAGACTGTAGATCAGCCTCAGATGCATTGCCAGCAGTATAGCTTGTTGGATTGGATGGTTTTATTAAATGTTAGCCTTAAAGTGACACTTCATGTCACATTTGTCCACCAGAAGTTTTGATGTTTTTATAAGGCAGATGTTCAGCAGCGAACAAAAAATCAAAGGTCACTGTTTTTCCTTAAGCACATGCATAGTTGGGAGTTCAAGCCAAGCTCAATATCTTCTCTGTTTATACGGATGGTTTCAGACTTTGGTGCTGCACAGCTGTGCTCGCTGTCGAAACAAACAAAGTTTTGTTTTTGTGTAAAAATCATTATGAAATAGCGGGGATGCTGTGAATATGGTGTGGATATTTGTATTTGTGCTGGCACACATCTTGAGTCTAAACCATGGTGAAAAAGCAACAACAAATACCTCAACTCTGCATCACAGCCCGCATCATCTCCATGCAAGAACTCTTTGCAATAAGGTTGGGCAGAGTGAAGGTGACACTTATGTTTAGATGTTAGTAAAGATTCTGTCAATTTGTTGCCTCACTGCAAATCTGTAGAAGTTGAGAGTTAAACTGTTATAAAAGTGTGCAAGTAGTGGTTGCCATAGAAACAGAGAGTTCAACAAACACCAATTGATAAGTAGCGGCCTTAAAATGCTAGACTTTGCTCTGATGTCCTCTCAGCTGATATATTTAACCTACAGTGAGTAGTCAGCCAGTGTCATCGCACACAAACTTTGTGCAATCCTGATGAAAATGTCCTTTATAAATCTGATAACTTTCTGTTTGTGGGTCTCTAAGTTTTGTGTCTACAGCTTTCCCAACATGCGTGTTTTGTCATTTGATGTCATCCTCCCAAGCCTCACCCTCTCTACTCCCTGAGACCCTGAACTGCTGTAAAATACAAAGCTTTACAGCTTTCAAACCCAATAAAATATGATGTTAATTTGAAAACCATCTGTTGGTGCTGAGCTGCTGTCAGGTAAAACACAGCACACAGGACCCAGGAACATATTCGTTTGAATGACGGGAGTTAAACATTGTTTTATTCAGAAACACACACATAGAAAAGTGAAAAGTATTTCTTGCTCTCCTTTTGCTTAGAGTCAGCACTCATGAGTGGTATTACATAACCAATCCTAGGGCATTCAAGAGTGGAGATTTCTATGTGTCAATTCAGCTTGACTTAGAAGATCTAAACAACAGATTCAATTTCACATCAAACACAGACACGGCAGAAAACCCAAAGTTAAACAGTACTCACCAAGTGATGCCAGAACTGCTACAATAATGATGAGGAATGCAACGAATCCATAGAGAACTTTGATGGCCAGCTGGAGAGACTGGCTCTGCTGGCACCTCATGCAGCCCCCTCTGCTACGACCTGGAAAAACAAAGTGAAGTCATAGTTTACACATACGTTTACCTTCAGGGGTTAATGACTTGAATACAACCAAAATGATGAGTTTGCAGTGATTCATATGTTCAAAGTAGCATGCAACATGTTCAAAGTATACTCTGACGGTTAAACTAAGACATTTATACTTAAACTATTCATGATCTACATACAAAAGGTAATCAAACAACACATTATATAGATGACAGATTGTGATATTTGATTTCTGAACTGTCTGTTTGCATGTAGCTTCACCTCGAAATGATGGCATTTCCTCCTCACCGGTGAAGTCCTCCTCTGAAAACCAAGAAAGGAGAACATTTTCAGACCCCTTAGTTTTCTGACTAACAGCTCCCTGATTGATGAGAAGCCACATGTTTTAACATTGTCTTCACTAGCAAACAGACTGATTATTCAACTTATTCAACCTCAACACATGTTATTAAGCTGGAGACAATACCTTTAAAAAGCTGGTTTTCATACCCTCCATAGTTGTCTGCTAAAGAGAAACACAAAACAGATTGTTTTAGAAAAGGTAGCTGACAAACATTAATTCAACTGGGGTGAAGACAAGTTTTATCAGTCCGATCATAAATCACATCAAATAGCTGCTTCACAGTCCCCCTTAAGCTCCCCCTGAAATAGTTGTGTTGTCCTGGACATGGTTAGTGTGAGGATACTATCTCCCTGCAATAAAAAAGAGGGTTTCTCTTCTTGGTTGTTTTCTCTGAGCTTGTGCCCACTTAAGACTAAACAGAAACTTCACAGTGAGTAAAATATGAGAGCTTTTGTTGGCTATTGTTGGCAAATGAGAAAATAGGACAACTTTTACATAGTGTTACCAGAAAGCCTATCAGAGAGACCGATTTACCAAATTTCACTGAGTATATGTTTTCATAGCAGGGTGTCAGAACAAAAGACTTCCCAAGTCTCTAGATTTATACCACCAAACCTGACACTCCACATGCAGCAGGTGTGGCAAATGATATTTGTGAACACTCAGTGGAGCTGCACCATGAGGCCATTTTTGTGGGAAAGTTGCACTCATATAACAGGAAAGTGGTCTGGCAGTTGTTGGGTAGCTGAGGACAGAGTGTTGGACTCTGCCATGGTCTCGTTTCTCTCCTATTTAACCAAGAGAGATTAGCTGAGCTCAAAAATCACAGATTTGAGAGTTTCACGGCCAAGACAAGCAGCAGCAGCTACAACATGAAATATAACATGAGCAGCTATACATGGTCACGGGGCTTAACTTGTACTTGGACCACAGCTAGGGTAACTGGATCTTGACTTGGAGTTGGACTTAAGTAATATAGAATCAGACTTGAACTCAGAATTGTATTGTAGTTAACTCAGTTTATAGGGACTCATGACAAGCTTGAACATAAGTTTAGTGGAGACTTAACCCAGACTTGAGCCCTGAAAAAGGGGCTCTCCCCTGAATTGGCCTCAAGAATTGGGGACTCAGCTCACAGGGCAAAGGAAACCCATCACTGACTAGGATTCAGGCAATGGGTACTCAACTCAGACCAGTGATTGGGCCATAATTTAGATTTGGGGTCAGGCTACCTGGGTAACAAGGACTTGAATGAGACTTGGATTCAAGTTATTCAGGCTATGGGGCTTAGCTCATTTGGAGCAGGACTTAGACTTGAACTCAGGCTTGTACTTCGGTAACTTAGTTTATGGGGACTCAACTCAGATATGAGCTGGGTCTCAGTTAATGGCTTGATTTAGACTTAAACAATAGAGACTCACACCAAGACACAAATTTATCCTAGGGAATCAGTGCTGACCGAAATATTGGGAACTTGAGTCTGTCTAAATTACTGGACCAGAATGATAAAAAAGAACAAAAACTGGAGTCATGCTGTCACTCATAAACATTAAGTTGTATATCTATACTCACAACAGCATATGGAGTTCCAGCAAAACCCCTTAAGTGACATTTTGTGTCATTATACAAACAGCAGAGCCCTGTAGAGGACTTGAACTCATAATGGGAAGAAAAGAGATGTGAAGCCTGACAGTGCCAGACCAAATTTGTAAATTTAAACCCCCTGCTGTTGTCTGTCAGCACCCTTGGCAACCATAACTATGACCCTGTTGTGTTTCACTTAAGTGATAAATTGGTGTCATTGTTAACATGGATTCATTTGTATATACAGTTTATCTTGATATGTAAGAAGATCTTCTACATAAAAAATAAATACATGTTTTGTTTCATTTCTCGAGCGAATGAAAATATTGAAAAATCTCTGGAGTCAGTGTTTCTGCTGCAGGTTACTCTCTGTGGTCAACCGCGTAATCAGCACAACATGAAGACAAATGTGGTCTGTCAATGAAAGTGAACAAGAGAAAACTTTGTACAAAGTGAATAGAAAGCAGACAGAAAGATATGAAGTTAAAAAACACATTTTGTCTTAAAAATGTCATTTTAACTTGTAGAAAGCTTCTGGCCTCATGCGTGAACTTGCAGAACTTTTTCTATATTTACAGGAAACGAGAGAGAGAGAACGAGTCAACCTTTAGTGGCTGTGTGTAAGCAACATGTAGCTGAATGTAGCTCTGTGGGTTAGGTGATGACATAAACAGGGGAAGTCCTAATGTCTGGTTACCCACAAATTCACTTATTGTTTAAACTTGGCCCAAGCTAAATTACCCTCCGCAGACGCCATGATGAGGTGAGTGTTTATGTCAGCTGGTGATGGAACAGCTGAGGTCAGGTCTGGGTGGAGGAGGCATAGAACACTGACGCTAACATAATGATGGAGGGAGGAGGGCGGAGGGGAGAGGTCTGAAGGACTCTCAGAAAATCTGTCTTATTACTCTGCAGGTACCAAGACAACTCAAAGACAACAGGGAGGCTGAGTTATTCGTTATATCTACAGATAATATGATGTCCTGAATCCAGGCAGGGGGACTCTGGATTTTTACCTAAGAGAGCCTAAGAGTGTGGATATCCCAAAACCGCAATGAAAAGGGATTAACAGTAATGCAATGTAGGACTTAAGGCTCATTTATGCTCGCCATACATATGAAAATGTACACATCCGTTTCAAATGATGGTTCCGTCACTGCCCACATACTTTTATGCGTCCTTTACGTTGGCATGGATGTTAGCTATTACATCCACCAGGGGGCAGGCCAGAGTCAAACGTTTCTGACAACAACAAACAAAAAGAAACATGGCGACTGTGGAGGAGCTAGTGCTAATGAAAATTATATCACTGCCCCTACGATAACCGGTGGTACTGCTCCGTCTGGCTTGTATATGTAAACTTCAAGGAGACATGCAGAAATATGGATGAAAGAAGGTGAAACACTAACAGAGAGCGCCGTCCATATCAGGATCCGTACATAACATTGAGCATAAACGAGTCTTTACACTGATCCGATCATTATGTTGGTCTTCAAAGCCTTGATAGACTCCTTGTGTAATACAGAGAGTATTTCTTTGGTTGGTCAGGCTTTAGGTGGTCCTGTTTGCAAACTACGAACTACTTTTAGTCTTCTATCAACCTGGTTTAATGGTAGAAGGCATTTTCCATTTCTATTTCCACAAAAGAAATATCCTGATGAAGTCACTGTGTTAATATTGTGTTATACTGCATTTGTCAATCTGACCAGAAACCCAGATGAACAAATAGTTAATTTAGCTCCTTTGTGAGTTAACAGCCTATTGTTTCTTTCTATATGATGATCTGCAGATGATGCATAAACATATTGCTCTATTGACCCAAAGTATCTGTTTGAATCTAGGTTGAAATGCTTTTAAAGTTAAAAAACAAAATCTAAATCCACATTTTTTCTAAAGCTATGATGAGAACATGAACTTGCTGCTTAATTTTTTAGATAGTAGTAGCAGAACAGTGATATTGTCCCTGGTTTTGATGGTGTCTTTCACATCTCATACAGGTCTAAATCCTGTTTCAAACTCTCCCACCCTGATTTGAGTACATTTCTCAGGGCAAACCAAATTCTTGTCATTTTTGGACTTCTGTGGCTTGGAAAAAAGGTCCAGCTTCAAATGTCTGAGTGTCAGCACATCCTCTGCTATTGGAAGCTGAATTTTTGCAATAACACAAATCAGAACCCACCCTCAAATATCTGCCTGCTCCTTAGTTGTGTTTCTCCTTCTTTGCCTCCCTCCCTCTCCTTTTTCTCTCCTCATGTTTTCCCTACTCACTGTGGAAAAAACCCTCATGTCTGTCTCGTTAGTGAGGAAGTGGACCGGTCCAACGCACACAGAGCAGAACTGAGCCGATTTGACAGCAGCACAACATGGCCCTACCAGGTCACACCTTCACAGCCAGGCAATGGCAAAACACTGTAACTACTGACGACTGCTGTGCGACTTAAATCCAGCCAAATGCTGTTTATTTGACATGGGCTTTTATGTGATTATGATGTGAAGATTAAAGCGATTTGTTCTTCCTCAACAGCTACATTATTGGATATTTGATTTAGTAAAACCCACACAGCAAAAACAAACATAGAGCATCCACAAACCTCCCTTATCCAAGTGGGATTAGATGACGCCAACCAACATTACAAAATCTCTGTCCAAATTCTCAGGGAGACTGTGTTCTTTTTCCTCTAAACAAAATGCAACAAGAGAAGGAAACACCCTAAAACAAGTTTGAAACAACTGCTGATATGCAATACTCTGCAAAAAAACCTAACCTGGTGGCCTGGACCTTTTCGTAAGAGGTTAAAACATCAGAAAACAATTACTCCACCCTCGATGTGTTTAAAGTTTATGCTAACCCTTTTGAAGTACCTGATAATTTCACTCATTAATCACCCATTATCCACAAATTCTCATAAGCACTCAGAGGAATCGATGGGTGTTAAGGCTTAAAAAAATGATTTTAAAAGATTTATTGTGGATCCAAAAACACTGTAAAAGCTTGTGCCTTTTGGGGGGTGCAAATACATGTATCTTTTAGACTTAACATCCATTGTTATAGCTTTTTTTTTCAGCTCATGAAAGGGATATTCCGGTGTAAATTTAAGTTATGGTCAAACACAGTAACACCAAGTTAGACATCCCCTCGAGAGATGAATGTTGCCAACTGCTTGCTTCTCTAGTTTTACCAACTTTAGTAATGATCGCATGATAGCAATACACAGTAGTCTGCAGTTCCACATGCAAACCTCAACCAAAAAGCCACTCTATAGCCACAAAAAATGCTCAGAACAGCACCTAACTTCACCAACAGTACATATAGGGTCCCAGCCATAGTACTAGCCATCAAACATCTTTTTAGCTTAGCCTGATTTCTTTAGCAAATAGACCAAACACAACTTACCCACTCTCCTCCAGCAGCCACTTGTTTGTGTGGGAGCCCTGACGAGTCGATCACCGAGTGCAGCAGAGTTTCGCAGCTCAAGGAAGAACATTTATGATCATTACTTCATGGAAATGCAATCAGACAGAGACGCTAAGGCAGAAAAACTGCTGTGTCTGCAGTGCACATACAAGATACACAAGAACTCTGTGTATTGCTATCATGTGGTTGTTGCTGAAGTTGGTATAACTAGACAAGCAAGCAGCAAGTAACATTCATCTCTCGAGGGGGTGTCTAAATTGTTGTTACAGTGTGTTTGACCATGGCTTAAATTAACGCCAGAATAGCCCTTTTAAGCAACAGGCTGATGGGGTTTGTGCTCGGTCCAATTACTCTGACTTTTTAAGGTATCTGCATATGTTAATCACAGCAGGGGTGAGGTTGGTAGAAGATAAATGTTAAGGCTTATTGGAGAACACAGCTTTCACTAATGGGGTTTTGTCTCTTTGTCATGTGTATGTCAGCAGGATTATAGAAAAGCCAGCAACGTTTTCATGATTTCTAAAATATTATTGGAAGCCAATGAAAAAACCATTCCATTTTGAAGTGGGTCCAGTGCAGACAAACGGCGAACTCTTGGCCTGGGCAGACTCTTTAAATTATGTTAGCTTTTGAGGAAATGAATAGTACATGGTCAGTGGTTGGTAGGCTGATGCAACCACATCTGAGGCCTGAAGTGCCGCATATCCATCCAGCACCCTGAAACAGACCCATAATAATAAATGTCTCACCACATAGAGCCTTCACTGCATTTTCACAAAATATTAGCATTCAACATCAATCTTAAGTGTGGGTCAACACAATAGGGATGTAATGATAGGGAGCAGTGGAAGGGTAACATCATGAGTTTGTCATTTACAGACAGTAAAATATTATATCTCTTCATGTCTCCGTGGAATCAAATATAACATTATTTATTTGCTGTAGAGTCCTGCAAACATGACCGAACAAGGTATGTTTTCTCAGTTGTTTACGCAGACAGAGAGGCAGACTGAAGATGGAAAAGTTTAGCTGCAGTTTAAATATACACTCAGAACTCAGTAAGTCTGCCCTTTTACTTTGAAAGGAAGAAAATATACTCTCCAGGTTGTCTGATTTTTATGGAGGGAAATGAAAAGTGTGGGAAAGCCAATCAGACAAAACTAAACATTTCCACACTTTTTTCCAAAGGATGTAGCACTGAAGAGCGGATAATTCAATAAAAGTACTACAAGGTCAGAAAAGAGATGAAATTACCATACTCTGCCAAGAATACTTTTGTTTTAAGTTGTAAAACAAGGGTCTGAAGTATTATTTTGACACCTGGTTCCTTGGTTTTCATATAAACCTGTAAAGCAGCTGCTCTATTTGAGGTTTCTAAGCTGAAAATAATATTGCTGCAGGTTGCAAAAATATACCATAAAATTTTTTGATTGCAGGTTCTGGTTCAAGTAATTCTGCACTTGGCTCAGACCACACCCCATGAACTTGAGTGTATGAATACCCTGACTTTAAACCTTGATATGTGGTGATTGAACATCTCATTACAAAACCATGATTTGTTAAACTGTAACTGTTTGAGCCCCTAATCTTCTTATTTTGGGATTTCCCAGTAGGGTCGTAGAGATGGACCAGGGTTGCGTTCAGGGTTTGTGTGGGCCAAATTCTGGACTGAGGAATGGCACATTTATATTTGGGAAAAATGGACATCACCAAACCACTGAATGCACTCTATTATATTGAATAAAGTTAAACTGAGTACTTGAGGACCTTTGTCAGGATAGAGTGGCCAAGAAAAACAACCAAAGACCAAAAGTACAGAAAAACATGCAAGCAAGGGAGGTATGTCTTAAGGATATGATACGATACAATACAATACAATGCGATACGATTCTTGACAAGAATACCTAATGTAAATTAAGTCTGTACAGGTTACACGTGAACTGTCGTATGTAGTCAGAATCATCTTCACCCATATGGAGTCACTCAGCTTTCCTACCTCTTTCTTTATCCTCAGACCTCAGGTGTTTGCGACCATGTCTGACCATGTATGATCTCATGTCTCATGTTGTTTGCGGTTTCTCTGAGGACGTCCCAACTCAGGGGTTTTGGACTTCCTAATCCTCAACACCCCCCCCCATTTCCTCTTTGAACTAAACTTTGTTCTTGGTCTCCCTACATCCTTGATTAGATTTAACATTAAAATTAGAATGCCCTCTCCACATACAGATGCAGATATTGAACATAGCATCCTTTTTAGTGTTCTTTTCCATCATGACTTGGTTTGACTTAATTTGACCAGAAAATGGCCCTCGGGAACCTCAGCAAATCCCAGTTTTAAGTGAAACCAGGAGTCACGAGATGGGCCCTGCTCCAGATTGGAGTGGAGGTCTTGAGTACATCTTGTAAAGCCAAATTAGCAACTCTCCAAACCTCTGTCCACATTCAAGTCATTTAGGTGCCCTCTAACTGGAATGCAAAGTCTCCTTAAAAAAAACTATAAACGTCAGGAATGTGTTGCTGCAGACTGTGAAGCTAGAGTTAAAGAGGAGCCATTACAAGAGAATTTACTTTTACTGTGGTTTTGGCAGTGAAACAGGAGATCTTCAGAGTCACGATCCCATAAACCCATCATGATTTCTTAAGTATGAATGGGTTCAGACGGTCAGGCGCAGACTAAAAGACGAGCCTGGTTTGGTTTAACAGAGCTTCAAGGCCAAATGGTGTGTCCAATATTCACCATGCTTTATTTGCAGGCCTTCGAATTTCACGATAACTTTTTTTTTTTTACTTTCCTGGGACAGGGTAAGGCTGGAAAGGTTCACAAAGATGTGTCCAAAAGTGCTTAGATACCAGAGTAGGAGAATGGATATTCTTATAAGTGCTGTTAACCCTGTTACAGCTTATTTAATAAAGCTCCTGAGAGGAACTCTGGGTTTGTGTCAATTTTGGCGCCCCCTCTGGTTATGACAGTTAAATGTATCATATATATCACAAATATTTATATTAAAATTGTAAAATTAGGGCTGTTTAATTCTGGGGCTTGGCTGACACCTACCCCCTTTGCACAAGTTTCAAACATTAAAAATGACAACCTACAAACCGTCAATCTTGTTGCTGATGGTCTTGTCTGCTTTTGGACAAAGGAGAAGTGAATTTTAGTCAGTTTTGATGTATTTGACCTCACAGACCACAGTCTACCAGGACAATGTCTCCAATCTCAACGGGAGGGGGGGGAATCCTGTGGGGGGGTGCCTCCTAGTGTAAAGGACCAGTGGGTTAGTGTGGGCAGTGTCAGTTATATCATTTAAAATGCCATACTCTAGTGTCAGCCATAAATGAGCTTAAATGAGACTTTACAATGTATTTCTACGTTATCTATAACAACCAGACTGTTCATGGGTTTGTACACAGAGGCATTGTTAAAATAAATAATAATATTATATAATTATAATAAATAAGAATAAAATTGTCCTGGATCATCAGGATTCCCTTTGGATCTAAAATTTTGAGTATCAAACACGTAATTACTTGGAGAGGTGGGTTTTCTTAAAACAAAACATATTAAAAAGCATGTAAAAATAAAGAGGTACCCCTATTAGTCAAGCTTACTACAAATCCACCCTGGTAATGATGTGTCTGGTTGTAGCACATTTAATATTTCTAAGTATGCAGCTACAGTCTTAATGAAAACACAAAGAAGTCCAGGAGAAACATTCAGGTAATTATTATGCCGAGAGTGAAAAAATAAATGGGAACAGTTTCTAATTTCATACAGCGAGAACAAATCAACATGACAATGGGCTGTTATGCCTCTCTGTTCTCCGTCTGTCAAACCGAACATGTTTAGACTGCAAGGGAATAAAGCCGCCACAGCAGAAATGGCACAGAGGGTCAGAAAATCTTACTCCCTTTCTTGACCATTTTCTCTCTTTCCTTCTCTCTTTGCCAGCCATACACCTGTCCAACATCCCCTCTCTTCTCCCTCCTCTTCACATACTCTCTGACTCCCCACCAGCCCTGTCAGGAATGTATGAGGCAGCATGTTTTGTTCTGTGTCGGGCAGGGCTGGACTTGGTCTCAGCAGCACTGGAAACCGCATTAACAGACCTCCTGTACTGTTTGGCTGCGAGAGCTGTAAACGTATCGTCTTGTGGTTAAAGGCTGTTTCCCTTCAGGAGGTTCTGAGTTTGTGCTTTTATTTCCTCAGCCATACCGTCCACACTTTGAAGCTGAATTTACTGAAGTCCCTCTTTTCTTGTGTCTTTGTTTTTGTCTTTTTTTAATGGGAGGAACAGCTGAAGAGAGGCAGAGAAAGTGGTAAAGAGAGGGATGGCACACAACAAAGTGGATATGCAGGCAGAGCCTGAACCTTAACGGTACAGCTTGTAGAAATGGGAATATTTCGATTGAGAGCTCCCCTGCTCATCCCTGAGCTGATGCAGCAGACATCAGAACATTCATTTACTGTCTTAAAATGGAAAGAAAAACTACTGTTTTGGCTCATGATGGTCTCTGCTAAGCAAACAGTGGACCAGAAGCAAGAAATCAGGCCCTTGACAAGTTCACCTCAAACTAGGGAAAACCAGATTTTTGCTCATGCTGATCTTTTGTTAACTAACAGTTACGTAAGTTGTGGGTCCTAGATGAGATTTCAGAACCTTCACAAGCTACAGCAAACTAGAGAACACCACTTTTTGAAGCTTATGTTGATTTCTAGCTGTAAATCGGGGCCAATGGTCCAAGTCAAGATGTCAAAACTTTCATCAGCAACTTTCGTCTCTATATCAGCAGCCAAATAAGTCACATTAAAATGATGATTTTTAAAATCTAACTTCAGACATTTTTAGTCCTCTTCTTATTTACGTAAACTACTTAACATGATTTTACTCCTTTAAACAGTCTATGATTCAGATATTTTGTCACCATCAATTTCTGCACAATAGTGGATGTAACAGCTGTTTAAATGAGGACTTTTGCAAAAGGTCCAGTCTAAGAGAGGTAACCTGTCCTGTTTTAAAAGTCTCACTCAAAAGTGAGTTGAGTTAAAAACAGCACACAGGCATGAACTAATGAATCATATCCCACCCAGAGTTGTAAATGAAAGTGTCAGCACCTCTTTACATCTTTCCTCACATGTGGGACTATTTCCCGCCCCTCTCACTCCCCCTCTGTTGTCCTCTGTTTCCCACCATACCCGCCCCTCTTTGTAAGCCTTTGAATTCTCACACTGTATGTCTGGGAAACATGTACGCTCCCCTGCCTTCTTTTGGACTGGAGGCACCTCTCCTTTTACCTTGTATCGTGAAAAAGCATAAATTCAAATGTTGTTTTCACTTGCCCCCCTTTAGAAAGAATATTAAGTCAATCTGTGGAAGAAAGGCGGGGCAGGGGAACATTTTATGTCTTACAAAATGTGGGCTGCGGTTTGCACGCACACACATATAGAGATTTAAAGCTGACCGATCAAAGTCTCATGTCCAAGATCAACAAACCCGCACTTTCTCAGGATCCACACTGCCAAGTTTTGCAGGAGATGAGAAGCATATGGTTGCTGGTGCACAGTGCAGGTGTATGCATATATGGCAAAATAACAGTTAGGGTTACTTTTTACAATTTTCAATCAATTTTATTGTAAAAAATGTAGAAAAAATATTTGCAAGATTTAAGTTCTTTTTTTGCACAAGGAAAATAAAGGAAAGAGGTAGTAGAAGAAAAATGCTCTACCTTTCATGATTCCTCTCTCAAGAATCCTTAGTATCAGATGATTGTTCTTTAACCTGGTGATGATGTTTTGGTCCACAAAAAAAGCGTCCAGGATCAGCAAAAGTAGTCTGCAACTGACTTTAAATCATTGTTTTGTCTGCAGCAAAAGCAGAATGCAAAAAAGTACCAAAAATATCTTATTCCACTGATTAAAACACTCAAAAAAAAGCAAAATCTCTAGATTTGAAGTCTCCAGAATGCCACTCCAAGTAGGAAAATCATGCAACCCTGCAACTTAAAGGACAGTCTGATTTATAGATTGCTGCAAATGTTCATCCAAGTATATAAAATGCAGAGTTTTAAAGCTGGTCAAGGCTCCCATCAGGTTTTGAGCATGTGTGTTTGCCTGCAGCTCTCTGGTATCATCCCTCTCCAAGCCAGAGCCCAAAGAAACCAAACCTCCTCAGACAGAAACCATGTGCAACTTTAGAGAGGGAGGGAGGAAATGGAGCGAGAGAGGGATGCAGAGGGGGGGTTGAGAAAGACTGAGAGAGAAAGAGAGAGATGGGAGGAGAACAAAGGAGCTGGAAAATGAAGGAGGGAGGGACCGGGGAAAGGGACAGGGTAAAAAAAATAGAAAACAGAGAGGCAGGCGGGCAGGGAGGGACGAAGGGTCCATGTGTCCTGGTAAAAGTCAGTTTTGTGGTCGGGGCTAATTGCTAACAAATGTTCCTGCTCTGTGGAGTGAGCACCTCCAATGTCTGTGGCCTTGGTATGCGAGCTGCTGTGAACATACACCTTTTCACTCTCTCACACACTAACACATACACACACACACACACACACACACACACACACACACACACACAAACACACACACGTCAAAGCCATAATCCCTCTCTGGCTCAAGCTTTCGTCTTCTCAGCTCACTCCAGCTAACCCCGGCTACCACCACAGTGTCAGACTAACAGCAGGTGTAAGTCCCTCACCAACACACACATCCGGCTGTCCAGCTGACAAGGCAGCTCCTCTGGCTGTCTGCAGTGGTGTTTTTCAGCACCTCCAAACTCCCTCCTGCACTTACTCAATGACATTTTAATGGTTTTATTTTGAAAAATTAGGTGTATTTAACGGCTATTAGGAAGATTAAGTGTCCACAACGCTAAACTTCTGGGTATTGTCAGAACGACAAATGATGCAGCTTTACAACTCTTATCCTCCCAACTGGAACACTGTGAAAAAATGGGTGAAAACTCCTTTTTATGGTTTGCAAATCAATTTTCAATCAAATTTACAGGCTGCTTTTTAAAATTGAAAACTGTTTTCTACATATCAACATCAATACGGTTTTGAAGAAATTGGATAAAGAACTCTGGATCACAGCCATAGTCTGTATATAGAATGGACAGCGTCTGCCTCCTCGCTGGGTGAAGCCACTCCAAGAACAGCACCCTCTGGTGACGGGCTGCAGTATAGGTCAATAAGCAAAGCTTCTGGAGCTGTGGACAAACTTTAGAAATTTATTACACAGAACATATTTTTTTCTCTCCCCTGCTTGTGATGTTGACATGTAGTTACTGTAAGACTGGTTTGTGCTCAAGTCCTCTTTTTTCTGTGCAGCTCCGTTTTTAAAAGTTATTAGGGGGCTCATGTTTTCTATGATTGACACTTGATACAGCCGGTTGGCGTTCAAGGATTTCGTAGCTTACCCTGTTGAGCCGATTTTTAATGGACCTGTTTAGGTTGGTGACTTTCACGTTAAAGTGAACAAACTCACCATAAACTCATAAATGATCAGAACATAATCTCATGAAAGGCATTCCTTTGAGTGATCGGACCTGCAGATACTCTGATTGCTGCATTTTGCCACTTTAACCAGAGTCAGGGAATAGTTTTCCTTTTGAAGCCACATGCATCCCTACCCCTTTGCCCTTCATGAGCTATTATAGGCTTGGATGTTACTGCTTGTAAAAATGAGGTTATAATGGCCAGCATCAGTCAACTGCTCTTTGATCACAAAGCCAAACCTTTGATTGGAAAGGGAAGTTTCTTAATCAACTCAAAGTGCACATTCCTCCCCACTCGTACTCATAGAGCCATCCACATGGACACAGAAACAAAAATTCCCCTGAAATTGAAACCAGAAATGTACCAATGTTTGAAGTTAATCTGCTGTGTGTCAGCCAGAGGTCATTTTGCAACACCATTGGAGCCAATTAAACCTGGTGATAATGATGTTTTGTGTCAAAAACCAGCAGAGTGGCTCAGTCAGGGCTTTCTGCCTCTGACATGCTTGAAATCCACGGTACCAGCTTTAGATTTGCTTTTGCTCTCCAATTTGCTGTGTGGAGGATTTCATACTGGAAGACACTGGTACATACTTGACAAACATGGACGTGTCACATGATACATAATTAGTTTGGTCACAGTGGATCTGCGGCTGGTAGATTGTCAATTCTGTGCAACTGAAACTTAACACAGCTTCAGGGCAGTGAATCGTAGTGCCACATGTGCACAGCTGCTCTGTGTGAAATCCAACCAGTGTATTTTGTTGACATTTAGCTTCTTCAAGATTGTTGTCACAGTAAGGCAACTGAATCAAAAGAGGAAGTAGCTGTTGCCATTTTTACAGCACAGATAAACTTGTTTCCAGCCTACTACAAAAAACACTTAGCTGCAACTCTTTGCTGCTGGTTTGATTGACAAAATCTAGGTTTAGTGAGCATTTCTAATATCATACAACTTTCTTGCTGGATACAGTCTTCTCATGTAACATAGGATCAGTATGTGCTGCTGGGCCTGCTTGATGATCCTGTATGCTAGGAGCAGTACAACCATTCTCAGAACTTAGTTCAGGTCCATTCTGATTGGAGGGAAAAATCCTGAATCGGATGAAGTGGGCCACTATCGTGTTTGTCAGTTTGTTGACAAGCACAGGTGAAAATACAACTCTTCTTCTGCAGTTGTGTTTGCAAAATCAGACAACTCTGCAGTCTGCACATGTCCAAATGCTTCTAATCTGAATAAAGCTTGGTGCATGTATAAGCACGTCATGAATGGATTATTTGAATTTGCGCCCATATGAACAGTGGATTCAGATTTTCTGATCCCTAAAAATTTTAATCAGAAATATCCATGGCTAATATCCATGTTTATGTAGTCTATGTTGTGATCACAATTAGACAAGTAGACAATAAGCAATCATATTTTCATGCCCCTCTGTTGGTCAAAAATTCACTCTTTTTGTGGCTCCATTTGTGACAGAAGTGCAGAAAAGTAGCCCTGCATTCTCCCAAAAGTGTACAAAGAGACCCCTACAGTAATGAAATTTTGTATGGTACTGACAAGAGAGCAGATGTGGCCCAACATTCTTGTCAGATCCTGTAGAGCTGCTGGTCTGTAACTACTTCCAGTTTTGGCAGAGGACTGGGGACCATTGAGACATCATTTCAGAGAAGTGAGACACGGGGAACAAACGGGCAGAAGTGAATAAAGTAGGCCATCAACCACATGTCAGCTCAGACAAGCAAGAAGGAAGACGTGGTGAACGACTACATCAAAAAACTGAAGGTGAATAACAAGTATTGTTTTGTCTTGAAGTTAAGGCTGTTATAAAGGACATGGTATTGTTGTGTTTACCATATCGGCTGTAAATATGGAACCATACAACCCACTGATTTACTTTAAAATCCACTCGCTTTGTGAGACCAGCAGCTTTCAGCGGTTAAACTTCCACAGGCGTCTGCAACAGTTAAGGGCTTTTCTTCCCCAAAGAGAAGATCTGTGCATGGTTAGAAACCCTCCAGATCCAATCCCTCAAAACAAAGGTTATTTCTGGTAATATAATACCAATAATATCTGGTATTTTCTTTTGCTAATTATGCTAGTTAGGGGCTGCCATCAGAAGCTGTATGTGCAGTCAGCTGTCCTGCCAAATTCCAATCAGACACCATGCTTTCCTGTCTCAGCTGAGCAGTGAAGGTAATAAAACTGAGTAAGAACTGGATTGAAGAACAGAATCAATTTTGGCATTGGTATTAATAAAATCTTATTTCCCACCCTATAGTCTTTTGCACTGGGATGCAAGTGCCCGTTTTACCCCATCAGTGAAACAGGTCTAGAACATTCTCTGGTCTCCAGCAACCCCCTCAAAAAAAAAACATCTGGCTAAAAATTTCTCTTCTATTTCATGTTTGCAGCCCAGCTAGTCATAAACATCTCTGAATGACCCTGAGGCCACTTTTAGACTTTTAGACGGAAACGGTCTCCATAGAAAACGGAAAAATTTAGTTTTGTTTAGGGGGGTCCGTTTAGACGGCAACTACGTTTTCAGAAGATGAAAACGTAAGAAAGTGAAAACCCCCTCCAGAGTGCAAATGTTGTAAACGACATCCTGGCTCACGTCTGCTCACGCTTGTGACATCATAGCCATGCGCAGCTTCCTTGAAAATAACAACAACAATGCTAGACATTTGAGTCACGCTGTTGTTAGTATTGAACAGGCAGGAGCTCAATTTCGACCTGTACAGAATCCTCATGGATCATACTGCTCAGCAGAGGAGGTGTCTGAATTATTTGCATTAAATAATTACTGTGCCAATTGGCAGAACGGAAGTTGTTCTACGTATGCGTTGTTGGTCTATATGGAGGCGCAGTCACACCAACACGCGCCACCTAGTGACCTGGCATGCACATTACAGCGTTTTCAACCACATTGCGTTTTTGTGTAAACACAGCATAAAAACTAAAAACGAAATGGCACTTTTCCGTTTTCTATGGAAACCGTTTCCATCTAAAAGTGGCCTAAGACTTGCTTCCTATCTATGTTTTTGGCTGAGCTAGAAAAGAGTGGAGCTTCTTGATGAAAAACCAAAATGTTTTGTCACCGCTTAAATCATCATGATGCATTACAGAAAGGTTGAAAAATGCTCTTTTTTGATTGTTCATGCACACTGCCAAACCATCCTCTAAAGTTGTTGGACTACAGTAAAACGTGTGTTGTCCTGACCTGTTTATCAGAACCTGTATTCTTCTTTTTGCTAAATTTGAGTAAACTTTATGGATTTCAGTACTTATGCTGTATACCCACTGTATGTTTTATGTGCACTCATGTGATGAGGAACTTTTCATGCTGACAGTGTGAATGATCCCTGGGAGGCATAAAGGATAAACAGTGCATGACACTTTGCGTCTGCTCATCTCTACTGCTTTCTAACTTTAGCGTGATCTTAATCAGAAACAGCTTCCATCTTGATCTGATGAAGTTCCATCCGGAATAAGAAAAAGAGAAACAAAGTGGAAATCTGGCTCTGAATGTTGTAATATGCTCCAATGTCACTCCTCGCTGCGCAGTTACTGTGATTTAAACTCCATCACATTTCAATGCCATGTCTTGAAGAGATGTAATCTTTGCTTATTGGATAAAACCAACTCATGGTTCGCCAAAAGCCGCAGCGCTGTAGAATGAGTGATGCTGTGTCACGGCTTGGTGGAATTTCACAAGAAGGAGCTACGTTGGACACAGAATTGGGTGACATATTTATTACGGTGTCTCATTCACATACTCCACTCCACTACTCTCTTCATCCTTTAGAGATGTTGTGGTCTTTGTGAATAAAGTAATAGGCAATGAAGCATCGTAAACAGGCTTAAACTGACTTGGTGTTAGATGTATGGTAATAAAAGAGATCTCATGGCCAAAAAAGGGGTCAGCTGTAAATAAGAGGGTGTTCAGAATGTGTTCAGAAGAAATCAATACTTTACAATCAACATTTAGCTGTTTACGCCTGATTTTATAACTTTTTATGATAAGTTTTGTATAACTCAACTAACAAGTACATATATAGTCTAACTTTATCCACCACAGGCTATTTAAATGGATGACTGACATGGCTGCTCCTCAAAAGTAAATATAAAACATTCAGGGCTCCCCCATGCCACAGTATACATCACAAAGCCCACCCTCTTCATGTTAACAGAAGGGACATGAGTCAAGCTTTGAATTTAAAATGCACTTCATGGAAATTTCTCTCAAATATACTTTCTGTCATTAAAGCTAGTTTTTATTTTGTCTATTAATATCAAAGTGTTAAATTTTCTAAGAGGTTCAAAAACAAATTAAGCGCTAACAAAAAGAGCCAGTGACAGCTGTGAATGTCTTCTCCAAACTGACCCAGTAATCTATTCCACTGTGACCTGTGGAATCTTTGTTGTAAAATCTGAAAGTTAAATGCAAGTTTTGATGACTGGAAAAAGTCAGGACATCAGTATGACACCTGCTGTGACAACTTTGGTCCTACCCGAAACCATCAGCAGGATACGTTAGAGCCTGTGCAGGGGTTGGTGGGTCAGTTTCAAAAGAGGAGTGGGTTCAATTCTGCAACTTATCTGTCTTTGTCCATTATCACATCAAGCTATGAAACCACTCTGTGCCTATAACCAACCATTTTACCCAAGAGCTGTAGAAATCAAGAGTCATTCAACGGACCACCTAAACTAAAAAGTGTCAGTTTTGGCCAATGAAGAATAATAGTTTGAAATATGACGTTTATTTTTGTCTGTAATGGCACTTTATTCCATAAAAAAAAACACATAGAAGCTACTTAAAAATAACAACAAAACACTATACAAGCAGATACAGCATGTACACAGTGGTGGGTCTCAGAGGAGGGAGCGATGGGACTATAAGAAGTGAGCTTCTGCCACCTAGTGTCACATTCAGTCCCTGCACTGATGTAAGAGGCTCAAATGATTTTCGCAGGACTGGGAAAATACTTCTGTTATGAGCAGAGCTTTTGTGTTAGTAAGCTACAGCTGCAGCAAAGACCAAACTGAAAGCTGAATCAAGGACCGAGAACATTTATGGGTCTTTCTCTTGAATTTTTATATGTCACAGAATTGTGAAATAACTGCATGCTCTGCAATGCAACATAATCCTATAGCCATACATTTGTTTTGTTTTAACTGAGGCTTGATTTGTGTTACTTGGATAAAGTGTGTTATGAGGTAAAAAAATATATTTGTTTAAAAGAAATGTTTCAGTTAAAGGAAAAAAATGGTCAGTGCTCTGGTAAAGGTTAAACCTCACATATTGATGAAGTGTTTTCAGTTACGTAAGACCAGTTTGGATGATAGATGGACTTTTTCTTTTAGCTGCATGTCAGTAAAGAGCAAAAATGTACAAAAAGGTGTTTTATGGATTCAGTGAAACACCTGTAGGTGATTCATTTAACAGCAGATCATAATTCTGCAGAGAGATGACTGTGTCTGACACAGAGCTAAGGAATCTGTGAGTGAGTTTGTGAACATGTGTGTGTGAGTGTGTGTGTGAGATTACTGGAACATCCATACTCCAAAGTCACACACTCTCCACTTGTCACAGTGTTTGGATTTAAAGATTACAGTTTTGTGTACGTGTTCTTAAAGTATCAGTATTAGTTGAATTTACAGACTATGGATTAAGTACACTAATACTCCTAGTTTTTTTTTCCATGTCTAAAAGCTTCTTTACACTAACGGAAAGTTGTCCAACATGTTAGTGCGGGATGAGTTTTTACCAAAACACTCATAAGGGCTGAGTCATCAGAGACCATTCACCTGTTTGAATAAGACTGCAGAATAATTCAACAGGCCTCAGAGGTTAAAAGGAGGGCAAATGATTTTTTTTTTGTTTTAAAGAAAAGTCAGTTGATAAAAGTAGATGATGTCTTCAACACTTTTCAGTTGCTGTATGCTCTCTGCCATGGAGTATTAGCATGAATCAAGGAATCATAACAGAGTATTTTGCAGCAAATTCTTAAGTAAGTAAAAAAAAAATGAAAGTACACAGTTGTAAAAGTAGTTTAAAGTGGCTGTTCTGTATTTATGTATGTTAGTTGTGGCTTGTTAATATGTGCAAACTGAGATGCTAAAGCCCTGCCGAGCCTTTGATAGTAAAATTTACACTGATACCTTTACTGCTTGAAGCCTCCATATGTCATCTGCAAAATTGCTATTTCACTAATTAATAAAATGCTATAACAAAAGCGCACAGCTGTTTGAATGATTTCTAGGGATCAGAATGCAGTGAAAGTATAACAGGTATGTGCAAAGAAATATTCTTTTTTATAATATGTATATATATATATATATATAAATTGTTACTTTCATAGCTTTGATGACAGATGGTATCATTTTTAGCAGCTGTGTTTTATTTATGCTGTGAATCATGCATGTGTTATGAGATTATCTAACGTAATGTTCTGTCTTTGTTTTTGTTTTCTGTCAAGAAACTGCATGTTTTTATCCCAGTTCTGCAGATTGAAACATGTCAAAATAAAGCGGTTACTGTTGAGTCACGCTCAGGATGAATCAAGTGTTTGTCTTTCTGCTCAGCAACTCTGAGTCCTGCTGCCAATAAATTACAAAACTTCTGGAAAAGTCCTCTGGCACAGAAACGTCAAATGAACGGGAGCCAGAGGCCATAACAACAGGAAAACACATTGATATTTCAAAATAAAAGCACATTAACGTACGCAGCGTAAAGGATGACTGCAGGAAGAATGAAATTGTATTTAATTGTGGTAGAATTACTGGTTTTACTTTGAGTCAAGAAATGAAAATAAAAATGACATGATATAGAGTTTCAGTTAAATGGATAGTTAACGTTTACTATTTAAGAAAAGCTGAAGCTTCCAGGTATTTTTCTTGCGATTTGTTTGACCAAAATAAACACACACACATACAAAAAAAAACCCCATCATAATAAACTTTATTTTGAAACGAAAATTGGGATGTTAACAAGCGTTGACGGACATTTGTCGGTAGCGGCAGACGGCAGCATACCGGGCCAGTGAATCACATGTCTGCACCGTCCCCGTTATCCGCTGGTATAAATACGAGCAGCAGAGAGGCTGAAGCAGCTTCAGACGGTCTGGAGTCTCAGGAAACAAACAGAGGTAAGTCCGAGGGGCTTTCATCCTTTATTTTGGAGAGACTTTGCTGCTCAGTGATGCTTAGACTAAAACTGTCTCTTTATGCAGGCTTACAGCTGTCTTTTATGATAGATTACAGGAGAGCAGAGGGGAAACAAAATCTTATTTTCCAGGATTTACTTATGAAATGTCAGATATTAAAATTTAATAGGTTTTATTTTATTATTTTTCTCAGTCACATGGGTTGTTATTTTTTACATGCAAAATAAAACTATATAGATGTTGTTAGTGCCTACTCATGGGTGTGACCTCCATCTTTGGAGGAAAACAACTGGATTAGGGTGGATGACATCATTTTGAGGTTAGTTTACTGTTAAACACTGTGAGCACACCCAGCTACAATATTAACCACAAATTGTGAGAAGAAACCTGCAATTTGATGATGGTCTGTTGTTGACGCAGCTTAGTAAACTCTAAAATTAGAGTGGGCTATCATGCAGGGTGGATTTTTACTGAAAATTGAGGAGCATTCACTTTAAAAATTGAATAATCCTCCTGATGTTTTCACTGCAGAATAGCTAGAGCTGACCCTAATATCTTCAACCTTATGACAAGTGAATCCTGTGAGTTCAGAAATCCCCAAACACTTAAAATGAGGCCACATGTGCAAGTGTCCCATTTATTTCAAATGTAGCTCTGATGATCCAGATTACATTAATTGTTCTTTCTTCTTCTGGGACGAGGGGAGTTGTTTTCTGCAGGATTAAGAGTTTTACACTGAAGATGTGAAAAACAAAACAAAACAGATGGATCAGCAGAAATAATATGAGCTGAGAAAACACGTATGAGTAAATAAAAAAGAGTTAAATGAAAAAACTGATAATAAATCAAAGACAGCCCAAATAAACAATACAGTATGAATTATATAGTAAATCAGACTTAATTTAACTCATAAAATAGGCGATAGCTGCATCTAACATTTATCATCATTATGGATAATTGTCATTAAATGCTAAGTTTTGCTGAGAAGACTGCACTGAAAATCTCAGACACAAATTGGTCACAAGTCAGTATGACCAAAAGTTGTTGTGACGAGAAAAGCATGTCTGAAAATTATCCATTTGGCATTTTGATTTCATTGTTTGATCAATCTTCCATCTGTTCACATGGAGGGGGCAGGCTTTATGACCTCTAAATGCATTGGCTTTAATTCAGAGGGGAGTGGTCGGGCTCTCTGTCTTCTGATACAAGTTATGATAGGGTATAGCCCCTTATGGAACCAGAACCAAATGAACCAAAGCAGAGTTGGGTACATTTTTCACATTTTTCCTTGACTATCCATTTTCTGTGAACTTTAAATATATTTCATGTGCATAGTATGTAAATGCAATGCTGTAAAGTAAGTAAGTAAAAATAGAGTACAACAAGAGTGTAATAGTTATACAATAATATTATATAAGCACAAGTATTTGAAAGTAAACTTCTCATGATACAAAATTATTATGATGCAATAACATGTTTGATAAATATGAATTTGACATGTGTTTTTAATTGTACAGTTTGATCCGTGCTCCATCTGTTTACATGGAAGGGACAAATTGTATGACCACAACCAGACAGCAGGGGCAGCTCTGGCTTTCCTGGCTTGGCTTTGTTTCAGGTGGAGTTGTCACAGTCTGTGATAAGGCTGTGCTGTCATGTGGACACAGACCCTTATTATTATTAGAAAGGGGGAAAAACAGGCTAATATTTCCTTTTGGAATCAGAGCCTAAAAAAACAAAACATACATAAACACATACTAAAAAGAAATCACAATGCAGCAATACATGATAAAGGTACTACAATAACTGTGAAATAGTTGTGCATTGTTTTGACTCCCAACGTCCAATAATGGTTTGATTTTCCTAAGAAACCATAAACAGCATAAACAGCATAGTGGACAAATATTTGCTGAACTGGGATCAAACTAGAGTTACTGGACAGCCTTGGAGGCCACATCTGGACTGGGCAGTCCCTTTGCATTCTTGTCATTGTGTAACCCTGCAGGATCCCTGCAGCTGCTGTTCAGCAAATAACACTGTAAATTATTCCTCCTTCTGCCATCTTTCCTTGCCTTTGTTTAACTTTCTCTGTTCAACCCTCTTTATTTTGTCCATGTTTCCCTCTCCTCTTGTTTCTTCCTCTCTCCACACATTATAGTTGACTCAGTCTCTTTTTCCCACATGAAAAAAAAGGTTCATGGTTCCTGTTTACAAACCTTCCAGTAAAACACAGGATGCAATTAAGCCAGTGCTTTATTGCGAAATGACCTTGTTGTGTAAGCAGTTGCAGTTTGCTGCAGTGTAGGTGTTGAACTTGTGAGCTCATATATATAGAGAGGAGAAAGTGGGACATTTCCTCTGCCCTCAGGTGGGCGTCCTGTCCTGCCGGGTTTGAGAGAGATGGTGACATTTTGTTCAGAGGAGAAATTCAAAGACATCCATAGTTTCTTTGGCATACACTGTGCTGAATAATAGTACCCACACTAGATTTAAAACCAGACTTAAATCCTGAGAGAGATCCAAGACCTCCTAAGATACCAATTTGAATGTGACTTGTTCATAAACCGAATCAGTACTGAAAATCTGAAAGTAACGGTTTTAAGCTTCAGTTCAAATATGATATAAAAACCATCCTGGATCGTGTCTGTTGCTTGTTTTTTGAGTTCAGGAGATGGTGGGCAGGTGAGAAATCAACTATCACTCTCAAATATCTGAAAAAAATTACACAAGAGCGTTTTGGGTGTCATGATATATTATGTCAGATTGTCAGAAAAATTGCACTAAAACTGTTATGGTGTCATCTTTTGCCTCAAAGATGGAATTTTTTTAAATCGTGTGTTTGTAATTTTAGATGCTTCTGCAGCCAGCTCCAAGAGGACACTTGGAGAACTGCAGTTTTGGTTTTTAGCGCTTCTTTCTTGACTTAATTTTCTAATACCAGAGGTTACTGCTCGGTACGGAGAACCCCAATCAGTAAAAACCAACAAAATATGGTGGCATGCGCTGAAAAATCGTCATTCAGTCGTTCAATTGTTTTAAGCTCTTCTCAATCATTGGATCATCATGAATAGTCCATCCTCAATCAGACTGCTTTGACTGGATGCTAACTGTGCCGCACACTTTTGATGGCGCAAAACTAACACTGGCCTGTTTATTCTTCTGGTTCCAAGGCTACTTACAGTACATTTTTGAGATGTTTGTTCAGATGCTCCTCTGCTCACATGACCTTATAACCCATCATTATAAAGAAACAAGACCTGGCTGAGGTGAGGGGCGCTCTCATGCTGTTGTAGCAGCTAAATGAAAGCAAATCCCTGCAGCCAGGTTCCAAAATTGTGGTGCAAAGCCTGACAGCAGAGGGGTGGAGGCTTCATTAGCAGCAGATCAGTGGTGCCAATAGCTTGGAAATTTCCACAACCATGGTCAGTGAATAGATGCAATTGGTGCCTGTATGCTTGGTAAGCATGCTCAAATGCTTTTGGACTTGATGTATTCAGTATTTTCTCCTTTATCCTACAATATAAAGCATAAGCTCTTAGAAATACTGATAAAATGACGTCGTTACTCTCGGCAAGATCCAGCAGATTGCTGTTCTTGGGTTGTATTGGTTTGTCTTCAGAGGAGGATTGCGTGTGACTGCAGAAATGATGAAGAGTGAAAGAGTTTTTTTAGTCACCTGGGAAAAGCTGCAGCCCACTCCATCCGCCTGCTTCCTTTCTCTTTCTGTCTTTATCTTGTGGGTCAGAGTGGAAAAGCACAATCAGGAGGAGCTGCACTCACTCTGAAGAAGCTATCACTGTTAAAAATTCAGGCAGCTGACAAAGCAAACGTCAGAGTTAAAAAGAGTAAACGCAGAAAGAGCCTGCTGCTCTCTCTTTACTTTGTTTCAAAAGGTCACAGGCATGGTAAAACTGATCTGGGGTCAGTCTTGAGGAAAGTCATTTGTTGTGCTTAGTGAATGACACTAGAGATGGGGAGAAGAATCCATTCTGCAGGCAGGAGCTTGAATTATTGATCAGTGTCAATGCATGCAGGTATTTTTATATTATGCTGTGTAAGGGTGGGATACTGCTGAGCAAGCCTGGCCAATTTTTACTGCGTAGCTCTAAGTCTGGATTCCTCACAGCATCTATCCCCCTCTAGTGGACAAACGAGGGCATTACAACAACACAACAGCAAAGTTGACATTTCTCAGATTTTTTCTTTTATTTCCAGGAATATTTTTTCATCATTGCCTGCTGGCCCTGCTTTGAGAGTCAGAGAGGATGTTAATGATGATGATGATGATGAAGAAGAAGGGCTCCAAGTCTCTGGCTTTATTCGCTCTCCTTCTGGCCTCAGCCAACTGTGTCCTTCCTCCAACTAAGGATGATCTCACCCGTAAGATACACTTCAACAAATATCCCACAGATGAGGAAGATTTGCTTTCTTTAGAAATAAGGATGTAACTGCACACTTAAAGCAGATATGTGGTCTGTTTGTCTCTGCAGAGATCTCCCTCCAGGGCGAGCAGTACCTGGATAAGCAGATTGAAAACGCTGTAAATGGCGTGAAAGAGATGAAGACGGTGATGCAGAAATCTTCTGAGGAGCACCAAAGGTTTGTGGATGCACTGAAGAAGACCAAGGAGCAGAAAGAGGTAAAACTAGAGAAGGGCCTCAGCTCTAAAGCTTGTATTAACCAGAAAATCACGTGCAGCTGATATCTTGAGGGGCTCTGAATACTAACAATCTTTTATGAAGCGTTCAATGCAGTTTAACAGTTCAGAAAATTTGACAGTTTATTTCTGTGATCAGAACATTTGTGAGACACTCAGCCAAACATAATAATTCTCAGCCTTTGGCAACAGCTGCACTCCACATCCTGAGCTCCGTATTTCTGTTTCCCTGCAGGAGGCGATGCGTACAGCTCAGGAGATGGAGGCCAAGCTGGAGAAGGAGGAGGAGGTGTGCAACGAGACGATGAAGTCTCTGTGGGAGGAGTGTAAGCCCTGTCTGAAGAACACCTGTGTTAAATATTACTCCAGGACATGCAGCAGTGGATCTGGGATGGTGGGACGACAGGTCAGACCAGCAAAGTCACGCACACACCCACACACACTTTATTCATACAGAAGAATTTGTACCTATACAAACTCTCATCTTTGAAAAATATCAAATACTTTTGACTATAGCTTTGTAAAATGTGAAATGTAACTTTTTATAGTGGCACAGATTCTCCAGAAAAGATCCAAATAAACCCATGAATCCTCGTCAGAACATGGATTTAACACTGTTTTTGCCGCTTTCTTGCTCATCCTCTGTATAAATGTGTCAGTAGTCACATTTAGTTTTTCAGATTTGTTTTTCTCATACCTGCAGCTGGAGGAGGTTTTGAACAGAACGTCTCCTTTCTCCATCTGGATCAACGGAGAGAAGTTAGACTTCCTGGAGAGAGAGGGACAACGTCAGAGCAAGGAGTTCAAGAACCTGGAGGAAAAATACACAGAGATGGCCGACGGTGTGGATAGCATATTTACTGACAGCATGAAGGTACTGTTTCTTTTTACACGCTGGCTGGAGATGCTTAGACATGTGGACTCAAGTAGCAGCATGACTCCTCATGGACCATCTTCTCATGATGAATCTCATTTTCCTGTAAATGTGTTTGTTGTTTTATCTCAGGTGGAGGATCACATCCACTACAGCCCTCCAGTCTTCTTCCTCAGTCCGTTTGCTCGCCACAGCAGAAGCATCCGCTCTCTTTTCCGTGATCCTTTCCATGGTTTCCAGAATCTGTTCTCCCCGATGATGGGCATGGGCAGAAACTTCTTCAGCTCCATGGGCTCCGTGATGGACTTCGACACAGACATGACTCCTAATGAGGGTACATTTTTATCGCTTTGATGCTGGTGGTCTCGTTGGCTTCTGGAGGCCATAAAAGGCACCAGTACCAGTTTCAGTCTGTTTCCTAGCCAGATAAAAACTCCTCACACTACACTCGATTTAAACTCTGTATTTTGTGTTGTGTCATAGACGGCGATGTAAACGAGGACGTGGTCATCACCAAACCTTTTGGTAACGGACAGATGACGTGCAGAGAGATTCGCCGCAACTCAGCTGGCTGCATCAGGTTCAAAGATGAGTGCCAGAAATGTAAAGATATTCAACATATTGGTAAGTGGGTTATTTTTTCCTTACATTTTATGACTCAAAAATGTAAACAACGATGTTAGAGCTTTGGAATAACTGGTATGATGGAATAGTACAGGTAGAGCTTTAAGAAGATGGGAAACTGAAACTGGTGTGAAGTCAAGAGACATGAGGAACATTCTCTGCAGGGGAAAATACTATACTTTCATAAGAAATACAGTATAATGAAACTAAATTATTCCTAATTTAAAATAGTAAGAATTTGGATAAATCACTCTACTATTTATTGAGGTAATATGATTTTCTAAAGAGGGATCAGATATTTGTTGTCTTCTTTCCAAATGTATTTATTTTAATAAACTAGATAATTATTAATAAAGTAAGCAACAGTAAAGCAGTGCTTATGCATTGCAACAACTATAAAGCAACAAAATTTGTATAAATTCATAATTTTTAACAGCAAAAGCAAGCTAGTTTTATTAGTCTTGTTCATGACCTCTTGTAGTATCCCACCTGCAGTACCTTTGTAATCCATCAGGGGGCCACAAGCTACACATAAAGATTTGCTGGTCTAAACTCATGATTTGAAGAGTCAGAGGGACGCTTCCTTTTTTTTGATATGACAATGAACACGTTTATAAATGTTTTTGGTCCTCTGAGAGACAATAGAGATATTAAAAAAGAATGAATTTTTATAATGGTTAAACTAATTTTGTCATTTACTAAGCAGTTTTTGAGGCACAAAGGCATTTATTTGAAAAGTGTGAGAAGTTAAAAGTGAAGAAAGTCTGACTATGTCTAGTCAGTCTATGTAATGACCCTTTTTTGTCCTTTTCCAATTTTACTCTGGATGTCAAATCAAACAATAAAAGTTGTCTTTCCATCATTAAAGGCCACTTAAATGAATATTTTTAACTTCACTCGTGCTCCCAAGTGATTACATTCCTCCTCTGAACCTGTTTTCTGCTCAGACTGCTCTGGAAAGCGACCTCTGGAGGGTCCACTAAAGGAGGAGCTGGAGACAGCGCTGGCTATGACTGAGCGCTTCACACAGCAGTACAACAAGCTCCTGAGGAGGTTTGAGGAGAAAATGTTTAACACCTCCTCCATCCTGGAAATGCTCAACAGACAGTTTGGCTGGGTGTCAGCTCTGGCAAACAGCACCAAAGACGACATTTTTAAGATTCAAGGAGTACGTAGACCTGCAAGTGTCCTGATTTATTGTTCAACTCCTTCACTGCAGCTTTACACCTTTTTTCATCTGTCTAAAATCAAACTAGCCCATTTTTCTTGTCTGTGATGAAGTTTATAAGATGCTGGAAGAGACAGTGATGGAGATATAATCTTTAACATTATGTACAGTAATAGAGTACTAACAGATATGAGATCAACCTGTAATATATATAGAATAAAAGTCATTTTGCGACATAGAGAGCGTAGAAAATGATAGCAAAAGTAGAAATTGAGACAAAAACTTGTTAAAGAGAAGCAGAGAGAAAAAGTCACATTTTAAGGTAAAGACACTGGACAGAAAAAATTGAAATGATTAAAACAAAAGTTAGCAGTGGAGTTTAACTGGAGACTGTCCTGTATTCCAGGTGATCTGCAGGGACTCTGAAGAGAAACCAGGCGAGACAGAGAAGGAGCCCGAAGAGACAAAGGTGTCTGTGAAGCTCTTCGACTCTCCACCCATGAACTTCACAGTGCCGGGCGACATCCCCTGGACCGACCCCAAGTTTTCTGAGGTGGTGGCCCAGGAGGCTCTGGACCGCTACAAGGAAACCAGTGTGTGAGTGTTAAGCAGGGCTATGAGAAGTTAGAAAAATACAGGAGAGAGAATACAAAGAGTCAAGATTAGAGGACTGGTAATACAATTTACATAAAAAAGATAGATTGTGTGCAATTAACTTGTTTTTCCTCTTTTGCTTTCAGAGTGCTGAAGTAAGTCAGATTCATGCCCCATCCTGCTGACAAGAGAATGTTCTGGAGCCATCAGAAATCACCTTAAACCTATCGCATCTGGAAAACCGCCACCTCTCTGAGTCCTGCTTTTGCTATCAAATTAGAAAAACACAGTTTTACCTCAGAGGTTTCGTGGTTACATTAGAGCTCTTTGTCCTGCTTAATGAGAACATTTCACTGCATATAAATTAAAGAAAACCTCCTTGTGTTTAGACTCCAATAGGAGGCCTGATGTGAGCTGGCTTCATAGCACTTGATAAATCACGTGTAAGTTTCCATTAAAATTAAGATTTTTTGAGGCGTTTTTCAGCCTTTCTAACAGGTTAAGATTGAACTAATGTTTTCTCAAAGGCTCCGTCAGTGACTTTAGTGACCTGAACTCCCCTTCCACAGATCTCTGATAGTGTTATCTGAGTTGGTTGAAGTGGTTTATTGCTGGAGTTAAACTCACTGATGTAGCGATTACACTGGGGCAGTAGGAGTAGATTTTATTCAGGATTGCTTTAAGCCGCTCTGTGCAGCAGCCTAGTGATGAAGCAACACTTAGAGATCGAATAAAACTGATCAAACCCACTCACTGTCTGTGTCATCTTTACTCTCTTGAGTTTTAAGCAATCTTAACTTTGCTTTTTGAACTGTATCAAAAAAAAGTTTTTGTTTACTTTCTTTACATTTTTACAGACTGATCCTTCAACTACACTACTTGTTCCTTGTTTTGCAGGATTTCTTATCAGCTAAATTCTTACCATTTCTTTAAATTTGAGATTATATTTAATTTTATATTATCAGTATGTGACTGGGTACTTTTTTCGCAAAAGATTCCTAAGAAATAACCTTCAAAAAATTACAAATTAAATTAAAATAAGTTTTTTTTTTTTTTTTACATTGCCAGAGAAGCTGATGCATAATTACTGTGAAGTGCTTTCTGTAAACTTGAGAACACTCTCTAAGCCCCTGAAAAAGCGAATTACCTGTCTCACATAAAATATTACTGCTGCAATGACAAATTTCACATAGTATAAATAAAAAAAGATGTCAACAAGTCGTTTGTTCAATATTCTTTTATAAAAAGAGTTAAGAGTTGCATCCATTTCAGGGAGAGTATGGTAATGAAGGTGGTTTACATCAGATTGCTGCTCTGTGTGTGCATGCATGTGTGTAACGTTGTCAAGGATCCTTGGTGTGTGTGAGCCTCTCTCCCTGTAGTGACTGATCGTCACCAGTCGGTCAAAGCAGGACACTTGTCCTGCTTGCTTTGTCGTTGGAGTGGCTGAGGCTACTTTCTTTGATGCTTGCAACGCTGCGCGCACAGCGTCTTGATGAAGCAGGCTGTAAATTGGTCTATAGTCCATCTGCTACATCGCCTTTGTACTAATTGCCAGAGAGTCAAAAACTGACAACAGAGACAAAAACTATAATAGAAGGTGCTTACAAGAAGTTAGACAAACCAAACAGCAACTAACTCAAACAGAAGCTACAAAGAGACAAATATGCCAATAAATGGCTTGACTCCATAGGGGCAGAGTTTTAAAACAACAGCATAGAGGAGGCCGACAAAATGACCAGATAAGACACAAAACCAACAATGACAGTAAGAGAATAAATATCCATGTTTAAAGAATACTAAGACAATGAAGAGAGCCATGTTTAAAATATTGTGCCATTTTTATTTTTGTGTAAAAATCACACAGCTGCTAGTTGACTCTGCAGAGATACAGTACATCCATGCAGTTAAACATCTAGGATCCCACAGCCAAGAGAGAAGGAATTAAATAGAATATTCTTTCGCTGTTAGTCAGCAATTAATGCAAATTTACATATGAGTCCAAAAGTGTGTTTCATATACAATATACAACACAGATCCTGGAAGCGAATAGCATTCAGAATCCCATCAAAGACACTGTTGATGATTGATTGCTTCTGCCTGCCTGGATTGTTTTTTGGGGTTCAGGGGAAGGGAGCTGCTGTGCTAGCAAACATTGATCAATCCCACAAGAAGATTTTTAATAGGGTTTTAAATGATATTAGTTCCAGGTCTGGTAACGACATTACACTCTCTCACACACACACATACACACACACACAAGTACATCATCGTCCTCAACAGCAGAAAAAAGAAGGCAAGCCTTGATAGGACAAGGAGGAGGAGGTCAGTCAGCTGCAGTGGAAACCTGAATGCCAGTCAGGGGAATAAGGCTGCAGAAGAAGACAGGTTCTTCAAACTCACAGGAAGCTCCGGGGACGAAACATTTAGATTAAAAAGAAATTAAAATGTAAAGAAAAAAGACAGAATATTTTATTTCATTGCAATGGAGTATCAGGACCATACTGTTACAAGGCAAATCTGAGATTTCAAAAATAGTAATACGGGAATAAATTATAGTTTAATAAGGAAAAAAATAATTAAACAAAAATAAAGTGGCGTTATGATGAAAAAAAGTTGTCAGAGATATAAGTTGTCAGGCTGAATTCATATCCAAAATATGAATGTTATTACCAAAAAGTCATTTTTGATGAAAAAATAAAATAAAAAATGATAATATAAAAATTGAATCATGACACGACGTAGAAAGCATTGTTTTTCAGGAATAAAGTTGTTTTTTTCTGATATCAGGTTGTCAATTTTGAAAGAGTTCTATCATTTAAGGAATAAATTTTTATTATTTTAGGAATAAGTCTGTTTGATTTTGAGGATAAAGTTTTGTTATTTCAGGATAAGGCTGTACATTTTTCTGAGAAACCCTCTAAGCAAATAACATAATCGCTATGAATATGTGAACTTTCCTCATACTGACACGATTTTATTCTTATTCAGCAAAGCTTTTTTCTTGTAATACTAATTCTTCATACTGCTACGAACTCATTTTAGTTTGTTTTAATTTTTAATTTTTAACTTGTAATTTCTTTATCCTTAACAAATTCATTTGTGAGATTTCAGATTTTTTTTCTGCTATTTGTACCATGGCACTAACACTCCATCATAGTTTCAGGATTGCAGAAATCTTGCAGTTTCTTGGCTGCAGTTTAAGAAATAAAACAGATGGCTCATTATTTTCCTTTTCTCTTGAAGCATCTTTAAATATACATGTATGACAAAAAAACAAAGGTTTAAAAAAACAAAAAAAGGGGAACATCCTACTCAAAAAAAAAAAAAAGAACAAAAAGGGAGGAGGGGTTAAGCTCAAAGTGCAGTTGGGTCATTCAGGTGTGCCACACTGCTGACTGCTCTCCATGTGTTAAGCTTCATCTACAACCAGCAAAGGTCGTATCTTGCAGATTTAGGGTGAAAGTGCCCTGATAAAAAAATAAAGAGTACTGATTTGGAGTTTACTTCCCCTCAGCTAACACTCAGAGAGAAGGAGGAAGTGGACTGCCCATCAGTGCCAAGAGAAAAAAAGGCAAAAAGAATCACAAACGTACAGTAAATGGTGTTTTTGGAAGATCTAAGATACAAAAAGTCAGAGTATACTGCTCACACAGTTGCTACTATCATAGTACAAACAGCTAAGTATAGTTGGTGTGTGAAGATGTATCGCCCTGTACTTGCATAGTGCCGACTGCTCCATTAGAAAACAGCTAAATTTCCAAACTTGATCGACTCTTTTCTGCATCCTCAGTTTGGATCTGTGCCAGAGAAATCACAGGAACACTTACTCAAAAATGCCACCTCTCAAAGTCAGGATTATCTTCAAACCCTTCAAGTCTGTTTTCGAGTACACTTCTTCTAATCCAGGTGAAGTTAGAGACTGGAAATAACCGCAGGAACCGCAAGTGAGAGGTTCAAAAGGAAGCTGAAATGTTGACGCACGGCTGTAAAACCTGTGAAGACGGGAAAAGCGGTCATTGCACAGCCCTGGTCTGGGTGAGAGCGGAGAGACAGTTCAGTCATTTGGCATAAAATTAAACCATTCAGTCACATCAATCCCCAAACACACGCTCATATTTAGACTTCAAGGGGCAGTGAGAGGAGGAAGGATATCACAGGGTGAGTGAAGATAAGCCTTCACCTTGACCATTCAGTTATGAGGAATTAAACAAACACACACATTTAGTCCTGTCCAGAAGTAGCCCAGTATGTTGCAGGGTGACCAGCCGAACCAAACTCCAGTTAAAAAAAAAAAAAAAGCCAATTTTATGCCTGTTGCAAACAAGTGCTCTCTAACTCTTTGAAGCCTCTTGATTATGTTGTGACATGAATTTCAAGGTTATTTTTGAAAACGGTGGCTTTAGGGAGTCAGTAGATTATTGAAAACGTTTTTTGAAAGTAGGTGTGTCGAAATATGAGAAGAGAATGAAAGAAATATTTAGGATATTTCAGAATACATACATACTTTTTGAAAATCAGACTCTTTCAGATTTTAACTCCCCCTGCACCAACACTCGTTAATGTTTTTGCAGAAATGAAAATAAACCAGAAGACACCATCTGATTTGGTGGATGTAAGAGGTGAAGTGAGGTTAGCAAGCTAGCTGTTTCCCCGACAAAAACTGGTGATGACAGTAAAAAGGGAAGATTTTATTGGGACAGTCTGGAAATACGCAGATCTGTCTCGCAGGGCGAGTGGATTTTACTGTAAATTAGTGCTTCGTACCATTTTACTGTAAGTTTATATTGAAAGCACAATGATATTTGGTTGGACCACTCCTGTCCTCTGTCCACCATGATTACTTCCTTGGTTCTTGCTTGTACTGTCTATCTTTAGCAATGCATCACATCGTTGTTTTGCAGGACAGGTGGAGCTACATGGAGGGTGTCCATGTTTATACACCTTTACAAGCTACAAATGTTAAAAATGTTATGGCATCAAACAAAGGGAAATAGCACCTCCTGCAGATCTGAATTATTTTTCACCTCATTGACTAGAGGTACTGTTCATCCTTAGCAGGAGGTCTTATCTTAAGACAGAAAATACTGGACTGTTCCTCCAAATTTAAAGTACTTTTTCAGAGAGTTTGCCGTGGCCGAGTCTGTACCCTAAATGAGATCAAACATATGGGTGCCAACCTCATGTGAGTCGCCAAACAGGAGCAAAACCACACAAACAGCCACACCAACAAAACAAGCACACTCTGTCTTTCTTCTTCAGTCATTCAGAGTAAAATCATCAGATTCCAGCGGTTTGTCTTCAGACCAAACTCGCAGCCTCTCGTCTGACACTCCAAACCGTTGGTTTGCTGTCGTCCTCACGTTCACCTCTCTTCAGAGGAGAATGAAAAGTGCCAGTTTGTAAATCCCCCTCCGCGCTTTGAGTCACATCTTGTCTGTAAGACTGCGCTCTCAGGTCCATGTGGTTTATGATTAATACGATGCATGATTGAGCGCTTTGTGAGTTTTCACAGAGCGTCCCGCAGCAGCAGGTCTGAGCCTCCTTCAGGGAAAGCTGAGATGGTGGGAGGGTGAAGGAGAGGGATTCACACAGCGAGTTGCTTCAGATGAAAAACTACAGCAGAGTTTTCCTCCTCATGTTGGTTAAAGGTGCGAGAACGGTCTGAGCTGCTCCAGCTGCACTTCAAGAGATATCCTCTCTTCTAGCAAGTCCTGCAAAGTGACAGAATAAGAGTGATCTTTTTGTATTACTAAAGAGGGAGTCAAAAAGAAAAGATTCATATCCTGCGTACCTTCAGCTGCTGCTGCAGTTCACTGTTAAGTCGTGCCAACACTGTGTTCGTCTCCTTGTTTCTTCTAATTGAAGCCTGTATCGCTTTTTTATCCTTTCCTACTGACCTGAAAAACACAAACACACACTTTTCACACCAAAACAAGGTGCATACAAAAAATTCTACTTCCTCTTTTCATCAAACATTACTGAGTCTTAAAAAAACTGCTGAGTTTTTTACCTGGGGATGGAGGGCTGAGTGGCCAGAACAGCAGCTATAACATTTGATTTCTGTGGGCCATGTTGCTCGTCCTCCGGCCGCAGCTCATCCTCAGATTTCAACCTTCGGCGCACAGGTTTAGGAGGAGGAGGAGCGATTGGTCCGGATGAACCCTTGGCCTGTTCAAGAGCCAAACAAGAATAAAATCCAGAGTAAAATATCAAATGAACAGCAACATCTATTCCTCACTTTTCTTTGTTTTGTTTCTGTCTTATGTTTAAGCATGTTGAACATAATTTAGTTACTGTTTCCTTTTTAGTTTGGATCTGGAAAACTGACTATTTTATTCTTTTTTCTTTGATTCACATGTTTTGTAACCAAGAAAGCTAAAGAAGAGGCTCATAATTAAACACCAGCCACCAGCAGCTCCTAATTATAGAGGTTTTTCAATAATATTAACAGAAACACATTGTACTACTTTCACCTAGGATACATCAACATGTTGCACTTCTCTTTATTCAGTTTTCTACCATCAGAGAATCCTCTTTTCTCTTTTTAAGTCTTAAAAACACTCTTCCAAATACACTGACTCACAGAGTTGACAGTAGCTGAGGCTCTCTCGTCTGCCTGACCGTCACTCTTCACTGTTCTTAAAGGGCCAGCACCCTCTGATGGCTTCTCAGTCTGTGGACCAAAGAAAGGATAAGATGAGATCTACCTTTATTCATACACAGTAAACAAAAAAAAGAGACAAGTTTTAAAGATAAATAAACATGTTTACACCCCAGTTCAGAAATGGTCTGAATAACTCAGGGAATTATTTTTGTAATGTGTTGGGTTCAAAGTCATAAAGGACACAAACAGGTGGACCAAACTGTCACTCACAGCTTCATCGAAGAGAATTAGGGGCAGCTGAATTAGGAGGTACATGATCTCCAGGTGAGACATACCTGTCCAGGCTCACTGTGGATATCCACCTCTGGCAGACTGGAGGGCTGTTCAGATGCAGCAAACGCCTGAAACTGACTAAAGTCTGCGAAATTAGGCTGCTGGGGAATCTGCTGTGGAGAGGTGGCTGTGAGGACCGCTCCTCCTCCTGGAGCCCCCTCAGCCTCAGAACGATGCCCACTGTGAGGCAAGGATGTCTACAAGAGAGGAGGAGACGGGTGAGGACTTATATCAGATTTGATGATGATGTGTTACAATGAGGTTTTGGGATCTGGGCCTGGTTGTTCTGAGGTTTTCTGAGTGTTACCTGCGTGGGCAGAGGTCGAGGAGGCACTGCAGGCGGATACGCTATCGTAGAGGATTGTGGCTGTCCTGGTGCAGACGTAGCAGCGAAGGTGCGGTTCATGTCAAGAGACGAGGAGCGAGAGTGAGATGGGTGGGGGCGGGGCGGAGGTGGAGGAGGGGCAGCGACCACCTTCAGGGCCTCTGGAGACGTACCAGACTGAGACCTGGACAAGAATTACAGTTTAAGGAATGAAGGATAAAATATTACTGAAACCAAGGACAAAAAAACCAAAACAGATCATATTAGAGACACTGACCTTTGTCTCGTTATTGGCTCCTGGTCTGAGGTGAAGGAGTCTGAGCTGCTGTAACCATCACCTTCATGGCAGAGACATGAAACACAAGTTTGTAATCACTGGACAAAAAGAGGACAAAAGCCACATCTAAAATAGATTTGAGTTTGGAAATTAAACTCGGAAAACTTCTCTTCAAGATAGGATCAAATATCTGGCATAGGGCCTCACGATGGCCTCATCATGGAACCAGACCCCTGCAGCTCCCCCCACCGCTGTCATGGTGACAGTCTGGCTGTGTTGAAGGAGTACAACCCTGACTGGATAGATAAACTCTCCTGGCACAGCTGCCCTGTACTTACCCACAGTGTTGGCGGCTACAAACTTCATGGAGGCAGGTAATTTGGTTTCCTCAGGCATTTCTGGAGGTTTTGCCATCAGAGGACTGGTGGGATGGTTGTGGTCTAAGAAAAGACGGCAAAAGACTTGAGTCCGCGGAAGTCGGTTACACACAGTTGCAAAAAACAGACAGTCTAAGAAAGGCTCGGAGCAGTCCTGCTCATAATTTCGTCACAAATCTTCCGCTGAAGTTTCAGAAACTGTGAAAGAGCCTGACCACAAAGCCTTTTGACCACATGTTCATGAGTCATGAAACTCTGTCTTGTTACGTTTAATGTACTTGGTTTCCTCTTGTATTGGTTTATGGAGCAGACGCTGTCCATAAAAAGTTCAGTAACACTTGTTTCTGTTTTTTTATAGTTTCTCCTGCTGCAAATCCTTCACATAATGCTGCAGGAGTCCTATTTATCAAGAGAGCTGTCAATCATGATGCTGTAACTCTTTTTATTACATCATACACCTGCAAATACAGGGTATCATTATGAGATCAAGTCTGTTTTTTGAGGGCCTTCCAGAGAGAAAAAAGGCTTAAACTGCATTCTTGTATGACTTCCATTGTGCAGTTTATCTGCAGATGTGTAGCGCTTCCCACATCAGTTATTATTTTAATGTAAACAGCCAAGAGTTCGTCTCACCACTGCCGGTCCTCTTTAGCTCCATCTCCTGCATGTGGATCTTACTGGGTGTCATCCGGATGGGGACAGGGTGGACGATGGCTGTGTCCTGTGGGATGGATAAAGGGACAGGAAGTGAGTCAGTGAAAGGACAATGATGACTGGAGGGAGAGGCAGAGTTTCACAGGAGACATGTTTGTAGTCCACAACGTGTGTTTTCAGTTCTCTGTCCACTGACTTGGTTTGCTTATTAGCAGCTTTACCTCCACAACCAAAACGTTCTTGGATTATAACTTCAAAAGAACAAATTTCAAAATTAAAAAAAAAAGGCCTAATGCTAAAAATCAACACTTTCTCCCCCTAAATGGTGTAAAAAGAATATTCATTGAAAAAATCTCAGAGCCATTGTGGTATTTGATATAATCACATTACTCTAAAAATACAGGTAATTATTGAAGTTATGTCAAATAGTGTTACGCTCAGTGGATACATTTTTTACCTAACTGACATTTTTACTGCAAGACTTTGGCTTTATAATTCAAATAACTTGATAAAATAGTCTGAAAACTTCTTCTGCCAAAGCTGCAAAAACCTCAGTGGACCTCAGAACTTGTAAGTTAATATTTGCAAGATTTTTCCTCAAGCATCTCATCAATTGATCTTGCTATGTTACCGGGGAAATTCAGGAATCAAGAAAAAAGTTTATTCAGTTGAATGAAGCGTAAGGGACCCTTTAAAAAAAAGAACACTTCATGGACCAAGTCGGAACATAAAAGTTAAAAAAAATCTCAGTATGGTGAGAAAAAGGTCTTCCTCTTACCATGACAGTCTGTTTACAAAACAGACATAATACACTTCTTAAACCACTATCTGCAGATAATATGAGGCGTCTCTACTCACTTTTAAATAGGGACTATCAGAAGAGCGGCTCAGCTCTTGCACTGAAATAAGGACCATGGACCATGATGTTAAGTTATAAAACAGAATCTGTTTCCAAATAACAGGAGTCTGACTCGTGGACAGCAGGACCCAAGTTTCATTTACAGCAGAACTCTGAAAACTTGTGCGGGAAACTAGGTCTGTTCTTAATATTAGAAGTTTATTCTTGTAATGTTTTAACTTTCCGCTTGAAATCTGTTTTTTTTCTCTTTACTGTTTGATAATACTCTGTCTACTACGTGTTTTTAGTTACTGCCTAGAAAATTTGGCCCAATTCCCTGTTGGAGACCTTAAAGACAGACACTGCTGTAGTACAGGTTACAGAACATGATCTGAATAGGGAGAAGTTTTCTTTACCTTACTGACCTGTATATACTTGGTTTTTTTTTAAGTAACATGGAATCGTATTCTGTTCAGTTTGGTAATTGGCTGGTTTGAATTTTAAGTTTACAACATGATATTGTTGTGCTTAAACCATCAGCTACAATGTTATTTTCTTCAAAATCCACTCACTCTGTGAGTCCGGCAGCTTTCTGGTGATACTGTTTTAGCATTACTATGATATCCAGGGACTTGATAATTTCAGTATCAATTTAGTAAAATAGTGTTATTTCTATTATTGGCTGACTATGATAGATGGGGGACTGCCATCATTGCTCTGGTCTGTTGCTCAATGAGAGGCTGTGTCTACGATTAGCTGACCTGTTCAGGTCCAATTAAAGGCAAGAGCAGCCTGAAACAGATGTTTCTGTCTGCTCTCACAATAGAAATACAAAAGATAGAACTGTTCTGAGTGGATTCAGCTTAATTACTTCATTCCAGTAAATGTAGATTTGTGCTCTTTCTGTGTACCAATACATGGGTGCACAGGTGGTCATTTTGTTTTGAGATATTTAATTTTTTTTTCCTCATACAGTGCTTTGTCATATTAGATGTGTATTTATTACTATTCTCAATTTAAATTGCTCTCTGTGTGAAAACAAGATCTCGTCTTCAAAAAGTCTTGTCCTTAGAATTAGTCCTGAAAAGGGGGACTGTCCTAACATCACGCTTGTCTTATAATCAGATCAATATTGTCACTCAAAACACACAAAACATGGAAGAAGTGTTGTTCTGAGTCCCCTCAGCATTGGCCAATAATGAAGTCTGTACATTTCTCACGATCAGCAGAGGCACTAGTGATTGGTGGGTGTCACTGTAGAAAAAAAGGTGATGTCCAATAGCAGCTAAGCCAGCCAAATCACAACACACACTGACCACTGCTGATGCAGCAGATGGCATTTTGAAAGAACATCATGCAGAGAGAGAGAGAGAGAGAATGAGAGAGAGAGATATATAGAGAGAAAGAGAGATCATAGAGAGGGTTAATGTCTGTCCATTAATGGTGAAACCATGCATACTAAGTGATTGACTTACAGGGTCAGCTGGTGCAATGTTAGAGTCAAATTGGGTCAGAGTTTGTGAGCTGGAGGAGCGCTCGCTAAACGTCTCCCACTGCTGCAGGAGACAGACAGACAGTGAGAAAAAAACATGTCAGTCAGCCAGTGCAGTGACATCACACATTTACATCATCAGCCTGAGCCTCCAACCGTGATGCCACATCGCCAGTCGTCTGTCAATCAACGATGACGACGACGAGGTGACGATGCAACATCAGCGGCGAGCATGAGGACAAAAACAAACATGGCTGACTTGTACAGAACAGCAGGCTACCACCACAGTCCGAGGAGTGAGAGAAGAGATGCTGGATTATCAGGAATTATGTTGGAGGATGAATCGAATCATGATGGATGAATGAAGAAAAAAGCAACTTCACCAAATTCAACCTAAGTGCTGAGTCACAATAAAACAAACGCAGCAGAAGCAAACAAACAAACGCGGCGCTAACTGTGGGAAAACAGGAGAATGACTGTGTGTGCATGTTGGAACCTCGTTGCTCTGGTTCATCTCGGGCCACGCCTGGTTCAGTGAAGGCATGGACGGGGATTTGTTGGGGGTGACCTCCACTGGTGAGCCCGAGTATCCAACGTCAGCGGTTGGCTCTGGGACTTCTGCACACAAAACAGCAAATAGAGGTTAGCCAAGCCCATCGACAAGAACCAAACCAGCTCACACTAATGAATCAGAGAGTAAAAGCATTAAAGCATCGAGTCAAACATGAAGAGTCTCCACAGAGAGAACAGCACCAGCTTTTCTTTAGAAGTTCATCCAGAAAGTGTGTTTAAAGTATATTTATCATGCTTGTGCCAGAAATACAGCTGATACCTCAGCAGCTTAGAGCAAATCAGACAGAAAAGCTTTGAGGTCTAAACATGCACATGCAGGTGTAAGAGGCTCACGTCAGTCAAGCATTTTATCCTTTTACATAACCTGTTGAAATGTGCATTTTTAACATCATCACGCTTTCATTATCATGTAAGGGTTAGACGGTTATTTCTCAAATCTGTGTGCAGGTCACTAAAACTATGGAAAGTACAGCCTGCTCTCCAACAGATATGATTTCAGAATGAATTCTGGCAGTTTTAGAAATAACATCTTTGGCATCAGCACAAGTCAGAAATGATGCCAAAGACCTCTGAAGTATTATAACTGGCACACGAGAGCTTAAACATAATCTTTGAATGGAATCTAAAACCTCAAAAGAAACACAGTTCTGTTTAATTTGTTTCTGTTCTCCAAAAATAAAAACGTTTTTCTCTTAAAACCAAGAAAACAATAACAAATAATCACGTCTTCCTGTGATAACATGTGCCTAAAAGGTCATTAAGAAACTGATTGTGGCAGTCAGCTCTGTGGTGGAGGTGACGCAGAGAGCTAGAGAAATACTGAAGCTTATCATGAAGAAAAGCTTTCAAATATGAGCTACAACTGCTGCAAGTTTGCTCACTGCAGTGCTGTAACTGTCTAGATTTTATGAGGCCTGAGGCTGGGGAGAGGAAGGGGGAGAAGAAAACCTGAGAGAGAAAGAAAGAGAGAGATAGAGAGAGAGAGAGAGAGAGAGAGAGGCTGCATACCTGCTGAGTCATCCAGGTCAATCAGCTTTGGCATCAGGCTCTCAGGCAGCTTCTCAGGGAGGTCGTAGCCGTTCTTTCTGGCCACCACCAGGTGAAAGGCGGCGCAGAACTCATCTAGGGTCAGCGCCCCGTCTTTATCGAAGTCAGACAGCTCCCTTTGAGGATGAATTGGAGTGTCAGACACCAACCTTCCACACATCATGAGCCTCAGATGCTCTTGAATACACTCTGAATACATACACTGCACAAACACTGGACTGACATGCATCATATCTGAAAAAATGCTCTCTTTAACATGTTGATGGCTGTGCAGTTCCATGAGAAGAACCAGGGGAAAAACACTTAATAAGCAGCATGAAGGAAATAAGTGAAGTGGTTGTGATTTGTTCCGGCCTGTTTCATGACTGCATTTCCCGGCTCTCCACATCAAGTGGAACGAATAGGAAAATTAATAACCTCTCAAAGACATCCTTAATGAAAGCACTGATGTACATTTCTGCAGTCGAGCTGTGTAATCTTACAGAGGACTTTTTATAAGGAGGGTTAAAAGTTCTGTGTAAGTGCACTTCTGGTTCTGATAACAGTCATCTCTGAGAAAGCTGACAACTCACCAAATATGAGACAACTCTAAAATCGGTAGTTTTGATTTGGTGAAGAACTCTTTTGCAGCTGAACCTGAAGAAAAAGTAAATAAAGTGGAGTTAGACCTAATAATCCACTTTAAAGGGATATTACGGTGTAAAATTAAGTTAGGGTCAAACACACCACAACACCGAGTTAGACACCCCCTCAAGAGATGAACGTTGCCGACTGCTTGCCTCTCTAGTTAAACCAACTTTAGTAATGACCGCACGATAGCAATACACAGCGATCTGAAAAACTATAAACAAATCTCAACCAAAAAGTCACTCTATAGCCCAAAAAAATACTCAGAACAGCACTTAACTTCATCAACAGTACATATAGGGTCCCAGCCATAGTACTAGCCACCAAACATCTTTTTAGCTTTGCCTGATTTCTTTAGCAAAGAGACCAATCACAACTCACCCACTCTCCTCCAGCAGCCGCTTGTTTGTGGGGGGAGCCCTGACGAGTAGATAAACGATCACCACTGCAGCAGATAATTTCCATGAAGTAATAACCATTCTAATAATCATTTTGCACTGCAAACGCGGTCGTTCTCCTGCCTTGGTGTTTTGGTCTGATTGCATTTCCATGAAGCAATACATTTTCCACGGTCCTCAGACCGCTGTGTATTGCTATCATGCGGTCGTTACTAAAGTTGATACCACTAGAGAAGCAAGCAGTCAGCAACATTCCTCTCTCAAGGGGGTGTCTAACTTGGCGTTACAGTGTGTTTGACCATAACTTATATTTACGCCAGAATATCCCTTTAATTTGAATCTGAGTGTATGTGTCTCTATTTTCCTACCAGGTATGAAGCCTGTGAGGTCTGGCTGGATGGTTTTAAACTGGTTGATATAATACTGTCTCTGCTCATCTGTTATCTTCCACGGGTCATCATAGCCGCTGGACTGTCTCTGGATCTCATTGGTTGTTGCTGCTGAGGCCACTGTTCGTATCGTTGTGCTTTCCTACAGTAAAACACATGGGACATTTAGAGAAAGATTATAAATTATAGATAAGACTTGCTACTCTCACACACACACACACACACACAGGACTTCCTTCATCAGTAAACTGTTACCATCACGACGCAACACAACACGCCACAGGAAATCCTCCTTTCTTGTCACAACTCATTTATCTTTGAGTCCAGAGTGGTAGGACTGAGGCTCAGGGATGCTGAGGTGGCTCCAGCTTCAGTTTCAGCTCTTTTCTGCTCTATTTGTTTCATCTCTCTTTTTCAGTGTAGATTACTGTCTTTCTCTGTCTGTCTTTGGATCCCAGTTGTTACTATTTTCTGTCTCACGAGACAAAGGAAATGAGTTGTCAACCTGTGTGGGCCTCATATTGGCTCCTCATGCTGGCTGATATGTTTTTGGGAATGAAAACCTTTTGAAAAAAATGTAAATATTAAATGAGGGTACCTATGTTTGGGGCTTTAGACATATCATGTTGTTTGTCCCTGCTGCTTAGTTCTACCTATACACATTGACAACCACATCCAAAGATAAGGGTGTCCTGATTCCAGTTTGGATGGAAGGGTTAGGCTAAGTGTTTTTATGTTTTATAGAGCCCTTCAAACAGAGATGTGGCAGAGGAACACTTCGGACAGTCTGATGTGAGAAGTGTCCCAGAATGCCTTGCCAATCATCAGCAGAATGGCAGCTTAATCAACCAAAGGAGCTCAAAAACTATCATTTATGTGATAATAAGATTTCAAAATGATGCTAACCATTGCATAATCGTAGTTTACTGCTGTTTTAGGGTTTCACAGTATGGCATCAGAGGTTTAACTGAAGTCCAGCCGTGAAGTGGAATAATGAAGTTAATAAATACTAATGACAGTTATGTGGCGGACAGTTTTCCGATCCCCTTGTATTTTCATTTTGAGAGGCAAAGTGGCGCATTAAAAAAAACAAGAGGTAGGATTAAAAATGAGAAATAAGACTGAGCTTTTGAATTATACATCATCTATATTCATTCATTTAACTTTTTCTAAATTAAGATGCAACTCCACTTGACAAACTTGAAAAATTTCAGTTTTTATTAAACTTTTTAAAATTCTTGACAAAGTCTATCCTTCCATCTCCTGCAGCTTTATTAAAATTTTTTGCACTTCCCTAAATCCCATCAACAAACAGCACCTGATCGAGAAATATGACTTCGCTCCCAAGTCCCAAAACAACAACAAATCAAATAACACCTACCTCAATCCACCTGACACCTCGCTGCAGAATGCCTTTACACTTCAGGTTAACCTGATGTGCTGAGGTAACTTAGATAAGCACAGTCATAACTTCTGATTTTGAACTGATAACTTCTTGTGTTATGTGATTTAAGCATAGATGCTTTAATGAATGCTAGTTACTATGCAGCACCAACAAGTGAGACATGGAAAAATATCAGAGAGACTATGTTGGGGTGTTGCTGCTCTACCTGGACTGATGAGGGATGCATGGCTGGGATCGCGCTGGATGGTGGGGTGTCTGCTGTGAAACTGACCCAACTCTCTTGACTAGGAGGGGGAGGCGAGTGAGACGACCACATGCCGTCACCAGACACTGGAGCTAGAGGAAGAGGGAGAGGGTGAGCGAGGGTCATTTCTTCTTATTAAACTGACAATAATAATAATAATAATGATAATAATGACAGCAATAATCATAATGATAATAATAATAAGAACTATAACAATAACAATGATAATGATAATAATAATAATAATACTTATAATACTACGAACAATACTACTACTGCTACTACTACGACTAGTAATAATAATCTTTATTATAAGTGCACACTTTTTTTTTTACTGAGTTTCTACCTTTGCTGTCTCTGTCAAATCACAAAGTTCTCCACATAAAAGCAGCAAATAAAACATTCAGGTGATAAAATCATAAACGTAGGTGAGGAGTAGGAAACATCAAATGCTTTGATATAAGGCATTATTTTATAAATAGAAAATGAACATTTCTTGTCTTTAATTTTTAGTATCAAACTTAGACACATTAAAGGGATCTGGGATCTGATCATGTTTTCCTTGGAAGAAGCCTCATTCTGTGCTGATAAAGGGATGGCAGGGGTCATTTGCTGTCATTTTTGTTCCTCAAATGACTCACTCCTGTAACTGACAGTCTCAGCAAACATGATGTGTGTACAAGCAGCGTACACAGGGAAGTAAAACAAACACACACCACTGTGCTCTGTGCTGACTTGAAGTGATAACATGCAACACTAGTATCAACTCTGTCAAACAGCTTTACATAACAGATGTCATACTGAGCACTGACACATGAGAGTCTTCTTATTTTTGTGTTGACTTGATTATAGAAACTGAGAATCTCTCTCACGGTAATACAAGTCTACATGATGAGACTACTCTGACTGTGAGTCTATAGAATATCAGGAAAAACTGAAAGACAACTTGTTTTATGGTTTATTGTCAAAGATGAGGGAACCGTTAATAAGTGAAAACAGATAGAGATGAACACATGCTCAATCAGATCATCTAGATCGGGTTGTTTTAGTTACATCTCCATGCATGTATCTGCTTAAAAAAGTATCATTTTGCAGCGATGGGCAAGGGGCTTTCACCTGCTTGTGGGTCTCTGAACTGCGTCCACACTGCTCCGGTTGCAGCCACCACCGGCTGTCTGTCTGCGTTCCCTCCGCTGTGCTGCCGCTTGTGTTTCCTCCATGAGTGAGGGGAGGTCGGGGGCGACTGATGAGGGGAGACAACTGGGGACGTGGGCTCAGGCTGGTGACACATAAATGCAATCAAACGTATAAAATTTTCATGCTAGACTACATTTTTCATACAGAGCTTATATAAACAACTGCAGATATGCATAAACACCTCCAGAAATGCAATCTTTGTATTTCCTAATGTCAGAAAGCAGAAGTAAAACCACTACTATCCTCTTATGCTATCATATTGTAGGGGTGTTAAGTGTCTGATGCCATCTCAAATATTCAGAGATTTCAATCTTGGTCATGCCACAACTGCCTCCAAAAGCAGCCCATAAACACTCTTTCAGAGCTCTTTCTAATCTAGTCATCACAGATACAGCTTGTTCAAACAGCCAGCAAAGTGAACATTGTGCAACTGATTCAAACAGATAACTGTGGAGGAAGAGTCCACATGACTGACAGGCAGCAAACACACCGATGCAGGTTTTGGTAAAAGAATGACAGCAGCAGAAATGTCAGAGAGTAATCTGAGGGAGACACGTCAAAACAAGAGCAGGAAAACACAGGAAAGTCGCAGATGGTCTTGTTTGTTTTTGCAGACCATAAAAAGGCATCAGTGTGAATTTCAGTGTATTTAACAGAGGGGGGAAATCCTCCCTAGAGCTTTCATTTAAATCCACATAAAGAAGATAAAACAACTGACCTGTGGTTCTATACTGGGTGCTAGAGGCTGGATGACTTCATGGACAGGATGTGCTGTAGATGTCGGGGGTCCTTTCTTGTTCTGGTGCCCCCGGCCTGGTGGTCTGGGTATTACTGCTGTGGCGGAGGCCGGGTACAGACCCTGACTGTCTGTGTCCTGATACAGCGCTGCGTGCCTCGCCTCTGCCTCGTTCTTCCCCACTACGAATCTGGGCAGAGGCAGGTCTTTGACTGTGGAGACAAGAATCCATTCGCAGGATAAACGGACAGATTAGTTCGGTATTGATTTTCAGGCTCTTCGATGCAGTTAGCCTGAAGACTGCCCATTACACTGAAACAGTCAGGGATCATCAGGCTGTTATGTTCAGTGGGTTTCAGGACTTCTTTTCTGCTGATGAATTGAGTTTTTTTGTGCTGAAGCTGCTTTCACTTTACTTTTTCAGCCAGTGTGTCAGGATATGAAGCATGATCTTGTTGCAACTAGCTTTGGGTACAGCTGATTAATGAGTGGTAACCAAAAGAGGATGCTTTTGAGGATAGTACTGCTGCAGAAAAAGAGGACTTGCTCTGCTTTTTTGCTCATCAGGAAAACTGATCTTTAATATCAGAACAAAAAAGTGAAAATTAGATTTTATTTGCTTGTGCTGCTAAACAAGCAAAGTGGACTGCCAATAAAAACAAACCGATCATCAGAAGCTCAAATGCATTTCAGTCCACTTTGATGTTTGAGATTATTTATTGTATCGTTTCAAGTGAAGACAAGAGGAGTAATAAAGTCTGCAGCGCTGATTTACCACAGAAATGTACACAAACTTGACATTTTTACAGGTTGGGGTGAGCTGTGTTCTCCTTTTGTATTTGCTTTAGACTTCCAAAACCAATCATGTCTGCTTCTCATCAAGTTTGTGTAGTGCGGACCCTTTCTTCAGAGTATCCTTAAGAATAAAGCTAGAAAATCCAACAAGCAAAAAAAAAAACAAGTAGGTATCATGACATATGATGATAATAAAAATGTAAAACACAGAAATTGACACAAAAATATTCAATTAGATCTTATTTCTCAGCAGGAAACTCCTTGAATTAAATTAATACTTTTTGTATTAAAATGCAATAATTAGTCAAACTTAAGTGAGGGTTCAGTTTAGTAGATAATGAACTCAGTGTAGCTCAACCATAACTGGACTTCCCGTCCTTGGAAAATGGCTTTATAAAATCCTTTATAAAATCTACTTCACTTCTGTCACTCTTACAGCATATTTATGAGTGTTTGCGAGTGGTTTGGGGGTCTCAAAGTCATAAAGTTAATGGAAAACTGTAACTGATTTGTTTACAGTAAAGTTAATGTTGAGATGCAGATCTTTAACCTACTAAAATACACATCCCCTACTCAGAGGTGTTGTATTAAACCTTTAGGCCTGTGAGCTCAACAAACCTAAGTCAGTTGCTTACTGAATGCATTCTCTGAAACAAAAGAAAACCAAGTCAACACTAAACTAATCTTCAATGTTTTACTAAACTAAAACACTTTCTCTTCAACATCTCCCTCTCAAGCAGCTTTCTCTTTATAAGCCAGAGATTTGGATATCCCCAAATCTCTGAAAAAAAAAAACAGCATCACAACACACACAGCATTCATTTCAAAAAGAGGAAGTCGCCTCTATGTTTCCTCATATTTTTCATCCAGTTATGAAATCATTTCAGCTACCGCATGTTGAAATATTCCAGGCCTGACAAGTAACTACTCCTCGTAGTCGGGGACTGTGAAATCTTCCTGGTGTTTTGTCAAGAGTCGTCACACCAAAGACAAACAGAAACATATTGCAGTTAAACCCTTGAGCGCTTGGACTACAAACGCTGTTCAGTAAAGATAAATGGAGAGCTGGTAGTAACTGTTCCTATTGTGAAGCACCTGCTAACAGGAATGTTGAGCTACAGGCACCAGAAGTACAGAAAACGAATACCAAATGTGTCAGACAATCATTAGTTTATGAGTTCCCTCCATTTCCCCCAATCCCACGCACTTCTAGTGCTGCAATTATCTCATCCATGCTTAAGCCTATTTTTGTGTGTGAGTAAGTGCAGTTTACATTGTGCAGCGTGCATTTCTGCTCGTTTTGTGACTTTACTGTTAAATACCCATTATCAAAGACATTAACCTATTGTGCAAATTACATGATCTACCATGCATAAATCATAATCTATTGTGCAATATATACAGCAGCCCTGGCACAATATTCATTATCCACCCCCCAAAATATATTATTTCATATACCATAAACATGTTCCATCATGCAATAACCATTATCCTGTGTGGCATCCATTATTCCATATATTACACACATTATTAACCACGCAGAGTACAGGATCTGACAGGAATAAAGTTGATTCTGCAACATACATAATCAACAGTGCCATGTTTTTAACATTATACCCATTATCTGAAGTCTAATATTTATTCATGATGCAACACACATTATCATCTATGCATAAAGATTATGTACCAAGCAATACTCCCTATCTCCTGTGTTTGAAATATTATCCATGATGCAAATTACATTACCTCTTGTGTAAACATTATGTGCTGTGCAACATACATAATCTACCTTGCATGACACAATATTTATTTTGCTGCAAACACCTTCTACTGCGCTAAAAACATAATTGACCAAGCAACATACATTATCCCTCATGTATCCACCATTCAAAGTACAAGATCTGGTGGAAATATGTTCAGTTGTGCAATCAAATTAATCTACTGTGTGATATTCTCTATATTATACATTATCTTCAGTGCAATCTACATCACCTCTTAGGCAGTAATCATTATCTACTATGTAATATGCATCATTCATGCTTTCATATCCTCTCATGCATTACATACTTTCTAACATAATATACTCCCTGTAACAATGTAAGATACCCAAGATGGGAGCGCTTGTTAAGTTTTGTTGTTTATTGTAGAATGCCATTAAAGTCTTTGTATTTTCACTTCTGATTTCCTGTGGCTGACTGTCCTGCTCAAATAACACTTTGGTATGTGGGCTGAAAAGGGCCGGGATCGAACCACCCACTCCAGGATCAATGGCTTAACCTCTTTACCATCTGACTGAGAAGGACTATGATTGATTTCCTTTCCCCTATCCACTGGCTGAACTTTTTAAGCCTGTAACACAGAAGTAAAGCATTTGAACTTCTTTTTGGCATTTGAAATTCTTCTTAATCTGAGGCCAATCAATTGTCAGAGGAAACAGACTGCATTCATTGGGGCTTAAGTCTTTTATACTCCCCTGTGCTTCCTGCCTCATGACCTCCTTCTATTCATTAAGCTGTGATTTCAGAAAATAAAGATAAAGAAAAAAGCTGAGCAGCCTGGAAACACAGAGAGCTTTGATTGAAACAGTGAGTAAGGTCTAGTGTGTGAAAAGATACTGAGTGGGAAGCTGTTCTTTTATGTTTAAGAGGAGGCACCAAAGTAAGATCAAGCTCACCCGAGTTGAGGCTCTCCACTCTCAGGGGCAGACCTGACTGGGCGATGGCGATGAGCTTTAGAGCGATGTAGAACTGGCTTCGCCCAAAGTGACCCAGCCGAGTGGCTCCACACAGTTCTGTGATCTAAACCCACACACACAAAGAAACAGGGGAACAGTTAACAGTGTATTCATTTGAAACTCTGATATCAACTGTTTTAATTCACAAAAATAGCAGCTGCAGCTATGTCTGTATTTTGAGAAGAATCTACTTACACATGCAGGATTACTGTTTTACATAATGAGGTACTGAACTGCTGGCTATAGATTGAGACAGCTCCATACTGCTGGGACAAAATGTTGATATTTTGACTTCCATCATGCACGTCACTTTTAAGGCAAATCGTATTATTGTAGCACTGCTGTTTTGCAGTGTTAATGTTACTGCAATGCATTTATTGAGTATCAGGTGGAATCTTAATATATCTGATCGTTAGGCCTGTCACGATAACAAATTTTGCTGGACGATAATTGTGCTACAAATTATTGCCGATAAACGATATTATTGACACCGTTTTTTAAATTATAGAAAATGATAATATATGGCATAATAATGCGAGTACACCATGTCAAAAGTGATAAACTTTAATTTCCGCTGTCTGTCAGCGTGCACCATTTTGCGCTGTTTTTTTATATTTGCTTTGCTTGACAAACGCTTCAGTAAGCGGTACCTGTCGGGACGATGGCTCCGCAGCACCTCCGGCGGTACTTTTTTTGCTCAGTTGGGAAAAATGGAGGGGATGATTGTGCTTGAGGTGCGCTTGCATGTTCGTCGAATTCCCCTTCTTTGTCACCACAACTTTGGAACAAATACGACAAATCGGCTCGTCCGTATTTGTCGGCTCACCTCTTTCATTTGGTTTAAAGCCGAAATATTCCCACACTTGCGCTGTTGCGTTCGGTTTAGACACCAAAGCTGTCGTGTTCACTCGGTTTGCTTGCTTTTCACTCACGACGCTCACTTGCAGCTCTGTATCCAAAAGTCTGTGTCTGTGTGCCTGTGCGCGCCTACGTGTGCCTGTGCGCGCCCCCGTGTCAAAGATACTGAATGACTGACAGGAGGGTTCACTAACTCCGTTCATTCCGCTATAGAGCCAACGCCCCCAGGTGCCGAGAACAATGTGCAGAGTGAGATCTCTTCTCTCATCCAGCGTGTTTGGTAGCGAGAGAGGAGGAAAACAAACGCACGATAATTATCGAGGCTGGCAAAATGACCGACCTCGTTTTTATTTACCGAGCGATAAGGCGATTTATTGATTATCGCGACAGGCCTACTGATCGTACTGCATCTTATATCCTATCGCTCTCTGCAACTCCCACCTCTGATTGTTTTATCGATCATCAAGTATTGCAGAATTGCTGTTTCTTTAAGTTACTTTTATTTTAAGTCATACATAGTGAATAATATCACATTGTAGTATATCACATATCTCATGTGGCATATATGTCATCTTAGAACATTTTTGTATTGTATATCATTTCATATCATACTGTATCACAACACATCATAATGTGTCAAATCGTATCATGACAAATTTTACTGTATTGTCTCAAATCATACTGTATTTAATCATATTGTCTCATTGTATCATGTCTCATATCACAGGGCTTGACACTAACGTTTTTTTCAAAAGGAGCACATGTGCTCCTAAGTTGAAAAAGGAAGGAGCACACAAAGAACTTGAACAATGAAAATTGATCAAATAATGTGTTTATGTAATAATGTGTGGTCGACATAAGGACTATTATTTGAAATCAATTTCAGGTCAATTGGTCACATGACATGAAAGCTATTGAAGGAAAACGGCCTTTTTTGAGAACATCAACTGGTAATTTATTGACAGTCCCTTATTTAACACCCTACGTTGACAGTGAGGGTGCCGAGAAGATTTTACCGCGCTGCTGTTGCTATTCCCGGTTATGGAGAGTGAGAAGACACTGGTAGAGCCGCAGTGAATGTCTGTCAAATATCCATGATATTTGAATATGATTTTTTTTAAGCGCACATGTGCCCCTAAACACATTCACACACATCTATTTTTAGTCGCAAATGCGAGTGAAACGGTCGCACTATCCAGCCCTGTATCATATCATATTGTATCCTATTGTTTCTATTCTTACATTATTGTTTCATAGTCTCTAACAATATTGAATTATCTCTTATCATCCACAGTATTGTATCCTCATCTTATATTCCATGCTATCATATTACATCATCTCATGTTTTGCGTTGCCTTGTCTCATGTTGTCATGTGTCTTATTGTATCGTGCCATTATAGATCTTATCATATTGTCTCCTATCATATCATATTGTATCATGTCTTATTCTAACATATTTGGAGTCATTCTGCACTGCCCACACTAACTTTCTTGCCAACAATTAATTACTGTAGAACCACTATGTTATGATATTGTTATCATGGATCATATATTGATACTACTTTGTAATTTTGGTGCATCTGGGATAACTGTGAGTCATAATCATGAGCCATAATCCCTGCCTTTAGTAGAAGACATTAAATTGCTTTTGTGATTATGTTTTTAGTACCTGAAACAGATTTATAACATATAAGAAAAAGGTTAACTACTCTTATACAGTCAAGCTGCATTTGTATTTATCACTGTGTAAAATCCAACATCACAGCACTACTCTCTGTAAACTATGAACACAAGAGTTTAAATCTCAAATATCAGCAGCAGAAGAAGAAACTTTTCAGCTAAACAAAAGAAACATAAAATCTAAACACTCAAATACTGCATATACATTTGGACCAGTGTGAGTTTTATGAACTCTGCTTCGAATGTTGGCAGACATTCAAATAGTCTGACCACTTATAAGCCTGATTATCACATATTTTGGTTTCAGTTCTTGACGTCACACTGAGCAGGATTTGTGCTAAATGAATGATCTGGAAGCAAAACAGACACTCGAGTCTGATGTGCACAGTCATCCATAAGAGAGTATGCATTCTTTAGTTTGAGTTAAATACTGATGTAGTCAAACTTCATAATATTAGCATGACTCCTGAAGAGTGAGTCCTTTTTGTGCTAACAGCCTGCCACAGCCGACTGATCCCTCTCCTGCTGACAAAGGACTTTGTCTGAGTGTGTGTGGACACAAAGAAAGCACCAGTCACTTTTCTCAGCCTGTTACAACAAGACACTGTAGCTGCTGTATGTGTCTCACAAGCCACTATCGCCACAGTGTACACTTTGGAAGAGGAGGATGACAACAGTGTCTCGTTCTCCCACCACACAGCTCCCATTGTTGACCTTGAAAAGTGCTCTGACTCACTAACTGCAAATATTAGCCCGCAGAGAGACCTGGAGTCGCTGAGAAAAATGGGCTGCTGCTGTTTGACTGAATACTCAGAAGTCATAGTTAGTAGGCAGAGTGAGGACAGTCATGGCTGGGTGACTATTGGGGCTGCATAATTAATCACAATTTCATTGTCATCCCAGCATGAACACCTCTAATACACACACGGTAAAAGACTGCAACACAATGATAGAGAGGACCTGCTCCAGTCTCTGCTCAATGTCAGCTTCTTTTAGATGAATCAGTGTCAATCTGGTTGCTAAGGCGAGTTCTGGGAAAATGTGGTCTAAGAAGATCTTTGAGTGAAAAGAAGACAGCTTCTGCATTTGAAAGTGAGACCAGGAGGTTTCGATTCTGACTGAAACTATTAGATCAGAGCCAATCTGAGCATTTTTAACTCATCAGGGGTCATCAGTTTAGCCAATCATCTCACCCTACTCATTTACATCAGCTGCTATAAACTATATAGCATATATACATATACATATATATATATATATATATATATATATATATATATATATATATATATATATATATATATATATATAAACTGCTATAAACATTAAGCAGCAGAAAACAAACACACAGGTTACTTCGCATGAGCAATGAGTGGCTTAAATGTCAGCTGTGTGGAAATATTTCAATCCAGGCAGTATGATTGTTTTATATGGACTGCAGTTGCAGCAATCCACTGCAGAGCTGGGCCAAAAATAATAATCATGATTATTTTGATTGATATCACAATTATTAAAAGCAATCACTCATGATTTCACATCTGACATTTAAGCAACTTAAAACCTCTTTTAAGTTTAAAACTCTAGACTTGAAAAGAGGAAGAGCAGGAAATATAAAGGCTGAATTCATCATGGACCCACGGTATGTCCTGCTACCTCAGCATAGTCAGCAACATTTCAGATTTAAGCAATGTTCATTTCAAACATGATGTGACGGCTGTTGGTTTGTCCCAGGTCACTGTTGAACCTTGCTGCACCCTGGACTGATTCACCTACATGCCAGCCTAAGCAGATAGTACTGCATGTGGGTCTCAGTTACGTGGGTCTCAAAGAGCAGAGCATGTGAAACATGCAGCTGGAGGAAGTTAAACGGATTGAGCCAAGTACATCTTTTAGTTCTTTGTTTACTTAAATTATTTTTGTAAACAAAAGAAAATGTGAGCAACTCTGCTATGTAGGCAAAGATCCGACTGGGACTCTGTAGCAGCAGATACCATTGTAAAAATGAGACAGGGCCCAAAAAGTGGATTGGGACATCTTTAGCAGAGACATTGGAAATACAAGTATTGAGCAAACAAATACAAAACAACATATTGACTGAGGAACATTTAGCTTTAAGGCACAACCCTCACTGTAATGTTTAATCATTAATCTCATGGTACAGTCACTTAAGTATCCAAATGCTATCACACATTGCAGATCTTCCTCATCATAATCAGGACAAAGACATTATAGTCTGACATCTCGGAGGTCTGATTCATGTTTTCAGAGTCTGTATGAAAGCCGGGCTGTAGGACTACCCACACTGATGTGTTGATTTTGTCCCATGTAGTAAAAGCGGACCGCAAGCAGAGTCACTTAAACTTGACTCTCCTGTGAAGAGGAGAAGGAGCCGTGTCCAGGGCTGGACTGCCAATCTGGCGTTCAGGGTACTGTCCGGTAGGGCCGAAAAACCAACGGCTGGTTGTATTCATTCAAAAGAACACAATCATTTAGAGGAGAAAGCTACCTATATATGCATTTTTACAGTAAAAGCTTAATCATCTACCTTTAAGAGCCAACTACACCCCTCCCCTGCTGTCCTCTCTTCTTTTCAAAACATAATAGTTTCTGTCTTGAGAGGAGCCTAACCTTGGAGGGGTGAGATCAGTGTGGAACATAGTGTGGGAGTTTGCAAAGTGGATGCAGATGCTAAAAAAAATGCGTAAAATGTTGATGTGTCTTCACAAACCCTCATGCAGCCACAGGTAGAGAGATGAGAGCAGGGAGAGGAGCAGGAAAAGCAGTGTGTGTTAGTAAAGCAGAGGGAAAGAGATAGTGGCATGAGAGAGGCTGATGAAAAACAAGTGTGTGTTAGAGGAGTTTTAAAGGTGAATAAATACATGTGATGCAGACGTTGCCAGTTAAAAGGCAATTGTGTAAAGTAGTCATGATCTTATAATCAAAGTCCATAATCAAGCAGCTCTTCCACTAGGCAGTAGCATGTGACTGATCGACTGTCACCTGACTGATGCCTATGATTTCAGAGCAGGTCAGACAGTGATCAGTATGTACTGCTATTAAGATATTGTTGTTTGCATTGAAAGCAGTTTAATAGAACATAAAATCCATTCTTCAATGCATTTTACTTGGAGAGAAACAAATGGATGTTAAAATTAGAAAGGAGAATTTTGTCAGAAGCCATCCTTAATAACATCATAACAGAGTATATCAAATACTTGTCAGTAACTATTTAGTATAATACCCTTTCATTTAGAATGGGAAAAAACATGCTATCATTTATGTTAACATTGCTCCACACTAAGGAGGCAGACTGCAGTATCTACATGCAATAATAATGTAATAATGAACAATGTAGATGCAGGTATTGGTCGATACCTATCACTTCAAAATGCCATTTATCGACCTGACTGATAAATTGGTCTGTCTCTGGTTGTAGCATTTCTGAGACAATCCACTTCAAAACGTTGTCAATCAATCCGACCTATAGGACCCTGTGACTTAGGTTCATGCTTTTCCACAATACCCGTTTAACATGACAGATTGTTATGGAGACAGAAGCCAGAAAAGAGTAGGCAGCAGTCTGAGGCAAAGGACTGACCAGGATACAAGTTGCTTTTATAGACACTAGACTCTGTTTCCGCCAGAAAAACGGACACAGGAGGAGGAAATCCAGCTTCTCTTAGACATTCAAGGTGTTGCTTTGGGCTGAAACTGCCAGTAAAGGTTAAAAATTAGACCTGGGGTACATCCTTCACAACCAAGGCTAACATTAGCCAGAAGAAGGTGTGTCTGTTGCTGCGCAGCACAGAGAACCACCAAGGCTAACCAAAGCTTTCCTGGATGACAGGTCAACTGTGTACTAACGCATCAGAATTCATACCCAGCATCACAGCTTGAATTCAACACTTTAGAGACTCCCACAGAGCTTGTGCTAGCTTACCTGCAAGACTACTTCGCTGGGTAGCTGGGCCGCCCGGAAAAGGTCAAGAACTCTCCCGTTGGACGCCACTTTTTTGGTGTTGTCCGTGTCGCAGTAAACGAACAAATCCGAGTAATATTTCTGCTCGATATCAGTCAGCGTTAGACTTTCCATTGTGGCTCCAGTCAACCCCGAAAACCAGACTACTCGGCAGTTGATTAGCCCTTCTTAGCCAGTGGCTGGGGCAGGATCCAAAAAATGGGCGAGACTTCAGGATCCCAACTTAGCTTCACTGCACCAGCTAACGGTGGAGTTAGCAGCAATAATGTCCCAAAACGCGCTCCGTACACGTGTTTTATCGTCTAATCCCACTATGAGGAAAAATCCCGAATACTATCAGATGTCAATGAGACTGGAGCACCGTTAAAAAAAACAAACAGGGGATGTTTTCATGCAGTTATTAACTTGTTGGGCCAGTCGAGCCAAGTGGCCAACAGCTGGCTAGAAGCTAACGGCTAACGGCTACCTTCAATCAAAGTCAACTACTGCGTCCCACTCCTAAACCGGGACATTTACCGCATTGATATAACAGAATAGGACTTCTCCTCTCTTTAATCCGGTTCAAGGCGGCGCTTCAGCGGTTAACCGGGGTTAAATTCCTCTGCTGGGCCGTTAGAAGTAAAGTTTCATGGTCTTCGGGCTCCTTCCTCTTGTAATCTTAGCCGCCATTCCTGCCGCCACTGTCAGAGCAGTAAGAGTCTGAACACGATTTCCGGTAAGACCTTTCATATTAAAGCTACAATAAAGCTCCCAAAGACCGCCTCCCTCCATGTCAACCAGGCAAAGTAAGCAGCGCCGAGATTGCAAAATTGCCAACATGGCATATGCTGGTTGCTCTGAGGCATGCAGCAAAATAGCTACACCATATGCTGACAGCTCAGCCTGAGTTGCATCTGCTGGTGGTTCAGCAGCATGTCAGAGGTCACTAGATTAGAAACCAGATAAAATGCTATACTGCTACACACCATTAGAAATCTTTTTAGGACATACCTCCAGTGGATGACCTGTTGCTATCAATGCTGAGTTAAGTGTTATTCTGACACACCTATGACCTGCATGTAATGGCTTTATAAAAGACTGCAGTTTTGGTTATTGATTACTCAAAATGGTTTGTTTTCATGTGGTATTGAAGTTTAGACGGTGATGGTGATGTATTGAGGTAAACAGTTATAATGATTGAAAAAAATAATTTGAAAAAATATCATTTCTCAAACCAACAGTATCATAATATTTTATATTAACAAAAATAATTATATAAAAACAGAAAGTAAGGACACACTTCTTCAAACGAAGCGTGTGTGTTGCTTTTGTTTCGAAGGCAAGTTTGACACATATCCTGTGTATTTTATGAATTTCCTACCGTTAACTTGACGATTCGAGACGTCACCGGACTACGCTCCGAGTCAGCGCTAGCTTGCTTGGCCTGCAGGGACCCGGATGAGTGACTTCAAAGTAAAAGTCTGTCTTTAGACTGACAGGTATGAGACGGGACAATTTACAATTGGTTCAATACAAGAGATGTGTTTGATCCGATACTGTTTTGTATTTCCTTGACGTATTTATTAGGACTTTGACATTAAATGATACAACATTTAGTTGTCAATATTATTCTAACCAAAGAATAATGTTTAAATTATGTCCTTTCTATTTGCATTTTGGTTGGAGTTCATTTTGGCATATTATTTTGATGTGTTCAACAAACTGATCTCGTGTCCTTAAAGAGAGGCTTTGTTTCAGACTGGTTTTTTTTTTTCAGTCGTTTGCCTTTGACGGTACATTTTTAACATATTAATTTGATTTGATAATTAATGTTTGTAATGTCTGCATCTTTTTATACATATTTGACACCAACCCCCTGGCAGCAATGTCAGAGATTGAAAATCAGTAGTAAGCCTTATTACTGATCTAATGATCTGATGCTTTTAGAGATCTTACAGAGGCTTCTATGATATTTCAGTATGTTTTGTAACCAGATAAAAATTCCTCACAGGAGCTTTAATTATATTTGGTTTATGTCATTAGTGAACTTGTTCTCTGCGGTTAAATGTTTTTCGTAAATTCTCTTGCTGTAAAAAGCCTGACTCCATTAAGTTATTTTAGCAAGTATCTGGTCGTAGACTCTCTACCCTCAAAACACCTGTGAAACAAACCAACAGAGTGCATTGGGTTTTTTCAATTGAATTGACTTAAGATGGATTAGTAAAATGTAACTGTTTGTTTCTGGGGGCAGATCAGCATCCCCAACACCCAGACAACCCTGGTCTTTAATGCCTTATATGGGCCAGTACTGCCCGTCAAAGTATCGTATTGTGTCACGATGAAGTCAGATGAGCTTTAACGGTGCCTTCAGGCATAATGGGAAAATTCATAAGAAATGGAAAAAACAGCACAATAAATCTCCTAGCGCGTAATATAATGGAAATTCCTTGAGTCTCAGGGAAGAACACTAGAATTGTGACCATCAAAAAAGTTACTCTCTAAACAAGTCATCTTATTTAATTTTCCATTTGAAGTAATAATACCCCTTTTCTTTCAGTTTAATATAATTTTAAAATGCTTTGGTTTGCACAAAACCCACACACATCCAGTTTCTATCAAAGAGGAGTAAACGAACCAAAAATGTTGATAGGCTATTCAGAAATGTGGAGGCAATGACTGTTACTCACCCCTCAAATAAATGCCAATTATCAAAGGTTGACAATGTATCTGAGACTACATGGCAATGTGACAATTGACGTGAATGTATTTAAATGTCTCTAGTCTCGTCACTTGAGTTTTATTCCAGTAATCAGTATTTTTTATTTTTATTGGTTCTAAACGTGGGTGTAAAATGTACCAGTTCAAACGTTCCCCCAAAAAACTTTTTATCACGCCCGTCTTTACGTCTAGAGCACACTTGTTATTCATCTAGAGTTTCCAGGGTGACAGTGAACGCAGCAAGATTATCCACCGGTGCTGATTCATCAGAAAGTCGCCCATCATCTGATAAGACTCAATAAGATTTCGAGGGTAACTATATATTTTTTTTTAATTTATATTAAATGGATGTTCTGTTTACTTTTTGAAGTCGTTTTCTGTCTACAGTTTGAGTTAGTTTATAGGTCTTAAACCGCCCCTCCTCCCTCTGTGATTCACTTGTTAAACAGTGGAGGCTAACGTTACCGGCCGGTGAGCGCGTGTCTGCTCCTAAACGTAATATTATTAACGTATGTTAAAATGTGAAAAAATGTCCTGGCTGTAAGTATCAATCCGCGTCAACAAAAAACGGCATCTCATTCAAATAAAATAATTTCTACAAGCTTTTTGAGCTCACTTATCGCTAGCTGGGCGTGCTAATGCTTCATTTCCGCATTGATGTTGGTCCGTCTGTTCATGTTGAGGCTTGATAAGTTGATTTGAAAGCTGCAAGATCAGTGATCAAAGCACGTTTGCGAAAATGATCGAGGAGCGTATTTGTACGCATTTTATCAATTTTAATTGACGTTTGCGTTCATTTAAAGGCCTTAAAACCTGTTAAAGAGACAGCCACAGTCCGAAACTTGGTTCACCTTTTTGGTAAATTTAGACCTACCCTGCTAATAATCCATCATAACTACGCGAGAGCATTGAAAATATTACTCTTGCTACATTATTTTATTATCCTAAAAAATTCGGCTCATCAAAAAGACACCCACATTTTCAATTTATTCGTTTTATCATAGTAGTACTGGGTCCTAAGTGGAAAAATCGAACAACTTGCGGTAATGGAATTAAAGGTCTAGTAAGTAATGTGCTGGATTTTTAACTGTTATATCTTTATTGGCTATAAAGTAAAATTAAACCATAATTTGCTAGAGTTTTTGTACTGTTAATGCCTGAATCTGCAAACACTGGGTATGTGACAGATGAATTGATTATTGATTTGTCTACATTTTTACTAGCAGTTGGACATTTGACTGTTTAAAGAAATGCCAAAACAAGGCTTTTTATTGGAAAACACAGGACATAGTCAGAGATAAAAGAATCAACATAAACATCAAGTTCCTAGTGGGAGCTTTAAGTTAACCTTGTTTTTTTTTCTTTCTTTTTTTGCAACACTGGGGTTGGGGTGGGGGACGTTAGTTTTAATGACCTGATGTGAAGTGAAGATTTCAAGAGAAGTGAAATTAACTTATTATGTGTAAACAGAGAAAATGTACTGAAATGGGGCTTCCATTCTGGTACCCAGAAAAATGTTACTAAAGTAGGATCTGCACGTCAGAACATTAAATTGAGATCATTTTAAATGGAGGTTGGTGTGGTGTTCTCTCTCTGCAAAAGGAGTACATTCATCAGTAATAATTCATGCCATCTGAGCATACTTTCTTTATACTTTGTGATAACATATGTCTCTTTTTCTTCCCCACTTTATAGGAACAATGAATGTGGAACACGAAGTGAAATTACTGGTGCAGGAGATCCAGCGACTCGGCTCCAAAAGTGAGTTCATTCTTTCTGAATCACTCATCCAATGCTGTACACTATAATAAAACATGGCCATGCCATCACAATCTTGATCATTAGTTCCAGCTTATTGCCAGGGCTGCTGTAACACAGTGGTGGAGTTGGTTCCCTGCTCCCACAGTCCTTGTACTTGAGTGTCTTTGGGCATGTTGCTGAACCTGAAATTGCTCCAAGCGGCAGAACCAGCAGTGTGTGAAAGCCAGAATTACAAGGAGGTTTAAAAAAACAAAAACCCTGATACCTGTAATATTGTAGGCCAAAAATGCTGGTCATTTGTTGCGTCAAAGCAGTTGTCCACCACCAGTGGACACTAGGGTTGTCATGATACTAAAATTTTAAACTCAACATCGATACCCAGGAAAATACTTGAAGGCCAGGGTGCGGGTCCTTGAGGTATTTTACCAAATGCGTCGTGCGACTCGACTTTGTCGCCACCACTTTGAAATACTGGCTATACTTGGCAGCAGTAAAACGCGGGACAGCAAGTGGGGGGTTCTCCCGACTGCTGGGCGCTGAATGCCGGGTCAGCTGCGCTGCTTGCAGAATGCTCGAAGTGGTCACTGCGAACATGCACACCATGGTATCGATATTATGGCAAATTAGTATCGTATCCGGATACGGCATGTAAGAATCGATACTCTTCAAAGTATCAATATTTTTAACAACCCTAGTGGGCACTGTGGCACTGGTCATGGGCAACTGCCATTATACTATAATACTCTATAATACTATTATAATAATAATATTATCTGAATGCAAACAAGCACAGATTGCCGATAGTGAGGTTTTTTTTGTTTGTTTGTTTTTTTAACATTAATGCAATAGACTGAAATTTGAATTGATGCTATGGCGTCAATTCAGTGCCAAAAATCCGCGCGCATAAAAAAACATATCAGCGCGCCCAAAAACACCTACCCGCGCACTTGCCGTCACTGTCTGCACGCTCGCAGTGTCTGTACACACACGCACTGTCTCTCTCAGGGCTCTCTGCGCGCTCAACTCGGTTAGATAGATAGATTGATTGATAGATAGATATTCGTTGCTAATTGGTCATTTTAAGTGCTCACTGACAGATTCAATCCGAGGCATAAGATAAATCCCCACCGAGGCACTCTTACCTCTTGCACATTTTTTGTCTATCGCTAATTCCGTCATTGGAGTTAGTGACGAATCACACGCCTCGAAATTAGCCGGCTCTAAACTATTTTTTTCAGCTGCTGTGGCACAAGACAAGTTAAAAATCGCACCACACACACACACACACACACACACACATTGCTATTATAACACGAATTGTGTGGCAATCATCTTAAGAGGAGGCAAAATGAATCAAATTAACGGTACACAAAGTTCGTTATTAAGCTGGTGAAATGATGAAAATAGGTTAGATTGTCGTGCCTTCTTTAGAAAGCTTAAGTCTTCTGTAACATTTATGATGTCCTCGTTGTCATTGTGATTTTGCACATAATATTATTACTGATTTCCAGCATCTGAGGTCTGAGTTGCTTTTTTTCACCTCAACTTTATTCAGCACCTGTCAATCCTCTGACAAAATTGATGAGCATAACGTCACAAAAATTAGCCACATACACTACATCTCTTTTTTTCCCCTTCAAAACTTTATTAAGAATTGCGCACAAAAAAGATTATTGCAACTGTTTGCTAGCAAACAACGAATATCTATCTATCTATCTATCTATCTATATATCTATCTATCCATCCACCAATCCTACTTTGCCTCCGATTGGCCTTGACCTGGCGTCAATCGGTTCTAAGTGACCAATCAGAGTGGAGGGGAGGTGCAGAGTGGCCTGCCCCCGGAGTGCCAAAATTCAACTGAGTCAAGCGCGCAGAGGGCTCTGAGAGAGACAGCGCGCTTGTGTACAGACAGTGCAAGCACGCAGACAGTGACCGTGAGCACGCGGGTAGTGACGGCGAGCGCGCAGACAGTGACCGCGAGCGCGGAGGTAGGTGTTTTTATGCGCGTGTGTGTTTTTTATGCACGCGGATTTTTGGCAGCGAATTGAAGCCATATGATGCCCTCTAGATATAACAAGATTAGCTGGGACAACTGTTAATTCTTATGTAGCAGTTTTTGATAACTGAAAATTATGTGAGGGGATAGGTGTCAGCCAATTAACTTATAAAAAAAACAAAACTTGTTTTGCTCTGTCCACAGAGGGCGCCAAAATTGACCCAAACTGAAAGTTTCTTTTCGGACCTTTTAAATAGTAAAACCTGTATATTTCCCTAAATCAGTGTTTATCAGCATGCCTCTCTCATTTCAGATGCTGATGGTCAAACTTCTGTGAAGTTTGGGGTCTTGTTTAATGACGACCAGTGTGCCAACATCTTTGAGGCGTTGGTGGGGACCCTGAAGGCGGCGAAGAGAAAGAAGATGATTGACTTCAAGGGCGAGCTGCTCCTCCAGGGTGTCCATGATAATGTCGATATCATCCTGCTCCAAGAATGAGGAGCTTCTGCAGTGTTCCCGCTTATCACTGAGCTTTTGTTTCCAGTTAATTTCTTCATGTGCAAGGCTCAGTATTTCAATTCAAACATAATGATCTATTAAGTCCAACTGTGCATTTACCGACCAAGCTGGCTTTCCTAGATTTAATTTCTCTGTACCAAACAGGATCACACCAAGTTATTTCAGGATAAATTTAGTTTTCCATTGGCTGAATAACACCTACATTCAAAGAAAAGTTCACTCTTTCTCAGGCACTGCTTTTTTACCAACCACAGGTCTGACATGCCTTTTGATATACTTTTAAGACTATAAACGCACACATCAGGATTGTAATTACATGTCTAACACAACTATCTGGGAGTCTTATCATTTCAGAGATATAAAAGCCTGTCTTGATTGTTTTGTGTCAGGAAAAACAGACATAGTTACTGATATAGATTAGATTTAGCAGCTTCTGCACACCTTCAATCTGATCCTGATAATTTATCGGAAGTGGGCACTTGTGTCTAAAGCAGCACTGGGCAAATGTCTGTGTAGCTTTAAATGAAAAGGTAGTGTGTGTCCACCCATCATGTCACCAAATGGCAGTCCTATATAATGTTTACACAAGCCGTTGATACTACCTCTTGTGAGTTTTGTAAAAGGCATTTTAAGAGCAGTGCTTTGGGAAACCTAACAACAATCCCTTGAAAGAAACAACGTAAACAAAGTGCATTTCAAGAAAGATTTTTGCACCTTTTTGTACTTTACAAACTACTGCAGTAGTTTTTATTCCATCTTTTTTTACAGTGAGTCAATAATGATTTTTTTCTCGGTTTAAAAAAAAAAATCTCCAAATTGACTTGCCTTTTGTAAGAAACAGTTGGTGAGCGGATGGCGAATGTATTTCTTGTGCAATTGATATTACTGTATAATAACAGGGTAATTGGTGCCAAATGCAAAAGATGAATTTGTAATATCTCTCAGGACCAAAATCAACCAAAATATTTTTAATAACTGTCCTGTGGCTAAAATAAGGAGTCTTATTTGTGACACAAGATGTGCATTTATAGTTTTATTAGTTTGTTGTTTTTCAGTCTTTGTTATGTACTGTAGGTCTGATAACACTTGCAGACCATGGGTGGATATTTCCTTTACTTTGCAGGTATCAAAGGTCATAATATACGGGTGGTTTATCATGTCTAGGTAAAAAAAAAGTTAGTTTTTGACATTACTTGGATGTTAAAATAGCATTGATTTAAAAATTGGCCTCCAACAAAGCTTGGAGTGGGGTTTGTATGGAAGTTAAAGGTGTTTAAAACTACACAGTATCAAAGTGATAAATGATGAAAAAAATAATTTGATAAATTCAGTGAAATTATGACACAGCACAACAGTGTGAAGTATCTTCTTTAACTTTGGATCTCAATTTTTACAAAATAGTTTTACAATAGTGATAACAAATGTTTTCATTATCAAAATCTCTTTATTTTCAAGGGTTTTTTCCCAAGTAACTATTTTATTCAAAAATGGGAGGGATCATCAGTTTGAAAAAACATAGTTGGTTTAAAAATGGTTAATACAAAAAGTTCATTTTACAACAGCATAGAATTACCACCAATTATTGTTAATATGAAAAGAAGCCAAGTTAGTAGGACAGTGGGTCGTTAAATGTTTGGCCACTTCGGCGTTCCATAAATCTAACTGCAGTCCACTGAATGTCAGACGAATCATGTAAACCAGGAAGAGCGGCAATCATTTTACTTCTCTTCCTTGGCAACTGTTTGGGACATTTTCATAGTTAAAATACTATTACCATGCTTGATCTGCAAGTTTTATAAGACCAATTTCACATTCACTGCTGTTTTTTAACCTAGCTAAAACTGGTGGATTCCGGTGTTTGTTTCAGCTTGACTTGTTTTTTTTGTTTGTTTGTTTTTTATCACAGAGGGGACCATTCACTTGTTTTGTGGTTGTAAAGATAGATCAATTGTTTGTTAAAATCAAGGAAATTAAATTGTGAATACAACTAAACTGTGGCCTAAGAAGTCAAAAGGCTAAATAGAAGTCCAAAAGTTATAAGTATCAGAGAGAAAAGCAATGAGCGAAGAAGAAAACATGCTGCTTTCATCACTGTCATTTTGTATTATCCTGCTGTCATAGCTCCAGAGCGAATCTCAGTTGGCCTCCATGAACATAAATGCAAACAGTACAAGTCACACGTTTGCAAGAGGAGAAAGTTCTGATCGGAGCAGTGCCAATACCTCGAGCCATTTCTGTGACCAAGTGGAATGCCTGCATGATGAGTTCAAGTGCGTCATTACTGTCTTTTATACTGGCAATAAAACAGAACAGAGATTTCTGTTATACTCTGAGAAATAAAACCTTTACACCTGAAGCCTTGAACCTGCTTTACTGTGATTATTTTACAAGGTGGAGTAGTATATGTTTGCTGCACTACATGCATTATAAAACTTTAGATTCTTAGTAATGTTTAAAAGAATATATACTTAAAGTCACCATACTATGCTTGGATAGAGCTGTTAAATGATGCAGAAGACCTTTGAGCAATTCAGATTTTCCATAACTGATAGGAGCATTGTTCTATCATAATTTTTAAGATTTTACCAATCAATTTGTTCCAAATTACTTTTCAGTATGATGTGATTTAATTCAAAGAAAGCTGTAATTTTTACTCCAATACTCATTTTACAGAAACAGGTTAAACATACCTTGACAAAATACTGTTGTATTTGTTTATAGTTTAACCGATAGTAATCTAAGTTTTCTTAAACATCAGTTAGAATTTTAGCATCACATTAGAGCTCCACTGAAATTAACGTCAGTGCTTTTTTATGATAAACAAAAGTAAACAAAACCATTAGTGACAAAATTGACTATTTCTATATCGTCATTTTTCGTGGCTAAAATTGGTGGCTAAAACTATTGATTTTACAATTCCCCTTTAAGTTTTTCACAGTAAATGATACATTTAATTGTCAGAATTCAACAGGATGTGATTTTTTACAAGGAGGCTTAACATTAGCAAGTAGAGGACAAGATCAGCAGAGACTGCTTTGTCCACAGGGGGGCGCCAAAATTGACACAACATTAAAGTTCCTCACTGGAGCTTGAAGATATTATAATCTACTCAAGGGGTCCGTCAAGTTAACCATACTACTCAAAACATAAAAGGAACAGATATTACTGTAAAAGTTTGAACCAAATGGTGCAGCCAAATTCTAATCAATAAATCAAACTTTATTTATAAAGTGCTTTTCCTACAGGAATGTAACTCAAAGTGCTTTACAGTCTTGTTAAAAACAAAAACAAAACAAAATAATAATAATACAAAATAATAACGTAGTTTGTTCAATGTCAGACAGGAGACCTCTGACAACATAATTCTGATAAGAAATACCATCGAACTCCACAAAATCCAACTTTAACTCTTGTAGGAAGTGATCAATATTTTCCAGAAAATATTACTAACACAACTAGTATTGGTTTGAAAGATAACTTTCTTTATTTATTTTATGTAGACCGAATTTTCTCAGTAATATACAGAACGCATGGCCTTGCAAGCCATGAAAGTAAAAGAGTCTATTCCTTGGGTTTCCAAATACAGGTCCTTATAGGCGGGCTCTTAATTTTAGTCATGTTTTCAAGGCCTCAACCTCCTGCTTTCTTAGCAGATTATCATACTTTTTTTCTGGTAGCAACAGTCCTTGTTTTCTTGTGATGACTTTCTGGGCATCTTTAAAACTAAACAAAAAGTTGGTAAGTATCATGACACGCCATGCTGCAAATACCCTCGCTAGTAAAGTAGGACTATATCTAAAAGTCTATGCTTAGCTTGTGCCCTGATTTGGCTAAAATGGTTCACTATGAGGTGAGTGGCTAAAAACTTTTTGACTTGTTTCTGGATCAATATCGGCTCGGATTTCGCATAATCCCCCAGCTCCTACTTCCAACTCCTGTGGTAAACAGGATGTAACAGCGGTCAAGATAGTGAGAAAACGACTAAAATTGGCTTCTTACGACAGGACATTAGAATTTAAATATATCGATGCATAGCACCAATTAAATACACTATGTTGTTAACTTTTTAGGATTAATCTGTTTAAAGCTGTTAAATACGAGCTTTCCCTCAGGACTGGAATGCAGCACGATACCGTTGACGGCCAACGCGGGGGGCGGGGTCCCGTGACGTCAGGGGGTGGAAGAAAACAGCGGAGCAGGAATCAAAACAAGAGACGGACACGCCTTCGCTCTTAAAGGTTATAGCAGCTTATTCCTTATAGCTGCTGCTGTCAGAGCTGCATTAAAACCCGCCTATCGTCCACGAGGACCCACTTAAAACCACAACACAAAGAGAAAACCATGCAAAAAACTGCAGGAATGGAGTCCACAGAAATGTCAGACGGCAGTGACAGCAGCCGTTGATAGAGGTCGAAATTAACACTTGACAGCCGAATCGTGTAAAATGCCCAACCAGAAGAGCAACAAGGGAAAGAAAAGCAAACGCACTAACAGTAGCGGAGATGAGCAGGAAAATGGAGCCTGTGCGGCCCCGACAGGAGGCGCGGCCGCGGCTGCACCCAGAACCGAGCGCTCAAGTGGTAAGACAGGAAACGGACACAGATGTAGAAGTTTAGTGATGCTTTCTTCCTGCCTGGGGAACCTCTGTCTGGTCTGTGTGGCTGTGACATGCATGCACTGCGACGTTACAAATGTCTCCGACCCCCCCACTTTTACTTCTTTCCATGCAGTGCCAAACTTCTATTTGAAAACGCACCATTTAGATGCGTCTCTGAATATCTGCACATAAGCGCTATATTGGTTGATCACGACTTGAGGCCTCGCATGAATAGATAGGGTATTTTTATCGTGGATGCATGAGTGATCCAGCAAGTACCTAGTTTTCAAGTGCACTGTAATGTTGACATGTATTTCTTTCTTTGAACTGGTTTTCAGATGGCAGTATGATGTTTTTTTGGTGCAAAGAGATTGTAGGCACAGCTGGTCCAGAAGTTAAAATATTAAAGACACTGCTGTTGCTTCGGGTGTTAAATGTTTGCAGAACTGGTGAGTGAATACTGCACTCTCGAAAACAGAGATTAGTCTTGTTTCTACACGTTGCAGTATGACCCGATTGGCAACAGATCCCTAAATTGTCAATTTTATGAATGGACTTTGGTACGTGAAGCTGTTCTTATAATGGAGGATTACCAGCTTTGAAAATAGTATTCCTCGTTGTCAAATGCGGCCTCGGGGAGTCCTAATGAAACAATGCAGCACTTGTTTGTATGTTGGTACTTTCAAGTTGCTGATGGGCTCTTATAGGCTGTATCTGCTTGTATGCAGGCCTCAGCTGTCTTTGCCTGACGCGCACCTTTGAGTCCACACAGTTTTTGGCTGTGGCCTTCCTCAAAGGGTAGTACTGACACCTCACCACTTGTCTGCGCACTCAAGTTCAACTTCATTCAATAAATACCTGCAGAAGCTTGAAAAAGTCTCCCTTCTTAGCTGCATGCTTGAACAAATGTGGCACAAATACGGGTCAGAAATCTTTTAGGCATTTACAAATGGTAGGTGCACAAGTTGAAAGTACTGGTGCAACACATTTAACTTCATTACATTGTCTTTAGGCGTCTGTAGACTGGTTTTTAGTACACACTGTCTTGCTTTTATGTTTATTTTAAGTAATTTATCCCCCCAAAAAACTTAAATTATGAGTCTGTAAACAACTATGATGAACAAGAACAAAGTTAAACTGCCTGCAGCAATATGTATATTGATATGTTCAGCATTTTTTTTTAAAGAATAAAAATGTGTTTTTACAGTTCAAATCAGTTTGCATCTCAAAACATATCAAGAAGTGAGACACTTGTGGCTGCTGCAAGCCTGCAATGAATTTGCTGTAATGAATGGTTGCTTTATTGACCCACTCACCTGTATGCATTTCTTTACTGGCACCAGACGCTATGAAGGCAATGCTGACCCAACCTAACAACTGGTCAACTTACCAGAGGTAGGGCTTTGGCCACCTCCACGTGACCCTAACCCTCACCCTGGGGCTGGGTTTAAATGAAGCCCAACCAGCGGAAGAATCAGTGTTAAATAATGGTGACTTTAAAGACAAAAAGGGGCATAAAAAGCGCTGACAGTGTGCCGGAAAAAGAAAGAGGAAATAACCCCCTACCACACATACACACACCCACAGTAGATCATCATGAGCTTCTTCTGGTACAGACTGTGGGCCTACATTTGCTTGATTCACATCCAGACTTGACAGTTGGCAGGGTTTGAATAGAGCCGCTCTCAGGCTTCAATGGCCTGGTTGAATTTCATAAATCAATGGCAGCAAGGACACTGAAATGTCTCTCCCAACATTTTCACCTCAAGCTGTTTATGTATGATGATGAGTGCTGCTCAAAGAGTTGCTTCATAGCTCCTGTTTAAAGTTTTGTTAATGCTGTATAGGGTTTTTGGACTTGGAAAGTGTCTTTGAATCTAAAGATAGTCATATCTTGAGGGCTGGTGTTCTGATAATACCATAATGATTCAACACGTACCTACAATATGTTGTTTTTACACTATTTTCAACTAAACATGGGGTATACATGACCTGCAAACCAGCAATTTTTATTTTTCTCAACAGTTTACGCAGCATCCTTACCTTGTTTTGATTCACGTTGCATATAACAAATATATATATATATATTTATGCAGTATAAAAAAGAATATAGAGGCTGATTTCAGGCCTTGAATTAATAGAGTATATAAACCAGGCTTTTTAAAAAAACTGTAACAACTCTTCTAACCTGTCTTGTGTTTCCTCCCCCAGAGGTCCAGTGTGCGACGCCCCTCAGCTGCAGCTTGGGACGCCCCATCGACCTCGAAAAGGACGACTACCAGCGGGTGCTCTGCAACAACGAGCTCTGCCCGTATGGCAACTGGATGCACCTGCAGTGTTTCTACGAGTGGGAGAGCTCTATCCTAGTCCAGTTCAACTGTATTGGCCGAGCTCGCTCCTGGAACGAGAAGCAGTGCAGGCAGAACATGTGGACCAAGAAGGGCTACGACCTGGCCTTCAGGTTCTGCTCATGCCGCTGTGGGCAGGGCCACTTAAAGAAAGACACCGACTGGTATCAGGTAAAACGCATGCAGGACGAGCGTAAGAAAAAGCCATCAGAGAGGAGCATGGGGAGGAATGGGGCTAGTGGAGGAGCTGCAGGGCAAGGGGACGGAGTTTTTGAGGAGCCCAAGAAAAGTAAAATACCAGGAGGAGCAGTTGGTGGAGGTAAACTCCCCCACAGAGCCTCAAGTCAGGAATTACCTCGAAGACAATCAGTGGACCGTCAGAACTCCACAGAAAGAGGAGCAGCAGGAGGAGGGGTCTTTGGTCTCGGGCCTCCTCAGAAGTCTCCTTGTGACTCTCCAGGACAGTCTCCACCAGCTGGTTTCCCTTTCTCCCCTACCGCTCCCCCTGGACCAGGAAGCACAGCAGCAGGATTGCGAGGCTCCCGTCCTCTGGGGGAGTTCCTCAAATCAGCCGTCCACATGGACCCACAGAGGAAGCACCTCCTGGTCAGTGGTGCTCTAGGTCGGGGAGGCAGCTGCTCGATGGGAGCCTCAGGAGGTGGATCTCACTTGGACCCTGCCTCTGTTCTCCCTCTACCGCTCTCCTTCGCCCTCCCACTCCACCACCGAATCACATCTGGGAGTGTGGCTGATGGGACCCACTCCCACCCAGTGCAGTTCCTGAGGAGGCTGGACCTCTCAGAGCTGCTGACCCACATCCCCCGACACAAACTCAACACCTACCACGTACGCATGGAGGATGACGCCCAGGCAGGCCAGGGAGAAGAGCTCCGCAGGTACGCTGTAGAGCTTTGTAAGTTCTTTCAAAGGACATATAAAAAAAAAAAAAGAATTCTTAGTTCGGATTACTTTAAAAAAAAAAACTGTGCCCAAATCTTCATGTGCAGCCGCCATCATCACAAACAACTTTAAAAAATATTAAATCAAGCAGTAAAAAGAGCTCTTTAAGTAGAACAGAGTTAGTATACATTAAAGCTCCAGTGAGGAGTTTTTTGACATTTATGAAATAGACCAAAACTCATAATGATCACTCTATATGATATACAAACGCATTAATAAAAAAAAATACTAATAATACTAATAATACATTTTATTTGTAAAGCACTTTTCACAAACTCAAAGACGCAACAAGACTGACAAATTTAAAATTGTACGTTTTTGTTTACTAAACCGTATGTAGGAGGGTAGATAGCCCATGTGGTGATTTCCACTGCAGAGTCATGTTTGCTCCCATCTTGTTTGAAGTATGTTGCTGGCATTACTTTTAAAGGGGACCTGCCATAAAAATGTAATTTTCTGTGTTTTTTGTGTCAGATAAGGTCCATATTATGTTCGTCTTATGTTGTAAATGTGAAAACAAACCGTTACGTCGTTTGCACTCTGTAAAGGTTTAAAATAAAGAAACGGGTAAACCAGGCCAATTGAAAAAGCAGGTCAATCTGACGTTGCGTTGACATTGCTCATTATTATTCACGAGCGCGTCCTCGGTGAGCCGCGCCCACTCTCTCGTTCTCGTACTCAGTCACAGCCAGAGCGAGACCCAGCTACCACTGTATCCGCTATGAGTCTCTTCCAAACGACCGGTGTTTCCTTGGGTTCACTGCCGGGAAAATGAACTTAAAGCTGGACAGAATGAATGAGAAAACACCGCTGGAGATCTCCGGCTTCTTCCTCAACTTCCACCTCCTCTTCGGACTCGGGGTCTAAAATATATGGTTTAACACCTGCCGTTTTTAGCCTTTAGCATAAGGTGACCAGACGTCCCCGATTTCTGGGGACAGTCCCCGTATTGGATGACCTGTCCCCGGCAAAAGCTGTCCCCGAAAATGTCCCCGATTTAAGCGTTTCATGAATGAGAGCAAAAATGTTGCGTGTGGGCTCGAACAACGGTTATTACAGTAGCCGAATAGGTAGGAAGCACAAGTTAGCAGTCCTGAACAACAGTTCTTATGGGGGTTATTACAGGGGGCATGCGCTGCCACTAAATAGTACCGAGACTTTGACAGTGATCACGCAGCCCCTGCAGTGCCGCCGCCGCACCGAATATCCCCGGATATCATTACAGACATCTGTGCACCTTACTTTAGCACACATTAGCATATGCTATTAGCATTAGCATAATAACAATGGATAAACCGAAATCCGAACCTCCACTGCTGAGCCAATCAGAGCACAGCAGGCTTCACAGCAGCGATCCAATCAGAGCAAAGCTCATTACCATAAATGTTAATGAGCCAAAACCAGTTGGTTTTCCTGTAAGGTTTTTCAGGCATACTAAAACAAACCATCAAATAACTTTCAGCTAAAATTATGTTGCAAACATGATCAGAGGACATCAAGGATAATGAAAAAATGATAAAAATGATTATGAAATTTTGGTGGCAGGTCCCCTTTAAAATGAGCATATATTTTCATTCAAATATTAACATTTTTCAGTTTTAACAGTTGATATGGTGCTTTTACATTTTTTTAATTACAAACAGGGTTTTATTGATTTGCAAGCGAACAATTCAGTTTGCTTTTAATCATTTTGCTACCATAACTTTTAACATAGAGTTTGTAAGATTCATTGAGGTAAATCGTGAGTTATTGTCCATAAAAGTGCCTCCACAAAATTGGTGTGTGCGTATAACTGGTGCGAGGAGGAAGGCTTCCTCTAAAGTTGACAAAACTCAAAGTAGCTTTAAACTCTACCTCAGATAACCAGGAAAAAGATTTGGCAGTTGTAATTATAAAGCACTGATGAAATGTTACAACAGGAAAATCACAGAGGGCTGAGTTATTTATTTCAAATGTATCATTCCCTAACTCTGTCCTTTTGTTCCTCCAGATTCATCCTCTCAGCTCTCAGTGCGAGTCAAAGAAACGTGGTAAATTGTGCATTGTGCCACAGAGCACTGCCCGTGTTTGAACAGTTTCCTCTGGTGGACGGGACTCTGTTCCTCAGCCCTTCACGCCACGATGAGATAGAGTACGACGTCCCCTGCCATCTTCAAGGTCAGACCAGGTTTCAAGATAACAGTGTGGTACCTGACATATTTACTCCAGTGTCAAAGTGTTTTGTGTTATTATGACTCAAAATAGCGCATACATTTTGTAAATTTGATTCGCACAGTGGAAAAACCCTGAGTAGAAACAAATTCATGTTGACAGTTGTGACAGTCATCTGCTTGGGCTGCATTGGAGTTAGAAAGGAGATGGAGGGAGATGGGATTTGAATGAGTGAAGCCGAAAGAGTCAAAAAGTTGTAATATCAACATCAGCTTTGTAACAGTGATGAAATGGTGAGACTGAAACAGCTGGAAAGTAGGCAGGACAAACGCAGCAGCGATCCAGAGGAACCTACGAGAGGAGGGAGCTCAGGGACTCCCAGAAAAGACTGATCAGTGACTTAAATGAGGCATAATACTGCCTAGGACAGACAAAGATCAGTAAACATAAGCATCTAGTATCACAGTCAGTGTGAGCATGTCAGGAGACTCCATCATAAATCCGGCAGAAAGTCAGCCCAGTCCAGACTCTGTATAAAGACAAAAAAGGTTCTCTGCTGGATCCTCCCCCGTCCAACATGAATGTGAATTAGCACGGCGGCTGCACAGATCCTCTTTGATGTTGTGGCCTACAAGCTTTGATATGCATGGTCTTTGATATGCATCAGTATGAAGGGATAAGTTATTCAGTTTTCATGCTTTTGTGACGACCAGAATATAAATGCTGGAAAAAGAGAGATGTGCATCTTGAATGAGGTACACCAAACCATAAAAAAGCATCACATGAATCTCTAAGGTCGTTCAGATCAGGCTCCCCTCCAGCCTGCGAGGGGATTTGATCACAAATGGACGGCGTTCACACTTGGCATTATCATTCTCCTCCATATGTGTCTCCAGTGGCCATGTGTTATCAAATTATGCCTTTCCACTCTGTATGCAAATACAGAGTCACTTTAACCTTCATTAGACTTGAAAAACACCAAACTACAAAAAAAAAAAAAATATGATGCAGGTACAGAGGGGGTTAGCAGCTCTTATTTTATTTTACCATGTTTCTCTAAAGTCCTGTGTATAATCAGTGAAAACTCAACATTATAAAGCATATGTATCCTCACTATGCCTCATTATTATCATGACATGTCTCATTCTTTCACCGTGTCAGGGAAGACCAAATCACCCCTTTATTCAGTGGGTAACAGAGGATGAAAAACTCATGTATAAATCGACTTAATATCCAGTTGTTTATAGGATCACCACATATCAAATATTAACTACATTATCCCATATTAAATAAGGACACACTACATACATTTATTTTCATGCACACTTAACTGTAATATATAAACTCTGTGTGCAATACAATTCAGAAGAAGCTTAGTAAAGTGATATTACAGGTGGACAAGTGCATCCCAGAGCCCGGCCTGATCCAACTCCACCATAAGGAGGCAACAAGGTCTGTTTACACCTGGAGTTAAGGCTGCCCTCTTGTGGATGTTGATGCTGACACCTGCTGATGCAGGGCCTCTGTCTCAACGTGTTACTGGGGCTGAGCGATTCTGGTTGATCAGAGAGTCATGCATTCACACTCACAGATATGCACAGCGTACACTACAGGCCAAAAGTTTGGAAGCAAAATCAGATTTGCTCAAAAAAAGATAGCTATATTTTGTTTAACTGTTTACAGGCCACCCAAAAATGCTCTGCTTTTATCAGTGAATTTTCAGAACTATTATCATTTATTCAAAGTACAACAAATAATATTCATGTTGGTAATCCATCTGACTCTTTTAGCTCTGAATTTTTAAATTTTATGGATTTTAAGCAGCATGTATCGAGCTCCACCCACAACAGAGGAAATATATGAGATCTTTCAATAACCTTTGGGTTATCAGCCACTGTGTCCTCTGTTGTGGATGTGGGCTCGTCCGACCATCACTGTGTTTTTAACGTAATGGATTTTATCCAGCAGGGGGCCCCAGAGCGTACTGTCAGGAAATGCTATCTTACTTTTGAAGTGGCTGCTAATTTTAGTGGGATTTTAACTGATGCTCCAAAGGTTGTTTTACCCTCTGCTTGTGATTTTATTGTTGATCATTTAAACCAAAAACTTAAGTCAGCAATAGATATTGTTGCACCAATAAAGGTGAAAAAGATCAAACCAAAAATAAAACCACCATGGAGAACAAGCGGGGTTCTCAATTTAAAGAGAAAATGCAGAATTGCAGAGAGGAGATGGAGAAAATTACATTACATTACATTACAAGTTCATTATCAGATTTTTCGGGAACAAATCACCACTTACAACAGAGCAGTAAAACAAGCAAGACAGGACCACTTTTCAAAATTAATAACTGACAATTGCAATAACTCCAAAATCCTTTTCTCAACCACTGACCAATTAACTCATCCTGTTTTTAAGCAACCTTTTAATTCAGATTTATCCTGTGAAGACCTTGCAGTCCACTTCAGAAATAAAACGATGTTATCAGGTCAAACTTTTTAAATAGTAAGCCTGGTGATTTTAGCTCCTCTGTGTTTTTAAATGGGGAGACACTGGACAGGTTTGCCCTGGTTGATGCTGCAGAGATTGAGGAAGTTGCCTCCCCTCTTAGACCAGTGACTGAGTGTTTTGGATCCTATCCCCACATCCTTTTTAAGACCTCTTTTACTGTTTTTAAGGATGACGTTATTAATATTGTTAACTATTCTCTTCAGACAGGGGTCTTTTCCACTGCCTTTAAGACAGTCTGTGTTAGACCCCTTCTGAAGAGAGACAACTTGGATACAGCGGTACCTAATAATTACAGACCTGTGTCCAACCTGCCATTTTTAAGCAAAATTTTAGAAAAGATTGTTTTTAACCAGTTAAATGATTTTATGATTTCTAAAAATATTGGTGACATATTTCAGTCTGGTTTTAGGAAAAATCACAGTACAGAGACGACACTGGTCAAGATTGTAAGTGACCTCAGGTCCAACATGGATGAAAGATCAATTTCTGTTTTAGTCCTGTTGGACCTGAGTGCAGCTTTTGACAATTCATTTAAACAGACTCCAAAACTACATTGGCATCTCTGGTACTGTTTATAACTGGTTTAAAACATATCTGAATGGCAGGAAATTTTACGTTAGCACTGGGGAAAGCTTATCAAAAACCTATGAAATGGAGTGTGGCGTTCCCCAGGGCTCAATTTTAGGCCCCACACTTTTTAATCTATATCTGTTACCATTAGGAGATGTCATCAGGAGACACAGCATTAACTTTCACAGCTATGCTGATGATACACAGCTCTACCTGGTCGTGTCTCCTGATGACACAGGGCCCATTGATGCCCTTTTTAACTGTATTTTAGACGTCCAGTCCTGGATGGCAGACAACTTCTTGCAGCTCAACCAGGACAAAACCCAGGTTTTAGTCATCGGTACAGGTCCAGAGAGAGAGAGAAACTGGAGAACAAACTCAGAGGACTGTCTTTTAATCCCTCAAAACAAGTTAAAAATCTGGGTGTTATATTTCATTTTAATCTCAGCTTTGAATCACACATACGTAATATCACCAAAAAGGCTTTTTATTACCTTAAGAACATCTCCAGAGTCCACCAGTTTTTCTCTCAAGCCAATGCGGAGACTCTTATCCATGCTTTTATTACAGAATTGATTATTGTAATGCTCTCCTCTCTGGTCTTCCTAAAAAGAACATTTCACAGCTTCAGCTGCTGCAAAATTCGGCTGCACGTATGCTGACGAAGACCAGGAGGAGAGCCCACATTACACCAATTTTAAAGTCTCTGCATTGGCTTTCTGTATCTTTTAGAATAGATTTTCAATCAATCAATCAATCAAACAAATTGTATTTATATAGCGCCAATTCACAACAGTCGTCATCTCAAGATGCTTTTCAAAGAACAAGAGCAGGTCTAGACCACGCTCATAGTTTGATGATCAAGAACCAACCTAAGATGGGTTTTGGCCCATCTCATCTGACATGAGTAGCAGTGGCAAGGAAAAACTTCCTTTTAACAGGCAGAAACCTTGGGCAGGACCCGACTCATGCCAGACAGCCACCATGCCACTGCTGGGTTGGGGAGGAATGTAGAGAGATGGAGGGAGAGAGGGAGAGAGAGAGAGCGAGAGAGAGAAGAGGGGAGAGGGCAGGGGGAGAGAGAGAGAACAAGATAAGGGGAAGGAGAATGAGTAAGGAGAGGGAGGGGAGGGAGAGAGAGGGGACAGCAGTAACAACAGCAACAACAGCTCATGTAATGGTGAAACAAAATGAATTCAGTTTATAGGGTTAGGATATGAGTGATAATGGACTATGTTAAATTAATTTAATGTGATTACAGTCAGCAGGCCTAATAGTAGTCAACTCAAGTTTTATGTTATTGATGTCAATGAGGCCGATGTTCATGTCTGCAGTAACAGTCCAGAGGAACCCAAGAGAAGAAGGAGCTCAGGGCTTGAGGTGGACAATCATAGACAATACGGCTGGAGTCAGGCAGGTCTGCAGCAGCCATCAGTCCGGAGCAACCTAGGAGACTGGGGCTCAGAGACATACAGAGAGATCTGGTTAGCAATTTGATGGGAGAAAATGACTTCAATGTACAGGATAATGAAGTAACTAATTATGGACTATGCTAAATTAATTTAAGGTGATTAAAGTTAAAACTCAAGTTTTATTTCATAGATGTCAGTTAGGCTGATGTACGTGTCTGCAGCAATGGTCCAGAGGAGCCTAAGAGATGGAGGAGCTCAGGGCCTAAGATGGAAAATCAAGGACGATGCAGCTGGGGTCAGGCAGTTCCGCAGCAGACCGTCTGCAGCATTAGTCCAGTGGAAGCTAAGAGACTCAGAGACACTCAGAGAGAGAAATATCTGGTTAGTAATTTATATGGGACATAAAGATCTAAAGGAGAGATAGAGACAGACTCTAGCTCAGTGTGCCAGATAACCCCGGCAGTCTAAACCTATAGCAGCATAACTAAGAGCTGGTTCAAATCAGCCCCAACTATAAGCTTTATCAAAGAGGAACATTTTAAGTCTACTCTTGAAAGTTGAGAGGGTGTCTGCCCCCCGAACCTCGAGTGGTAAATGATTCCAGAGGAGAGGTGCCTGGTAGCTGAAAGCTCTTCCTCCAGTACTACTTTTAGAGACATTTGGTACAACGAGCAGGCCTGCAGACTGTGAGCGTAACGGTCTAGACGGAAAGTAAGGTATAACAAGCTCGTTGAGATATGATGGAGCCTGGCCGTTAAGCGCTTTATATTTTAAGGTTCTTTTATTAGTTTATGAATGTCTTAATGGTCTTGGTCCTTCTTATTTATCTGATTTGCTTTTACAATATGAGCTCAGAAGAGCCCTCAGGTATTCAGGTAGTGGTTTTTTAATAGTCCCCAAAGTTAGAACCAAAATATACGGTGAGGCATCGTTTAATTATTATGGCCCCGTCTGTGGAACAGTCTGCCTGAAGACCTGAGAGCAGTACCTACAGTTCATATTTTTAAACGCAAACTCAAGACCTTCCTTTTTTGTCTGGCCTTTAGCCGATTTTTGTTTTATTCTTCTAGCCTCTCCTTTAGTCTACCCTTTTTAGTATTTTTAGTATATTTTATTTTTATTTTTTAAGTATATTTTAACACTATTTGTTAATTTTCTTTTATTGTTTGATTTTAAAACAGTTTTATTATATATTATTATTATTATTATTATTATTTTATTTATTAATTTTTTTTATTATTATCATCATCATCATTGTTTTATTTCCTTTTATTTTTTATATCTTGTCATGGTTTTATCAGTTTAGCTTCAGCTCCAGTGCGTCCCCATTTTAGTTTAAGATAGCGTTTCCGAGGTCCTCTGTGGCTTCCTGCTGAGCCCTGACTTGGTGTCCCGATAGTCGTGTGAGTGTGTGTGTGTGTGTGTGTGTGTGTGGACGAGTGGGTGGGTGGGGGAGGATCTCTGTTAAATTCGGGCTTGGAGGGTGGGTGGGTTTTTGCAGTTTGTATTTTATTTTGTTTTTTATTTTGTATCCCCTGTGTACAGCACTTTGTGATACAAGCCATGTATGAAAAGTGCTTTATAAATAAAGTGATTGATTGATAATTTGCAACACAATTAACATGACTATTGTGTAACTTATAACTTATATTTCGCCGATCTGTCTTACTGGTGACAATGCTATGTTTTGTAGTAAATCTCTTTTGTCCAGGCCTTTTTCTATCATCATAACTTCCAGGTTCCTCTAGTCTTTTCAGAGTGTAGTGGACTCCTTTGTTAAACACCTTTAGGCGTTTTTTATTTTCTCTTTCTGTGTATCCTTCTTTCCTCAATGTACAAATCTGTACTTTTGTTTCTTTACTCAGTTGCTTCTTTCTAGCCATCTTTGCGGTAGTTTGATGCAGTTTAGATTTATTAGGATTTTTGTATGCAGACTCTCAAAAGCCAAAAAGTTGAAGTAAATAATCCAACTGTGATTTCTTTTTTTGCTTTTGCACTGAAGTTGTGACTCTTGCAAATGTTTTCAACCCGAAAAATTAACCCCTTATTATCTTTTGCTGACATATATTTAGCAATGGTCTGTTAACATTAATGTATATCTAAAGGTAAATGGAGTAAAATGGTGCATTTCCATGAAAGCAACATCTGATCATGGAGTAACTACATCCCAAAATACATAAAACTCATGCTGGATTTAAAAAAAAGCATTGTGAACAAAAACTTGAAGTTACTCCCAACTGTTCGGCCTGTAATGGCCTTGCCTCCAAACTTTTGGCCTGTAGTGTATATAGCGCATACATCCATAAATATGCACATCAATTGTAAAGGGAAACCAAGGATAGAGATGCACATGAATGGACAAACAAAGAAGAAAATGTGTGCATGATTAACAAAGAACAATTTCTGAAAAATATCAGTGTTAAAATCTCACAGCTGCTTGGACAAAGATGTAATGCAGGGTTGCCATCATTTCTTTGAGTCATCCTAAGACCCCCATTAAAAGAAAGTCTAAACCTTAATCTGCCCTGGATCTTGACCTTCACAGATCCTCCTTTAGGTCCTCTACTCTGTCTAACACCACCACATCACTGAAGTCACTTCAGACAAACTTACTAAGTGACTCTTGGTGGTCAAAGATTTCTCTGTTTTTTTCCAACCTCAGCTCACATATTTGAGACTTCTTCCTCATCGTCAGCAGACTTCAGCACCTGTATTACAGCTCAGTGATATCAGATAACACTCAAACATCTGTTGACATTCACTCCACTAATCACAACTCAGATGGTTAAAGGTCTTTCTGCTGTTACCAAAACAGATCTTAAAACTTTATATAAAACCTGACATTACTGGTGCATATGCCTTTCAAAAAGAGATGATTATATAAATATATTACAGGATATTATATAAACATAGTTGTCCTCGAACTGTATTCAGCAGCTTTTTGAAAATGATGGAAACAAAGATCTTTTCTTATATTCTCATGAAAGCAGTCTTGTGTTTGAATGCTGTCAGTTTAGACACTTTTCTTTCACAGAAATGTTTTATGTAAATGTCTCTCTTTGTGTTTCAGCTTGTTAATCTCGTGCCACTGTGTGGATTAAACTGTGTAAGGAGCTGAGGAGTGCTATATCTTAAAGAGCTCCCATCAGCAGTAACAAAATTGTTTTATTGTTGTTGGCTAATGAGCTAAGCAAGTTTTTTTAAAGTTTATTTAGATGCCATCAAAAGTTATTGACTTGATATCTGATTACAGTACAAGAGCTCTGACTTGTTATGCAGCAAGTATAAACCCTATCTATATTCTGTACCTTTTTTTTCCTACAGGCAGGTTGATGCACCTGTATGCCATCTGTGTGGACTGTTTAGAAGGCGTCCACAAAATCGTCTGCATCAAGTGCAAGTCACGCTGGGACGGCAGCTGGCATCAACTGGGCACCATGTACACATACGATATACTGGCTGCTTCACCGTGTTGTCAGGTATAAACAGTTATATCCTGAAGGAACTGATGAATGTGTAATTAGCATTAGGGTGGTTGGGTATGGTTAGGGTTGCTTAACAATCAAGGGCAGCCAATAAATTAAAAATAGAACTGGGGGTAGGGGGAGTTATGACTGTAACTTCAGCTTTGGTCCATCAGTAGTGCCAGGTTTTAACAGGGTTCTGTCATCTGCATAACGGTAAAAATCTGTATAATGCCTATTCAAGATTTGCCCTGAGGAAAACATGTAGACAATGAATAAGAGGGAACCTAGGATGGACCCCTGGGGGACCCCACATTAGTGAGGAGTACCTAAGGAAGCATTTCCAAACACTACAGAAAAAGGCCAGCTAACTTATTAATGAGCTGATCTATTAAATGATTTATTGGTTGAAAATTATTTATTTCTGTTGCTGCAATAATAGTTTTTTCAGTATGAATGGTAAGTAAGGCTCCCACAGCAATAATGCTCTTAACAGTCTACATGCAGGTGAAATTAAGAGTTTCAGCTCCGACAGGAAGAAATCACATTGGATGCAACATTTTATTCACAGTGAAGTTTTAAGCACCGTACTGTTGGTATTCATAACAGCTCTATAAAATGATAAATGCATCACCTGTATAGGGTCTTCTTCCCCTGAAGTTTTCATTGGGCATTTTCTTTCCTCTTAACCAGTCCTGTAATGCTGCCAAAGCCCCCATTACATTGAGGTTTGTGTTTACTTTGTGTCTGTTTTCTTCAGTTTGATTGATGTCTCTTTCACTCAACTCCCTGTGTGACATCCTCTCTTGCTTCATATTGTCGTAACATCTTCTTTTTTCACTTTTCAAGCCATTTAACCAGGAATCTTATGTGTTGTGTCCCTCCAAAAACACTGAGTAATATGAAGAATATCCTCTATCTGGTTCATGAAGCTTTTGAAAAACATATTTTTTGCAACATTGCCAACAGGAAGTGCCAGACTTCTTTCCATTGATTGATTCAATATGTTGTGTGTAGTTTGCTGTTGTGTTGCTCTTTCTATCCTGAATTAAAACCTGTTATTGAGGGGGTTTGACCAATCAGACTTAAGTATTTTACACAGATGGGTGATAAGAAAGTTGTGTAATTAATATGTTAAGATGCAGTGACTAAACACAGATACAGTAAAATGTTGTCATTTCCAGGCATCTAAATAGTTACCTCTTGGTGACCCCAACGCTATTCACAACACAGATTATCACAACATCATTACTGGTGAGAGCTCTGTTTTTCAGATACCTCTTGGTTTCTGGTTCTGTATGTATAACTCAGTTCAAACATCTATTTCTGCCCCACATTTTTCCTCCTGCCCCCTGTACTACCTCTGCTCTTAATCCATCTCCTAACCTTATTTTTCTTATGTTAAGTGTATATTTTATCCTTCTCCCTCCTGTGTGTCCTCAGGCTCGTCTCAACTGTAAGCACTGTGGGAAGCCGGTTGTGGACGTGCGAGTCGGTATGCAGTATTTCTCTGAGTACAGCAATGTCCAGCAATGCCCCCACTGTGGCAACCTGGACTATCACTTTGTTAAACCTTTCTCCTCCTACAAAGTTCTTGAGGCTTATTGACAAATGCTCTTCATGCATGCTAGTTAAGCTGCTTTTGTTCGATTTTGTTTTCTAACACCATCTAGGAGAGATTTTTATTTTTGGGGGCCTTAAAGGTGCTTTTAGGTTTTTAAGTTCTCACTCTTTTTTTTTATGTAAAGGAAAAAGTATGACTAGTTAAAAAATTTTTAAAGTTACACGACAGTATCTCTGCTGTTAGAGAAAGGTGTTAATGCAGTGTGGAAGTGACATGTGATGTCAAATAAACACGTTTATCTGTGACAAGTGAATGTATCTGTATGCCAAATTTGCTTTTATTTTTTTGTTTTTTACCAAAAGCATAAAGATGGATCTTGAATAAAGCAGAGAAAGAAAAAAAGACTTGGCTTTTTTGTCATCAAATGTAATCTGCTCTTTTACAGCTGTGTTGGCTGGCCACTCAGCTAGCAATAAAATATTAATAATAATGGTATCAAATAAATATTTACGGAAAACTCAAAAATAAAACAATAGAATTTGTAAAATTAAGGAAAGGCAAGAAAAGGTTGGAGCAACACAAACACCAGAAACTTTGATAATAAACAGTTAATTTCAATGTCATCATTTATTTCTAATGATGCTCAATTCATTATTTATCTACATCAGCACTGTAACTGAAACTTCTACAGAGGAGAAAATGTCTTATGAAATGACTGTTTGTTGTGCTTTTGTTTTGTTTTTTTTTGTCTTGCCCATTGGTCCCATGCCCTTCTCAGTCAATGTCATGCCCCTGACACCAGAACAGAGATAAAAGTTTGAATCTGAAAAAATATGATGCCTTATTTTATGAAGTGAAAAAGTATTGAAGGTGAAAAAAAATCTCAAACCTGAAAACATGAATTGAAGAGAGGAAATAAGATCCTTATTTGAAAACATTAAACCTACAACTAAAAAAAATAAAACTTTAAATATAAAAAATATATTTAAGAGGGAAAGATGAATATAAATGGTTTGATCAAAAGAGTTCCAGAGCTAAATCACAACAATATGTAAGTTAAACAACAGTTTCATACATTTATTTTTATTTTGAATAGTGTTTTTAATTTTTTCAAATTCAAAATCAAACCTTGAACTTTCAGTTTCAATTATGATTTTTTCAATTCCTTTTTTTTTTTTAACTAACACACCTTTTGGCCTGGACTTTTTAATCTTTAAATGTTCATTTTTAAAACTGAAAGATGTTCCAACATGAGATTTTTGATTGAAGTGGCCACAAAAGCAATGCTCTGCATGCAGCTATGCAACCTCCAGACAGCATAGCCCAAGAGGACAAACCAAAATACATCACTAGTAGGACTTTAGTTAGAAATTTCTACCACACTGTGACACTTCAGAATTCAGTTTGTCTTTGTGAAAATGTTTTATTTCCATCAGTTCACTGCTGTGTAGATCCCTCTTTCGTGTCCGTGTCAGTAACAGGAGTTGCTTTGCTTTGAGTAGTTTTCGAGCTTGAGTCTCCAGACTGCGAGGCAGAAGCTTTGTTATTCTTTTGTTGTGCGAGTTCCTTTGCTGAAGGTGGACGCAAGATGCACATGGCTGCCTTACCGTCTTTTATGGCTTTTGGCTGTGAGACAAATCCAACCAACACCTCCATTTGTTGCACGATCTGCTCCAGATTTTTCTCCTGTAGGAAATGTAAAAAAACAGAAAGAATTTCTTAATATGACAGGACTTGTTTCGAGAATACATGCCAGATTTGTGGGCATGAAATTTGAAGATACTTTTGCTATATTTTGCATTGATGTAAAAAAAAAAAAAGAATAAACAAAAAGAATGCAAATGTTAGTTCCTCCTGTACTAGAGTCTGCACACAAATGCCGACTCACCCACTCTGACTGCCTGATATCTTACTGATACAAGCAAGTGTTTTAGTTCTCCCTCACCAGGTCGTCAATGGGTCTTCCTCGTCCCGATTTCAGAGTGATTCTTACATGGTGTTTTTTTTCCAACAGGCCCTCCACTTGTTTCAGCTTAGTGCTAAGGTCATGTGCTGCGATAGTAGATGATAAATTGAGCTCTTTCAACTGCACAGGGGCTGTCGGGAGAAAACAATCCCATAATAATAATGACACAGGAATGACAGGTTGCAAGCAAAGCCAAGAAAGTCTCTAATACTGAAACAAGCTATTTACATTTATTAAAAACTTTTAGGACAAAATTTGCAGACAGAAACACAAATGCTTCTAAAAATTCAACCGCTATTCCAGCTTTTGCTTAACCAAACACCTGAATATTTCAAGGTCTGGTGGAGATGTCTTCAGAAATATTTACCTCCGCCAAGGAGGTTATGTTTTTGGTAGCGTTGGTTTGTTGGTTGGTTTGTTTTTTTGTTTGACTGTGAACAACTTTACGGAGAAAGTTACAGACGAATTGACCTGAAATTTTTACCAGAGGTGCGTCTCAGCCCCAGGATGATCCCATTACATTTTGGTGCTGATCTGGATCGCCTTCTGGATCCAGGATTTTTTTTAAGGATTCTTTATCATTGTGAGATAGGGCAAATTTTGGAATTTTTGCATTTAACTCTATAAAAATGGCCAGAGTCTTTAGTAAAAAAATACACAAAAGGATCTCAATGAGTTTTATGAGGTGTCAAAGGTTAATCCTGATCTAGACAAAATTCTGGATACTGTGATCCAGAACACAAAAATAAGGGTGTCGTTGGAATTTTCAATGCTGAAAGATAACCAATGGGCGGCACAGTGATGTAGATAGGTGGCACAGTGGTGTAGTGGTTAGCACTGTCGCCTCACAGAAAGAAGGTCCTGTGTTCGAATCTGGGTTTTATGATTTATGAACAGTGAACACACCAGTTTAAACACAAATAAAAGTTAATAAAAGACACGTAACAGTAAAAGCTTTGGTGTGAATCACAATATAAGGGGGGACATGAGCTGCTTGGCGGAGGTCTGTGCTCTCTGAGTGCTTTTCTAGTATCTTCTTTTATCATTTTAATTGCAAAGAACATGAAAGCCTTGGTCTTACTGTCCACTTTGCCAGCATCACAACGCTAACATTTAGCAAGAACAAGATTGAATGTTTTTGTTCAACAAGCGTGGTAGTCAGCTTGTGACCCCAAAAGGAACCCTGGACCACACGCTGAGAACCTCTGAAAGAAACAAATGTCTAAAGAGGGTCATTGATTTATTGACCACACACCTGCTTTTCCCTTCTGTTTCTCCCGCTGCTTAAGCTGCTCTTCATGGATCTGTTTGCCGCTCATCAGCCTGTAGACAGGAGGATCTTCCTGATCACTGAGCAGCACCAGTTTGAGACCCTTATCATCCATTATTCTGATCACATCTGCACGGTGCATGGTGCCCATATTCTCCCCTGTATCACTGATCACCTGTATCTGTCGATGAGGGATCTTGCGACCAACAGAGGAGATTTGGGCATTCGCTCTTTTTTTCTTTGGTGCAGGAGTCTGTTCTGTGTCGTCGACAGCCATGCAGAGTGTAGAACATCTCCAGGAGGATGCAGCGATGTTATATCGTTCACTGCATATGGTAAGTCTTAATGTTGGTGTCCTGTAGGCAGGGCTACTAGCACACACTGATCTCACTGTGCGGCTGAGCACCCATCTCACACAACCTAGAGACATGTCCTGGATAAAAAGAGAGAGGAAATGAAAATTTAAAGACTAGATTTAACAGGTCATTTTATCATAGATTTTACCATGAACGCATATAAGTGCAAAGTTTCTTTAAAATACAAAGTTGTCAAAGGTTTTCTAGCAGGTAATATTTGCAATGTGGGCTTTAAACTGGAAGATAAATGAAAATCTTTAAGCATCAATTTAATGGTGGTATTGCTTGCATTTCATAGGTCATAAAAATGCATCAACATAAATTTCAATCAGTTTAAAATAAAGCCAGACTTAACAGAAGTTTTGACGAGGTTGACCAAGGCATCTTTCTAGTTCGAGTTTGCCTTACCTTCCATTCACTGTTCACTTGCAATACATCAAAAGTAAGACTGCATTTTAATACTTAAGGGTTTATAGTGCCCTTAGGATACACCACACGTACGCTTGGGCCTACTATGAGGCGTTTTACACCTGTATGTGTTTTAACTGTGCTGGTTAAACAGTGTTTCGGTTTAATTTGTGACCATGTTACCCGGTGACATTGGACAGAACGCGGCTACGTTTCCGGTTGTCTTGGTAATCGCAGTTTGACCTGGAGAGTACGTACCAATACGTACTGAGCGACTGCCTTCTTCTTTGGTTAGTTATGATTTAAAATATTCTTATCAGATATGTCCACAATGTCTCGTTTGTGTAAGGGTGTCCTCACAGTATCCTCTTACTTTTAAAATCGGCTGTAACGATGACAACGACAGACACTCCAAAGGCGTATTCGCCACTAAGTAGGGTCGCTAGTTTAACCGTAACACCTGTCCTTAAGGGAAAAAAACAAAACAAAACACACTGAGATAACTGCAAAAAGCTCACCTGGGCTTAAAGTTTACCATTAACTATACCGAATTAACCAGTGACCCTTTTTAGTTTTTTTTCCCACATAAAACAGTAAAAGCACTGAGATGCACATAAGGTTTGAATTTCCATGCTTCTATTTAATTGTTAGCTTTATATAGGAGTTTGGAGTTGACCTTTAAAGCAAGTTATTGTCACACCGACAAAAGTTGCAGAAACATTCATGTGAATCGTTAATCTGTCTGTGTCATTTGCATTGATCTGAACAAGTTGTCCTGAACACACTGGCAGATGATAATGAGTCAGAGAGAACAACTGAAGCTTAAATACACAAAATACAAAATAACGTTCATGTAACTGAGCAAAATCTCCATATATGTTTGTTGTTAATATGCATTTTACTCACTGTTATTCAAAGTCGTTCAATCATGCTTCTCACAGCAGGGTGACTGCTGTGTTTGCTTCCGGTTTCTTCTTCTTCGTTTAAATTTAGCAGAATTGGATGCAACGGAACTACAATGCTGCCTCTTCTGGTCACAGCAAGAAAAGCACGTCGAAAAAAATAAACAGTTATACCTGCTACAAACTCCAATAAATTTTATATAACATAACTTTATATTGTTACCAATATTCTAATGAGCTCTTATAGGGCAATAAGAAATGTTAGTGACAGTTATAATATAGACTCATATTAATGTTGATAAATATCTAATTACATTTTAAAAGCTTGACTGTTATTGGTGCGCAGTTTCCTGCAAGTGTGTCAAAAGCTAATAATAAAGGTCTCCAATGAGAGACCATAAGTCTATTTTAAGCGATAATAAATGTTATTAAGCTTTTGTAAACACTTATATGTTTATAAACACCTTTAAAGGGCCTTATAAGTGGTTAATTAACATAGAGTTATCCCTTTGGTTTGAGAACAAAGTTGTAATATATTCAAACTATAACATGAGTAAAATCATCAGTCACAAGATTGAAAGTAAGTTCAGGTAAAAAAAAAAGCAACTGAAAGGACACCTTAATGAGCCTTCTATCAAATGTTTCATACTTTAAAAACTCCAAACATATTTACAGAAGAAGAAGAGGAACAAGAACTTTATTGATCCCTGAAGAGAAATTCAGTATACATTTGGCATATTTTATCTATATTTTTGTTCTAAAGCTCCTACAAGGTCTTTTCTGACCTGTGTGAAATAGAGTGAAATCCATATCCATGCATTTTCATGATATTCAAAAGCAAGCAAGACCATCAAACAAGATTGAAGACTTGTATATTGTCAATTTAGATGCTTGAAACTGGCGGTCAGTGGCAGGTGTCATTCAAACAGCTGCAGAAACACTCCTGTTTTTAAAACTCTTCATGTAAAATACTCACAATTGATAGTGCACTTGATTATAAAATGTTTGCAGGGTGACTTTTTGTCAAAAGACACTATTCATGCAAAGGCTGATAATGTAGACCTCATCCTTGTATGAGAAAAATCTTTTATTTTCAGCTGTTGTAGACATCTTCTTCATCTCTTATCAACTTGAAATCCTTGCACATACTGATCATTTCATATCATAACGAATTCCTCAGCTGTCACGCCAGCACCTCGATGTTTATGAAAGCATAATGTTACTTTACTTGTACTACATTTTGCATAGCAGATAAGAGATCAGTGTTTGGTGGAATTATGAAGAACTGTGAATTTGCAAATCAAAATTTGTGGTAGCTATGCAAACTCAGATAGCCCACATCTTTACTTCAGGGAAAGTTACCTCAGCTTTTGTTTCATACTGCTGCTCTAAGGCTTGACTTCTCTTCAACCAGAGAGGTAAAAAGTAAGTGTCCTGAAATTGAAAACACATTTAAGAACAAAACTGTTGTTCTATCCTGAGACTTGATGCCATCAACGGAGGATGAACTGGACAGTGTTGGTTTTCTTCGTGGGCCTTCTCTTGATTTGTAAGTAGACACTATGTTCATGTAAAGCCTCAAATGTTTCACCTTTAAATATCACATATCTCTTTGGGCATCATATTTTCTTGGGTAATAAAAAAAAAAAATCTGTCTTTAAGTTCACTGTGGCCAGTTTAACGTGAATGACATCAGTTTTGTTGGTGTTCATGCCTGTGTTTTAGCCTCAGCAGAGAGCTCCTGTGGTCAAACAGATGAAACATGTAGGAAATTACCAGATTGTTTGATGGAAAAAAATCTAAATAACCTTGATGTTGACTTCAACTGCACCATCAACGTTCAACCTTACTGGAAACATAGTAGGTCAAAACTGCATCATAAACACATCAAACAGAGTACATGTTGATTCACAAGCGGACTTGATGCAACTTTCTTTCACCCTGTAGCACCACTTTGCTTGTTTTTAACATGTTAATAACCTTAACATTATCTCAGGACTACACCCGCATAACAATTGTTACATCAGATGGTAAATTAAAGATAATGTGTCTACAAAAAAGTTTGTTTCAGATATAGCTTGACTCCTGCAACAACAAGACACACAATAAAAACTGAATATATTTCTTTTCAGCCTGTTTGAACTTTTAGTCACATAAGTATCTTGTGTGTTCCTGTATTCAATGAGTAGACAAGTCAATGATGTGGCTCTACAAGGAACCCAAAGATAACGTTTTTCTGCTGTACACAAGAAGACGGTTCATCTGGAAGGGACATTCTTTGGTTGTCCTGCAGGGGAAGCAGTGTGAAAACATGACATCCCGCTTCAGAAATGGTATTGTAAAATTGTGTTTCATACCTTTACTGTCAGTTTTCAGTGTTGTTAAAATGACATTTTACTCCTGTTTTCAACTTCAAGATAAAAAGAAATAGTTTGAAAGAGGTCTCTCACACTAGCTTCTCCTTTCTAGTCCTTCCCTGCTTGTTTTTTCCTCACCTCCCATCTGAAAAGGTTGGAGTATGGGGAAGTAGATCATGCAGTTTTACCTGGCACAAGGAAAAGGTCTCTTCCTGGGGACCTGCCTTCCCTGTCTGTTTTCTAACATCTATATATTCAGATTTCTCCTTTGGTTTTATACCCTGCTTTCCTCTTTTCCCTTATAACAGTGGGGTTGTAGGGAAAAGTGGAGTGAACATCCTCACCTTGAAGGCATCAGCTTTGTCCCAAACATATTCTTTTACTCTTCTCAGATAATTCTCTTCATTTTCTCTCATATTGCTCCTCTTCTCAGATAACTACAGGGGAATAGGGACAGGTAGAGTGTATAGCTTTACAGAAGAGGGGTTTGATGGCTGACCCGACATCTCTTCACAGACTTGTTCCTATGGTTTATGCTAGATTATATGGAATGAGGGCATCAAATGGTTGGTTCTTCAGGAAAAGCCCCTTGTGATGCTCCATCTCGTATTCAAGGGGATCCTAATCCTAATTTATCTGTTTTAAAACATTTTTATCAAGTGGGAGGTCTCTGTGGTTTTATCTACCATGACTTAAACTCTTCCTCTACCACCAGATAAAATAAAAATGATTGTCACCCACAGGATCCTGCCATGTTACACCTTCTCACATCAAAGAGCTTTGTGATCCAATACCCTTTGAAGAAATTCCCTACAACAAAACAGGTGAGTTCCTCAATAACCAACTGAGAAATTTTCCAACTTTCAGAAGTAAATTTTACAAAAGATAAAGCAAGCCATCTGGTTCTTCCAGATCCCCCGGTGAAGGATACAAATAAAACATCTGAAGAGCTAAAGGAAAAACTTGATTCTGATGATCTCAGACAATTAGGTGTGACACTAAAGTCTGAAGAAGGAGAGGATCTCGATCCCTGTCAAGCCCAGTAAGACATGTGCTGTGTTGAATAAAACTGAGCAATCTGGTGGGAAATGAGTAGAATTTCTACCTTTTACTAATGATCCCAAATAACTAAATATCATAGACTGTATATACTATGGACAACTTGGTTCCGCCTACCGCCTGTATATGGATTTGAAGCCAAAAAGCTCTCGGTATTTCCGGGATTTTTCTTCATTTCCTGAAACCAGCGCTGCGCAGTAGTGATGCGCGCATTCGGCCGCGCAGTCGCTGAGAGTCGCTGTGATGACACTCGGCTCAAACAATGTATCTCCCGGGAGAGCTACGCAATTCCTGAACGCCAATAGGCTGTATCAGGTGTCAATCATAGAAAACATGAACCCCCTAACAACTTTTGAAAACGGAGTCGTACAGAAAAAAAAGGACTTGAGCACAAACCAGTCTTACAGCAACTACATGTCAACATCGCAAGCAGGGGGGAACAAAAATTATGTTCTGTGTAATAAATTTCTAAAGTTTGTCCACAGCCCCATAAGCTTTGCTGGCGGAGGCGGGATTTATGACCTATACTGCAGCCCATCAACAGAAGGTGCTGTTCTTGGAGTGGCTTCACCCAGAGAGGCGGCAGACTCTGTCCATTCTTTATACAGTCTATGCTAAATATACTTACAAATTACAGTCTCCATGATACCTCAGATCTATAAGGCATGACTATTCCTGTTTCAATAGCATTGTGATGGGGAAAATGGGAAATGTTGCCACTTTCATCAATACGTCTTCAGCTGTACTGGACTTGGGAGAAGGAGTCTCAGGGATCTTAGTGAAAGAAAAAGACCCTGCGAACCCACATGAAGTGTCCTTCGGATATGTATCTCCAAATGACAGCATAAACGTGAGTGCAGTACTTCAATTTGGCCTTCATGTTATGTCAACAGAAACAAAACAGAGTAACATTCCCATTTTAGGCTATGAGGACTATCTCAGCCACAGGCTAATGTGGGTACAATACACTTTATTTTGATTGGCTATGACTACATTTCATAGGGATATTTGCTAATTTTATGGCGAGACTGATGTATATTTGTGTGTGTGTGTGTGTGTGTGTGTGTGTGTGTGTGTATAACCTTTTTACTCTTCTTCAATAAAAAAAATCTGCAAAATCCAACAGCTTCAGGTTCCAACCTGGCACCTCTCCTCTGAACCCCCCCTCCACTACCATCCATTCTCCAATTTTCAACTTCCATCCATAAATCCAAACCCTCCACATATCACCTTGATCCCCTCCCAACAGCTCTGGTCAAATCCTGCTTACCCTCTCATCCACTCCTCACTTACCACTGGAATTGTTCCCTCATTCTTCAAAACTACAGCTGTCACCCCTATTTTTAAAAAACCTGATTCAGATCCCAGCAACTACAATAACCTCCGCCCCATCTCCAATCTGCCCTTACTCTTGCAAAAGTTGGGAGTAACTTCAAGTTTTTGTTCACAATGTTTTTTTTTAAATCCAGCATGAGTTTTATGTATTTTGGGATGTATTTACTCCATGATCAGATGTTGTTTCCATGGAAATGCACCATTTAACTCCATTTACCGTCACAACTTTAGTGCAAAAGCAAAAAAACTAATCACAGTTGGATTATTCACTTCAACTTTTTGTCTTTTGAGAGTCTGCATACAAAAATCCTAATAAATCTCAACTGCGTTCAAACTACCGCAAAAATGGCTAGAGAGAAGCAATTGAGTAAAGAAACAAAAGTACAGATTTGTGCATTGAGGAAAGAAGGATACACAGAAAGAGAAATTGCAAAACGTCTAAAGGTGTTTAACAAAGGAGTCCACTACACTCTGAAGAGACTAGAGGAACCTGGAAGTTATAATGATAGAAAAAGACCTGGACAAAAGAGAGTTACTACAAAAGCAGAGGACAAACATGGTATTGTCACCAGTAAGAGAGATCAGCAAAAGACAGCACCACAAATAAGGGAGGAAATCAACATGACAAGGTCGAAACCCATATCTCTGACAACCGTGAAATGACGTTTGAGAAAGGCTGGTCTAAAGGGTTTAGTGGGCAAAAGCTCGCAAAAATTGGACTTATGGTGACTAGAAAAGTTTCCACTATTTGGTTCAAAATGAAGACTCTATGTCTGCAGACAAACTGGTGAACGTCTGAAAGCACCATGTATTACACCCACAATTCAGCATGGAGGTGGTAGTTCCATGTTATGGGGATGTTTTGCAGGTGATGGAGTAGGAGATTTGTTTGAAGTAAAGGGTATCATGAAGAAGGAACAGTACCACTCCATCCTCCAGCACCATGCTGTTCCATCTGGACTCAGACTTGTGGCTCATAAGTTTGTTTTGCAGCAAGAAAATGACCCTAATCACTCTGCCAAGCTCTGTCAGGGTTACCTAGACAAAAAAGAAGAGGGAGGTGTTCTTCAAAAGATGGTTTGGCCCCCTCAGTCTCCAGACCTTTCTCCAGTTGAGCTTGTGCGGGATGAATTGGATCGATCGGTCAGAAAAACGCGTCCCAGGAATCAGCAGTCTCTTTTTAATGAACTTAAGAAAGATTGGAATGCAATCCCTGGAACATACCTTAAAAAACTTGTGGAACGAATGCCTGGTATATGCCAAGCTGTTATTAAAGCCAGAGGAGGTTACTTTAAAGAAAGCAAAGTCTAAGCAACAATAACTCAAAAACCTAATAATTGTAGTCAAAATGTATTCTGATAAATTATATATATCAAACTATGATCTTTTTTTGTACAAATCTGATCTTGCTTCCAAACTTTTGGCCTGTAGTGTATATATACATTTTTTTACTCTATTGCTCTTATCTTGTTGTTTTATGCTGGTGTTTTTACTTTTTAAAGTGACCTTGAGTGTTCAAAAATGGGCTTATAAATAAAATGCATTATTATTAAACACGATTCTCAAACACATGCTCTCCTTTTCTCTGCAGGTCATAGAAAACAAAGCTACTCTGGCTCAGTATTCCAGATCTATTACAGTGACCAAAGAAGCGTTTGAAAAAGCCATCAGCTTGAACGTCAGTGTACCTTTTGCAGCTATTGTCAAATTCATGAATATGGCAAAAGTAAGGAAACATCTCAGTATCACCTTCAGTTATGGAAATGAATCAGAAGTACATCTTTTAATCATCATATTTCTGTTGTGTCCTTTGTGAGGATGAGAGGAACAGCACTGTTTTGGGAAATGAGGTTTTAGCTGTGGAAATGGGAACAATTATCCGCAATCTGACAGACAGAATTGAAATTAATGTTTGGAACGCGGTTTATGTAAGTTGAAGTAACATCATAAAAAATCTGCTTTTTGTTGCTTTTGCAGTTTAATTCAAATGGACTTCATTTAAATTGGTGGGTTTTTTTTCTCTCACAGGAAGGAATCCCATCCTGTCAGTCATGGAATGGTCAAGGTATTTTTTTTACACCTTTTTACGCTGATTTAAGATTTTGCTTTGAAAAACATAGACATGACAATACTTCACTGCGTGCACAATGGGTATTGTTCTCTCTCTTAATGTCTGTGGGCATGATGAACAGTAGCTTTCAAAGTCTGTGTCACAGGGATCAAAAAATATACATTCCTTGTCTGTGAGCGTGTCCATTCCTGTATGTCTTCACAAGTATTTAGTATTGTTGTTTGCTGGAACATGTAGTCTGGGTTCATCTACACGAATGACCCCAACCAAAGCTCTTCCCCTTAAGTGTTCTCTTGTAGTTCTGTTGTTTTCCTGGATGTCAAAGCACTTTGTTTTTAAAAGTGCCATATAAATAAGTTATTATTTGTACCCCCCATAGAGAGTTTTGTGATCTTTTGGCACGGATGCTTTTTGCGTCTTCAATATAACTCACCTCCACAATGCTCGATCCCACCCATTAACCACATCAAGTTCATTTCATTTGCTAATAGTGAAAGTTCTGTTATTCTGCCATGAAGCACTTTTTATGGTCCTAGTTGAGGCGGGGATACAATCCAAAAACTGATGACATTTTCAAATTTTGTTCTTTAACCAGGAAGACTAAGTTGGACCGATGACGGATGTGTGACCATAAAAAATGGAAGCAACATCACATGCCAGTGTTCCCACTTGACATTTTTTGCTGTCTTACTGGTGTGTGTTGGAATATTTTTGGGCAAAAGATTCCACATTGTTCTCACAAGCTGCTTTGTTTTCAAATTGTCCCTGGAATAGTAGCTCTGTAGTGAAGCTACAACTTTTACTTTTTGCAGACTCCTCTCAACGAAACCATTACCAGCTCTGACCTGAACAACCTCACCATCATCACACAAGTTGGCTGCAGTCTGTCCTTGTTATTCCTTGCTGTTCTCCTATTCATGCACTTCCTTGTCAGGTAATAACAACACCATTTGCATTTAGTATTACTTATATTAGGAAGGTCTGTACCTGGAAATTTGTGGATACTAGCATTGAATTACAGGCAGATCTAATTAAACATAACAAAAGACATAGTTTTCCAAATTTACAGTATGCGCTAAAGCTTCTAGATAGAGAGAGAGAGAGAGAGAGATAGCTACTTACTAATCCCAGAAGGAAATTAAAAGAGGCAGCACCAGTGAAACACAGTACACATTCTACGAATAAAAATACTGTAACAATATTTACACTAAATAAGGAATAAATAAAAAACAGTTTATTAACATTACCATAAGGCAGTAGCGCAGCGTTACAAATGCATCGTAAACATCGCAAAATGGATGCAGTAGTGCAAAAAATGCAGATGCTGATTGATGGTTCATGGATGGGATAAATTGTATGTGGGGAGGTTCAGTTCAGACAGGGCTCCTCAGAGGGAGAAGTTGAAGAGCCAAATGGCCTGGGGAACAAATGACCTCTTCAATCTGTTACAAGAGGAGGAATATTATTCCAGCATATGATCACTTAGTGTTTAGTTAACCTGATTTTTAACTGACCTTTAACTGACTTTGCCCAAGTAATACCCATGCATTGGAATAACAGTATTAAAGGTCGTTATTTAAAATAATTCAAAATATACCGGAAAAATGCGGAGGTCCTGCATAAATGTGAGTATGAAGGTGCTCTGCCAGCACTTTCATACTCTTCTCCCCTTGTTTTGTGTCTCTTGTCTCCTCTAGTCCCTTGGAAATGAGGGAGAGAGGGGAGTAGGGGGTGGTAGCCTGAATTACTGGGGACAACCTTTAGCTCATATAGATCCTTTTCTCTGGCTCTGACTCCCCATACCTCCTTCTAAGTACTTTCTACTTATTCTCTTTCTTTCTCCTTTTTTTTTTATCACTCATCAATAAAGTGGAGTAGTACGGGAGGTAGAGCGTACAGCCAGGCCTGGCAAGGGGGAACTTCTTAGACTTGCTCTGTCTTCCCTATCCTCTCTCAAACCTCTCTCTAAGGACTATTCCCTCTGTTTTGGCATTTTTCTTTGGTTTTGTCTCTTCTTCTCTCTCCTCTGTTAATAAAGTGGGGGAGGAGGGGGGGTAAAGTGTACAGTAAGGCTTTACGAGGGTGAACCCTTATTCAAACTTGCTTAACCTGGCTCTGCCTTCCCTACCCACTCCAAAACACCACTCTAAGGACTGGCTCCTCTTTTTTGTATCCATGGTCTCCTCTGTCCTTTTGTAAGTGGGTGCAGTAGGGGCGGGTACAGCATACAGTCTAATCTAGAAGGGCTAAGATGTTGTCCAAACAAGCTTCTTGCCCTTTGCCCGTGTAAATATGATGGTCTGTGGACCTAGCGTGGAGGAAGTTGGCTCTGATAAGCTGAAGTCAGCTCTGGAGTGTGGGTGTTGTGGGTCTCATTTGATAAAATGAGATTGATGAAAAAGTGCTCATCTGTCCTCACAGGAGAATAAAGGCCAGTACTTCAACAGGGCTTCTCATCCACCTGGTGTTGGCCATATTTCCACTAAACTTCACTTTCCTCATCAACAACTATGTGGCAAAACTGAAGAGCTCTGTGGGTTGTGCGATCATGGGAGCTGTTATGCATTATTTCATGTTAGCTACGTTCACCTGGTTTGCTGTGCAGGCCTTCCACCTCTGCTTGCAACTGTACTCAGGGGGTAAAATTGTGATCCGGCACTACTTACTCAAAGTCTGCATCATCAGCTGGGGTGAGTACACATTGTTTTTCTCTTCTTTGCCTGTTAAAATCCAGATCTGTAAACCAGCTGTTTTCTTGGTGTATTTCCAGCTCTCCCGAGTGTCCCTGCAATCATCCTGCTTGCCACAGGAAAATATGGAGAACTAGTCATTTACACGAATGACCCCAACCAAAATGTGCTCATGTGAGTCTGCAAATATGTTTTAATTCTGCCGATTAAGTATTCGGAGTAATAACACTAACACTGTTGTTTGTGTTCCAAGGTGCTGGATAACAGACAATAATGTCCACTACATTGTCAACATTGGCTACTACGCCGTGGTCTTCCTCTTCACCATTTCTACCTTTGTCATTGTACTGACCTGGCTCTATTATCTCAAGAGAACCGAAGCAGGCCACGCAAAATACGACAAAAGTGGCATGAGAATTTCAACCATCCTAGGACTGTGCTGCATGCTAGGTATCACGTGGGGTTTCGCCTTTTTCGCCTATGGTACCCTGCTGATCCCATCCTACTACATCTTCACCGTCCTTAATTCTTTACAAGGTATCCTGAATACAATCCAAATTATTATATGTTTTTCTAAAAAAATAACTCATATTTTAACTACCTCTCACCTTTTTTAGTTAAAACTTGAAACTTGAGAGGCTATAAGAACTCTTACTTAGTCATTCATATAATTGATGACTCTTACGAAGTAAGATGAAGTTTAATTGCATGGAGAACTAAAGCTCATGACTAAGACCTACAAAGCTACTACTTTTGTACATTTAAAGAAAATCTATTAACAATAAGGCACAAACACTCCCTTCTGGCACCAATTTGCTGTTTAATCTGATAAGATAAAATTTAAAGTTTCTCACAGACACATCCGGGATAAAAATACCGTACAGCAAAGCAAAAACGCCACAAAAGTGTTCATTAGTTAATATTAAGATTGTTTTGAACACTCCATGGGGACCAATACTTCTAACAAGAAAAACTCTGTTTTATGTGATTTAGCGGAGCTTCATACTAACTCTTGTGACTGAGTGCCCTGAGAGTGGCAGCAAGTCCCAGCAGCTCCTCACAGTGTTTACGTTTTTGCCTTTTTATTGTTGTTTTTTGACATTTATTTAAGTTCTTAATATTACAATCTCTATTTTTATAACTGCATTTTTGCACTCTTTGTCTGTGATGCTGCTGTGACAAAAAAATTTCCCCCATGGGGGATCAATGAAGGAACAAAAGTCAATCCCATTGGAAAGCAAACGAGTTCAGTATGTTTCATATTGACAAAATTAAAATGGCAATAATATTTTTAAAAAGGAGGAAAATAATGGTTACAGTGGAATTATCAATACTGCCACATCGACTTTTCAAACTATCTTCTCAGTCATTAAACAGCAAAATTCTGAAACTTCTTTAGGGTTCCTACTTCATACTTAGATGCAGGCATTTGCTTTTTTCCCCCCCCATCATCCCATCATCTTTCTTTGTCTTGCAGGTTTCTTCCTATTCATCTATTACTATAACAGCAGACATGCAGAAGACTTCAGCACCGCCCAGACTAATTGTTACAGCGTCAGCACCAGCACCAGCACCAGCACTAGCACTGTCAGCAATGTAAACACACACAACAGCTGTGAGAATCCCTACATAAATATGCCCACAAAAACTAGTCACTTGGAGTAATGGAAATTCCAGGTTGATAAAGACGTCAGGAAGAGTTAGACAAACTGGGTATAAACCATTTACCGATAACCGACATCATTTTGCCCATATCAATATATTCGGTGTCAAAAAAATAAATAAAAGTTGGCTGGATGTGTGTAGGTAGGCTACAGTCGCATGACCCTTTAAGACGCTGTCCTACGTCGAAGGTGAGGAGACGGAGGACAGTTTGGAAGTTGTAGCGACTGAAGTAAACGAAGTTAATGTGGGAGGGCGTGAACAGCTTGTGGAGTAGTTATCATCTATTTATCGTTATCGAGGTGAACTGCTCAATGTATCATGATATTGATTTGAGGCCATATCGCCCAGCCTTAAGACATGCACCCTAAAAGCAAGTGTCAAGCATTAATTAAAATGTGTAGGCATGTATACATATATAGTTAACATTTGAAAATGCAAATGTATCTTAATATTTTTTTGAACTAAACCAGCGAACACTGTTTTTCCTGCCTGGGAACATCCCTGGGTGGAATGTTTTAATAGAAAATAAGATGAGAGGTGAGAAGAATGAAGAAATAAAAAACTTTTATTCTATTTCAGTCACACTGATATTTAAACACACAGTGAAATCATATAAACAATTATTAAAATCATTGTTAATTGAGAAACTACATACATTCACAATAACAAAGCTTCAGTTTCCATGAGAGCTTTCTCCATCTCAGCAGCCTCCAGGGAAAAAGTCCCCCTCTCCTCCATCATGTGTTCCTGTGCTTTAGTGAGCTCTGTCACTGTTGTTTGGATTTCCTGAAAGTGTTTGAAATAGAAAACATGTTATATATTCCGCAACAACTGCTTGTAGCCACTGCAATGAATAAAAAGTTACAAAAATAAGGAAAAAAAGTATCAACTAGTTGGACTCACCTCTAGCCGTGCTCGCTGCTGGGATGCAATGTCTCCAAAAGCTTTTAATTCATGCAGCAGATCAGCAGAGACACTCTGAGAAACAGTTAAACTTGTGTTTACTGCATAGATACAGTATCTTGTTTTCAAAATAAGATACAAGTTTATGTTGGACTTTTATTTTTATAACTTTCAAAGTGCATGTTAGTAATTTTTTGACACTTTAATTCAATTGCTCTCTGATTTAAAGTTTGAATCGCACACATGATATATCTTCCTTTAAATACAGTGTCAAGTAAATTTAGGTACCTTGACTTCTTTTCTTTGATCTTCATTTTGTCCTGCAGTTTCTCCAACCAGCTCTCCCAAAACTATAACAAAGATTTTGATTTTTCATCAGGCAGCAACATAAAAAGAAACATTTTGAGAATGTCAGATGTAGACTCACTCGGATCTATTTTTGCAGCGACCAGGAGCACATGACAGTCCTTCAGGTTTTTCTGCACCTCTGCATTTTCCTTTTCAAGACCACTAAATTGTAGCTGTAATTCAGCGACCCTATGCTGTAATTGAACACAGATTTAAGTAAAGTAGCACTGGTTCTGATGACTTGGAAATTTTGCTTTGTTACCATCCTGTCTGCTGTACCTGTGTCTCTGCAAGGGTTTTCTGCAGCTCCTCATTGGTAGCAATCAGATACTGGTTTTGCTCCTTGAGCTCTGCTTGTTGCCCATACCTGGTGGAGATCCTGGAACGGTGCAAAATGAACTTTAAAAGGACAAAAAAAGGCTGTCTGCAAAACATAATGGTGATCACTTTTTAATACATGCGAATAGGCTTTTATTAGTTTTAAATTTTTATTGAAGATGATATATAGAACTGTTGTTTTTGGTTGTTTCTGTTTTATTCTTACATAGATGTGTGCTTTATTTTGGGATTGTGATGTGTATGTAAACACTATGTACAGCTGCTTTTGACAAGCACTGTATAAATACACTTGATTACCATTAAAATAACACGTGACTTACCCTTTGTGAGTTTTTGGGACATTATTTTTCCTGAAAGGTGAGAGAAAAATTGAATTGTATTCCTGAATAAAATACAGGAGTTGGCAGGTGTGACGAGCTTGTCATATAACATTAAAGGCTGCAGAAAAAAGACAAAAGTTTCTTTCTAAATGAAGCACATCTCCTCATAAGCTTATTAAACCCCTCTAATTTGTCACAGGAGCCTTTTTTTCTCTCAATAATAATAAAGAGCATTTTATTACCTTTGCAAGTTTTCTTTCTGAGGTTTAAGGATACCATCGGATTTTTGAGTAGCATTTACTACTTCTGCATCTTTGGTTTCAACTTTGTGGCCTGTTTTCTTCGTCTCTGCAGGCAGCTGCACCCCTACAAAACAGTCAGGAATTATAATTTGGCATCAGCCTACAGCAACAAATTGAAGCTCCAAAAAAGTGGATAAAATAATCAGTTTGCTCACCTCTTGGTATTTTTGAAGACATTGCAAATGTAGCTACTATATTTAATGCCAGGAGTAACCCAGACACCTGCATAGAAACAGATTACCCTGATTACACTGTTAAGTGCATAAAGACTACCCGGTGTTTTGGATGAAGCAGTGACCGTGTTAAATGGTGACCTCCAGCAAAACGGATCCTTGGTTGTCGTAGTTACTAATGAAAGCTCTGCCTCTAGTTTTTCGGGCATGTTTGTGAAGTCTGTTTTGACATATTTGAATAAGAAACCATGAAGCATCCGTGAGGATTATTTCCCTGTATTAACAGCTGATGCATATACGACATCCATCCACATCGCATGCGGCTGACAGTCTCCAGTCAACAGGGACACTTTTTCAACGATACACCGGCTCATCTCTACATTAATCAAACGACTATTTAAGTAAATATTTAACTAAGTATTTTATAATCGTATACATTATAACAGAGACATAATTCAATCATATCTTGAATGGAGATCGTTACGTTTCTCCATATAAAGTAAACGGGTCAGCGGCAAAAATGAAGCAGGACAATAGTCAAGCACGGTAAATTTGCTTGATTCTAGCTTCTTCATCATATATAAAACCTAAAAATACAGCATCTTCCATAAAAAATACTTCATCAGTTCCTACCTTTGGGTCACGTTTGATAGGGGCTTCGTCAACAATCAAATACGAATTCAAAATCGTCCCGCCCTCTCTGGTCAATTCCGGTTTGTTTACGTTATTTCCTGTAGTGTCAAAAAGGTGTCTCGCAGTTATTGCACATCAGAATTATTGTACACCGTCATAAATTGTAAATAAATAGTTTATAAACTACCAAAAGTTTCCTTTTGTCGGCTGTCTTTTTTTCTTATCAACAAATAAACCGAAAACAGACTTACTCAACTGCTTAGCCCCGTGCGCATGCGCGGAGGCGGCTAAATTCAAAACTAAAGACGTTAGCTCTGCAGCTCGTTGACGTTACCTACTGTTTGCAGCTCCGTACCTTGAATTTGGTTAAAGTACGCGACATGAAAGGAATTTGAACTGAGACTGCAAAGTAAAATAACACTTTTGATTGTCAACAGGAGGAATTAACTCATTACAACTACGAGGTATGTTTTCTGACGAGATTTCTGAGTTCACTTCTTGTATTCATCGTCTGGTAAATAGCACGCGAATGTAGACGTTAACGTTGCTGCGTTATCTTTCTGTCTGTCTCTGCTAATGTGAACAAAAACATCGTTTCAAACAAATATTGCTCAGTCTACATGAAAGAAAATGTGCTAATTGGTACGAGAGTTTGTCGACAAAACAAACTTATATCCACATAGAGCTGAGCTCTTTGTCGATGGTCCAGAAACGGCCCGAATAAGACGCAGTTAACTGTGAGAGCATTTAAGTCTTCCATTTCTAAAGGTTATGTCCAAGAAAGATTAAAATTCGTTTCGAGTAAAAAGCTTCGTCGACTTTCTCTAACTGTAATATCGTGCATCCTGTCTGTTAGCATCTTTCTTAGTTATTTTTATGAAGGTTATGAAGAGGACAGTTAATGTTTGAAAGGGCTGAATATGTCACGTAAACTAATTCCTTCTACAAGATTTTATGTAATTGCTGCTGAATCTGATATTTTATGCTGAGTAGTGCTTTCTTTTTTCTCTCTCTTGCTTTCTCTTTTTTTATAGTTAAAAATGGAGCCTCTGGATCCTCCCAAGAATGAGTAAGTCAGAACTGAGTTGTACTTTGACCACACACAGACTTCAGGGCAATCCAGTGAGATCCAACACAATAGCTGGACCATTAATTCCTCTTTCAAGAAGCCTCAGTTTTATTGAAATGATAAGCATAATATAGGGAACAGCAGTCAGTGTAACACACCGTTGCACAATGGCAACACTCATTACAACTTTAATAATTAACTCAAGGAACCTATAACATCTTGTTTGATCATGTCAGCTACAATTTACGGCAGAGTTGTGGTATTAGTTTGCGTTTTATTACCCCAGTGTTCATAATTTTATGGCTTGTTGGTGTATGGAAGAAATTACTTAAGTATGGTTTTAACATAAAGCTTTGGTCTACATGTCTTCTGGCATTCACATGAAGGTAGTAAATCTGCATTTTAATAAATGATCATTACCTTGTTACATTAATTCTCTTGTAGGGGAGGCAGTGGACACTCCAAACGGCGGCTTTCTTCTGTTAGTACTACAGTTGGTTTATGGGCTAAGTTTATATTATAGTTTCTCACCTTTTGGACCAACAATAGTCTGAACTGTCTTATCTGCTTTTTTTTTTTTTTCAGATTTTGAAAGCACCGCGGAAATCAGTGAGGTTACCTGACCCAGAGCAGCAGGAAAATGTGGTGAAAAAAATTGCCTGATTTTATATTTTAGACCCATGTTAGTAACTTTAGGAATTGGTCATGCTCAGTAATATAAGCCATTACTTATTTCGGAGTTTTGAGTTTGACATTAACAGAAGTATGTTTTAATTAATTAATTAAAGTATTGATTTTAATTGACTGAAGCATTACATTTGACATTTTTATATCATTTTACCATTTTATCTAACAAAGGTCGACGTGTGTGCCAAACCGGCAGAGAAGAGGAATTCCAGAAGAGTCAGTTTTGCCCCTGCCAACGATGTTCTGCTGTTTTCAAAGTGAGAAAGTGTAAGAAAAGATGGCGCTTATTTCCCCACAAGGAGGCTGTTATTTCACCCAAACCCATACTTTATGTTTACAGGGATGTGAAAAATGTCTCTCCGGCTCGAAGTCCTTTACAAGAGTTAATGACACCAAGTAAGTATTCATAATGTGTCATTTGCTGGTATATATTTGTATTTGCTTTGTATCTTTGTATTTTACCTAGCATTGTTAAAATATCCCATGTGTTGATTATCAGCAGGACTGGCAGACACACAAAACAAGTAAGATGACTCTTAGACTCTTCCTTTTCAGCTGTAGATATGATAATATTTTTAAATTTTTAGTTTCACCAAACCAGTACATTTGTTTTTGTCTTAATGCAAGTGTTGTTCTTCTCTAAAAGGGTTCAGTTAGCAGTGACAGAAAATGGAATTCAACAAATCACAGGTAGGAGCAGAAGCCTTTTTGACTTGAGACTGGCACAGAAACTGCTCGCATTTTTATTTATCTATTAAAAAAAAAATTTGTAAACATTTTTTTTTCTTTAAAATTTAGGAATGGAAACCTTGTTGAATGCTCCTATACATGCTTCTCAGCAAAGAGATATGGTAACTCTGCTGTTTTGTTCTGTTTTGCTTATATATATTTATAAACCTCTAGTTTTAAAAAAAATGCCAGAATTTTATTAATCAAAATATTAAAGCTCCTGTAAGGAACTTTCACTTTGTCGAAGTCGGCGCCCCCTGTAAACAGAGCAGTCTTTGCTTATCTTATCTCCGTATCCACATAAATATTGTCCTTCTGACTTATGACAGTCAGATGTGTCATAGTTATGTATATTTAAAAACATAAAAACTGCTTAGTGGACATCTGCCCCCTCATGCTGTTTTTCAGCAATCAAAAACTATGATATCACAATCATCAGTCTTGTTGATGATGGTCTCATTTGCTTTTGGATATTATAAAAAAGCAACCATATAAATTTTTGTCAGTTTTATAATCTTAAAAAAAACTCCTCACAGGAGCTTTAAAAAGCTGTTTTATAATAAAGTTTTCATTGAAACACATGAAGCGACTGGTCATTAACGTAAAGCTGTTTGTCTTTACTAGGTCAGCTTTAATGCTGGAAGTGATCTTGGGGAGAAAACGGTGATGTTCTCTACAGATGATGCATTCATGGACATGACCCACTGTCACACCATAAATATTGCCAGTGATGCAGATTTAGTTGCAGATATTTCCTTGCAAAACTCCCAAATATTACCCACTAGAGGAGAGAAAACAGTGATGGCCACTGGGGATGATGGATCCATGGATAAGGCTGTAAACACACAAAGTTGGTCAGCATCTTTACCCACCAGCAGGGGACAGCATGTAAGAGAAGAGAAGAAAATCATAGCCTCAGTGCCTTCTTTGGATCCTGGATTTGAAAGTTTCCTCGCAAGTCTCTCCAAACCAAGCCGCCCCAGTGCAAATGCTGTTATCACAAGAATGACACCTCCTGATGGAGCAACTTCTGGAGAAGCAAACAACTTCAAGATGAAACCACAACAAGCTGATACAGATAAAGAAAATCAGCCTCTTTCTTCTATTCCAGCTGTGTTAGAGAAGACAAGAAATGCATCGATTGCACTCTTTCCAGATGATGATGTCAGTATGGATATGACAAAAGCACTGACAGGACGCATTCAGGCTTTTGCTGAGGATGATCCTTTTCAGTGTCTTTTTCCTTCACAAGAAATGTACTCTCAACATGACAGCAGAGTGTCACAAGCAGCAGAGAGAAACAAGCAGCAGCAGAGCAGGAAGACACTGCCGTCATCAATCTCGAAAGGTATTTAAAATTCAAATACAAAGCTGATTAGTTTGTGGGCTTAATACCTGACAAAATGGCTTTATTTCATAATTTGTGGTTGTACAAAGTTAAGAATTCATATTCTGACAATTCAATTTCAGATACGTCATCCTTGCGAAATCTTTCTTTACGTGCTTCTTTACCAGGACACCAGGTGAGTCTTAAAATAGGTTTACTTTGCTAGTACATTTCTTATCTCTGACAGTCCTTTATACAGACATTAAACAAAACCAATCAATTCGGATGCTTTGAAAGTTTGAGATGTATCACAAATAAAGTCTCCAGACTAAACTCAGCACAAAAAAGTACATTTTTATTGATTTTGTTAAAGTTTGGGTTTGATTTTCTTCCTCAGGTCAAACTTGGCGTGACTGACGAATACAGAGAGAGAACAATAATGTTCACTGCAGGCGATGACGTCATGGACATGACTCAGAGTCACACTGTACACATTGCCAGAGGTTCAAAAATAGACAGTGCTTCATCTCTGACAGAGAGAAAAACCAAGGGCTCGTCAACAAATGGTTTGGATTTGGGATTTAAGAACTTACTCGCCAGTCCCTCCAAATCAAATGCCCAAACAATCCCCCCTTCTGCTAAAACCTCCAGGGGCCTGGGAGAGACATTTAAGGGATATGCAGCATGTCCTAAAAATGAAGTTAGCAAGGGTGTAACAGAAGCTCGGAGTGGTCCATCTGGCTCAGATGATCCTTTTCAGTTTTTATTCCCAACTAAGGATGTGAACCCAAGTAGTGTCACTGTGAAGACTGAAAAGATCACCTCAGGACAGAAGAAGACAAAAGGATTATATGAAGGTGCAGGTATGAAAAAACCCAAACCACCAAAATCTTTATCAAATTTGACTCAAATACAGAAATGATAACAACCAGAAGTTGAAGAGACTTAGAGACTGTCAATTACAAAAAAAAAAAACAATAATAATAATAAAAAAAATATGAATAATGGTGCATGGCTTTAAAGACATGATTAAAGTAAAGATGAATTTCATGTATTAACACTGGAGATGTTTTTCAGTTTCTTTCATTAATAAGCTTCTCATTAGATTTTATTCCTTTGTATTAGGTTTGGGAACTTCATTAAAGCCAACAAAGACCAAGATTCAACAAAATCAGGTAAGCTTAAAAATTAGAGCCATTTTTATTTAAAGGATTAAATTTTTGCAAAATGAGTGAGAGATACACATACGAATCTTTATTTGAGCTAATATGCATAAGTGATAAAAACCTGCCCTGATAGTAATATGTCCACCACAGCATATACCGATTACACTCTTGAGCAAAGATTTAGGCAGTTTTTAACACAAAAACCAAGAACTGTTCACACTTTTCGGTTGTCTTACCTTTGTACTGTGAACTAAAGCACTCCTGTGTGTGTCACAATGTCCTCTTCATGCTTAAATCTTTATCCAGCTATTGGGCTTGCAGACTGAGTATACTCACAGTGCTAATACAAGTAGTAGTAGTAGTAGTAGTAGTAGTGTATGTAGTAAACTTAAGTTGCAGATTACACCGAATGTATGCAGAGGTAGGGGTAAATCTGCAGAATTGCTGTGCCTCGAGGTTGTAAAAGGGTATTGCTATTCAGTGATTTCAGTTTTGTCATCAATAACTTGGAGCTTGAAGTAATTTTCTGTGTCTCAATGTCATGTATTGATTCAGTTGATGTAGACCACTGTAAATTCATGCAGATACATTGCAACTTAATATATTTCCTGCAGCTTTCAAGGGTGGTGCCCCTGATATTGTGTTTTGAATATCAACTATTAAGTGAACTTCACTTTTGAACTTTTTCCACCCACAGGTCAAATTTGACTCTGAGGATAACCAGAGAGAAAGAACAGTCAGGTTTTCTGCAGACGATGGGTGTATGGATGAAACGAGAAGCCTCACAGTAAACATTGTCAGTGACTTAGAGCTGCAGTCGACCCAAAGCTTTCCTACCTTTGGAGAGAAAACCGTGAGGTTCACCGCATGTGATGCAGCAATGGATATGACACAGAGTCACACTGTAAACATTGCCGCTGAATTGAGTTTGCAGTCGCTTCAGAGTTCAGACTTTTTACCCCAATATGGAGAGAAAACAGTGAGGTTCAATGCAAATGATGCAACCATGGATATGACCAATTGCCTGACAGTAAATATTGCAAGCAATGAAATTTCAGAGTCAGCTCTATCTGCAGTATGTGGCCCATCTCAAGGACAAGTCTACCCAGAAAATGAAATAAGGAGAAAACTGAATGAAGGAGGAGAAGCTGATGTTAGCATGGACATGACTGAAGCTCATACAGGACGCATTTTACAAATACCAGCTACAGATGCTCCTCCTCAGTGTATTCCTGGCTCACAGCTGCAGCACAGAGGATCAGCTAACTTAAAAGGTAAGAGAATTCCACATTTTTCAGTTTTTGATCATTTTAAGACTTGTGAACAGCCCATGATTGTGGAAATGTTTCTTTGTTTTTGAAAGTTTTACTACCAGTATGCTTCACTTTCTGTATCTTTATCTAGGTTTGGACACCTTATTGGCTGCCTCTGTTAGGACAAAGCGGCAAAGGCACCAGGTGAGTTTTTTGGATAGACAAAAATCTATGTGTAATTGCAGTTTTGTCACATTTGTCTAAAGTTTATAGAGCTGTTCTGAATTAACTATTCTTTAAAAAGCAAATTTTAATTCAAACTTACTAACCAAACTTTTAAGCTTAGAAAGAAACCCTAAAAACAGTCAAAAAATGAGGCTAAACCCAACATCACAGGGTCTGGAAAGAATGTCAAATTAGTTTGCAGTGTTTGGCTACTGTTTGCAAAGCTAGCACCACAGCCTTCAGCCTCCTTGCAAGTTACCATCCACATAATTATACTGGTTATGCAGAGCTAAGCTTTGGCCAGTTTAATTTGTCACACCCTACATACAACTTTGCCTCCATTGTGTAGTTAAACATACTGATGAACCACACCGTATTATGTGGTGCCATCTGACATCTAGTGCTGCAACGATTAATCGACGTAATCGATTACGTCGACACGACAAATTCATTAACACGACAAATTCATTGACACGAAAACGAAGCGTCGTGTTATTGTTGTTAAGAATCACATGCCGGCGCCTCATGCTCATCTATAACTGCAGTGCACTACAGGATGTGCTGGAGGCAGTAGCGCTCGCCGTTTACATCCCGCGAGCAAACACAGAAGAAGAGTGCACACATGGCAGAACAAACTGATAAAGATGCTCCAAAACTCAGACCCAAAACTTCAAAAGTTTGGGAACATTTTACGAAGAACAAACCAAAAAAACACGTTGATCAAAGCTCAGCTTTCCTACCATGGCAGCACCACAGCGATGCATGAGCACCTGAAACGCCGACACCCCGGAAATAGGTGTTTATAAATAAAGAAGATAGTGATTAATCGGACGAGTAGTCGATAGATTAGTCGACCAAAAAATAATCATTAGTTGCAGCACTACTGACATCTGTGCCTGCTTACATACAGGCAGTAGAGCGTTGTAGTATCATGGCAGCAACAGAGCTACAGCCTCAGTGGTGGGTGGCTGCTGAGACTCAGTATAGAAGCAATACAGGACTGACACTTCAGGCCTGCAGTAATAGAATTTGAATACCTCCTAAAGGTGGGGTAGGTAGGATCTGGGGAAGTGCCAGTTTTTGGGTGAAATCTTAAATGTAAACCCTACCCCTCCCAACCAGTTTTCCCCACAGCTCCTCCTCCTCCCTCCCTCTCTGCTCCAGCAAGCCCTGCCCACAAACAGACGCTCCTGTTCGCTCATGTTGTTTCAATTAAATTCAGATATAATGCAGATAAATACTTAAGATCACAAATGGGGCCCAGTCAACGTGAAAGTAAAAAGCACTGGTGCTACTGTAGATGCCAACAGACTACCAGCAAACACAATGTTTGCAGGAGTTCTACAACTAGCATAAAGTGACATACTCCAGGACCTGAGGTAAACAGTTTAGCAGTGCTACAACACGCAGTAGGTCCTGTTTGACAAGAGACACTTCTGTTACAGACACTTTGCTTACTTTGTTAAAGTGGTTTACCTGTCCAGCAGAAAGGTTACAGGGTCTGTAAGATCCCGAAGCGTCCCCCATCGTTTATGCTGATGTTGACATGCCTTTTAGCTCTTGTTCAGTCTACCTCCATTTTAAGCGCCCTTTTTTCCGCCAGAGTCTCCGGTATTTACTTTGTTTTCTTGCTTGTGGTGGCAGTCATGGCCAAAGGAGGATTCAGACAATTTCCATACTTTCTGGTTGGTTTCTACTGTCCGATATTGTAGCACGCTGACTTTGTTTGGGCTTGTGCACGTTATTCGAGGACGTGGAGCTTGCCTCACAACACGGGAGAGCAGCGTCCACCACACAACCAATCAGGTTGGGGAGGTGGAGAATGGCTTTGTTTACAGTCAGAAAGAGCGGGCCGCTCAAAAAATTTAAAATGTTGACTACACAGACATAACAGAACACAGCGATATCGTTATATTACCAAGTGTCATCAATAACTTATAGCTATTGACTGATATTAAAAACTTTTTTGAATATACACCACAAAAAAAGATGCTTCTTTAACGGAATCCTGCCTACCCCACCTATGAGTGACTAGTAGTTTTGGTTGTTTGGTTAATTAAATTTGCACATTTCTAGTAGAAGCCAAACCTGTAATTTCTGTCTCTGTCATGTAATTGCAACATTTAATGTTACCCAGCAATTACTGACCAAAACAACTCAGTTATCCCCATGTCTAATCCAACTTTATATGGTGCCACTTCACATAATTCTTTAGTGTTTAGGTTTTTTAAAGTGTTTGTGATATTTTTGCTTAAAAATGGAATAAAATTCAATCAGTGATTGTTGCACTGGCATAGTGAAATGTTGCTTTATATGACTCCATGATGGCATAATCAATGTTAACAATGTCTTTTTCAGGTGGTCTTTGATTCAGGAGATGACCGCAGAGAGAAAACAATAAGGTTCACTTCTGACAAGGCAGCTATGGATATAACAAGAAGCCTCATTGCCACCAATATTGAACCCAAGACGCAAGAAAAAGAAGAGGTTTTACCTACAAAGGGAGAGAAGACAATAAGGTTCACTGCTGATGATGCAGCTATGGATGTGACAAGGAGTCATACTGTGAATATTGCTACCGACTCCATCCAACAATCTGACCAAGTTGCAGATTTTTTACCTTGTGGAGAGAAGACAATGAGGTTCTCTAGAAATGATGCAGCTATGGATATAACAAGAAGCCTCACAGTCAACATTGCCACCAACTTTGACCCAAAGGCACAGCAAAAGCCAGATGTTTTGCCTACTTGTGGGGAGAAAACACTGAGGTTTTCTGCGAATGAGACAGCTATGGATACGACAAGGAGCCACACTGTAAACATTGCCACTAACTTTGAACCACAACCACAAGAAATGGAGGCATTTTTGCCTACTTGTGGAGAGAAGACAATGAGGTTCACTGCAAATGATGCAGCCATGGATGTGACTAAAAGCCACACTTTCAACATTGCCACCAACTTTCAACTACAGTCACACCAAATGACGGATGTTTTGCCTTCTTGTGGCGAGAAAACACTGAGGTTTTCTGCAAATGATGCAGCCATGGATGAAACCCAATGTCTCACTGTAAATATAGCAAGCAGTTCAAAATCAGATTTAGCCAAAACAAATCGGAAATCCAACATTTTAACCATCCAGGAAAACAGTGATTTTGCTTTATTTGAAAAGAGGAGGGAGAATGAGCCAAATCATCAGCGTAGAAGCAGATCTTCTGTTGCTCACACCAAACTTAACATCTTCCAAGAGCAACCCACACAGAGTAATGATACGGATGTATTAACAGCAGCTTTTGTCTCAGCTGACACAGAGAAACCGTCCAATAAAACCATGACAGAGGAAAATATTTTCATGGATATCACTGAAGCTCAAACTGGCCAAATCTCTAGTCAGACATGCACAGATGAACAACCTCGAGACATTTCATGCACTCAGGACATGAGCCCCAGACAAACAGAAATGACTTCACAGAACAACAAAGCACAGGGATCATCCAACCGTCAAGATTCTCTCGACTCAAATGACAGTGACACATGGAAAGAACCTGAACCAAGACATCAAACTCAGCCTTTATCACAGGAAACAGAGAGTTCACCAGCTGCTGTTGATCATGATGTTGACGCAGCACCTCCACGAAAGTCCAGACGGATGAGTTTAGCTGATCTACATTCAAAAGTAAGACGTCTGAGCCAGCTGATGAATACAGCTCCTGATGCTGCAACCATAGATAGCTGCATAGCACCTTTGTCTGAACCAGAACACAACCTGAACAAAAGCCCAAAAGACAAAACAAAACCCCCACCTGAAATGCAGTCTGAAGATGAAACTACCCCGGCAAGCTCTGATGAAAACCCACAAGCTCCAAGTTATGAAGAGAAACCCTCTCCAACCATCCCTACCACTCCTTTCAACCTGAAGACAACACAGCTTATCTCAAGAGTCTCTTTCAGCGGCGTTAAAGCAAAACTCCCCCACAGAATTAAACCTGGGGAACCAAAGAAGGGGAATTCTGTTGGAGAGCACACAAGGACAATGACTAGGGGTGTTACCAATCAACTGAGCACTTTTGACGCTGACGTGAGCGATATTAATGATGAGGAGCTAGGCAGTTTCGAAGACATGTCAGAAACCTTTGATGCAAGGACCCCTCAGAAAACCACTCTAAACCTTGGTCCTTCTCTGAAATTCAATATGGAGCCTTTCCAGGATGATGTGTTTGAACAAGACTTCATTAGTGCTGTCAGTGGAAAGAAGAGGCCTTTGCCAGAAGAGGAGAATGATATGGAGGAGGATGAGAAGAGGATAAAAGCCTCCACTGAGATAGCTGGGGATGTTGAAACAGTAGGTCATATTAAGAGTACTTAGATCTAAAAATTTTGTACAGAATATTTGATTTTGTTTCATGTTTTGTGTTTTACTCTTTTTTGTGTGTGTGTGTATTTTCATCTTTTTCCTCTTTCTCTTTTTCATCAGGAATTTCAGTGTCATGTTGATGCAGATGTTGCGGTAGAATGTGAAGGTAACGTCACAGCAGCCCCAAGCACAGATTTCTCCAACATTAGTCACACAGCCAGCAGGTGTGAAGTTACATCCGAATCAAGTCAGTGGTATTTCTGTTACGTAGTAATAGTAAACTGTTTTGATATGTTTTCTCATATTGTTGAGCTTCCCTTAATTTTGGACAGTTAATAACTTGTTACTTTTTTGTTTTTAGCTTTTAAGCATAGCCTGTTTGAATCGCAGCTTGAAGAATATGCCAATGATGTACAGAAGGTATAGTGTTTATGTATTTCATAAGAATATCTTTAACTGAAATCAAACTTTCGTTAATGCAGTTCATTCATTCTTCTTCAATGTTTCGGCTACAGAAGTTTGATGATGGCACCGTCACAGTGTTGGAGTTCTTTAAAATCTTCAGCATAGACTTTGTCATCCATAATCCTCGACAAAGTGTCTTCTGTGCCAGGGTGAGTTTATCTTTATTTACCAATTAATAAAATATCAATTAAAAGAAACTCAAAACTGTTTTAATTGTATTCTTTTGTGTATGCCCATTTGTTTGTTCCTTTGTTTGTTTGTTTCAGCAGCTTTTGTCAGACAGTGATCGCACACCAATGGATGTAATGAAAGACAGGCACATCATCTGTCCCAAACAAACTGTGTATAAATCAGATGTCCTTAACCTCACAGAGAAAGTAGAGGGGTATGTACACTGAACAATCTATTCTGCTTAAATGACCAAGAATTTGGATTGATTAACATGTAGTTTGTCGATGTTTGTTTGGGACGTAAACAGGGTCTGATTTGTTTTAAAGATACGGGGAGGAACTTTCGGTTTGTCAACTTTGGCGCCCCCAATGTGGACAATGCAGCCTTTGTTTATCTTGTCCTATATATGCTTAAGTTGCATTCTCGGGCAAACGCTCTCATCATTCTTGCTTTTGACAGTCAAAGGGAATATGTATTGTGAATATTTGACATGAAAAATATCAGGGCTGTTTCTCCAGCTCCTTGCCTTATACCTACCCCCCCCCTCCCCCCCCACAGCTGTGTCAAAAATTCCTTAAAGGTGCTTTAATTGAAATGTAGCGCTCATGTTCTCAGAGATTGAAAATAAAGTCTGTGTGATTTTTCTAAGTAATCTTTGTTTGACAGCTTAGTTGTTGGCAAAGCAGCACAGTTTGTTAATCAATGCTCTAGAAGTGAGGTATTAAAACCATCCCTAGTTTTTGAGTCTTCTTAATATGAAGATGTCACATTGTTTGTCCTCTCCTCAGGTTGAAGGCACGAATGCGGGACCTGGACAAGCCTTTAAGGATTGTTAATAGAGCTCTTTGGGAGGAAATGAGAAATTCGTCAGAGAAGGAGGTACTAAGAAAAACTTTATTTGGAAAAACAGCTTTTGCAATTTTTTGTGCCATAACGGCTGTGAAGACATGATATGCCAAGACAGTCAGGTGGAAAAAGGTAAATATCAGATGCGGTCCTAACTCTGTTTTATTTCATTTACAGCTCAAATCTTTTGGTGCAAAACTCAAAGAGAGAAACAGCTTGTTCAGAAAGACGAGCAAAGCTCAATCACATGAAATGAAGGAGGTCCTGTACTTAAATCTTGTGCAGGCTAACCTGGTAAGAGCTTTCTCACAGAAATACAGAGACATCATGACAACTTTCTTTGAAAACTTTTGAAGGCACATAATTAATATTTCTTTTTCAGGATGAGCAACAGAAGTTGATAGGGAGGATTGAGGAGGCGGACCAGATGATAAAAAGTCTTGATGACTGCATTCATGAATTAGAAACGGGTACAGACCAGTAATGCTGCCTCTAGAAGGAGTCTGTGTCTTTGTGGTTCTGAAAACTGTAAAGCGTGTTGTTTTCTTTTGTTTAGAACTTGCTGCAGTTGAAGAAAAGGACTCAGAGGACACACCGAGTCTGAAATCAAGCCTGCAAGGTCAGCTGTGGAAGCAGTTTAGAATTACATTTCCCTTTTTTAATGTGCTAAAAATGAATATTTCTAAACAATTAGTGTTGGTTTTCTTTATTTAGAGCTGCAGAGAGTGACTGAAGCTCTGGCAGATGCTGACAGGTAGGTGAAGTTCATTAATATAGAGACCAACAGAACAGACTCTTTTCCCATATAGGTTTTATTCATGCAGACCCTCTTTTTCTTGTGTGTTTTTTTTTCACAGACAATTATCTGAGCTGGAGATGCAGAAAACAAAGAATTCAAATAAAGTCACCAAGCTGAAGGTTGAGACAAAGAACCTGGAGAGCCGTGCTGCAATGCTAAACATGTCCGTGTCTAACTTTTCATGTTTTCACTTCTTTATTGTTGCTTTTGAACCTCATTAGGGCCTCGTTTACAAAAGGCTCACATGAGTTAAAATATTCTGTTTACATAGTTAGTCTTTGAATGTTTGCAGTTCAGCATTGGCGTAGTTTTGTGATTTAACAGCCTTTGCCTACCATTGTGTTGAAGCTCATGTACATTTCTCACTCCAGGGTAAATGAATGGAGAGTTGGAGAGAGGAGGGACGACTTCACAGTCTACACTTTTCTCCATGAGACCCTCCACCTACAGCTGGAGTTTGACAAATCCAATGGTAAGACTTTAAAGGCTGGGAATGAGTTGTTTTTAAAAAATCTCAAAAACAACATAAAATCAGTTTTTCCACTAACAGCCCTTCACTGTTTCCTAAGTGACTTCTTTTTTTGAAGAAAAAAAAAAAGCTGACTTGGAACATGATTGATTTTAGCCCCAGTAACATCAATAAATGCTCTGCAGTCAGAAACAAATACCGCTCTGACTTTGCACAGAGTTGCAGTCCATTAGTTAAAGCTTATAGAGTGAAATGTATTTGCCTCATTTTTTTATTCAGTTAACACCAAAGCTCAAATGCCTATTTAAAAAATATATATTTCTAAAAACAGTGTATGTCTACTTCCTTTTTTTGTTGTTGTTTCTAAAGAAAATGATGCTGGAAATCAGTCTGAGAGGAAGATATCTCACATCTCCTTCAAACTTCAGCTTGATGGTAAGAAAACACAAGAAAGAACATGTAGTGGCTGTTTTAAGCTTTGGTTAAACAGAATTCTGTATTTGATTTGTTAATATATTATTTATAATATATATAGATAAATATTATAGTATTTTTGTTTGGGTTTGAAGTGGTTTTTTCTACTTAAGTATCTGTGAACAACATATTTTAAGTAACAATAGTGTATTGTAAAACATTGTCTAAACATTTTACCTTAGTCAAAGACATATATCATACCAGCCTATATCATACTAATAAGAAATAACAATTCTAAACTGGAATAAATACTTTGTTAAATATTTGTAGTCCATGGTCCATCCCCAAAACATACATATTCCAGGACTCCTTCAGACTGTCACTTTCTTGGATAACTGATGGAAAATATTGAACTTTTTTAAAAATGCACAAGGCTAAAAACTTTTACAAGTGGGCTTATTGAAAGATTTTGAGCTGAAGAGACATTAGCTCTACCTGTCAATTTTAAAAACTGCTGCTGCACATGTTGTTTTCACATCCAGATGAGAAGTCTCAGGACCATGCCAGCCTGGTTCACAAACTGCTGTCCCAGTACATCCATGGACAAACTTCCTTGGTGGAGAAATATCCGACAAGCAGACACATTCCAAAGGTTGGTGTGGATGGGTTTTTATTTCAGTGATGGGCATACAGCATAGACTGTATAAAGAATGGACAGCGTCTGCCTCCTCGTTGGGTGAAGCCACCCCGAGAAGAGCACTCTCTGTTGGCGGGCTGCATTATAGGTCATAAATCCCACCTCTGCAGGAAATCAAAGCTTAGCTTATGGGGCTGTGGACAAACTTTAGAAATTTATTACACAGCTAAAGCTGCGTCATAGTTGTGCGGTAACCTCTTGTTCAGGGGTTACCCGCACAGCTATAAACTTTTTCTTGAGCTAGACTCAACTACCATAGCAGGATTATGAAATCCAGTGAAGTGAGGAGAAGTAACACAGTCACACAGAAATGGCTCATTGTGGGCATCATGTTTGTGTCACCTGTTGCCTGTAGTTGCTTCATGACGTTGGCTTGGTTGTGAGTCGCTGTCGTCTGCTGGGAGAGGAACTGCGTCTGCTCAAAACATGGGGGGCTCTGAAGCTTGATATTCTCAGCATCAGCTGTGTGGATACTCAGTAAGTACTCCACCCTTAAGAAGTTATAAGACATGAATAATATGTAATACTTTGCCTGGTGTAAATTTTTGTGAATTATTTGGCTTTTCTGATGCAAATGTAACTTATTTTTGTTTTTTCCAGGGTACACATTGTCTTCAGCAGCCTCAAAAAATTCACCAAGTTTGAGGTAATCTTCTCTACCAGTTTGAGCAACCAACTGTACGTCCTTCAAGTGCAAAGCTTTAGGAACATGATCGGGAGCACAACGTGAGTTTCTCTTTCACTTTTTCGGTAAACAATGCTACAACGATACCATAGTCCTTCAGGGTTCGAGATGACCTTAAGAACCATAACATTTGATATTTTCTTGTCATTTGCAGACTTGAACAGATTGAAGAGTTGGTGGCATCAATCAGTCCAACCAAGAACCTCTTGACAAAGATAATAAAAAAGATCCATGAAAATTTGCTCTGCTGAGGCAAGATATGTACCTAGTTTGAATTTTTGTATCCAGTTATTGTAAATAAATTCTTTTGTACAATATTTCTGTTAAAATTAAATCTATTGGCTGTCTCATCTTGAAATGAAAAATAATCTTGTGTTCTCCGCCTGAGTATGTTTATATTTTTTTGTTGTTTATATGTTCACATGATGGAACTGTGACCGATTCAATAAAATGTAGTAAAACAGCTGTTGCTTAATGTTTGGTGTTTAAACATGGGTATTATTTGAATACAGACTATTAAATCAGCTGTCGCTAAAGCAGGTTGTCTCTCGAATTTGTAGAGCAGTTGCTAAATCTGCAACCATCCATAATTACCTTTTATTTCAAGCTTATTCTTGTAACACAATGAATTTATTCTTAAATGAATTTTTATCCTTGAAATCTGTGCAGTTATCCGTCTGCATTTCCTACTTTCTCCTCCAGATGGCGACCACAGCCTGACCTTTAGCTTCCCATTCACCTGCAGTTTGTTTACACATAGGACACTTACAGTAACATTTAGGGGGTTTTAAAGGTTCTTCTGTCCTTCCAGCAGGTGCACACTCTACAGTATAATATGGTCTCAGTCTTCATTTGTTTGCCTATAACAGCAGACTGAGAAGCATGTTGAAATGTTTAACTTTTAAGACAATATTTGAAAGGAAACAGATAGTTTGTTGATGACGTTGGTTCAGTAACAGTATGGAAGTATTTAAGAAGTACACAACCCAGCGTATAAAAGAGACTTAAAAAGATTTCAGCTCTTATCAGTGTGTTTGGAGAGAAAACAGTGACCAGCTGAGATGTCAAACATTGACGTCTGTTACTCCAGACTCTCTCCACACTTGTGCTTATTTCTCTCTTCACTTACTGTATGTGGTATGCTGCAAAAAATAGTGTAGCTCATAAACCCATAGCCCATAAAGTTAAACTTAAAAAAAAGGCCAAAACAAATCATGAACCAGAATGATACTCAAGTGTGGGCTGCTTTTCCTATGGTACTGTGTTTAAGCTTTAGGGGGCACTATGGGCCTTCCTTTGCACTCTTGTCTCATTATGATGCCTTATCAATGTGCAATTTTCAACGTAATGACACCTTCTGATGATTGGCAGGTTTTTTTTTTCTTTTTTTAACAAAGAGAAAGAGGAGATCCTTCCAGAGTGTAGTGTTGGTTCAACATCGAAACACTTTAACTGAAGCATTTACAGTGAAAAAGGTCGAGCTGACAAAAGATGAAAAATATAAATGTGACTTCATGTGGCAAAAACCTGTGACCCCTCAGATTCATTTGAGACCCTGTGCCGGTCCTCGACCCAGAGGTTTGGGACTACTACAAGGTTTAAAGGACTTGTTTATAGTTGTGAGAGGTTCAGCGAGTCACGTTTCAGCTTTATGAGTTTAATATATGTTTTTTAAATATGTAAAATATAGATGTTGCTTTCGTTTTTTCCAGTGTGCTTTTTTTAAAATTTGCAATCTTTGAAAGCATTTCATAAGTTTCAAGGTTAATGAACCACCTTGTAGTCTATTTTTGTACTTAAAAGTCCCAGTGAAGAATTCTTGACATAAATGAAATAGGCAAAATGTCATATTGATGTTATTTTATGATATAGTTAAGCAAACAAGACCACTCCTGGTGTTACAGTTACCATTAAACCAGTTTATTGCAGCAGACCCACCTTGAATGGAGCTGGTGATGTAAAATAGGAGCTCCTTGTTATCAATTACAATAAGACCTCTGCACAAAACATCAGACAAAAAACCCTGATCTTTTTAGTCCTTCTGTGTCTTCTTGAACTTAATGTTAGCGTTTAACTGCAGCTCTTCCTGCTCCTCTATGTCCATGACTGACATAGAAAACATCCCGGGGTCATCTGAAAGGTCAAACAACCAGAGACAAGCCTCTAAGAAGACAGTGGAAATGGGGGGAAGGCACTGACTGCCTACTCCTAAAGCCCTGACGTCAAAGGTCAAAGTGGACTTTCCAAACCGTCACCCTCCAGTGAGCCGTCAGGGGACACCAGTTCCTCTGTCCCTCCCCCAGAAACAACGGATGGAGGACACCCAGAGGTCCAGGCAGGGGTTAAGTTTGGCCAGAGCCACGTTAGGGTCTCCTGACCTCAGCCTGGGGGTCAACTCAATTTCATTTCAATCGATCTATTGAAGGGTTTTTCATTATTTTCACTGCGAAACTGAATCATTCATTAGATCCCAATACAAGGAGACCAAACTAGGTTTTTCATTCCGGTTGAGTAAATAAAAAGTGATTTTCTGTCTTATTTTCTGTTTCTGATTGAGTTTCTACAGCAGTGCAAACATCTTTGTAATGGTAAATCAATTAGTTCCCTCATTCTAAAACACACTTTGTCATTTGTCTGAAAGAAGGCCAATCCTTAAGCCTTTACCAGACAGAAAATTTGTCAAAAAAGAATATGATATTATGAGCATCAGATGTTGTACAGAAGACAAAATAACATAAGAAATAGACGTGAAAAATCACAGCTTTGCACTTATGTAGCCTCATCCACTAGGTAATATTCATATTTTTGAGACGCACAGACTCATAAAGTCTGAATCTGTAATTGCTTTAATTACAGTGAAATGTCAGACTAGCATTTTGGCAAATTGGACTTAAGAGTGATTAAATTTACAACACTTAAAAATACCAAATCAGTGTCTTTCACCTTTGTTGTGTTCCTGCATGTTAAAAACAGGACTACACCAGTTGGCAGTCATGATAGCTAACTGCTCTGTGAGACTCTGGCAAGGCACAACTCTGCTTCTGTGTTAACTTGCTAATGTGTTCACAATAACAACAGGTCAATCAATTTTACTCCTTTCTAAATCCCATTTGACGTAGTTTGTTTGTAGCAGTATTAATGCCTAAAACCAGTTCCAAGGGGTAATTGTCAGCCAAGCAGCTGAAGAAACGGCCCTGTTTTCACAGTATCCATATAAAATACAAATAAAAGATAAGCAAAGACTGCTTTATCCACAAAGTGGCGCCAAAATTGACACAAGGTGAAAGTTTCTTATTGAAGCTTTAACCTTTATGACATTGATAATGTAATGCTCCTTTACACTTGGAATAACCTCCTGTATGAGCTGATGCACATATAGTAGGTGCACTGAATCTCTATCCAAAGCGACACATGTGACTGTTTATTGGGATTTAGACCGAGTTGGATGGCAACATATTGTAAACACTCCAAATGTATAATCCTGTTAATAGGACCATTTGGCCTCAAGCCACCTGGTCTAAATCTGTTTATCCACACATCCAGGAGCAGTATTTCACCTCACTAACCTCATCTGTGTCCACTTCATGTCCTGACATCAGGAGTGAGGGAGGCGTGACATGGTAGAATTGGTTTTGGAAGATGGACATGCTAAAGGTTTCCTTTGTACAGGAGGCAAAGTATGACCATATGAAGGACACAAAAAGAGAAACAGATGGTTAAATGGTTTTTATTTATGTAGATATGATCAGACACTGCTTAGTCAGAACAATACCAGAGTTATGGTTTGCTTTGGGAATAAAGTATGTTGACTTGTTTTTATTGTGTTACAATTACATATGATAAATGTTTATTTCTATACAACATGGCAAAAATATAAAGCAAAGTGTTGATTATATTGTTGGTTACAATGTCAACATAAAGACAGAATTCATATTTAAAAGGAGATTGTAGGAAGGGTTGTAATACAGGAGTAACATTATCATTCAAGGCAAGTTGAATAAATTTGGGGTTCCCCAAGGCTCTGTTGCAGGGTCACTGTTGTTTGGTCTTGTGGGACCTGTAGGCTGCAGAGGTAGACTTTGATACGGTCTCACAAGGAAAACTTCGCAATGACTTAGATGCACACTGGACAAAATTAATAAAGTGATCGAAGAGCACTTGCTTTATTCACAAGGGGTGCCAAAATTGACTCAAATCCATCCTCACACGAGCTTTAGCTGCAGTATCACTTTAAACAAACCTGTGATAATTATCTTGATAAAAGTTTCTGTGTGGATGTTCTTCAGTGATAATCCAAAACTGAATTGAATTTTCTTTTCTCAGGGAACCATGATGATGCAAACATCATATTAAAGCTCATACCTCCACTGGGAGCTTATTTAAGCTTAGCAACCATCATTGCTGTAAATGTAAATGTAATGACAGACTGTAACACCTCTATTCTACACCAATCCATCTCCATTGTTCTCTCCTTCCTCTGGCCTTGGTATCCATGTTTGTTCACAGACCAACTGTACTGTTTCTTATCATAATAATCTCACAGCACTGCTGGAGCTTGGCTATGACAGCTTCACTCATACAGTTAAAGAACGATAAAGAAAGCACAGCTGAAACAAAGTGTTGAGTTTCACAGGAGGGCCAGAGGAAAAGGGTGTATTGAAGCAAAACACAATGGGTTTATTCTTAAAGGCTGCACTGTACATTCAAAACACATGACACTTTTACCAAGAGGTATAGTCTGACAATGAGAACTGTTATGTTCCATAGGCTACTGTTAAAGGCGAAGAAAGAATGCCAATTTTTTATTGTTGATTATTGTCCAGTAATACGGTAGTAAAAATATAACTTTAGTTTCTTAATTTTTATCTTTTTATAAAAATATATGTTCTCTTTTGATTTAATTCCACCAACAAGCTTCAAGAAAGCCGGACAGAGGCATGTTCACCACTATGTTGTATGATCTCCTCTTTTAACAGCACCGTGTAAACTTTTGCAAACTCAGTAGTCCAGTTTCTGGAGATTTAAAAGTGAGACACCATCCCACACCGGAGTCTATTTATTGTTTCATGTTGCACCAAATATTTCCAATAGGTGACAAGTCAGGACTGCATAATACAGGTGTACCTCTTTATTATGAAGCCATGCAGGGGAATAATGTGCAGGATTGTCCCTCTGAAATATGCAAGGTTTTCCATGACAAAGACATTGTCTGGATGGCAGCATATGGTGGTCTATTGTTCAGCAGTAATGCTACCTTCTCAGCTGTGTAAGCTACCCATTCCATGGGCACTAATGCATCCCCAACCACTACAGATGCTGGCTTTTGAACTGTGTGCTGTTTTCATATTCATTATACATGATTACATCCTCAGAAGGCTGCATTTGTGGGTGCAGGGATGACCTGTGTCCAAAAACAATTATTTTTGGAGGTGATTTTGAGCCCATGTAGGGATTTCCATTGCAGAGCCATGTCTATTTTAATGCAGTGTCACCTTAGGGCCTGAAGATCACAGCCATCCAGCGTTGGTTTTCAGCCTTGATAATGTAATGCTGTAATGGAGATTTCTCCATGTTCTTGATATAGTGTGGGGTTGTCATGAAAACAAACTTTAGCCTCATGATTATCATACAATATCAATATTTTTACCATTTAGAAGAAGGTTATCATCAATACTAGTATAATGCAACAGAAACTGAACATCAGGTAGAGTTAGGCTGACAACATTTGTGTCTGTGAAACAGAGACATAGCGAGCTGTGTCTCTACACAGCTGACTTTGAATGTCACTGTTCATGCTGGCGTCCTGCATTTCTGTTCATCAGCCCCCCACCCCACCCCAAAACACACACACACACACACACACACACACACACACACACACACACACACACACACACACACACACACACACACACACACTATAAGCCCCCTTGTATGCCATCTTGTTAGGGGGCATTAGAGGACGTCTTAATTGGTCTTTCCAGGCAGGTAATTAGCTCTGATGGCATGTGCTCCCATAGTGATGCAAACGATGGGGACACAGCCATGTCCCACCCCTCACCCCAATAACCAACACACAAACACACACACACAAGCTCACAAAAATAAAGGCTATGTGACCTGGGGAGTTGCCACATTCCCTGATCATTCTTGGGAAAAGACAATAGGTCTGGTTGTTAAAATAGTCTCCCTCTCAGCGGGGGGACACAAGAGCTGCAGCAGCTGTCCCGTAGTATCAAGCTTTAATGGTCGCAGCAGCCTCAGTGAGTGTTCAGATATTGTTGTGCGGACACGTTAGGTCTCATTACACAGAAATTTAAACTAATTTTCTGTGCTGCTCATTCCAGCACATTATAAACAATCTCATCATTTAATTTAGACATATTTTGAGGTCATGACATTCATTATCTGGTCTTCAGTAGAGGTAAGGATTAGTACTGACATCATTCAGGGTTGCATGTGAGTTACAGAAGTTATAGGGTGTGTCCAAAGAAAGTGACCTGTGTGTAACTTTCAGCCGAGTTCAACTGACACCAAACTATTCTTCTCCACAATAGCTTCACTTGGCTTCAGCTGAATGCCATTTCAGGTTTATTTGTATCCATGGAAGAGAAACAAGTACCAGAGACCCCGGCTAACAGAGAGCATTGTGGGTGAGGTGAGGTGCCCATTCTCTGGTAGAATAATGATGACAAAACAGGAATTCTAACGTTGGTCAGGGGAACACATCCTGGGGCACACAGGCTACAAGGGAGCAGAACAATAATAGCTTTTCCTAAAAATATAAGGGTCTGAGGAGGGTTTTCATCACAATGGCAGTGAGGAGAGGAGAGGAGGGGAGGGGAGGGGTTTTCCCTTCATCAGTGAGGAGTTCACAAAGATCAGACACACATTAAAGGCTTTGTCTAGAAGAATGACACAATCAAAGCAAACTGGCAGCTATTCCTATCCAGGTCAAGCCACATGCAGAACATCTGGGTGTATCATTTCCTATTTATTCTAATTTTTCCCTCTATTGACTCACAAAGCTTGATAACTCCTGTCACCATCACATCCCTCTCTGTCCTCACCCCGATCCTCCTCCTTCTCCTCACACGCTTCAATCACACAACATACAGACGTCTGTGCCATGTTATCCAGCGCCCCCCTGACACGGCGCTATTTTCGAATTCCAGCCTCACACAGAAGGATATCCATGAGTCTCCTAGACAAGGCAAGTGGCGGCGGAACGTCCAGACTGTTGGACTGGGTGGATTCCGGCCATCTTGACCCACACCTTGGGTCTGCTAACAGAACTACAGCAGCCACCTTGGCTAAGTGCATTCCCACAGCCGCTGACCCAAATCCCTGCTTGACCCCAGCTGATAAACCAAGCTATGGATAGACTAGTGAAGAGTTTTCCTGTAAATTTAAGGTAAGTGCAAAGTTTCCAAAATAACAAATAAGTCTTTGAGAGTAAGGGGTCATAAAGATTTTCAGAACTTAACCACACATGGACGATACTTTGAATCAACCGCACACTGTAGTTTTCATAAATTAATTTAGCCAACTTTGTAGGCGTTCAAAGACACTGGAAGGTACCATCAAATCAATGCAAACTCACACTTCTATATAGCAGATAGGTGGGCTAACATTGTATGGGGCATGGTGGTGTTTATCTGCAAGTTTCTTATGTGACTCATATTTTTTTTTTTTTCAGTAAAAAAACAAACAAAACATGTCTATCAAAAAGAAACTGAACATAGAGAAAGTAAGTTAAAGTAAAACATACAAGAGAGAGAGAGAGAGAGAGAGAATAAGATGAACTTCACAGACAGACAGGGAAGTTTGGAGGCTCCAGGTTTGATGTTACACTAAGCCTGTAGAAGTCTGGGCTGCGTCAGCAGCCTGCAGACTGTAATTGGTCGTGACTACAAGGACCCCTGCACCCGCATGTTGGTGGGAGGATGGGATTAACACGTTATGGGTGCCTCAGGAGCCAGCTGAGGAGCTGATAAGATTTTTGGAGGACATTTCTTGAGTGATGCTCGAATGAGGAGGCCCTGGAGAGGATGCAGTGTAAGAAAAGTTCAGAATGGAGAAAAAAAAACTGTATTTGTCAGTTTTGTTTTGTATTTGTCCAAGACCAGTCATTAAATGACTTTAACTGTTGGGGTTTAGGGGCAGCACAGTGGTGTAGTGGTTAACACTGTTCTCCCTGTGTCTGCATGGGTTTATTTCGGGTACTCTGGTTTCCTCCAACATCCTAAAACCATGCAAAAGTGGGTTAGGTTAATTGGTCACTTTCAAATTGCCTGTAGGTGTGAATATGAGTGTGGATGGCTGTTCGTCTCTATATGTCAGCCCTGTGATGAACTGACGACTTGTCCAGGGTCTCCCCTGCCTTTGCCCCAAGATGCTGGGATAGGCTCCAGCCCCCCCTGCAACCCCCCAATGGGATTAGCAGGAAAAAATGGATGGATCGATGTTGTAGTTCAGTGTCCACTGCTCCACTTGTTTAATTTGGATGAATTCATGTTTAAATACCTGTTAATAGGAACATTTAATTTTCCATAAGTATGTCTGAAGAGCAATTTGTCATGTTGTATTTCACTCACCCTTAGCTCTTGCATTTGACTTACCAGTTTGATATGAATTATACCCCTTGATGCATTATGATCTAAAATACAGACACTCACCCTCTCACAGTGATTTCAGGTCCTGGCACACCCCCTTGACTTGCTAATCAGAATGGCATAAATGCACTCAAAAATACTGGTCTTAGTGATTGGGTTAAATCACATACTTATCAATAAAGTCTAATTTTACCCCCTAAGTCTCTCTGTAGTAGATTCCTTGTGTTGAAGTATAGTATTACAGCAGAGCAGGGTGACTCCTGTACAATGCTTCCACGCAGGAGTCCCCCTTCATCTTATCGTGCCCTGCAGCTTGACTGGATTGGGTGGTATAAATTGGCCGTGCCCAGAGGAGAGACGCCGGTTCCTCTTTTGGGTCCGCACATTGTTTCGTCTAGGCCTGTATTTATTTAGATGTAAATCAGCTTTGCAAGAGTGTTACGTCCTGTCCTTGTGTGGTGGGCGGTAGACTGAGATTCATTTGTTGGAGGAAGTCAGCCTTGTCGAGATTGGAGCTGCTGAGATTGTTTTCCATTATAAGGCTGTTATTGATGTGAGAGGGTGACATCATGCAGCCTCACCCTTCAAGAGAGGGTCGGTGAGAAAGAGCCCCCACACCCATTTCTTATTCATTACTCAGCCCGGTGAGAATGCTGGACCTAATCATGGTTCCACTAATATGGAGCTGAGTGGTGCAATTATGGACTCCAAGGGTCAACCCTGCTCCTACTTTCAAAGCACAGAACCAGGAAGTGTTGCCTCTTTAAATAAAATGAGATAGTTACGTTAAAGAAATACAGATCTTATTCTGTCCTCTTAAAACTGTTTAATGTACCACTTAAGGTGAATATTTACTGTGGAAATGTATAAAATAGGCTGTTTTCTCCAGTGTGCTGTATATTACCTTGCCTGACACCTTGGCAGCAGTGCTTGAACTACAACACAAAGGTTGTCAATCGATAAAGGCACTAATGGCATCATTTCATTTTGTAGGTCATACAGGGGCATCAGTGTTAATTTCAGCCTGTTTTATAACCTGATAAAAACTCCTCACAGTTGCTTTAATGGATTTTCTTTTGATTTTGTTCACTACAGCTCTTTGCTGCATGTCTGTATTACTGCCTCTTTTTATACTTACGTATCACCTAGTACAGGGAACTCATGAAGAAAACTTTTACTTTAAAAGATCTTCAAATGACATTTATACTTATACCTTAAGTTAAGTTTTTTTTTTTTTTTTTTGCGATGTAGTCCCCAAAGAAAAGTTGTTCAATTGTTTGGAATAGATTGACTCCTTTTATAGTCTGTCAAACCTGCCCCATCTCAAGGTCCGGTCTTGGTTATTAATCAAACAATGAGCGTGGTCTAGACCTGCTCTATTCTTTTGGAAAGGGATAACGACTGTTGTGAATTTGGCGCTATATGAATAAAATTTGATTGATTGATAGCCTACAGTATTTAAAATAAGGAGCATTTAAGATAAATTATCGTGTAATACAGAATGACTTCATTGCACCATTAAATGTGTTTATAAAATGAGATTTAAAGTGCTTTGATAAACTCAAGAACAATTTTTCTTTCGTTAATTTGTTATTTGGACCGTTATTCACAGTCTGCGCCAAACGTTCAATGTCCTCTCCCAGCTTCCGTAGACATTCCTCCGCTGTCAGTGAGTGTGCGGTGACAGACATCCGTCGGTAAGACACCTCTCCAGGTCCAAGTGTAAACTATGGAAGAAATAAATAACATTGAAGTCGTTCCGTGCACAGAGTCCGACTATCTCAAACCGTTCCGGGTGCACTACAACCAGGTGAGTAATCTTTGCAGGGTCGGCGGTGATGGTCCAGGATGCTGGATGCTGTAGGCTAGCCCAACCCCCATTCATTTTGTAGCTAGCATGTAAGCATAACATGAAGGCTAAACTGACCTTAAACACAGACAATGAGGGGGAGAGTTGCGTTGTTTTAACCACAGCGGCAAGAACACTGTATTCGTCTTTTACATGCAGTGTGGTTCTATAGTGTTGATGCTAACAGACGGCTAATAGCGAGCATGCTAACGATAGCATGTGAGGAGATTTTGGGTTGAGCATCTCGTTAACATTAGCACATGCTTTATATTAGTACAACGAGGTGGAGTTAACAGGGCTTGGCAGTGTCAAGGTTAGAAATACATTTATTTTTAGTCTTATTAGGGGGTCAGGTGAGACTTGTTGATCCCAAACGGACTCCTGTGTGAGTGCTGTGATTGCGCTGAACTGTTCAGGTCAGAGGTCTGCAGAGTCCAGCTTTACACTGACCTTATTAACCTTTTTTAATGTGCTGCACTGCAAAGCACGTTAGGATCAGATGAGAAATTGTGGAGGAAAACCTTAAGTCAAATAGGTTTTGAACCATATGACAGTGAAAGTGTTGGTTCAAATCAATATGATGCACCAGTGCAACCCCCTTTTCCCAAGCTGCAGACGTGCAGACATATAAATGTTAAAACAGGTTTACCTATTTGTTTCAGGTATTTTGTTGTTAATGCATCACTTCACAATTACTTTATTGGACTGATTGGGAAGCTCCATCTGCCAGTATAAAACATTTATTGATCAATACCAAGGTAAATATCGAGGATTAAAGATTGTGATCAAATTTAGTCCTTTAGACAATGCTTCCTTGCTTACATTGTAAAAACATCTTTCTACACCTTATTTAAAAACTCTGCTATTTACTTTTGTTGGCCTTAGAGCATAATTTAAAGGAAGGGGTAGCTGTGTAGATGTGTAGCATCTGAGTTTCTGAATGTAAAGCCCAGCCTCTGTGCCAACATCAGAGACTGTATATAGAACGGATGGCGTCTGCTTCCTCACTGGGTGAAGCCAATCCGAGAACAGCACACCCTGATGACGGGCTGCAGTATAGGTCATAAATCCCGCCTCCGCCAGCCATCCTTATGAAGCTGTGGACAAACTTTAGAAATTTATTACACAGAACGTACATTTTTCTCCCCCCTGCTTGTGATGTTGACATGTAGTTATTGTAAGACTGGTTTGTGCTAAAGTCCGTTTTTTTTCCGTACAGTTCCATTTTCAAAAGTTATTAGGGGTAGAGATGCACCGATCAATCGGCCGCCGATTTAAAAAGCCGGTTTTATATCCAACCGGCCCCAACCGGTGACCGGCCGGTCACTGTCGTAACTTGCCGGTTTTCCCCGAGCAAACTGACCCACATGCGCGGTGCGTATCAGCTCAGAGCAAAACTGCTAAAAATTAGCAAGACTCAGGAGGAAAACATGTCGGTGATTTGACACTGTGTGCCTAAGCGACCCAAAACACGCTCAAAGTCAGCCGTGGAGGATCAACGCGTAAGACATTTGGAACAACAAACCTACTACGCCACTTGGAAAAGAAGCACCCAGGCTTGTTTAGCAAATATAAGGAATACACTGCCGCTAAGGAGGGATGCAGCAGAGTCGCAGCGACCACAACAACCCTCCGCTGTGGCTACTATGTTCGACCTCAGCACTGAAAAGTCCAAAGCCACCACTAGGAAAATAATGGAGTTCGTGGCACTGGAGGACCAGCCGTTTAGCGTAGTACAGGATAAAGGCTTCGTAAATCTGGTGAAACACCTGAGTCCACGGTACAAATTACCAAGTAGGGTAGTGTATTCCTTATATTTGCTAAACAAGCCTGGGTGCTTCTTTTCCAAGTGGCGTATTAAGTTTGTTGTTCCAAATATCTTAGGCGTTGATTGGTACAAACTACCAAGTAGGCGGTACTTTTCTGACACAGCGCTGCCAGAGTCGTTTTAGAGAGGTACTGGAGAGGTAGTCAATAAATTACATTGTACCAGGCAAATGCTGGGACGTTTTTGAATGTAAGTTAGTTATTGACCTGTAAACTGGACTGAATGTTATGGTCAGTGTTGAAAATAAATCTGCTCAGGAGGCACTGTTGAAACTCTCACTCTATTTCTTATTTGTGAGATTTTATTCTTGAAAAGGGGGTTATGATAGCATATAGCCTTCCATTAGTTGTGCTTTTAATTGCAGTTAAGCAAAATGTTGTCTGGGAGAGGGGTACTTAAATTAAAATTTGGAATGGGTACTCAAGCCAAACAAATATGGTGTCTATTATATGATTATAATTATTTCTTAGATAGAAAATCGGTATCGGAAAAACCGGTTTCAGCAGGTCAGACCTCCTTTAAAACCGGAAATCGGTATTGGCCAAGAATATTGCAATCGGTGCATCTCTAATTAGGGGGTTCACGTTTTCTATGATTGATACTTGATACAGCCCATGAGTGTACAAAGATTGCGTAGCTTACCCAGGGGATACACTGTTTGAGCTGAGCATCATCACAGCAACTCTCAGCGACTGTCCCGCTGAATGCGCACAATGCTACTGCGCAAGTGGTGAAGTGCGTACAATGCTACTGCGCAATGTTGGTCTCAGGTAATGGAGAAAAAACATGGAATTACCAAGAGATTTTTGGCTTCAAATCCATATACTGGCGGAAGGCGGAACCAAGTTGTCTATAGTATATACAGTCTATGGCCAACATGCAGTCCTGCAATGACATGCGCGGTGTGCAATGGCACGCTGGAACTGTGGAACACCAATATTATTTGGATGCAGTGTGCATGTACAAAGGCCAAATAATGGTGGAAGTCTGTTTCAGCGCTGCTGCAGCATTGCACTGTGTAAGACTGTACTGATTGACTTGCACAGCAGGAGTTGGTGCAGCATTGAAAGCATACTGGGTTTACCCACAGGCAGGGTTCATGCAGTTTATCTGAGCAGGAAGACAACTCACAGACAACTTGAGCAAAAGCATATAACTTTTGCAGATATAGTGAGTTTGGATTAAAATGTACCCTCAGGAATTAAGTTTAATCCACTACCTTGAAAGCTTCTCTTGCTTCTCAGAAATGCATGTTCCAACTATCCATTGGACAAAAATAAGTTGTTGAGATGAGGGAGGAGAGTAGTTGAGGCAATGAGGAATTTTAGCCTGAATTTGTATCCTCATGCTCATTATACTATCATAAAAAATTCCTGGAAATTCTCTTCAAGGCCGCTCGCATATCAACATGGCAGAATCTTTTACCTTGACTTTGTCTCAGATGTATTTTCCTAAAGAAAATCATGGTAAGCCCATGTGTGAATGCAGCAGGTTTAAACTGGGAAATCCACTGCTAGAATGTAGGCAAGGGTACTGTCATGTACATCATGCTACTGATGAAGGACCAGTGGGATTGTTGTGCTTTTAATGAAAGTGTTTCATACTCTTTTCTGCACACTAGCAGGCCTTTTTATTTTCTGAATAGGCAAAAAACAGAAACCTTCATCTGTTGTCTTGGATATGTTGTAAATGCCTCAGTTTTACATAATTTCCTACCTCTTCAGACTTGGCGCTGTGAGGGCTGTAAAGGCAACTTTTGATCATTTTAACGGCAGGTTGTCCTGAAATGTCCCCAGAAATTTCTGGAGTGCATATGCGAACAGGGCTTCTGTTGAACTCCCCGGCTCACACCCACATACAGCTTGCAGAATGAATCGAGTGTACTGGTTATGTATGTTATTATGGTATTTTCTTTGCTGTTGTGGGATAATTGCTCAGTTTGCTTATTTGGCTAGAGATATTTGTGTCTTTGAAGTGGTCTGGTTTAGAGATATGAAGTTGGTGTAGTAACTGACCAAATTAAGTGTTGGATGTGATGCAACAGATACTATTTAGATGCAGCGTCTTTGTCAGAGCCTGTTTAAAATGTAGTGTTTCCGCAGTGAGTTAGTTTTTGAAGGGAGTGACTGAGATGGTTTAGTTTCTTGTATAAATCAAGCACATTCAGCAGACGCATTATTGTACATACTCTGGCTCATGGTTGCCAGCATATACTGTCACCCTCTTCCATAATGCTTATGGCTGCAGGTATAGTCTCTATCCATCCATCTATTTGTCTTTCCATTTTTAGCTGCCTATTCAGGTCATCATGGCAAACAGGACAGGCTGAGTAGATCATCTATGACCGACATCTTGTTAGCTGTTCATTTCATCTCATGAGCTCAAAAGCTGTCAGATTTCAGAAAAGCTGTCTCACTTTCTCCCTGTGAACACACACACGCAGACTGTAATTCTTTGCTCCTATAAAATGAAAGTAAAGATGATGGTGAGCTTGAAGGATGACTGAGTCAATTTTACTACACTGGGTGTATCTGTGTTTTGATGGCTTGTCATCAATAATATCGGTGTTGTTTTCTTCCTGCTCATAGCGAAGTGTGATGACTGTGTGTCCTGATGGTCTTCAGCAAAGTGAGAAACGCTTCCTCACCCAAACATAGGCTGCAGTCCAGAAATTTATTTTTAGGTTTGAAAATATTTGTTCTGTTTGTTGTGTGAAGTCTGCATAGTGACAGTAAAACAGAAGAGGTATTAAGGTGTATCCTAGTGTTCAAATACAGAAGGTGCACGGACACCTGCAACTGCAGACCTGAAGGCAATGCTGTGCAACCTGGTCTTACTAATGATAACAGTGTGCTGCTGACAAATGCTCTTTTTATATAAATTGAATTTCACAAAAGCAAGGCAGACTGCAGTGAAGTCTCTTTTCTTGCTGCAGAGAATTGATCCAGCAAGAGGTGAATACAATGGAATCCTTTAGAAGTGAAATGCAAGCAACCATGTGTAATCCTCAAAAAAAGGTACCCCAGTGCCAACCATGGAGACATCAGGAGCAGCTTTTCTGACATCATCTGGGAAACCTTTAAGGGGTGCAGGGATTTCAGGACATCTGCAGACTTAAATGTGATGATAAGTTCATATCAAAGTAGGACTGGATGATTATATGATTGTGATTAATGTTTGTAATAAATTTCAGTTTGATCACGGTGATCAGCTGTGAGCATATTTACGCGATCAAAGTTGCTGGACAAGTAAACAGGGGAAGTAAATAGAAAGACCGGATGTGGAGCTAAGCGTTGAGCTGAGGGCAGCAAAATAGATGTCAGCCATGACTTTGAGTCATCCTCGAAAGATGCCATTGTTGAGAAGAAAAGTTATTCAGTGTCAGTCGTGTGGCGGTTGTTCAGGTATCTTAAAAGTGACATCGAGCAATTAAGCCGATGTGTAAGGTATGTCGGCAGTTGGTGCAGTGGCAGGCTGTGCAGATTGTGTCTGCACAGCCTGCCACTACTGATGGCACAAGTAGCATTAGCAGTAGGGATGTTCCCAGTGGTTAATTTCACTGACGTTTAAACGACTATTTTGAAACCGAATATTCGAATACACGAAAATTAATTAACTCCTAGAAAATAGCTCAAATTGAGCACATGTCGATCTATATGGCCAGATATCATCTGAAATAAATATTAAGAGTACATGAAAGCCATGCTTATAATATTAAAATATGTTACCAGGGTTTTTCCTGGCTCAAATTGAGGCAGAGGTGGCACCATCCCGACCATGCGCCACGGCGTGCATGTATTTGTAAATTCAACCGATTCACTTTCTTTTACAGGCAACATACTTTAAGTTAAGAGTTCAAAAAGAGAGTGTGACCATTATTATGTTAAAGCATTCATTTATTAAAACTATATACATACACAAATCAGCTGGCAACTTTAAATTGAAAGTACACTTCATCCACACATCTCACAACCAGACAGAACATTTCAGCCTCCTCTTTTTCATTCTGTAGAACCTCCTCATGCACTCCTTGTAGTCCAAGGCCTCCTGGTCTGGTCCATCAACGGCCACCTTACAACAGACATCCAAGTGCCTCTCCTTCAGTCTGTTCAGCAGAGGTGTCTTCACCTTAAACAAAACAATTCATCATGCATTAAGTATTTTTGTTTTTATTCTGATACAGACATGAAGAGTGATAGTGTTTTCAATCATATATTATATATATGTATACGCTGCAGTGTCCTCCCTAAAAAAACGACAACCAATTATTTCTTAAACTATCTAAACTATGTTATTTATTTTTTGTAACTTTATTAGTTGAGTTTTTTTAGGTACTACCATCTTTAATATATTTCTCTTTCTCTTCTGCTGCTTTGTGAACGGCTGTCACCTCATGTCTTTTTAATGTGTCCAGCCTGTAGTTGGTTGATGGCTGTCTCACTAAGGAGGCAGCAATTGCCTGCTGTGTTGGGCACAGTGCTTTTGGCATAAATAGCAGTGCATGCCTTCCTCAGTATGCCTGAGCCAGGTAAATTGATTGAGCCACTGCTCGTCAAAGCCACTGGCTCTGTGTTTTTGAGAAAATCTGGAAAGAGGAATAAAAACCACGTACACGTCGGCTTTGCGTTGTTATGCTCCTAATTGGAAACTAATTAATTAATTACCCTCGCCTCGCCAACTCGTCCTGTCCTGCATTCTGACCCTCGCGATCACCAGTCCCTTGTGAAGTACTTTCAGACCTGACACAAATATCCACGTTGTCACCAACATGAATTATAGCATTTTAACTGCCTGTTACGTTTTTTCTCTGCTGTGTTTCACCTGGAATCTTGACTTTCCTCCTCGCGAGGTCGCTTTTTAAAGTACTGGCTGAATTTGCCTGTCATATCTAAAACGCTAAAAACGGAGTAAACTTTTTTTTTTTAAATAAACACGACATGCTTGGATGCAAAAAAGAGAAGCAGTATTTACCTGTTTGTACCATCCGCCAGGGAAAATCAGGACGCCGACAGCACCAACTAGCGGGAAAAAAACTTGAACATGATTCGATCCGTTTCTTCTTCGGTAGATGCTTCAGGTCTTTCCGGTGCACTGCTGTTGATATAGCGCCTCTATAGTGGCGCAACGCTGCAACTGCAGTTAAAATACGTTGCTGCTGCATCGGGACATCAATCGCTCAATCAACACAGCTGGAGCTTTACGCTGTGTTGAGCGAAATCAATTGCTCTGGCTGGGGGCGGCACAAAATTAGGTGGAGGCGGCCGCCACGCAATTTTGAACGCAGGAAAAACCCTGGTTACAGAATCTTATTTTAGCACTGGAGAATGACATAAAGATTGTGAAAGGTCAAAGCAGTTAAGCTCCTTTCCGCTGCGCTCAAACCAAGCAGCTCGCTGCGTCATTGGCCTGCCTCACATCATAAGCACAAAATGAAATCTTCAGAGTCAGGCGACATCACGTTCAACGTTTATTTTCTAAACTAGACTTAGCGCTGCGAGCCCAGAGCAGCGAGCCAGGCAGAAAGAGTCGCACGCAAATGATCCACACATTTTAGCTTGTTTAATGCACACTTTTTAAGCTTTTTTTTTCTTTTTTCTTTTTTTTCCCCTTTCCTTTTATTAAACCGGTAGTAAGGGCAGCCACGTTTACACAAATATCCGAATAACTGCGCACATCCCTAATAAGCAGTTTAGCCACAACTAGCGGTGCAGCCATCAGACAAAAACAGCAATCAATCGTCTCACCTACATTTACATCATCTATTGTTTACAGTTTAAGGCGTCTTCATCATTGTTAATTTTGGCCATTTGTTTATTTTGGGTCTTGCATACCTGCAAAATCACTCAGGACTGTAAACTAGTTCACTGTATTATTTAGTATTTATCTACTTTTGTTGTACTATTGAGTTAAAATGGTTTTTATATTTTTCGAAGTATATCTTATTCAATTTGCTTTGTTATTTACTTTGTCTGTTAATAAAATTTTGAACTAATCTCTAGTTTCTTAGTACAGTTTTTAGTACAGATGCTTTAAAACTGGCAGTTTAAAAAAAATCGTAATGATAATTAATATCAGACAATATGACAAAATATATTGTGATAATTTTTTTTGCAAAATTGCCCAGTCCTATATCCAAGTATTAGAAGCATATTGGCTGGTCTGTTTGGACCACCTGGTTTAGATTCAGGTTAGGGTTTTGGCATCTTAGTGAAAAATTCTTTGCTATAGACTCTGGGAAAAGACCTATGATTATAGATAGTGTATTAAGGTGTACGATCTAGATTAGATAGTTTAGTCTGGAAAAAAGAAATTCCACCCCAAAACTTCTTTTTTTTTTTCTAAATTTGCCGCAGTCTGTGTAGTTCTCTATTTCTGGATCTCACTGTGCCAGACTTGTTTAAACAGCAAATGACACTTCTGCCTCCTTTGTTTTCCTTTTTTATTAAATTTCAGATATGCTAGTTTTAATTTAACAGTAATATAAACCATTTATGTAATTTATTTTTGTGTAGCAAATATTTAAAAATCAGATTCTTAAAAGAAATCATATCTACTATTATACATTGTGATAAACATCACTGTTGATAAATGTCTGATTGTGATCAGATTTCCCTCCATGACTTTAAACGTCAACAAAGTAGTCTGAACTAGTCTGAGCTACTTCCATATTTTGAAGGAGCTCTTTTGTACTTTTTCTTTTGATTAGATTGTAAAACTCAAGTCTTGAGGCCAGCTCAGGGAAGAGTTTCTCTTCTCTAATTTGGCTTCACACCTGTGACTAAAATGAGGAGGGGGCGGAGGGTTAAGCTTGTCAAGAGAACCACGGAACAGCTAAGACAGCAGATGGACAACAAAGGGGATGACAGTGGACTCCCTCGGTCCATCCTGTTTCCCTCTTTCATCCTCACTGTCTCTCCCGTGCAGCTCCATCAGGAGGGGTCTTCGGGGACCCCCCCCTCCCCTCCACCCATAAAGGCCTTTCAGTCACACTTGGGGAGCATCTCTCCCCCTAAACCTTTTATGTTCACCAGTACATCTGCAGCTTAGCCAGTGGTCACTGGCCCTTTTGCACACACAGACACACACACTCTGAAAGTAGATAATGTCATGTGTGAGAGGCTCTCTTCATCAGTGGTGTTTGCGGGTGTTTTGTCTCTTCTCCCTCGCTGCTCTTCATAAAGCAGGTGATTGTCCCTCGTTGACTCTTGGAAACCCCTCTCATCTCTGCTGCAGTGTACTTGTGTTGAATCATGAGTCCCTGCTTAGAGCAGGATAATTACCCTCCATTTATTCATTATGATGATTCTGAATTATTCATCTGGAATTATTTATCTAGTGTAGCTCACAGCCCTGGTGGCCTGAGCACTCTTTTTTATATGACACCCATTATAATGTAAAAACATATTTTCTCACAGTAACTTTTGGGCCTTAGTTTGAATAACAGCGGTAAGATGACACTAATATTTTTGAAGATTGCTGCTTCTGTTAAGTCAGACAAAACAAACAGGGGACATACAGTAAAGGGGAATATTGTAAGCTTTTTGACCCATCATAGGGTTATTTAATGCATAAAGAAGTTCTGGTAAGGGCCTGTGTATACTTGTGGCTTTTTTCTTGGGTGGTAGTTCACAAAACCCCAATTTCAGAGTGGTACATTTTGTTGCTTAGCTCTGTAAAGTACTATTTCCACCAAGATATTTTGTTCACTTTAGTTTAGCATAGTTTATTAAGCCCTAAAGGGTTGAGCTAGATTCACAGCATTGCCTTAATTGATAGACAGGATTGGGTGGGAGCCCGATCATATCTCACCTCACCTGATGATGGTCTCATAGGAAAACAATCTTGTGTAGGCATCAGCTGAACAGTGAGAGGCACAGAGAAAGATGCAAATGTAGAGGGAAACCACACGGAAGGGCACATGTTCTGTGACCTAATAAACATTTTTCCAAATAACTGCCATAGACACAACTTCAAAATAAGAGTACTGTGGCTTTTGCTTTGAAATCCTATACTTTTAGACCTTATTTTTCACACTTGGGACACAGACACGGCCGATACAGAGGCAGTGCAGCCCTGAACTTACCATTGTGTTTTGGCTGAGATCCATGCATGCATATCTTCAAGGAAAGACAAGCACGCCTTCTAGTCTTTAGATTTTAGTAACATTAGACAGTCTTGAGACGTAGTCCTTGTTTTAACAGTTTGAATGGTCTGATCTTAGGTTCACTCTAAAGTTTTTACAGTGATTTTAGGTATTAAAAATGACAGCAGATTAATGTTGGGCGGTATGACCAAAATCTTATATCACGGTATGAGTTAACTCCATATCATGGTAACGTATAGATCACAGTATGTTTTTCCCCCTGTAAATTCAATTAATGGCTTAAAAATACCCATACTGTCACATTTGTTCATTTTCCTTCTGTTTTTAAACTTAGATTTGTATACAAATGCAAACAATTTTTTATCATATAGCGTACCTTTGGTGAAAAACTGTGCCAAGCTCTTTTATATGAGAGGAGTGGCTGCAACTTTTTGGTTTTTGGTGCAGCAGGTGCGCCACGCATCTTTTGACTCTCATAATAGAGCTTGGCGTGTTTCATCTTTAGGTAATGGAAGAGGTTGCTGGTGTTTCCCCCTCCAGCAATGACAGTCACATGACACTCTTAGCATAGTATTGTTTTTTGACCATTGTTGGATTTTCTAAATCCGAAGAATCTCCAGACAACCAATGTCGCAACCCATGCCCTTTTTCTGAACAAGTTCCTCCTCCTCTTCCTCATGTTGGGTGGGTTGGGCTGCCTCCGTTTGCTTGGTACTGCCACTAATCTCCGTGTCCGCCATGACCACCACCAGTAAAGCTGTTTCTCCTATGCCAAGCAGTGCCAAGCAGTCTGCTGGACACACTGGTGATTATAGGGACCGCACCCAGACCTGACCAATCAAATAGAGCAAACAAACTCTGCACGACATGCTGGTAAAAATACAGAAATGCACCCAAACGGATGCACTCTGGCTTTCCTGTTTGCAAGCGCAGACAACTACACACTGACTCAGGGAGATGCAGCAGACAGCTGCTCTCTCTCTCAGGTATGGCAAAATTTCTACCGGTAGGCACTTTTATACCTTCACACGGTAAATACGTCATACCGCCCAACACTACAGCAGATCTATTCTGGTGGTCTGGTTTACCTCTTAAGGTCATTAGGAAGCATCAGAATAGGACTAGGCGATTATATGATCGTGATCGATGATCGTGATAAATTTCAGTTTGATCACGGTGATCAGCTGTGAGCATATTTACTCGGTCAAACATGGCGGAAATGTGCGTCACAACAGCCAATCAGAGTCGAGCTTTTCCTGCTCACTACTGTAAGTCGCCTGAGAAGTAAACAGGACAAATAAACAGAATGACCGAACATGGAGGTAAACGCAGAGCTGAGGGCAGCAAAATAGATGTCGGCCGTGACTTTGAGTCCTCCTCCGAAGATGTTATTGTTGAGAAGTTATTCAACGTCTCTCCAAAGTGACGTTGAGCAATTAAGCCAGCAACATAACAAATCTGTTTTTCATTTGAAGAAGTTCTTCCCGAGTGAGTATGTGGAAAGCATGAAAATGCGAGCGGAGTCTGTACAGCCTGTCACTGCTGTCGGTACAAAGAGCATTAGCAGTTTAGCTACAACTAGCGGTGCAGCCACCAGACCAAAGCAGCGATTAATCATATATGGATATGATTAATACCTGCCAACACTCCCGTTTTTCCAGAGACTCTCCCGTATTACAGACCTATCTCCCACCCACCCCCCGTATTGTCATTTCTCCCGGGAATTTCTTGTAGCATGGTCCGCGTTCATTCACGAATCGGATCACTATATTTGTCTAAAGTTTCCAGGTTTCCAGACAACCGGAGATAGTCCTGTGTTTCTGCTGAGCCTCACAGTCACTGGTTTGATACTTTTACTTTACAGTTTTGGATGATTCAGTTTGGTTTCAGCTGTAAACTATATTTAAACAGTGTTTGTTGCAAAATGAACACTTTAATGAAAGGAAAACAAAGGCGAGATATGCGAGAGTGATGTGTTCAGGGCAGCCTCAGATAAAAGAGTGCTATGTTTCACGCACAGATGTTCAAAGAGCCTTATATGGGAGAGAGCATGTAAAACATATGAGGACTTTAACACTAGTATTAGTGGACCAAATAAGTTCAAGGCATATCGTACCTTTTTTTTTTTAAATCACAATTTGTTATTAGTGAAACAAATAGTGAGTAGCTTCACTTATACTTATTTGGGTGAGCAATCTAATTACAAATACTCTCATAATAAGCTCATATCCACCATATGAGGTCACCCTAAAACTGCCCAGCGTGCGCTGCAAACAACTCCTGGATTTTATAACCCAAATGTTGGCAGGTATGCGTATCATCTATGTTTACATCACCTAATGTTTACATTTTAAAGCACCTTCATTATCTCTGAGGGGGCAATTTGCTTATTTTGGGTCTTGCATACCTGTAAAAACACTCAGGACTGTAAACTAATTCTCTGTATTACTAAGTATTTATCTACATTTGTTGTACTGTTGAGTTAAAATGTTTTTTTATATTTTTCGAAGTGTATCTTATTCAATTTGCTTTGTTTTTTACTTTGTGTGTTAATAAAATGTTTTTTTTAGTTTTTAGTACAGATGCTTTAAAACTGTCCGTTTAAAAAAAAAAAATCGTGATAATAATTGAGATCGGATGATACGACAAAATATAATATGATCTTTTTTTTTTTGCCAAATTGCCCAGGCCTACATCAGAATCAGTATCAGTGTATTTTTCTACAGGTGAAAAACTCCTTATAGTGCCTTGAAGTGTTGGTGTCCTTTTATTTTTTAAATTAATTTTATTGCTTTACTATTTTGAACCGCTCTGGAGAATCTGAAAAAGAAGTTACCAGAAACAGGCCACCGTCTGTTAAAGCTGACTGGGTGATACCCTACTGTCAGTATGCACTGAGGAGGGTCTAACAGTGAACTGATTGGATTCGAGGCCCACATGCTTTCTGTGTACTCTGCTGGAGGGTGCAGTCACATGGTTATATTCTTGAAGAGAGTGTCCTTGACACAGAGTTTGGCACTCTTAGCTTGGAGCCACTTATCAGGTTGTTTTAATGCTGCGGATTAGTCGTCTCATCATTACCGCTCCATGGCTTCATGCAGGTGTAGATCCTTTTATCATTGTCATTTTTTAAGTGTGCACATCATTAGTTAACTCATTATTTAGATAGGAAGACTGAAAAGAAAGCTGAAAAAAAAGCAGAGCACATGTCGAGATTCAAGTAGTGCTTTTGTAGGTGAGGGTGGTAGATGATTTTTTTTCTTTCTGGTGCAGCTGTCAGCTTTAATGTGTACTGGGCACAGTAGGTGTGTATCTGTGTGTGTGTGTGTGATTGGATTTTAAGCATCTACAAGATCAAGACCATACATCCCTCCCTACAATGGCCATTCACACATTCACAGGAGTCTGTCACTTCTGATGCCTAAAGCCAGAGGGACCACATTAATTTCAAGGTCCTGTGTTGCCTGTTCCTACTCTTCTCTCTCTCTCTCTCTCTCTCTCTCTCTCTCTCTCCCTCTTTTCTGTCCCTCCATGTCCCTCACCCTCTTTCGCTTTGGGCTAATCTTTCTGTCATAATCCACATCGGCCATGATTCTGCATCTCCCCTGGGCCATTCAAGCTGTCCCCGCCCCCCTTCTCTCAGCAAGTGGCCCGAGTAATGAGGGGAACCCCACCATCTGTGAGTGGTGACAGGATACCGGAGAGAGAATATGTGTGTATGTGTGTGTATGTGTGTGTGTGTGTATGTGTGTTTATGTTTGTGTGGATGATGACACATTCATACTTAGTAGCTTTACCTCATACAGTTTGGTGGTACTGGAAAAAGGCCAGTCCTTTTTTGGTGATCACAATAGACCATGACTGATGCTAGTTGTATTGTTGATGCTATTTTTTCGGAACGATATTGTAGGTTTCTTTGTTTCCAGCTTCCTGTTGGGGAAAAACTGTCATGACAAGCTTCCTTTTCCTGGAGTCAGCGTGATGACTTAAAGTATTTATTTTTTTTTTTATGAAGTTTCACCACCTGCAAGCTGTTAAAAGATATTCGTGAAAACTTCACTTAAAACATAAAACATAAAGGATAGTACAATTTCCTGTTGGTTCAGTTGGTCTAAAACAGATTGATAAATTGTGCCAGCTCATGGCATTTTGACACAATCAGCATTATATTAGCATTGGCCCTCAAAACCAGCATCTTTCCAAGTGCCCATTAGCATAATTTCAAATCCAAAACATTAATTGTCTAGTGGTTCTAAATTATATCATATTGTTATATTTAGCATTGACAGCAATATCTTCCTTATCTAGCACTCTATATTATAACCATAGACTGTATGGACAACTTTGTTCCGCCTACCGCCTGTTTACAGATTTGATGCCAAATAGCTCTCGATATTTCCGGGATTTTTCTTCATTTCCTGAAACCAGCACTGCGCAGTAGTGATTAGGGTTGGGTGTCGAGAAACGAGTATTGATGGGGACCGGGACTAACATTTCGATTCTTCAGGTATCGTTCAAATATTAAAATTTCGATTCCAAGTTTTGATGCCGGAGTCCGCTGATCGGAAGAAATAGCGAATAGCGAACGAAGAAGAAGCCGCTTAACATCAACGAGGACGTAGCGTATGAGACGAAGCCACACAGAAAGTGAAGAGAGACAGAGAGAGAAAGTACATTGCAACCCACAGCAATGCAGCCGCTGTGGGTTACAATGCACTGTCTCTCTCCTCTCTCTCTGTGTGGCTTCGTCTCATACGCTCCGTCCTCGTTAGTGTTCGGCAGCTTCTTCGTTGGTCAAAAGTTTGGCTAACTTTAGCAGGAAGAATGAACTCTTATCTCAATGCGACATTAGCAATACAGGTATATCATGCAAAGGAGGGTAAACGACCAACATGATTAAACACCTCAGGATTCATGGAGGAGAACCCAAAGTCAAGAAGGGTATTGTCTATGCAAAAATGCATTGAACAAGTAGCACCAGCTTTGTCCCAATACACCCTATGACCTCGAGCGAAGTGTCTTCCGTAGAGTTTCAGATGCCGTGGACTAGTGCTGGGCGATAGGACGATAGATATCGTGGGCACGATAGAAAATGTCTATCGTGCCATTTTTATTTTTATCGTTTCGGGCGATAGGCTGTATTTTATCCATAGGGCTTGTGCCATCAGATGATTCATAGTAACAACAACAATAATTGCACATTCAGTAAGTGTATTTGGTGTCGAACGGGAAAGAAAACAATATTTTCTTACAAAGAAAAGGATGCGTTGACATGTAGGCTTGCATTTCTCTTTCGATTTTGCGACATGACGCCGCTTTACGTGCCCTCTTCGTGTCCAGCGTCTCCCGCCGCTGCGGGTTACCTGGGTTACACACGTGAGGGGATCAGTGTAAGCAGTGCTTAATTTGTGCCGGAGCAAGTCGGAGCGCGATCCGGGACCTCTTTTGATCGGATCCGGGACCTATTTCAGCCGCTCCGGCACCTGTTTCATCTGCTCCGGGACCTTCCCTGTAGATGATGACATTTTTCGGGAATTCCCGTGGGTCACGTGATTCCCGCGGGAATGCCACGGGATGGGAGTCATTTTCTAATTAATCCCTTGATCGGGACGGGACGGGAAAAAAAGCAACGGGAGTGGGCAGGAGCGGGAAGAACATTAAAAGATGATCATTTTCAGCCGTGTTTAACAACCAGATGAACAGGTGCGTCCATTTTTGTAGTCATCTCTCAGTGAGAGCCAACACTCTTGACTGCGCTAGCAACACAAAAGAACTACAACAGTGGTTTGACTTCCTGTCAGCTGGGAGCGCGGCTGCGCATTTCTACCCTTCAAGCCAGCAGCGAGGAAACGTAATTTTGTGACATTCTGTAGTTTTTCAATCATTTCTGGAGTCGTGGCGAATCAAATCACCTTACCTGTCTGCCCCTGATAGGCGAATAAAGCGCTCGGATACATGCTCGGGTCTTGCTACGTGCTTCAAGAGTAAAGTAAACAATGATGGAGGCAGAGAGCAGCTTTGGAGGAGAAACATCTAGCAGTGTGAACAACCTCTTCAAAAGAGCCCGAAAGACCTACCTTTTTAATAAAGCCTTTGGTTAGTTTTCCTCTATGCTTTATGCTTTTACTACCTAGCTTCTTACATTGCAACTCTAAATATATATTTTTTTTAATTCTTTTTTTATGCCAATCTGTGACTGTCATTCTATTGCTTTTTTTTATTGTTGCTGCTCTTTTTTTACTGTGTACTGTAGCACTTTCAGATTTTTTGTAAATGTAAAGTGCATTACAAATTAAATTTATTATTCTTATTCTTATTCTTATTATTATGGAGTGCTTTGGCTCACACTATCGGCGTTTTCTGTGAGTGTTGCATAACTTTGGGTGAGCACAGACATATTTATTTATTCATTTTTCTAGTTTTAAGTAGGGTTGGGAATCGAGAATCGAGAATCGATGGGAATCGGGACTAAAACTTCGATTCTTCCGGTATCGTTCAAATATTAAAATTTCGATTCCAAGTTTCGATGCCAGAGTCCGCCGACCGGAAGAAATAGCCGCCGAAAATCAACGAAGAAGAAGCCGCTTAACACCAATGAGGACGGAGCGTATGAGACAAAGCCACACAGAGAGAGGAGAGAGACAGAGAGAGAAAGTACATTGTAACCCACAGCAATGCAGCCGCTGCGGGTTACAATGTAATCTCTCTCTCTCCTCTCTCTGTGTGGCTTCGTCTCATACGCTCCGTCCTCGTTGGTGTTCGGCAGCTTCTTCTTCGTTGGTCAAAAGTTTGGCTAACTTTAGCAGGAAGAATGAGCGCTTATCTCAATGCAACATTAGCAATACAGTTATGTCATGCAAAGGAGGGTAAACGACCAACGTGATTAAACGCCTCAGGATTCATGGAGGAGAAATACCCGAGTGCTCGTCTTTGACGCGCTTCGCCGGTGTTGTGCCAGAGAATGCACCCCTGCTGTTGAATGCACCCCTGACGGGAGCGCGGTTGAAAGTACACAACAAGGCGAAACAATCCAAGTTTTTCTTACCGTTGGACGGAATCTAAAGCGTGTGCCTTTAATGATTTCATTCAGGCTATTCAGATATGCCGAAAACAATAGCCCTCTGATTCGGAATATTTACTGTCCTGAAAATATTATGTTCTCTACATTAACAGCTTACTCTACAGTTTATATACCCAAGTACACCTTTATGTGTGCATTTTTGAGACACATACAAACAAAACGAAAGTTTACTGCTCCATTTGACACGTTTTCATGATCTAATACCCGTGTTTTATTAAATATGAGATCATATTTCTTCCACTAAGAAGCTAATCAGTGTAGGGGAGGCATTCTACGGCAGGGGTGCATTCTACAGCACAACACCTGTCAGGATCAGATAAGTGAAACAATAAATTACTTCTGTCCTCTGCTAACTTTGAAACGGTAAAGAAATTGAACTGTGTACGGTGAGTAAACTTAAATATCCATCTAACGTTAGCCCTTGTGCTTTTTCATAGACAATCGACCTGAAAACAAAAATTGATATTTATATACTGGTTGAAAATAGCTCTGTGAGAAATCCATAGTAAAGTTCTTAAAAAGTTAATAGGATTTAAAAATTCATGGAGAAGTTCAGAAATTTCATCCAAAAAGAAGAGCCCCGGTTAGCACCCTCATTCAAACCATGCTTTTTTTTCTTTTTTCTTTTTTCTTTTTGATATCCTGCCTTTTAAAAGAATCGAATTAGAGAATCGATAGGAATCGGAATCGAAATGAGGAATCGAAATTGGAATCGGAATTGTTCAAAATCAAACGATACCCAACCCTAGTTTTAAGTGCTGGTCTTGTACTGGTACTGTACTAGTGCAGCTGTATACACTTAAATTTTTCATAGAACTGAAAGCATACCATAGCTATATCGTGATATATATCGTTATCGTGATATAAAATGATCCATATCATGATATACATTTTTTTCCATATCGCCCAGCACTACCGTGGACATGGATGCATCTGCGATGCTGGCTGAAGGGTTTGACTGACCCACGGCTGCATCACGTTCTTGTTTCTCAAACGCCTTTTGCAAATAAATCACTGGTAGCATGTCATGTGAAACCTAGTGTCGTCAGGAACATTGTCAAAGTCGATATCAACGCAATGTTTACAAGTTTCTGCAAGGTCTTTTGTCTCACCCTGTAGAGAAAGCCACTTTCTAATACTAGTTCTATAAGTTTCCCAACGTGTCCTTGTAAAGTCGAGAACATCTTCACTCTGGACAGATGATGGATGCATATAGCATTGTTTCGTTCCTTTATTATGCACTTTTGAAGGCTGATTTCTTTTTTTCCTTTTCTTCCTCTGTGCTTGTCTCGCTGCTAGATGCGCTCGTTGCCATGTTTATGTATTTCTGATACTATGGCAACGAGACTCGGCTCCTATTGGTCCACGTGACAAAAATCGCTTCACCCCTCTGCATATTCGATTGCGCGTGTGCAAGTATCAGTGCAACGCAGAAAGGAAATAGTTCGACACTGAAACACTGATTACTAAAAATCGACAGGATGGCATGAGTTGATATTTTTTTTCAGTACTTACTATCAATAGAGTTATTTTATGAATCACATTTTATTTAAATATGAGATCATTGTCTTCCACTTTAAGAAGCTAATGAGTGGAGGGGAGGCATTCTATGGCAGGGGTGCATTCTACAGCACAACACCGGTCTTCCGCTAACCAGTCAGGATCAGATAAGTGAAACAATAAATTACTTCTGTTCTCTGCTAACTTTGAAGCGGTAAACAAATTGTACTGTGTACGGTGAGTAAACTTAAATATCCAACTAACGTTAGCCCTACTTTTTCATAGACAAACGACCTGACAACACCTGAGTCCGTATCCTAGCGATTGTTTCATGGAGAACATCACACGGAACGTCAGCCGTTGCCTTACAAGAGTGAAGCCAGATAGATCCACACTAGCCTGGCTGGGCCATCCTGTTGCGTGAATCACTTGCCGTTCCTTCCCACAACAGTCTGGACTTCAGCCCATTGGGAGCGTGTATTCCCGATCAGAAAATAACCGGGCCAATCAGAGACCGTGTTTCCACTGTTACCCGGACAACAGGGAAAGGCAGCCCCTGATTGGTCCATGTGTAGATGGTAACGTCTAACACATGCTGCGGGACTTTTCAAAGCGCCGTTCATTCAGAACGCCGTTAATTCTGCAGTTGACTTTGCAAAGTCGGCAGAAATCATTGATATCCGCAGAAGACATTGGATCTTGGATCTGCAGCTATAGGTGTTTTCCTACAGCTGCATCAGTCTGTACCAGTTTGCACCCTTACCCTTCAGATAACAGTCAGGCTGCCAATCAGTGTTCAACATCATCATTGTTACTAGGGAACAATATGAAAATGCAACATCCCGATTATTGTAAACAAAATTGTCATGGTTATCAATATTATCACGGTATTGTTGATATAAGTTCAAAATGTTTAAAAAGTACTGATACACGCCCTGGAATCATTTAACAGAGTTTTATTTTGAAAAATCAATCAAAGTAACACGCAGAATGAACTTTTCCTTAACCTTATTTACTAGAGGAACTATAAACTTAAAAAAATTCATGATTAATTAATCATGTAATTGGAAACTGAATTCAAAACATTGCTCAAAAGACAACAACAATATGTTTTAAAACGCCAAGAGTGCCATTATATGGGGCCTTCAAACTTTCTTATGAATATAAATGCTTTTTATTTCAGCTTGTGGCCAACTTAAAATGAGTAATTAATGATCAAACTTAATGATGGGGTCAGCCTATCCAAGCTTGTTTTAATGCTGCCTTGATACAGTAAGAAGTGAACAATTATTGCTGAAATCAATGTCAATGTCAATGTCACGTTTATTTATATAGCACATTTATAGGACAGGCCAGACAAAGTGCTTTACAGGAGAAAAACATAAAATAATAAAAGCTACAAGTATGGCAACATTAAAAGGGAAACATACACTAACAACAATAAAAGAAAAGCGTACGCGAGTAAAAGCAAGTGACAACTCAACCAAAAGCTAGGGTAAACAGGCAGGTTTTAAGGTGCTTTTTGAAGGAGGTGAGGCTGGTTGCAGAACGCAGACTGAGACAGGGCATTCCACAGTGTGGGAGCAGCAACTGCGAATGCCCGATCCCCTCAGCTTGAACCTGCAAAATTTCACAAAAACACATGTGAATTGAAAAACATCAATGCATTTATGTCCTTGCGTTGGATAGATAAATGAGGGCACTACAAATGCTACAGAGTGTGATGAGGTCCAAATTAGTCGTTTACAGTAAAGAATCAGGATGCTACCAGAGTTTCATCTCTGCTCTCATGTGTAACGCAGCAACACCGAAACAAAACCACCACAAACTTCAGCCCCATGCTCTCATTTCACACCACAACATGATAGTAAATGATGCATGAACAGCATTATGCTAGCTTGGCTTCACATTGAGGCCCTGTGGCCCTGACTTGTTAGGTCATGTGCCCGCCGTTTGACTGTTGATAAGCTGAGATGATTTAAGAGAATCTGTATAAGCTGGATGTGTATTTTTAGATGCAATGTAAATGTTTCTCTATACAGTTTGATTTAGACATTTCATGAATGGATAAAGGACAGTTTATAGGCTTGTTATAGTCTGTCATTATCTCTGTTAGGAAAATGATACATTTCATTAACCCTGTTGTGTGAATTGCAGTTTAGCCTGTAAGAAGCTGTTTAAAGAGCTAAACACCCCAAAGTGTGAATTAGTAGAGCACAAGTAAAATCTGCACTTTTAATATTTAATTTAGTCTTCTAAAAAGATAGCTGACTCCCCACAGCAACTGAAGTTTACATCTACTGTAACAGGTACTTGTGATTATTGTTACATCTGTTGTAGATGTTCAATAGCTCTATTAAATCAGATATGCCAAAATGGGAGAAAATTAAAATGCTAGCTTTCATGTCAGATGCCAGATAAACATCCACACCAAACCACATTCTTGCTGTTGAGGTCACCTCACTCTCACCTGTCATCATCCTGGTCTTTGACTTTAACTGTCAACAAGGTTTAGGATTTAGCGCGATGGACTTCTGATAATCAAGAAAGAAACAAACAGTAGCAGCTCAGCTCACAGCCCCCTAAATCCCTTTGTAAGAGCATCCAAGGACAAAGATTTAACTATACATATATATATATATGTATTATAGAAAATTTTGAGAAGAGAGAGAGGGTGTAGACATTCATGTCATTTGGTGAGCTTTAAGTATTTTTCTGGAATAGTGGCAACCTCTACAGTTACGTTTAGCTGCTAGTAAGAACCTTGTGAACCTTGAACATGGAAAGCAGCTCATCTTGTCCAGTGTCTGCTAAATAGTGTCAGAAAAACACAGAATGATGAAGTTACATGTGAAAGCGGTGTGCGTGTGAGCTCATTTCCTTCAGATAGAAATCTTAAGTTTGCGTTTTACAGCTTTAAGTACCTCTCTGGCGCAGTAGCACAGTCCAACTCAAGTCCTGTTGCCACAATAATAGTTTTATTATGTCTGATTGTATCAGAGTAATTAGCTCGCCATTTAACCTCCACCCATATCTTGGGTGGTGCTGAAACTATAGCAACATGCTTGCACACGAGAAGGCACATCTATTTTAGCTGCAATAAGCCTGTTCTAGTAAAGCTGTCATCCCTGCATCTGAGAGAGCTTGTGGGTGGAGAGGAGGTGTAGCCTAAATCTGAATCAAGGCCATGTTTCCTCAGGCATAGCATATGTAGGCCAACTTTACCATATTTATACAGCATGTAATGGGAAGAGAAGTACAAGATAAGTTTGTGGTTCAGCTGTTTTCACACATCTTAGCTGCTTGGTAGTTTGTAGCTAATGGTGCTCGAGCAGGAATGAATTGTCAGCCACCACCACACTAACTTTTTAATGTGCTGTTGAAGGTGCAAACTCACAGCAGGTTGATTCAGGTGGGGACAGATCATCATATAAACAGCCTTAATGACCTCTTCAAGTTCTACTTTGATAGAAATTTGACGTTTTTATTTCTTAAGATATTTGTGAGTGGGAGGACCCATAGAATGACATTGGGCAAGACTTGCTATCCTCTTGCAGCGAATACTATTGGTTTGTGTTGTGTCCTGTCTTGCCGTGTCATGCCTGTGGTATTGTGTTGTGTTGTGCAGAATAACATTAAAAAAAAACAAAAAACTTTTTGCATTAATTGCATATAAATCTTCTGACTTTTTTACAGTCAGACTCTCACAATGCTGGCACAAATCTGGCTTTAACATTACCAGCAGAGCTACTCAGCCTCACCTTGAACAAGTTGCTTAAAAATTTCCTTTGAGTACCATGTAATTTTCAACTTGCAAAACTGGCAACTTTCGTAGCCTCACTATGACCTAATTGACACGCTAGTTTTTAAACTGCACCTTTTACACCAGTGAGGTAAAGTGAAGCGAAGCATCAAGTCATATGATTTTGCTTGTCCGTAGTAGCATTTGGCATCCTGACCTTTCAAGAACTCTCCTCGCTTCACCTGCTCTGAATGAAGCAACCATAAACCAGACTTTCAGGTTGGTTTCCTTGTTGCGCTTTTACCCTTACTTGCAAAGTGCTGAGCAAACAATCAGAAAATGTGTGTGTGTTTTTGTGTTTGTATGTGTGTCACTGCCTGCATATTTAAAATTTCTATGCGCCAAAAACAGTCCTGGACAGCACTTACGCGCTGACCCCAATTTCACACACACACCAGGTGCTGAATGCTCTGCTGGAAATTTACCGAAGGAGTGTTTAGCTGCACATCCTGTTTATGTGATGTGATGACGATTATGATGTGACCACAGGGCATAGAAACTCTTAGTTACCACAACTTCAGTTACTCAAATTCAAACAGCTACAGGACATGTTTGATGGTTTAGTCATCAGGAATCTCTCCAAGCAACTTAATCCACCTTTCTGAAGCTCATTTTTGTCTTTCTTCTAATTACACAGTCTGTACATTCTTTGAAATCATCACTGTGTCAGACTTTCACAATCACTTTATAAAGCCTGTGTGAGCGATCTGTTAAAGCTCCTGTGAGGAGTTTTTGATTGTCCTGAAAACAGACTGAAATTAACTGTAAAGAGTCACAGAGATGTACAAAAGCAAATGAAACCATAATGGTCAGATGGACAGTCTCTGTGTTGTGATCCTGCTGTAAGAGGGTAGGTTCACAGAAACAACATGAGCTACTCTCACCACAGCAAATATTCATAAACTGTAAAAAGTAAACAACAGATTTTTTTTGTCAACAAGTGCCACTTAAACAAGGTCAACACATAACATAATAAAAAAAATTGTGCAAATTTGATTGTTCCAACTGGCAGAACAGCTGTTATATAAACCTATAATCATGATGTATGTTTTTCTCTCAGAGAGGTGATGTAACACAAATAGTAAAACTGTAACACAAATAGAAAGCCAGTGTGATTATTAGGAGGTACTTTTTATCACTTTAATTTTGTTGTGTTTGAGCAACATTTGATGTTGGGGTTAATCTGCAATAATCTGCAATTCATTTTGACATATTACATATTATAAATATTTGACATATTACATATTATCAGCTATACCACAAGTATTTAAGCTTTATTACATCTGCTGCCCTGGAGCGGGAGACAGTGAACCTTTTTAAAACAACGTGTACACTGGAAAAACAGCTACACAACGATACACAACCTCAGTTCAGTTTCTTTTACAGTATTAAACTATTGAAAATTAAAATACTTAGCTGTAAAGACAAGTACACAACAATGCAGAACTACTGTATAGCAAGTACCCCCCACAATGACACTGACAACAGGGTATGTAAAGACTGAAAAGCTGAGTGCACTCAGCCAAAACAGCCGCACACCAACAGCAGGTTCTTCAACAGTAACAACATGGTCATTGTACTGATATAGCATAATAAAACACAGCAAATAAAACTTCAGGAATATAATTAAACTGATGTCAGCTGCGATTTTATCTTAGTTTTAAATCCAGTGGATCAGCAGCACTCTCTGGTTTCTAATGAGTTCCAAGAATTGCTGAACTCAGAGGACCTGTAATTACACAGTCACCTCTGTTGGCTTTCCTTGTTGTTCCAACACGATTTCCATGTATTGACAGAGGCTCAGCAAAACCCACAAAATTTCAAATTTCAGGAGGTTATATCTCTGAGAAGTAGTGGTGAAAATATCTTTAAGTGCATGAGCAGCTTTACCGCATTAATGGGCAGCTGATTTTAAGTTGAAGGAACTTTTGGTTTGTGCCAGTTTTGGCACCCCCTGTCTTCGAAGCAGTCTTTGCTTGTCTTTTCTTTTACATGCTTAACTAGTGTCTTCAGTAAAAAATTAATTGCAAATACCTGTGTGGAAATTGTTACCAGCCTGTTTCTTCAGCTAGCTACCTTACACTGGTTTGAGGCATTTAACATAAAAAAGTATTTGTCAATCTTGTTGGTGGTGTTTTTTTTATGTCATAATTAGCCTTAATATAAATTTCAGTCTATTCCATCAATGTTTTAAGAAAAACCTCCTTACAGTAGCTTTAAAATTGACTTGTTATTTTGACAGCCCTTGTTCAGCACATATTAATTGCCTAAGTCTTGTATTATCATGTTTTCTGCTGGGCTTCAGTTCAAAGAGTTCGTGTCCTTATCATGTTTTTTAAGCTACATTTGTTTTGCTCAACACCTGTAGATGTTTTCAGTGGGTGGAGTTGCCAAAGCAGACATCTGTTGTAGAGCAGCTAATTGCATCTACTGTAATCATCTAAATAATTCAAATGTGACCTGTCAAGTTACATAATATAAAAGGAATGAGGAGTTGTGGTATCACGAAAGCTCACTGTCAGCAAACTTAATGTTTAGTTCTACTCAGTCATCAAATTTGAGGTTGAAATTCAGCTGCTCTTAATGCGTTTACTCATTTGCTTGTTTTTTCCTTCACAGAATGGCACAAAGAAATCCTGGGACTTCATGCGAACCCATGACAGGTAAAACACAACACTCCTAGGTCTCTGCTACTGGGTGGAAATTGTGCCTCATACACAAACACTGACACACAGATGGCATAGACACAACCAGAAAAACGTTTGAGCTTGAACTGTTCGAACTTTTGCTTTAGGCTTTTTTGTACGCACAGTTACACAAAGCCAGAGATGTCCTTGCACATATCCAACTTCGCTATTATCTCTGCTTTGTTATACTTTAACACTTTATTCAGAAGTTTCTTCTCTAAAAGACGACAAATACTGGAAGGTCAAACCACAACAGAGCTTGTTTTCTGAGAACTGGCTCTCTGTTTTTCTACTTGGCAGCAGCTGTAAATGTGCGAGCTTCACAGGGGGCACTGTAAGAGAAATATCACACATTGGTGTAAAAACCCATGGTTCTCTCTCCCTGATTTGCCCTGAGGTAAGTCTTGGGTCATTTAAGCACCTCTTTCCTTCTCTAGTGACCCCAAAAAGTCTGTCCCTGTGAAAAATAGTCCCACTGAGACAAAAGCGGTAAACCTACAACCTGGACTTTTAAGAGGAAGAAGCCCATGAGAACATCCAACTCTTCCCCAGGGGGTAGTTTTACTCCCTCACTACTGTGTTTTCAATGGAGCCAGGATTGTTTTGGGTTTTTGGTTAAGCGTGCATCACATTTTCTTCCCAACAGGGCAATTCTTGCCACATTCATTCTTGCAAAAAGAAAAAAAAAGGCAAAGACAGATTTGATGGTATCTTTTCTTCTTTCTGGAATGTTAGGAGATCCGTTTGAGCTTCTTCCTCATATGTCTTGAAAAAGAATCCCTTGTCAAATGGATTCTTGTCCTTTTTCTATATGCCACGAACATTCATGTTAACATTGACTTGTTTTACTCTTTGGTGTTCGAAAATGTCAATTAAATGTAGGCACATTCTCCAGCATTTGCTTGACATGATCATTTTTTACCTGGTTAATTGTAAATCATCCAGAAAATCTGGGTTCCAGGTTGGGGTCCAGGTCTTGTAGCACGGTCTGTTCAGAGTATTTTTGATATTTAAAGCAGACCTTCTCTTGAATTTAACACTAAGATGCTGCTTCAAAAGGCAGTATCCACCATGAACTTGCTTCACTTCAGTCCTTGAGGAGCTGCAGTACTTCGGTTGACAGGTAACAAGCTGAGATGTATTCACTCTTGGGTTTCTTCTTTGATCTTTCCACTGTGTTCTTCCAACACTTTCTTATTGTAGCCTCAGCCTTTGGTTCTACTCACTCTGAACTTTAGGCTCAGGTCTGAAGCTCAGTTTTTACATTTTTGGAAACTGAGCATAAAGTCTGAAATTTAGATTGTAGGTACAAAAGATGCGGTCTGTTTTTTGGAGAATTTTATTGAGTTCAGTAATGTGCAGTTTTTATGCAGGTATGTAGTGCTTCCTTTTACGTTCTGCTATTGCCACCCTGCCGAATTCCCATACAGTTGTTGAGCAGTGTATCATATCGTGTTGTATATCCTATCGTATTGTATGGTATTGTATCGTATCGTATCTAACCTTGGAAGAGTATTTATTTATTTTTAATCTCACCAGCTCTCTACATAGTTTATTTCCTCAATAGTTACCTCTATTGTCTTCAACTGCACGATTAGAGCTACTTTTAAAAAACGAATGTCACCGCCAGACTTTCCCACCCTGCTATATATCTAGCATGCTTTCCAAATTGAAAAGCTTGATACTGTTATGTTGGTCACACTGGTTTAGAGGATGGTGCTTTAGATGGCAAACAAAAGTTATAAAAGTGCATCATTCTCCTGGTAATCAGTGCGTAGCCAAGTATATTTGTCATTATGCATACGATATAGGGTGTCATTTTGCACAGTGCATACTCATAAGGTAGAGCAGAGATTGGTCAGACCTGCAACGTCAACCAGCTTTTGGCACTGGTTGTACTCCCAGTGTCTCCCTGGCTAATCAATCCCACCACATCTAACCTTTGTACTGAAGAACTTTTAACTCGCTTATTTAGAGAACTGGTTTCCTCCCCAGAGAAACTCAAAATGGATAATCAATCGGTTTGGTCATGTGTTGTGGTCAGGGAACCCCTGACCTTCAGCCACATTAGTGTGACCCGCAGGTCAAAGCCTGAAGATGGCCATGGACCAAGATCAGTTACAACAAGCAACATTAGCTGCGTTTCCATTACATTTTTTCGCAAAATAAAAGCGATGTTTATCAAATTTCGACAAAGTACAATTGCGATTTGCGGGTGTTTCTATTGAATGGTGTTCAGTGCATAAGTGAGCCGTCTGCCTCTTGCGAGCCGTGTTTGAATAGCTGTTGCCTTGCAACGAGGTAAACTTCCTCCCCGTGCAACCTCGCCTTTTTGCACACCAGCATGGAGGAGACACAAAACATTTTGCGTTTTGGAGCAGCTATTTCTGTGACCATTACTGCTGTTGCCGCTGCTGTCATCAGAAGACGAAGGTAGCGGGTGATAATTCAAAGGCAAAGCCCGTATGTATGGGAGTGGACACGGATGAGGGATTTCTGGGAGAGGATCGTTAATGAGGAATTCACAGACGAATTGTGGATTCAAAACTTAAGAAAAATACAAATACAATTCAAAACTTCAGATATAACTCCGTCTCCTACCCTGTCCACACATACCACGCCATCTTTGCTTGAGATGAACTGGTCACATGACCTGCGACGTCACGTCCGGTGACAGAGAATTGCGAGAATAGTTTTTCCATTACACTTTTGCGATATACTTCTATATCGACACGTCTGAAAAACCACCTCATGAGAGCGTAAAAACTTTTTTGCGATATTTGAGGGTTTTTTCGAAATTTAGGTGTTTCCATTACCAGTTTTCTATTGCGATATTTAGGTTTTGCGCAAATCTATGGGTAATGGAAACGCAGCTAGTGAAGCCTCTATGATGGACACTTAGGACCTAATGCCAATCAGAAAATCACCTCAACAGCAGATCCTCCAGGATCCCCATTGAAAAGATATGTAAACCGGATTGGCTTGAAGACTTAAAACAGGCAACTGGACTGTGTAGAGTTGAGAAGACGTTTCGCCTCTTATCCAAGAAGCTTCTTCAGTTCTAAAATTGCTAGTGTGGGGAGCAGATATTTATCTTGCTGGAGACAGGGGAACCGGATTGGGTTGCTCCCATTGTTTTTTTTTTTTTGTTTTGTTTTTTTTGTGTTTTTTTGGACACCTGTGTGTTTATGACAGTGTTTACAGTCTGGTACTCCCCTGTTACTAGAAGTGACTTTGAGACTGAAGGAAACAGAAACACAGGGTCATTCAGGTCATTTCTGGAATAAGACCTTATGAAATGTGAGGAAAATGAGCTCTGGTAACTTTAGAAATGGCCTCAGTTCTTGTAACAGTTGATGGATAACAGAGGATGTAACAGTCCTCTCTCGTAATGATATTATATTAATATAATTTGGCCCATTCCTGCTCCTCATATGTCTACTATAACCCACTTTCCCGCTATCCAGCTTGAACCCCCTGTTGAGAAGGCCTAATGGTGCATGAGAAATCCTGAGTGTCCGTTTAACCTGCTTCTCCGTTTAACCATCAGAGCGTTTCTTTTTCTGAAGGAAGCTGTAGAACAGCAGTAATGGTGTGGAACAGTACTACATGACCCAGACCTGCCTCTGGGGACCGCTTCCATGCCTCAGGCCTGTGTGTCCCACTTCTGGACCAAAATGCACCACATTATCTTATTCAGACTTTAACTTGAAAGTGATGATATCCTCCCTCCAGCTGCTTTAAGCCTCTACATATATATAATCAGCAGCTACACCAAAACCCCTGCAAAGTGTAAACCTGCTGAGGTGTTCAAGCAGAGAAGGTCATCGGTTCAGTGATTCAGATGCAGAACTTAAGTGGCTCTCCATTAGTTTAATGTTTCAACAGTGCAATACGGCACTATAGGATTTGATATCCGTTTGTTGCTCTGATATAACTGCTCATGTTCGAGCAGTTCTTTTCTTACATATAGGACTCAGTGGCACCTGTAGTCCATCTATCACAGGAGGGTGAAACACTTCTTCCAGACTGAGTGCATCCTCCACTTCTCCTTTTGTCTTAGCATGAAGGCCTGGAGTGGCTTTTTCTAACTCTCTTGGCTGACAGTAGCTGTCATTATCTTGCATTCTTCTTCTATTATGCTGCTGTCAACTCCCTGTCATGCTACCCTCATTCACATCACATACGACCACGAAGTAATGAAATAATAGCGCCCTATTGGTGTTTGTGCCACCCATGTTTTTATGTGGAAATTTATGAACTAACCTTAAAAATAAATCTCAGCAGTCTGTGTTTAGGTGAGTAATCCTGGACATCAGGTTGATCAGATGCTAGAAGTGCTCCTGGATAGTGTTTGCTACTTCCAAGGTCATCAGCCTGTTCTTAAGTGGTTGGCAAACTTTGAAGTTCCACCCCTAGTTAGTCACAGCACACTGCTCATCTGCCACAAACACAAGTTTTAAAACTTGATCAGTACTTCTATAATCTGAGAGAGGGAATTCAATTTCAACTTTGAAGCTGTCACTCTATTGATATCTGGTTTAAGCGTGTATACTAGTCGGATTACTTGTCCTCTTCCAGACGCTTCTGTTTAGGGCTTTGGGTTCACGATCACCCTAGCCTTCGAACATCTCAGCTGACGTCTGAACAAATGGCTGAAAATAGCCCCTGGACTTTCACTTATACCATCTGTAGAGCAAACGGATATTAATGCAGTATCAGCTCAGGCCCTGCAGTCAGAAACGTTGTAATACCAATGTCCCGGTTCCCTTTCACCATGGGAAAGACAGGGCAGGGCTTCCTGCCGCCTCAGACACATCCGCTTTCCCAACGCTAACTCCGGGTCTCAAGACTCCAATGGCAGAGACAGTCACACCTAAATACACACTGTAGTGAGCCACCTCCACAACCCACTGGGTGCTGCAGGTCCTGCAAATGATGACTACTGTACCTCCATCCACATAGGTGTAATCCGGTCTTAAACTTCTGCAGGGGTTAAAGGTTTAATCTAAAGTTTTGTTCCTTGAGTTTCAAGTTTGATTGAGACCAAATGTTTGTCTTCTAATTCAGCATTGCATCACCTTCACTTTAAAATCAAATAGACAAGTAAGATAGCCTCAGGTTGAAGGACAACACCCTCATATTTGATATCCTTGGTGCACAGCAGACCTGTCAAGCAGCTGTTTTCATGGTGCAGTAGCCAGGATGTGCCAGTTCTGAAAGCAAATATTTCTGCTCTTCTGCAGCGTTGCTAGGAAATAGGATAGTGTTGATCTTGATACAGGATGCTGAGTGAGTGTTTGCATGAAACAACTAGCAGGAGTGTTTTGACATTCATCTTAGACCGCTAGATTTTGTTTTGATTAATATTTTATCATGTCAGTCAAAGTTACGGTTCTTTTACAGCCTATTTGAACTGGAAGTAGTGCAAAGACAAGATAAACATAAAAAAAATTGATTGCTCTAGTAAAAATATGTGTTCATTTTAGAAAACACTGAACACATCTCTGACATATTTTGGTTACTTGGTAACAGGTTAGAAACATCACTGGGTCTACAAAAGGACTTTCCAGAGAGGTGGAGTCAAAAATGAGAAGAGGTTCACCACCCTGTGTGAGACTAACTGAGAAAAGTTCACTTTTTTTTTCAACCTCAGTGCAAAATGACATTGAAACGAACACTGCATGGCTGATCATCAGCCCTTCGGTCAAAACTGCATCAAAACAGGCATGACTCTGTATTGGAAATCACTGCATGTGGTTAAAACCATTGTCAACAGTTTTCACAGAATCCTCATTAGTAGGTTAAAACTTGGAAACCATGAACTAACATTAACATTAACAGAAAACGCTGGCGATCCCAGGTACCTCTATATGGATTGAGACAAAGTGGAAAACTGTCTAGTGGTCCAAAAATTCAAAACTCAAAATTCATTTTAGACATTGTGGACTTTTTAGCGCAACATATGCAGCCATCGAAGTAATGCCTTTTCAAGTGAGACCTTACATAGAAGGACAATACCAAACCACATCCTGCGTATATAACAACAGCATGGCTCTATAGTAAAACGGTCCAAGTGCTTAACTGGCCTACCTACAGTGCCGACTTATTACCCACTGAAAACATTTGGCCCATGACACAAAAAATATGACTAAGTAGAAACAATTGAGCAGCTGAAATCCTTTATAAAGCAAGAATAGGACAACAGTTAGCTTTACTCCAGAAACTGGTTGTAGTCCAAAATGTTGAAATAGTGCCATTAAAAGAAGAAATTGTGCAACACAACAATAAGCATGTCTCAACCGTATCTGATTGCCGGCACCGAATTTAAAATGAGCACATTTTTTACCTTTTCTGCATTTAATATGTTGTCTTTTCATTTTCCCAGTCAAATTTCTTTCAAACCATTAATAACTGTTTTATTCATGTTTTATTTAGCTCCCCAACTCTTATGAAATTGTTACTGTACAATATCAACACACTTCACAAAAGGCTCATGGGAACCTGACTCCAACACCATTCCTCTTTTACTCTAAATGGTGGTTTTAGACCAACTGACGAAGTTGCCATGGCAGAGTGAATTTCCTTGAATGACTGATTAATTATATACCATGAAGGCAAACAGATCGACTGTCTAAAAAGTTCACTGATTCATTCTATCTCTTTTTCTCCGTAGTGTATCAGTGCTGATCTTCAACACCACCTCACACTGTTTTGTGCTTGTGAAGCAGTTCCGTCCAGGTAAGTTTTCTCTGTTTAAACCAACTTTTCAACTGATTTGACTGTGTAGCCAGCTTGTTTCATTTTCCTCTTGTCACCTTGTTAGATCTAGATTGTTATATATATCCTGTGTGCACTTTCACTGGAAAAGCTCTGAGTTACATTCTCTATTTATTCTACTGGATCTTAGCAACAATGCAGACTCATAAATAGAGCACAAGAGGCCCTGTTACAAAGCAGTCCAGCCTCCTTTGTTAGAAGTCGCCAGGGTTTGTTCCACACCACAATGTGCTAAATTCAAGGAAGTCTGGGCATTGATATATTTATTTCCTCTTCTCTCTCTTTGCTGTTGGGGATAAAAAAGTCTTTATCTTAAAGTCATCAGTTTGTCTATAAATAAGAGCAACTCTTTTTTTTTCTCAAAGCAGGAGTGAACCATGTATTTACCCACTGTTTAACATCAGACAATAAGTGTTTGAAAGTGTTTGGGATTGAGCGAGAGATTTAATGAACATATTTGTAGTAAACATAGAAACTCAAAACATTTTGTTGATTTAGTGTGGCCTGGGCAGAAGCACTCTTTGTTTAAACTCCTGTGAGCTGTTTGGCTCGAGCTATTGATGCTTTTACATGGCCGATCAGCGAGAAGACTGATTATTTCAGTGCTGTTTTTTACAAGCCTGTCGACCCTGATGAGCATACATGTCAGACAAGGAGATTACAGCACACCGTAAACCCAGTTTACACAACATAGGGCTCACCAAATACAACAGTGTCAAAGTTCCTCACAGGAGCTTTAAAATTTCTCCATGTAGTAAGCAATTCAAATGAAATTCCTGCGAGGCACTGGTATTCATTCAAATAATCCACACATGAAAAGAAATCACAACGTTCAAGTCCATAAATAATGATTATGTGGAATTAAGTGCACTAACACAGGGAAAAAGTATTGAACACACCATGGAAAGGCTGTATACTTTGGCAAGGAAATGCGCCACACCACCTGAAATCTGTCAGTAATTATTATTTGTACATCCAATCAGTGCAAACCAACATCAGCTGGGTTAGAGCAAATTGATGGTCCCATAAACAGGTCGTTTTGTCACTAAGAGGTCAAACAAGACACATCTCATGATGGGTAAAGGCAAAGAGCTCTCTGAAGACATTCGCAACCTGATTGTTGCTCAGCATCAGAATGGAACTGGTTACAGACTTATATCAAAGCACCTGAATATTCCAGTCAGCACCGTTGGGGCTATTATCCGCAAGTGGAAGAAGCACCACCTTACCATCAACAGGCCATGCTCAGGAGCTCCTCGCAAGATTTCTGACCAGGGAGTATGAAAGATGGTCAGAAGAGTACTCAACGAGCGAAGGACCACCCTGAAAGCACTCCAGAAAGACTTGGAGGCAGCAGGTACAATTGTTACATGCTCTCCACCGCCATGGCCTCTATGGACGCTCAGCCTGCAAGACTCCATTCCTCAAGAAAAAGCATGTTGAAGCTCATTTAAAGTTTGCTAAACAGCATCTTGACAAGCCTGTAGAATACTGGGAGAATGTTGTCTGGTCAGACGAGACCAAAATTAAACTTTTTGGCTGTCATACTACACACCATGTTTGGAGAAGAAATTGCACTGCACATCACCCAAAAAACACGATACCAACAGTGAAGTTTGGAGGTGGAAGCATCATGGCATGGGGTTGTTTCTCATCTCGTGGTATTGGCAAACTTCATATAATTGAAGGAGCAATGAATGGAGCCATGTATCAGGAAATTCTTGATACGAACCTGCGGCCATCCACCAGGATGATGAAGATGAGACCTGCCTGGTACTTCCAGCAGGTCAAAGATCCAAAGCACACGGCAAAGTTAACTCTCAAATGGTTTCAAGAAAAGAAAATTAATCTGTTGAAATGGCCCAATCTGTAACGGGTATTGACTGGACCCAATTGCAGCACAAACAAGCAGGTTCACTTTAACAACAGTCTTTATTGAACACCAAATCCAATGTAGCAGCAGAGTATAGCAGGTGGGTATGGCAGGATTCGAACTCGGGTCTTCCGGGTGATAGGCGAGCAGATTAGCAGTGGACCACAGGTCAGGCAAGAGTTTTGAACTCGTGAGCAGGGAATTGTCCACAGTCTTAATTTGCTCTACGAGTGTAGTGAAGGGGAAAACGCTCAACTCACAGCTGGAGGAAGATTTCTTGGAGAGTGGTTCAGGTGAGGACTGGGTGAGGATCCAGAGCTTGCAGAGGAGCTGGCAGAACCAACGTCGGCAGAGGAGGTGAGTTGGCGAGGTGAAGCTGACGAGAAGGGGGATCTCAACAGAGCAGGAACAGGCTGAGTGGCATTCAGCTGCAGGCAGACGAATAGCAGGAACCAGGCAGGCAAAGCTCGTAGTCAAGGACAGAAGGCAGGTAGGTTTACCGGGGCTGAGGCAAGAAGCAAAGGTCAGGGGCAGATCAGGTCGATACCAGGTAAGCAGTCCGAGGATAAACGCTGGAGAGTCAGGCATGAGAGCAAAGACAATCTGGCAAAGAGTGAGGGGAAAGAAGCTGCATATATACTGGCCTGATTGGAGATGATGAGCAGGTGAGAGCAGCAGGTGGAAGCAGTTAGCTGATGAGGGGTGTGGCTGAGCAGCAGAGCAGGAGAGGGCAGAGCAGACTGTTACACCAATCAATCTCCTGACTTAAATCCAATTGAACATTTGTGGAAGGAACTGAAGAAAAGGGTTCACCAAAGGGCACCAAAAGACATTCAAGATTTAAAGACAATATGTCTGGAGGAGTGGGCCAAAATCACATCAGAGCAGTGTGGACGATTAGTTAAAACATGCTAGAAGCGTCTGGAAGCTGTCATTGCAAACAAAGGCTTCTCCACTAAGTATTAAATAGTGTGTTCAATACTTTTTTCCTTTGTTATTGCACTTAATTCCATATAATCATTATTTATGGACTCAAATGTTGAGATTTCTTTTCATGTGTGGATTATTTGAGTTAATACTAATGTCTGGTTGTGCATACTCGTTGATTTGTGATATCGCCACCCTATTAAAATAATGGCCTAAGTCATTTTTTGATGGAAATGAGTTTTTGAAAGAATTGTGCCATGATCCTTTCAACTAAGGATGTAGGCAATTTTAACAGAGATGGCCAGCATTATGAAGAGGTGTTTTAGACCAAAAACTCATTTTCGTCAAAAATGACTTAGGCCATTATTTTAATAGGGTGACGATATGCTAGTTTAACCTTGCAGAGTTTGCACTGCACTTCATTTTTGTTTATTTTTTTAAGGAGCTCCACACAGAGCCTTTTCATGTCTGTTTTGGTCCCTGCATGTCTCTACTGTTTGTATGATATGCAGCATTAACTGGCGCGACATATAGAATTATCCTGTTACTTCAAGGTTCTGGTAAAAGGCTTTTTTTGTTGTTGTTGTTAAAAAAATAAAAATAAACCATTGTTGCATGAACATTCGGTTTTTTAAATGAATCTAATAGATAGATAGATAGATAGATAGGTAGATAGATAGATAGATAGATAGATAGATAGATAGATAGATAGATAGATAGATAGATAGATAGATAGATAGATAGATAGATTAAAACTGGTCTAACACACAAACACAAACACACCACAGGAACAGCTTTCCTCTCTTTGTACACACAACATGCCATCCATGTGTAGAAAAGCTCAGAAGGTGATGTAGAGCTCTGCAAAGATCCAGAAGTAAGAATGACATTGGCAGCAAGCAGCTGCACATACTCTAAGTTATAAAACAGCAGTATCAGCAGTTTCACATGCACCACAGCACATTGCATCAAAATTAATGCATTAACAGGAGAGTGGTAGTGAAGGGCCTGACTGTCAGTCTCTGATCTCCAGCAGAGCATGTGTCAAGCACTGCAAGGCATCAAACATGAGGGCAGAGAGTGATAAGAGACCATCTAACCCATTAGTATGCTGCAATAATATCAGGATGAAAAATAAAAATGTCAAATTGTATACTTAAGCAGGCCACCGAAGTATTGTCTATGTGTGGGAAACACTGTCAAGTTAACCAAGCCCCCATTTTTGCTTTCTCAGTCTTCTTAAAGCAGTTTGAAGAAAACATCTATATTTTTTTTCAGTACACAAAAAGAGCATAAAAATACATGGAGAAAAAATTCTTCTACTCTCATCAACAGTTTAATGTGACTTTCTCTCTTGCCAACCTTCAGCTGTATACATGTGTGAGTGGGAAAAGTCCAAGACACAGCCAGCGCAGTCTGCTGAACAAACCGAGGAGGGCTCAGCTGAAGCCGCAGCTCCAGCCTCTGAGTCTCAGGAGGGCCAGTCAGCCTCAGAGGGCGACAGCTCCTCTAAGTGGCCCCCAGCTTCTGCAGGGGTCACCTACGAGCTCTGCGCTGGCATTGTGGACAAACCTGACCTCTCCCTGGAGGAGATTGCCCGACAGGAGGTGCTGGAGGAGTGTGGTTATGATGTGCCTGCTGCTAAACTGAAGAGGATTACCTCATACAGGTGAGCTGATTGCATAGCGGTGTATCATGCTTCACTAAGTTTGAAAAACTGTCTGTAATCAAACTTAATACAGGTCTTAATTTCTGTTCTACCGCTTGTTAATGCACACACACAACACAAAAGAGTTTTAGCACAATGCTCTTAATTATCTGGACTCCCTCTAGATTTCCAGTCCCTTAACAATTAATCTCTGTTGTCCTATATGGTATCACTTCATGAACCTCCTTGAGCTATGTTCACTCAGTGATAACCTACATTTGCAGCTTCAACTTAAGCAGATCCAGGCATCATTAAAACGCTTCTTTTTTAAAGGGTTATTCCACCTTTGTTCTAACACAATTCAAATACTCCCCTTAATTGCTTGAAGGAATGTAGAAACACAGCATTTCTTTTGGGACAAGACCAAGCTCAGTGTCTCCTCTCCAATCACAGCAACGATATCAAAGAAAACATTTGTCAGCTGACGCCAAGGTGCACAGAGATCAGAAGACAGTGAGATCAGGTTCCCAAATGGAGACTTTATCTGTTTCAATGCAAAGTGTGTGTTCTCCAGATCAAGATCTGAAAATGTCAGCTTAACTTGGAGATGGACGTAACCTAATAAGAATTCTCTTAATGACAAGAGACTGGCCAGTGAAGGAGCAGGACAGATGCATCAGTGCAGCCATCCATCTTTGTCAGCGTAGTATTAATGCTGTCCCTCGTTAACCTGCAGCACCTGGACAACAGTGACGGACATGTCTCATGAGTCTGCTTTTGATTTGACTGGAACACTTCCTCTGGCTCTGTTGGTGTTGTCTATGAAGACTGTTATGTGTTGGCTGCTTGTATTAAATTCACAGGTTTTCTTTTAACCCTCATGACCCGTATGGGGTTGTATCTGACAGAAGCTCATTGAGTAGTAAGTTCTGTGCCAACAGCAGGTAACCTGAGGTGTTAAAATGCCACAAATTCTTATTCACAGGGATTTCTCTTGTGCTGTTTAAAATGTCATTAAGATATTTTAAACTTATTATATCACCTGGATTTCTCTGTCATTGTCTCACAGGTCAGGCGTAGGTGTAACAGGCGCCAAGCAGACCATGTTTTACGCTGAGGTGTCTGACGACAACTGTGTGAGTGCAGGCGGAGGTGAGCCCAAAGAGGGGGAGCTTATCGAGGTGGTCAAAGTCCCGTTGCACGAGGCCATGACGTTTGCCTACGACGAGCGTATACCCAAAACCATGGGTGTCATTTTTAGTTTCATCTGGTTCCATAATAACATGTCTCCCAAGTACAAGATCTCCACTAATGTGTAACTAGTATTTGTCAACTATCTTTATACGGTTTATTCAAATTGAATCAAACACTGGCCCAACACATAGTCCACTCTCCCTTTCATCGCTCTTCATTCTGTATTGCCTTTTTTTGCTTATTTGTACATGATGAAAGGAGAGCCCCTTGTCTTGTTGCCAACAGCTTTCTCTAATTTAATCGTGTTTACCATTTCTGTTTAATGTGGTCTTCATGTTCCCCTCAAAACCTTTATGCTATTGTTAGCTGTCACTCACATATTGTCTCTTTTTGTTTCCTCTTAAGTCATTTACTGTGCCATCTGTTATAAATGGCTGCATATCACTGATTTCATCTGCCTGCCCTTGATTAAAGGAATACTCCACTGTTTTAAGGATAGTGAACGTTTCTTACCTTAAAAACAGCAAACATACTGGAAAAACACTGGAGAAGAAATTCTTAACACAATTGTTTTTAACCATTCCAACAACACCCAGGACGTAGTGCAAAATATTTGGTTAAGCGTGAAGGCACGTGCCTCTAGTTACCATTGATCTGCTGACATTTAAGGATGCTAAAACTTAAATTTAATTCTGACAAATTCTTTACACAATATATGAACGGTGGCTACCTATTTTTTACTGGGAATATGTTGAAACATTAAAGTAGAGTTAGAAAAACTCCTGAGTTTATATAGTGATGGATGGGTTGTCTCAGCCATCTGTTGCACAAAGTGAAGCCAAAATACACCCTGTATGGTGATTCTTGCATTGAAGGGATGCAAGAGTGGAGCTGGGATACCGATGTCTGCCAACAATGGACCTACATCATTGTTGTTGATAAAGACATCATCAGAAGTCCCATCCCTTTTTGTTTCTGATTCACTAATGGTCAAGAGTTGTGCAGCAACAGGGCTGTGGCTGAAAACACTGAGCTATATTTGGTTTGGAAAAAAAAACATGCACGACCAGCGGCAAAAAAGCATCAGTGGACACAGTCCCTTACAACACAAAGAAACAAACTGAAACTAAAATTCTTTAAAAAAATCAACACGTTTCCAAATCAGCTTTAAAACCATGTTTGTAAAACATTTCTGTGATGTGATTTGGTTTTAGAGAAACAGACAAGTCCTATCTGTTAATACAGAGGATGCAGGCTTATGATCAGTAGGGGGAGTACTTTATGCTTGATCTTCATTTTTTTATCTCGTCCATTTTTATACAGACTCCAAAAAGTCCAAACAAAGCAGTGGAGCATTCCTTTAAGCCATTATCCAGTGATGCAAAAATGATGCTCGTCAATGGTGGGGCCTTGTTATGATTGATGTTTGATGGGTTTGAAACCACCACTTGTTCAAGCATGCCTCTGTTTATTTCTCTGACCCACAGCCTTTAAGCAATACTCATAATAGTAACCCCCCCAGGCTAAATGACCATTCGCTAATATCAACGAAAACTGTTAGAAAAGCTTCATAAAGTCCAAACTATTGGACAAGATATCAGAGACTTGAGTCCGCAGTCATAGTGGACAAAACGATCATAATGTATTAATGTCCAAGAAAAGAGTACGTAAGGGGCTTCGTGAGTGTGTGTCTGTGTGTGTATGTGTTCGTTCATAAGCACAATCCTGCAGTCTGCTTGACAATAACAGCAAGCTGTCCTGTAACATGTTAGTGAATCCTGACACCCTTTAGAAATAGAGTTTTAAATTAATGTCTATTTCCTTCACGTATTATTTCTCAGATTAGAATTACAGTAGATCCAACATAATCTAAATCCTCTAGAAGGTTCATTTCACACACAGGTGTAGGAGCACATTTAAAAGGACTGGAACCATCGGAACAATTGCCTTTGATCATAGCTCATGTTAGAGATTCTCTGTAGTAAAAACGCATAAACCTGATCTCACAAAGTGAATCTCAGCAGCAGTTTGCCAAAATCTCAGGTCCAAATAGTCAAACTGTTGGTCATATTCAGGGTGGACCTCTGGATGTGATAACAACCAGCATGTTATGTATTACATATTAACTATATATCAAAATCTCTTGCAGCTTACGGCAACAAAGTTTTTACTTTTCTTATGCTAGTTTTTTTTAATTCAAAAAGGGCTGGTAATCACATATGAAGTAATGTATAAAAAATTAAGACATTCCCCACATTGTGTTGAGAATATGCAAGCTCTGACAGTAGTTACAGCTAAGTTCAAACAGCTCGAACATCTCATTATTCACACATTAACTCAAGTAAATAGGAGCTCTCAAGTGCAGTCGCATCGTCTGTAAATTGGAAGATGTGCGAAATGCACTAATCATGAAATTGAAAATGTAAATTAGGAAAAATATTCACCTGAACATCTCTGTGGTTTGTTGACGACATTACAGAATGAAAAGAAATGTAGGTTTTTATTTGTACTGCTCTGAGTGCGATGTTGATAAAAAATCAAAAAGTAAAATCACAGGTCTCATTTGTGTGATGTGTTCATTGAGGGATTTTTAAGTCTGAGCAACAGCTGACAATCAGATGTCTTCACTTATTTTCTTATAACCTTGGACTCTTTTGGGAGTTTCTTCATGCGGTGTGTGTCCTTGTTCCCTCTCAGATTCACAGCCGTCCTCTTAGACAAACTGTATATCTCATTTTTAAGCTTCTCAAAACTTTTGTGTGGTGCCGCTCGATACTTCGCTCATTTCTGTGCAAACAAACTAAGAAAGGAGAATTTTAAAATGTTTGGTTTCAAACAGTCAAATATTTGGGGTTTGTTTCCACCCACTCTCTGTAGGAGTATATGCAGAATCCTTAAGCCATATTTACACCCAGTCACTGAGCTTGTTTGTCCTTCTGTTCATCAAGGATCATTCCTCAATCTAAGACTGTATAGTTTGCTGGAACACTTAAACCAATTTTATGTTGATTTTGGAAATAGAAACATAACTTTCTTTTGCTATATTGATACAGTGGCTGCAGCTGAATAACAGAATGGGTTTAGTGTAAATCCCACCTGCTGTGCTTGGAGTGGTTTTAACTGATTAGACCATCAGATTTGTCAAACTGTTAAATTTGGGTCGGATTAAAAATATTTTTTATTGGCTGAGGTTTTCCTTATATTGTTTGTTCTTTCGAGACCATGCAAACAGGTGAACTGAAAAAAAAAAACGTTTTGCATTCAAAAGTCATAGGTGCATGAAATTTTGGGTTGACTTTATGTAAAGATGGGTGACATGACTCCAACTCCTGTTGAACAAAAATCAAGTAAAAATCATGCTTGGGGCACTGATTTACTGTGTTTTTGAACATGAATCAGTGTAAAAACTTGCTGCTATGATACAAGTAGTGTTTGATAAATGTACTTGAGTTTTATAGTTTGACCCATGTTCCATCTGTTTCCATGGACGAGGCAGACTTTACTGCAGTAAGCCAGTAGGGGTTTTGACTTAACTATTTATGTGCTGTCATGTTGCCCATCTTTATGGACAATCTGCAATGAAAGTTTTTATAAAGGACTCTTTTAAATGTGGATATCAAAAACTTGAATGCTCACAGCTAGCACCTTGTTACAACAGTAGTTTAACCCTGCCCAAACACAACAGTAATAAAAATTAAGCTCAGTGGGATAAAACATTGGCTTTTAAACCTACCCCTGTTTTGCAGACTGAAGCAAGAATTTTTTTTTCAATTGATTCTTTCAAAGTAGCATCAAGACTTGATAGATGTTTGATTTGAATCTGGATTCCATAACTCAGATGCTTCGAACAATTTATCTCCTTTGAAAAGTTTGATATTAGCACACTTAAAAAAAATTTAGAGCACAGCTTGAAACCACTGAATGAAATCTGGAGGACATTGTTAATGTTATTTCCTTGTGTATCAGGCAAAGTAAATTATTAGAACACACACTCTACCACAGTTTGAATTTCTGATTGTCTTTGAATTTTTACCTTTTCATCATTGGATTAATGACCGTTTCCTCTCAACCTTTTATTTTTTCCCTTTCTCTTCCTCTATGTGACAATCTTATCTTTAGTGTTCAGTTGAACGAGGCCTGAGTGGATCTCACCACTCGCTGAGTGTTCAGATACTCACAGAAAGATTCCCAATGGTGCTCACAGTTTGTCATTGTTTTGTGGTCATTTTTTATCTTGGAATGACTCATTGAAACGGTTAAGTGTATCTCACATTTAGAAAGGGGTTAACCACATTGACTTTTATGCTGAAAAAAAAAATGGTAAAAAGAAACACGCTTTGTGTTTTCAAGAAATCTGTCTTTGCTGGAACAAAGCAAACCTCTCCTGATTTGACTTGGCGATGATACATTTTGACACATAAAGCCATTTTTATGCCAGTCTGTAACTTCCTATCAAAAGTGTGTGACTTTGTTTTCACAAATATTATCTTTCTCCAAAACAAAGCAAAAACATGGTGTTATTTTTTCATTGGCTTTTCATTGTGGGTGGCATCAACCAGCAGGCCAGCACCATCATGTGTTCCTTGATAAGATAAGAAGAACTTTATTGATCCCCAAAAGGGAAGTTCAATATCTTTACTACAACTATTATCTGCAGTACAAATTGACAGATACAGATATAGATGTAGATACAGAAAAAGACACAAAGATAGACAGGAATGGTAATACTGATACTATGATCAACACAAATACAGATGCATATACAGATACTGATAATTAAACCAATAATGAAGCTGATACTGGTACAATACAGATACTTACACAGATAGGCACAGTGTCATCACAGTGTCATCACACAGTGATACCAATACTGTTAGCCATACCGATACAGATTCTCAGACAGATATTGATAAAGATACAGGTAGTGATACTACACTATTACCAATACAACATCAATACAGATACAGACTCCAGTACTGCTTGGGATACAGATAGAAATATAGATACAGGTAGTCATACAGATAGCGATGGTTATACTGATGCTGTTATAAATACAGATACAGACATCGATAGTGACAGTGATTTTTATACCAAGACAGTGATTGACACTGATGCAGATACTGAGATGGGAACAAAATTAAATAGCGATTCTGATACTATTACCAGTACAGATACAGACTGAAATACAGCTGCCAATAGTGATGCTGATACCAATACCAATACAGACATGGCCACCAATACCAATACATACACAGATACTGATACTAATAGAGAGCCAATTAGCGCTACTGATACTTTTACCAATAACAATACAGATTCAGATGTCAACACAGATACAGGAAGTGATACCGATTCTAATATCAACACCAATACAGATATAGACATCAATAAAAGTGCAGGGTGTTTGGGCGACATACTGACACATTAAAATCTAAGAGACATTTTCTCCTCAGAATATCAACATGTGTGGTAATTATTCTTTTACTTTGCTAGGAGCCTGGACTTCCCCTCTACCACAAAAGTCAACACACTTTTGACAGTCACAAGTTAAGGTACAGACTGTGCAACTGTTAAGCCATATGCTTCTTCTATTTAGAACAAATATCTGAGTGAAATCAACAGTTGAAAAAAATTCATTATTGCTTATGCTGGAAGTGAACCATGAGCCCAGCACTGGACATTTCTACCTCCATCACTCAGGCACATCAGGAGAATATTTGGTGTCCGTTTGCTTTCCTCTGAGACGCTGACGTATCAAGTTATCAGCATGTCAGAAATGTCAAAACTCAGAGGTTCTTCTTAAATCATTGGTATCAGACTCTTAGTGATGTACCCCCATGGCTATGCTGTAGTTTCTTCTTCAGATGTGATTGTTTTCCGTTTTCTTCTGTTCAGGGTTTGTGCACTGTTTAAAGGATTTTCTTACTGTATTTTTATGAGCTGAGCAAACGTGAATCATGAACATGTTTTTAAAGGTGCTATGTGTAGTATTCTCTCATTAAAAACGGTGTTATACTGTTAAATATAACTTGGTGATCTACTCTATAATCATTTCTTTCTTGATTATTCTCAGATTCCTTATGTGCTTGTGAGTCCTAGAAAAGGCACTTTTGATTCTGGGTAATTTCACTTTTGCTTCTTTATGCACAACTGGTAGCTGAATATTTAGAAGTAACATGGTAAGAAGTGGAGGGTAATCAGAATTTCTGTTAACAGGCAGATTCAGTGTGACTATACAGTGTAGCACATGTGCTATTCTATTTGTCAGTGTAATATTTAGTGAAAATCCTACACATAATACCTTTAAGTGAATGAATTATTATAATTTTTGTCAAGGTAAAGACAAAGAAATTTGTCTGATTGTGATTTTCTTTTTATTTTTGGTGTCTTACACTAAAATTTTGTTTTTTAAAAACGTTTTCCGAAAAAAAAAAAACAAACAAACATGAGCATCTAAATTTTATGACTTTATCATGTATTTCATGCTTTATTAAAGGTGTATACTCATTGTGGGCAGTGTTTTCAGTAATGTTTTGATTTTGTTAATTTATTACCCAATGTTGGAATATTTAACTTTTAAAACATGACACTTGGTACAAACAAACAATATATATTTAAATATGATACTTTGCATGTGCACTAACTGTGTTGGATTAAACTGCATTAAGTTGAATAAAATGGGTTTAATACCCAAAATATCACTGAATTGTCCATTAATTATTGAAGATTATTTTGGGGAAAGTGTTGAATGAAGAATGATGAATTTCAGAAATAATATCAGTTGAAAGATAAAAAAAAAAAAGTTGGATAAAAATTTTAACCTTTGCTCTCCCTTCCTTTCTTTTATCCCTATTGAAAATGTGGGAGTAAGGGGATGTGGAATATACAGCCTTACTGGACGGGGGTTAACATGAGCTCGGACAAGCTTCTTGCTAGGACTCTGCCTTCTCTTCCTCTTTTATAAATCTTTCACGTGCTCTTTTTCTCTCCCCTTTCTGCTTGCTCTCTCCTAACTTGTCTTTCCTCAATGAAACAGGAAGGCAATGGGGGAGGTAGAGTGTATACTTGAACCTGGCAGGGGGTGAGCTCCAGCCTGGACAAGCTTCTCAACATTTCTGTTCATTTTGTCATCTTTTTAACTCCTCCTCTCTCTGCTTTTCTTTTCAAAAATTCAGCAGCATGGGGAGATACAGTGTACAGATATCCTTAGCAGGAGTAAACACTATTAAACAGGTCTCTCACTTTGGCTGTACTTTCCCTATCCTCTTTTAACCACCTCTTTTCTTTGCTTCTCTTTTTTGACATTTTTCCTCACACAAACATGAAGCAAGGGGGAGGTGTGAGAGTGTACAGCCCAGTCTGTAGCTCAAGCGGTCTTCTCATAGTGGCTCTTCCCCGTCTTATTTCCAACATCTTTTTAAACTCTCATCTCCTTGGTCCTTTTTTTTTTTTCTTTCCCATTCTCATTTTGCAGATGCATGAGTAAGGGAAGGCAGAGTGTGCTGCCTTACTGGACAGGGTAAAATCTTAAGTAACAAGCTGCCTTCCCTGGCTCTATCATCTCTCTCCTTTGTCTTTCAGTTCTCTCCTGAGATGTTGTGACCTAACTTAACTTTGCAAGTTGTGCAGAAAGACAAACATTTTAAAATGTATATCTGCTTTGTAATGTACATGTCAGATGTTTTTGCACTGATTATCACTAAATTATAAGGGAATTTATGTAATCAAATTTCTGTGCCATCAGATCATGGATAAACTGCTTTAAGTTCAAACTGAAAAATTGAGATCAGAGAGAGTTTCCATTTACTTGAAAGCCGCACGCTTCCTTTATATTACACAAATCTGTCCAACAGCCTCTATGTAGTACCTCTCAAACAAACAAGATAATCAGACAAATCAAGATAAGAATCAGGAAGCACATTTATGTAAAGAATCCTCCACTGAGATAAGAAAACCAGAACCTGAAATCTGAAGATCTGATCTATGTGATTGTCTTGTCAGGGTTTCCCATAAATGAAACACAGTTTTGAGCAGAGTGAAAACAGCTGCTGTTACACAGTGGGAAAGATTACACCTGAGGTGATTCAGCAAGAAGGTGTTTCTGCACAAATCACAGAAGTGAGGAGGAGTCTTTTCTTTTGTACGGTCACTATTACAAAAGGAAAACTGTTACAGTAGGAAGACATGAGTAACCTGATTAAATTCATGTTTCAACTTTTAAGACAAAAACTGAAGCTTCTTCATACAGACAGTTTGGCCACCACCCTTCCATCTTTAAAGGGTGTCGGGGACGGGTGGAGGGATGGGGACTAAAATTGCATCCCTGTTGCTTTCATGTTGTAACTGGACACATGGGACTCTCTCTCTCTCTCTCTCTCTCCGTGTCTGTTCTCCGGAGACCATCTGGATGTGTGTGTGTGTGTGTGTGTGTGTGTGTGTGTGTGTGTGTGTGTGTGTGTGTGTGTGTGTGTGTGTTACCACAGCAGATGGATTACCACCCCTCGTTGAATGCAGTCCATTCACAGGTGGGAGCAGCTTAAACCTGCCCTTTGAAGGAAAGACAAGATCCACCAGAGCAGTTAGGGCAGACACTGATGTGCATGACAGCAGAATGATTCCAGCACTTTCCGTCACACTCTCCATCTGTATGTAAATGAGATGATACACATATGGAAAGAACAGGTTGTCTTTTTTGGCTTTGTGAACCTGTATATCCTAGAGAATGGACTCTTGCCTACTTTTTAAAGTCCGAGTTGCTACTGCAGGTAGTGTCGTTCTGACTTGTGAAAGGGGCTCATACTTAAAATTATGACAGGCTTATAAGGAGTGGATGAGCCTCTACATGATTATAGAATTTCTTGTGGGATCAATTTTTGCTATCTATCTATCTATCTATCTGTCTGTCTGTCTGTCTGTCTGTCTGTCTGTCTGTCTGTCTGTCTATAAGTTTTATGTCTGTCATGTTACTGCTTTTAAATGTCAAAATGAAATGCCCTAAACGTGCGTTCTTTTAGGAAACCATGTGCTGTTGACCTCTGTGATTGCAAAAAAGAATCCCAATTGGACCAAAGTGACATCAAGCCCTTCTTGATATAGCATGATGGTCCAAACCTTCAAAGAAAATGATCGCATTAGAAATTTTACTTACAGAAACAGAAGTGTTTGTCTTAGAGCATAGCCTAATGTATGGTTTCTTTTGGCTCTACAATAAAGCAAACCACTAAACTCTACATCCAAAGCTTTGATATGATGAGTCTGCATGTTGAGTTGTGACAGCAAAGTTGATGGGTGGCCCATTATTATGGATGGTGTATCATTTTAAAAGATAAAAAGTCATTTTGGCCATTTTTTTTTACCAACCTTTGTCCTTTTAAAACACCAAAATGTCCAACTGGTTTACAAAATAGGTTATTTTTCTCGCCCCCCCAAAGCAGACATGATCAATAAGATCTAATTTGATACAATACAAACAAAAGGAAATTATATAATATGATACCATGCAAATACAAATATATGCGAGAACAGGAACATCTTATTGCCCCCCATGAGGAAATTTGTCTCAGACTAAAGCTTGCAGATGTTCAACTGCCTCCACAGTCATACCATAAATAAACAATAAAATGCTTGGACCAACAACACTAGTGCACAAGTAATACACCCTCAGGAAACCTTTAGATTTTGATTTAGGTGGGCATAATAAATGTTTTAAGGTGGTTCAGTTTATATTGGTGGTCTCTTTATGGTCTCCTTGAAGGTAAGAATTTGTACTCGGAAGGTAATCTGTGCAACGAGTTCAACAAGACTTTTGTTTATTAACTGTTTCTAGCCTGATTCCTCTTTCTACAGGTCAAATGTCAAAGGTTTGGTTGGTGACAAAACAATTTCAGAATATTGAAACTTGTTGGTGAGGCTTAAAATGATGACATCTGTGTCATGTTATCAATAATAACCTCAGAAAAGCTGTCTTGGTCAGGGTTCAAGAAAAATCCTGGACAAGACCAAAGACCTCCTATGGAAAAACTGGTTGGGTTTGAGGGCCTCTGTACAAAAATCCTATGCCCAAAAGAAATGCTGGATGAGCTGCTCCTCTGTCATCTAACTCTTGAGCAGTTAGGTCATAACCCAGGATTAACATGGCATCGTGTTTTTAAGAACTTGGGTTCAGGCTGATAAACAGTCCTAAATAAGAACCAGGTGGTTTTCCGAAAACCTGTTTCCATTTTAGAGGCAGAACGTCAAGCCAACCGTAAAGGTTTTGCGGCTTCTTTTTTCTGCAGCATCTGCTGGGCCTTATCAGTGATGTATTTTTACAAGGCCGTAGTCTATGCATGCTGGAGTGGATTTGAGAGTGAGCCTCTTTGGTATCTCAACATGTGAAAGGAGTCAAATGGGAAACTCTTGTCTGCCTTGTAAGCACTGACAGGAAAGAAATCTGAAAATACACTCTGGATCCTCCTAAATCACGTCTGTTAATCAGTGATGTATTGTGAGACAGGTAGTGTTTGGGTGATCTGGGTTATATATCTTTCATGGAGGGGCTGATGTAAAAGAAACTAGGTCCAGGAGTTTTGGATGCATCCCTCTGAGCTTTTCCCTCCTGGTTTTGTGTCAGAAATGAGCCTCCAGTTTTTAGCAGCAGAGTATAAACAAAGTAATTTCCAGGCTATCACAGAGAACACACAAATGAAAGGCTGTCCTGGATGAGCATTCATTTAACCATCATGTGTCAAATGTCTTGAAGGTTAAATAAGGACTGCACTGCAAAAACTATCTCCAAACATGAACAGGAAAAACGAGACAAAGTGTCACAGACTTGCCCAACTGGTTAACATTGTAACTGTGGTTCTTCCACTGTAAATCACCCTTGCAAATATGTGCATCTGTGTGTGTTGTGGTCCACTGTTTCCCTGTTTACCCAATGTAATTGAAACCCAACTATGCATTTCCAGTTAGTTTGGAAATGTCTGTCACTACCCTCTTCTTTGAACAGTAACATATCACACAGACCGGCATTCACTGTATGTAATCTGAGCCCTCAGCATGGGAAAACAAACGCATACAGTGCTATCAGCAGAGCAGAACATGAGGGTATGAGAGAGGAACACATTTGTGTCAACGGTGACTGCGTGTCTCATCTTATCGCAGCGGAAATGCTCTGGCTACACACTCAATACCTCAGTCAAACATGAAAAATGACGGGAAAAACTGGGTAACAAAAGTGAGTGAAAACACATCTAATAGATTTAAGGTCCTGGAGAGCTTGGAGACCTTAATACCAACTATTGCCACCTTGGCTTTTTGTTAAAGATGAACCAATCTGCTCCATTTCTAGGTTAAATACTGTAGAATTTAGTGCATAAGATGTATTTCTTACTCCTAAATATAACTGTATCCAATACACCAGTGCTATCAATATACCAGTGTTAAAATTCTAAAAGGGGTATTGCATTACGGTATTCTACCCAGAAGATGGTGCTCAGAGAAACAAGCTACAGCTTTACTGCCATTGGTTCAAGGTGAAATAACGGCACTTTATAATGTTAATTAATCTAAATTAATCTAAGACTCCTTAATTTGAGAGGTGATCAGCGATTAGCTTGTCCCACATAGTTAATGCACTTGCTTGGACTGCAACCTTATAACACTGTCTCTGCTGAAGCGGAAGGTAGCAAAGGCGCAAAAACATGGTAGCTTAAACCATTAACCCCCTGGGACATTCCCCGAAATTGACTGTGTCTTGTGTACCAGAGCAGCGTGTTTTGTGATTTTATTATTAGAATATTTGATGACCCAACTAATAGCTAAGATTAGATTCCAGTTTGTTGTTAACATTATATTTGTTCACATACAGAACAGGTATTAGTACCTTGCTAACAGTAGACATGCTAACGGTAATTTTAGCTTTGCTCACTAGCCAAGGTCGAAAGAACCCTTGTGATGTTGTTAAAAACACAAATTAGAAATCTTGAGGTTTTTATTTTAAAATTGTCAACAAACAATGTCAGCAGTTTTCAATGATTAATGGCATTGTAATGAAATGTAGCTCCTAGCTGTGACTGAGTCTCAGTATGGTAAAGTTCTTCTGTTTTTTTTAATTCTGTCTTTGTCTTTGCTGTTGTATTTTGATGTGTCAACAACACAAACTAACATACTGTATATTTACATCACTTTTAGAATTTAACTTAATTGTATTTAAGTCTGCCAAACACTATTATGGTTTTTGGAAACCAGTCTACTGGAAAGGCCGCATTCCTGGGCGAGCCTTGGTACAGTGCAAACTGTAGCTTCCCCATTCTTTCTACAGCTGATAAACACATCTGACACATCTGAAGCTACTAAACACTTTCTTACAGGAGCGAAGTGGTTAAAGGACTTGTGTGAGGGCAGGTCTGCTGCCATCTGTGATATCTGGTGTTTTTATTCGTCAAAGTGTACAAGTTTACTAGCTGAACCGCTTCGCTCCATTCTTGTCCATTGATTCTTAATGGTCTCTTCTTGTGACTTCTTAACTACAAAGCTGCTGATGTCCTGTGAGGAGATCATGTTTTATCTTGAATGTTCACAAGTTTTTAGCTTATGGGTACACAAGATCTTATCGCGTGGGAACAAGCTATTATCTGCGTTAACAACAAATCATCTTGTTATGTAGCATACTCGCTTATGCTTTGTGTGATTTGGGCTCTAGCGTTTGTTATTTTGATCAAAACAAACAGGACACTAATGGCAATACTGCTTTATGTATGAGAGAAAAAAACATCAAAAGTATTTACATAATTCATAAAGCAAAGTAGCAGAAGATAATGTCAAGTAAAGATAAAGTATGAAAATAGATAGCAAGTGCAGTGTAACACTGCTGCTTACCTTTTACACAAGATGATAACCTGCCAACACAAGATCACAACTATTCTTCCAAATGACTCCAGGGTCTCTGTGCCTGCTGCTTTTTACTCTGTAAAAAGTCAAAGATAGACAAATATTTAAAGAAAAATAAATAGCAACTTTAATGAATAGGTGTTATATTCACAAGTGGCTTTTTTTTTTAGATTAATCCACCCTTGACTGTAAGAACCTAAAAAGGCCTGAAACAATTTAGATAATCTTAAAGCAGTGTTATATTTAAGTCTTTTGTATGGTTATCATCCTTAGATACTTTTGATTTAGCTGCACGCTGAACAAATTTCTCCTCTACCATGAAAATAATGAAATAAAGTGCTTTAGGATGACTCAATGGGACATTTACGGGGCAGGAAACAAGTGTGGTCAATGGTGATGAACCCAAGAGGTCACAAACAGAGGTCATTAATTATTCAAAGTCCTAAGACATATTTGTTTGAATTAATCCACAAGGGAAATAAACTGTTTTAGCACAATGGTGTTTATGAATGTATGGTCCATATAGACTGACTTTCATAATATTCCTATGAGAGGAAGTTGGCCCACATCCATTCATCCTGCTGAGCTGCAGAAAAAACACTGATTTACATTATTTACACTTAATATTCAGGATTCAGTGTTTGAAAAGGACACTGGAGCTAAACCACAATTAAAAGCTGTATGGCATGAGTCAAAATGAGCACCATCTCAGCACCCAGCATGGTGAAACAGTCATTAGAGCTTGATGAAAAACAGCATGTCTCAACCTTGACCTGTGTCGCCTCAGTCAACCCCCTGAACGCCACCAGAGACTCACACTGGGTCCCCAAAAGATGCTTAAAGATAAAAGGGAATCGACCCGCCAGCCGTATGTACAGAGACTGGGGATCTGAAAGGAGAAAAGCCATGAAAAATGGATGAGAGAAGAAATCCACTTCACCTCCCCCCTGGAGGCTGGCAAACCCCCCGCAGTGCTCAAACTCATAATCCCCTCTCCTCCTGCACACACACACTCCTCTCTCTGTGTATGTGGTGTATGCAAACAGAAAAACATGGTAGGCACACACCACCCGAGGCCTTTCAGGAGGTGAGTAACTGCTAGATATTGTAGTTTAGTTTTCTACTGGACTAATAAAGACATATTAGACATTGTCAGTGGCTGAAATATGATGAAAAACAGCTAAAAATGTCCAAAATCTCTTTGAATGATTTCTTTGGTAGTATTGTTGAATGATATTAAATCAGACCCTTAATGTCTGGTTAACAGAAACAAGCAGATGCCATCCTCTGGGGACCAGGAACATCAGTTTTTGAACCTAACCCGTCTTGTTGATATTTAGACAGTTTGCTGAAATTATCAAATTTGACCTGCTGATGCTATGGCATAAAAAATTCAGAAGATGAACAGACTTCCAGGATTCATCTTCTGAGGAGTATGGACATGCTTTCAAAATTTCATAGCCATAACCAATAACCTAAAATGCACTGAAAAATTGGACATCCTAAATTACAAAAAAAAAAAGAAGAAGGCAGAGGACAAACAGATATTGTAGGTTCACCTTCTAGGAAGCATCAATGTGTATGTAAAATGCTGTAGCCCTCTTTGCAATTAGTATTGAAAACACATTGGTGTAGACTAGATTGCTGTAGGACTAAAATTACTGGAAGAAATCAGAGGATCAATAGAAGTTGCAAGATTCAATAGAAAACCTTGTGTCCATCTGTACAGTAAATATTGAAATACCTTGGGTGAGACTATTGGACTATAGGAAGACCAAAATCACTGAAAAAAGCTAGAGGGTCAATGAAGATTGTGGGATTCCTCCTCTGGGGAGCATGAGCATGCACGCCAAATTTCATAGCCATTGGTAAGTCTTGAGGTATCTCAGAGTTCACTCAATTGTTGAGAAACCAAAATCACTCAACTGGACAATTAATAATACTGGTGAAACAACAGACAACTGAACACACACACACACACACACACACACACACACACACACACACACACACACACACACACACACACACACACACACACCTGTGCATAAACACACTTTCACCACCTGAGGCCCTTCACTGAGTGTGATCTAACTTAAGGCACTAACATGTACTTGTGACAGCGTGTGAAATGTCCCAGTCAAAGCGGCTGCAGCAGCTCAGGCTATCGGCTGACTCCTTTAAGGCCTTATCTGACAGGCTGGCAGTCGCCTGATGAGAGGGAGACACAGACATGGGGGGGCCAGGGGGGTTGGCTGACAGAAGCTGTCTGGTTCCTCTTTTTGGAAGTAGACTGGATGTCTTTGGGATCCAGGATATAGGCGTTTTTTTTGTTTGTTTTTTTTACCAAGTAGATATGCCAGTTTCATATATTCTTTAAATGTCTTTAACAGTGGGGTGTAAAAAAGTTGTAGCTTTTTTTAAACTCAATATCAAAACATTTCTATCACATAGGAAATGGCATCATATTTGTGCATCTGGGTCCTTTATAATTCTGATTTAGAGCTTCTAGTTAACTGATTGGTGTGTGGACAGTAGAGGGCGCTCTAAGCTGCTGTATCGCATGGGGTTGAATTAAGGAGAGTTTCTCAGTCCAGTCTTATTTCTAACATGTTTTTGCTGTAGTTTCACTATTTGGAGCTGATAATAGTGCAAAAATAAAAAAATAATTTAAAAAAATAGAAGAGAATACATTTTAGCGAAAAAACTTCAATAAAGCGGTATTATTCTTGTTCTTTGAAGAATTTTACAAACAAGTCGTAAAATTAATCTTTCATTTTTGGTTTAAAGACTCAGATTAGAAGGTAAAACGACAGGAAAATCCATCAAGAAGACTAAATTTTTTGCAGATAACAGACTGGAAGGCATCCAGACCCAAATTTCCATAGATTATGTTAATTAAATGTAAACTATAATCACATTATGATAATCAGATCACTTGTCAGTCACCAGCAATTAGTGCACTTGATCATTTTAGAAACCAAACCTGCACGTGGGAGGATTTTTTTTTAAGTATTAGTTTCTAGATACTAGTTTATTATATATACAAAAAATGATTTAATTAATAAATTGTGTATCAATCACGTTCGAACCGAAAATAATTTCGGTATTGTGATCATATCGCTTGCCTGAAGTACATTGCGGTTTACACATATGAATCCGAGTACAAACCCAGTGCGTAAAATGTAAGTTTTGGGAGGAGGAAGAGGAAGAGGAGCTCCAGCAGCAGCAATAGGAGGAGGAGGGGGAAGAGGGTAAGGAGGAGGGCTGGTGGGGGTTATTATACTATTGTCCGCCCCTTAATCCGGTTGGCTCAGAGACTGCCCGCAGGCCAATTTGTAAGTGGTTTGCGGAGCTGCCAATCAAAGCAGACATCCTCTCCTCAGGCTGTGGCTCAGGAACATCTCAGTTGCTGTGTGGAGAGATTTGACGGAGGGACACTCCTGTACATGGACCATCACCGCGCTGCAATCCGCCGCCTGCTCACACACACACAAACACACGCATGTAATGCCTCGGTGAAATCCGGACGTACACGGTGGAGAAAACACGCATGTGAAGATTTCATTCTTGCATGTCAGGAGAGGAGGAACTAGTCGCCGGGTCCGCGGCTGTTTGTCTTTTCTTATCGTTTCTCCCCCCCTATGACACTCTAATTAATCGGAGGCATGTGGAATCGCACCAGGATTAGGAATTGCCTCCCAATAGTGTGCCTGCTGTTGACGTTATGGACGGAGGTAGGAAGGCTCTAAATTATTTTATCCTGCTCAACAGAATTAAAATAAATGTTTAAAATTACAAATATCAAAAGTTAGTGGGCGTGGGCAGCTGTATTTGCTCTCCTGCGTTGCATATTCGTATCACATTTTAATCGATAATTGAATTACGTAGCCGTCAGTTGTGGAGCATGTGATCATGTTACCATGACAAGATACAAGTCTGAGGGATTGATACAGGCTACTCTCCATTTTGTTACAATGCAGGGAGCCGGCTGCGCTTCTTATTTGAATTTGGAGGGGGAAATTAGGCCTGAATCAAGAAGTTGTAAGTTGCATTGCATCAATTGGTTGCTGCAGCGGTTCCTTTGAGAGTAACCTGATTGTCTAAAAAAGCCCAGCCTGTAAACTGCAGGCTGTTCACGTGCTCCATTCATGAATATTTTTGAAAATCCACCCTATCTGTTGGAGCTTTATGGTGATTTTCACGCAGACTCAGGCACTGTTTGGGCTACTTGTCCATTTTTACGCACCAATTTGAGTAGCCCTGATGGAACAGATAGGCCTATATTTAATTTAGGTCTTTTTTAAAATGTTGTTTCTAGGTGTCCCAGTCAACCGGCTATTTCGAGCTGCAGCTGATCTCCGTGGAGAATGTAAACGGCGAGTTGGCGGACGGAGAGTGCTGCGACGGCTCCAGGGGCTCCCTGGACCAGCACTGCACTCGAGATGAGTGCGACACTTACTTCAAAATCTGCCTGAAGGAGTATCAGACTGAGGTCAACACCAAGAGCAGCTGCACGTTTGGATCTGGATCTACGCAAGTTCTCGGTGGAAATACGTTTTCTTTTAAGGGCGTCAAGAATAACCCGAATAAAATCGACGAAGCTGGCAAGATATTGATCCCTTTCCAGTTTGCTTGGCCGGTGAGTTGTGATTTCTTTCTCTGATTCATCCCACAGGAGAGTGCATTGGTACCTTCTTCTTTGGCAGCAGCCTGACACAAAAACTTGAGTGAAATTTGCCTAATTTAATGTTCGATTTCTGTACAAGTATGGTGATCATATCTCCAAAGTATTTGAACGGTGTAGAGTCACTCTCCCGTTTTGCAAACATTTAGTCCACTGTGATCTAAATTTACAGCTTCATCACACCTTTTCAAAACCAGGGCTGAAAATAAAGACTACATGCATTTCTATTTGCAAAGCAGGGTATTTTGATAAATGTCACATCTTTAAAACATCAGAAAAATGTGCAGCTTCATATTATAGCTGACAAACATCTTGTTTTACTCAACCAACAGCCCAGACGGTGAAACTTCAGACATGTAAGAACGAAAAGAAGAAGAATCGCATTTAAAAACTCTGTCTGAACCATCAAGTTTTTGGCAATGCTGCTTGGGTAGTCGCTAATTAATTTTCTTTGGCATCTTCAGAAGAATGCTTGACAGAAAGAACCGGTTTGAAGAGTTGAACTGTGTCCAAATACTCTCCAGCTCAGCAAATCACTATGATAACAAATTTGCAGGAAATCCTCCTGGATTTGGTTTAGATCGCGGAGAAGTTCAAGCTTTTTAAACCAGGGTCCTTCCTCGGCAGCATCCTGTCTTTATGAGAACTGACACAAGCATCATGGCTAAACGGTGGCATGCTTCACAAGGATCCAATTGCAGTTACAGTGGTTCGCAGTGTCATGTGGGTCATCTTTTAAAGTTGCCCTGATATATGACAGTTGGCTTTGTTCCAGTCCAGCAGCCTGCACCTGCCAAAGCTGTGATAGGGTAATTAGACAAGGGGGAAACGCTTTGATATGTAGACCCTGGGGGAGAAACTTTGCTGCTTCTCACATGGAGACATTGGCGTGACATTGTGTTAAGATTTAAGGGTCATTTCACCACATCAGGATCCATTAAGAGGTGTTAGGTTTGTCAGGGCTCTAAGGGTGACTTCATGGAGCTTGTTTTGTAGCTCGATTGTAGGAAATAAAAGGCAAAGTCAAAGTTTATTAAAGTGATTTGGATTTCATCTCACAAAGGAATCTGATGGTTTCCCTCAGATTGGTTTGCACCTTCTTTAAGGTGCACGTGTTGGATGAATGTGCTGATTAATTTCCTGCTATAATGATGAATGAGTGGCATTACACGAGGAGTGTGAAATATGCATTCAGCTGTAGTGAGTGACGCCTCGGGGCAGCAGTTCAGTATGTACTCCTGCATGGTTTCCACCTCTCTCTCTCTCTCTCTCTCTCTCTCTCTCTCTCTCTCTCTCCCCCCCCCCCCCCACTTTACCCTGCTGCTCCCTCTCCTGCTGTGGGTTCCAGGTGGCCCCTGGTGGCCCCTTCAGGGCAATTAAGTTATTCTGACTACAGATGAGTGATAGCTGATGGAAAAAAAAGTATGCATGCATGCAGGCATGCACCGGTAGTATAGCCATGTTAGTATGAGGGGTGTGTACTCCACCTCAGCTTGTAGATTATGCTTGACTGTGGAATGAAATGTACAAGTGCTTTCACAGGCCATTGATGCATTATTCTGTGTTTTCAATGTATAATTTTTAAGTAAACGTGATTTTGAAGATTTCAAAAAGACTAATGAGGTGGAGATTTGCTCAGTGATGAACTGTTGGGGATGATGTGTGACAAAGTTCCCTATTAGAGAACTTTCATGATTCGATACTACAGAAGAAGTAATAAAGCACGTTGGTTCTGCAATTTAAGCAATCCTTTACATAGGGACTTTTTCATAAACGTAATCAGTAGTTTAATTAGTTCCCTATTATTCTTTTGTCACCATAAAATATCCCTGAAGTGTTTGTACTATTGCTGTTTCTCTGCTACCTTATGGCAAGAATCAGCTGAAGGTAAACCGAGTGTGCATGCATAGTCAAATAAGTAAACCACTTGAGTGAGACAGCAGAGTTAAGAGTGTTTACCCTGTGAAAATATTACTATTTTGAGTTTTTTGGTTAAAAAGAACAAGCATAACTTTTCAGTTAAATGCATGCATTAGTTCAGCTTTGGGATAGGGAAAAAGACAACACAAAGATGCTGCCTGCAGCAAAGTGCCCCTGCTGGGGAACTGCAAGAACTACTCATACCAGCACCAACCACCAGAGAGGACTTTTTGGATTTACAGAGGACAAGAATACAGCCCTAAGGTGGAAATTAAAATTTTTGGTAATGCAAAAACACTGTAATCTGACACTCCAGTGAGTAATGCAAGTATATACGGAGTTACTATTAGATGGCAGTAATCTTGTAACAAGTTCATTTAAAGAGTAATGTCAACCTGAACCAATGCTGAAGTGTCCTGAGGAAACATGAACATCCAGTCAGAGACGTATAGATTTAAAGGTATAACTGTTAATCATGCCTCTGTGCTAGAACAGACTTACTGAATTTGTTTCATAGAACACAGTGATAAGTGTCATGTGGCTCTCTGATTTTAAATGTAAGAGCAGAGTGATGGACTGAGTCTAGAGATTTGATTGTATATACTATTGCCATCGTGGAGGATTGAAAGAAAGACTCCATTTACATTTCTCTGTCAGCTAAGAGGGTAGTTGTATGTGTTTGTGTAGAAAATGTGTAGAGTTAGGCCCCAACTACACAAATGCGGATATATTTCAAACCATATATTTATGTCCGATTAGGCCTCCCTACCACACCAAAACGGGAGTTTGGAGCACTCAAACCGGATAAATCTGAATCCGGAAAAACAAGTGGAGAAATAAAAAAATATCCGTATAAGTGGATTCGTGTGGTTGAACTTTTACGGATCGATGATGTCAAACCGCAGCTCGCGCATGCGAATTAAAAAGAAAAACAACAACAACGATGGCGGACATACAGGGTATTCTTTACGTTTGTTTTGCCCTTTTGTGGCCAATTTCGACCTTGCAAGTAAACCTTGTTTTATACAATTACATCCACCAGTCAGCCACACCGTCACATGGACCCGGCGCACTAGCGTAGGTCCCGCAAACAATGCATGGTGCATCACGCTGTTACGATTCATCGGCCAATCAGGTGGCTTTGTTCCTGAATTTTTTTAAGCAGCACCAGATAGGATTGAGTTTGAAGGCTACGTGTGGACGCAGATATTTTTGAGAACTAACACGTGTGGACAGATACATTTATTTAGACGGGAGTACAAAAATATCCTAATAAATAAATATCTATATACGTGTAGTCCGGGCCTCGATGCCAAAGTTTGTTGATAAGGTTTGATAGAAATCTTGAATTTCAATGAATTATTTAACCATTTACTAAGATATTTACTCATTGGGACACTTTCAATAGTATTGCCCTCTTTTCGTGGATAGTGGATCAATACCTCTTGCCCCAGAAAAAAACATAAATGTTGTTTTGCTAGCATTAAGTACTAGTTTAAGATTTATAACTTAATTCTGAAAAGCATTTAAACAAAGTTGTTGTCTCTTTGTGTAACACTGTAACATCTTAACGGCAAGTTGTACGAAGTCAGCAGACTAATACAGAACAGTGTTGTCTGCGTCAAAATAGATATTACACTCAGCAATGAAAAAAGACAGTTTTATTTATATTAACTATGAATGAAACTGGGCCAGGACTGACTCCTGTGGCAGTCAATGATAGTTGATGGTGATAGAGGGGACAATGTTATTCATATAGTCCCTCAAGAAAATTGGGCCTAGGACCAGTCCCTGTGGAACGCCTTTAATTAATGGTAGGAACTGTGAATATTCCCAACTTTGACACAGGGACATCTGTCAGGGGGTCAATTCTGGGGCCATTTGCAAGTGGTGGAGTCGTGGTTATTGATCACACTTCAGTGAATAAACAAGAGAATAGCCAGCAGAACAACATGTTTTGAAATAACCACTAGCTGCAGCCCTAACTATGATGATGATAGAATGGAGATGAATTTGATAGTTTATGCAGAATTTGGCATGAATGTTAAGCGGATACAGTCTCTGAAATCAGACTGTTTTTCATATGCCAGTTAGTTGATATCTCTGTGTATTTGACTGTGGGTCAGACATGAAAAGCATGCACAAAAGTCTTCTTTAAATCCTTGACTAGTGAGGAGTCTTCAAATAACTGGATCATTAATTGACTCTTGGAATATATAATGAGTACATCATTAGCTGAGCTCAGCCTTTTACTTAGAAGAGCTCAGCGTCTTTTTGAACATCGAAAAAAAAAAAGAAATTATCTGAATTTTGCTATAAATGAATAAAACTTGATTTACATAATTGTTAGGTTTAATAATGAGCAGTTCTTTGTGCCAGCGCTGATCTCCTTCTAGCCTGTTTTTGTAGAAGTCCTTTGTGTTGATGGCTTTACATGTTTGATTCAGGGGTTTCTCTGTGGATTTTATGATCGGAGGATTTCCTGCAGCATTTTATAGCAGAGGCGGTCCACCTTTTAGTGAATTAACAGCCACCTTTAAAGCTGCAGGGGAGAATGGCAAAGGTGTGATTTCACACGGTAAAGGCCATATATCTAATGAGAGAGGCTTTTGTGGAGGTGGGATTGTTAGCACCCAGGCTAACTGATTCTCTGCTGCCAACCCTGGATTAAAAATTTCACACTTCCTGTACTCATCATCACGTTGAATATGAACCTGCAGCGGTCCCCTCTGTGACTCGTTGACTGACACCTCGAGCGGAGGTGAAGAGGGCTGTTCTGGTGTGTTGTGTTTCTGTGAAGTGGCTCAGGCTGATAACCGTGCACTATTCCAGTGCCAGATGTCACAACAAGCCTGCAGGGTCACTTGCTGTGGCGTTGTCGCTTTTCTTCACTGAAGAAACAAAGATGCAGTGTACTGTTGGCTGTGTCGCCTGGATGGCTGCCAGTTTTGAGCCCCAGTGGAAACCAACGAGGGACTCTGGACTCTTCTGTCATCTTAAGCAAATCTGAAATATGAAGTAAGAACTTGGAAATTGTTGTGTTGCATCTTTTACATCTTGTTTTCTCTCAGCTGGGTGAAAACAGAGCTGCATGGATTACTTTTTTCCTGATCTACCCTGCAAAATTGGAACATTTAAGTCCACAATCGCATAAATTTCCTACCTACATGTACTGTCCTTCTGGGAGAGCTGGTGTTAAAATGGTGGCTTGGACGTGCATGTTAGACTTAACAGAAATAAAGCAATCAGGACTGTAACCTTCTAAATAGTCTGTAAAATTTGTACAGGTAATTGATGAATATTTATGTATCTTCAGGCACATAATGATGCAATAAATTACAGTTTTTAGAGTCCCTGTGTTGGCATGAAATGATGGCATTTGATTCAGAAACCAGCAAACCTTTTGCATTTTGCCTTGTAGTCCTCAATAACCCCCATATTGCCAAAAAAACTGTAACTATCTGTTGGTAAGGTGATCTTTGCAGCTCTAATTTTAGTTAAATCAAACGGCAAACATGCGTTTTATCATTCAAAATGGTAAAACTGTGGCTCCCTCAGCCAACAGAGACTCAGTCAGACTGAATATATTTCTTAAAAATAGTAATTTTCAATTTCACCTTGAAATCCAGAGCCGTGACAATGACCCTCTGATGCCTTTTAATTTTCTGAACAGGCACTTGAGTCTCTCCTTAAAGAGCACTTTTCATCTCCCTGTGTAGCGTGGAGCAGTCGAGCTGTAACAGTGAAAGTCATCCTGCATTTCTGGGAAACGCTCCCCCCTCCAGTGCTGACACACAGACTGAGAAATCGTAGCTTCTTCTCCTCCTCTTCTTGGTTCAGTTATCTTCACACTGAGGTGATGCATTGTTAATAGCTGGTTTTAATCAGATTGCAAGATGCATATCTGTTGTTTGGAAGTCTTTCAGAGATTCTTCAGCTCCAGCTCATCTTGCCAGGATGTCAGTAAAGAGACTACTGATGCTTTTTCTGCCACCTCTGAGCTCAGCCTTCACTCAGTGTTTCCCCACAGGCTGGGATTTACAGGAAATGCAGACTGCTTCTGCTTTCTATTGTGAGGAGTTTGTCAGCTTTTGTGGAAGTGTGATGCTGTCGGATATTTGCACCGCAGTAAAAACTGCAGCTTGAATGACAATTTATGCAAAAATCTTCACAGTCGAGGAATTACACATAACTGAAAGAGGAAGAAACATTAAAAATATGGATGTGCTAAAGCGAATTTCCTGTTTTTTAAAACAGAAATTTTAATTCTCATTTTTTACAGCTGGACACGAGATCATATAGTCTGCAGATAACTGATGCCAAGTGTTAACTAAGGCCAAGTCCTCCATCCAAGTGAAAACCCACATGATGGTTCTGGTCATATATTGCATCCTTAAAGTGGTACAGCTGGCATTCATCTTAAGCCCAATTTTCTGAATCAAACTATTCCCAAACCACCCAGAACCACAAAATGATGTCTTGCTTACATCCTGGTAGTAGAGCATTATAGTATTATGGCAGTAGCTGCTTCCTCGCGGTGCATGGCTTCACTTCAACTAATACTCAACATTCATCACCAAGCAATTCTGGTGCTAGCTAGCAAGAGTGATAAAGACTGATATTTGATCATGAAGTTGATTTAAAGATGCATATCCATACATATCCAACATTTTGAAGTTTTGCCTTTTGGTAGATTTTAATGTATTTTTCTCCCTTTTATTAATAGTACTTGTCGTTTGAAGCTCTCTTAAAAAACTTGATCTTGATGCCCTGCTTGGACAAACCATGTCTTTATCTGGTTCTCTTCTTCTGTACATGAGCAGTCTTATCTGACAAAAAAACTCATCCTGTTGTTGCATCCTGTTATGACAGTTATTTAAAATGAAATTGTCAGTATCGCAGCTTTTTTCACTCATAATTAGGTTGTGGTGTTAGTTTCAGTCTGCTTCAAAACCAGATTAAAACTTAAAGTAAATGTTCATTTCAAGGAGTTAACCGTAGGTGTCAAGTATTTTATTTTTGCTGGGAAACTACTGTTTTTTTACCCTGTTTTCCTCCCGTTTCCCTGTATTAGTATTAGTAATTTAATTTCAAAGAATGTGTTTTTGTGTACATATAAAAAAAAGTGTAGTGTGTTCGGTGGTGACTCTTAAAGGTGGCTTTAGGCTTGGCTAGCTCTTTCCTCCTTTCCCAGCTTTTTGCTAAGCTATGCTAATCATCCTATGTCTTCAGCTTTATCATTAACTTAGACCCTCTTTTTTAATGCTTAATTTTGCACGTGGACTGAGCTGTATTTTTGTGAATGGACCTCAAACATGAATGCACTCCAGCAGTCAGCTGACCGAGCTAAGGCCTCTCCAGCTCATCTGATTGAGTTACCATTTTGTTCGCCCATGCTGTGTGAGCACTTCAGAAGAGAGAGAGAGGGAGGGAGGGAGGGAGATGCGTTTTACTTCCATTTGATCACTAATGAAATTGCTGGTGAAATTTCTGAGCCTCTTTTCCTCCTATCCCCCCCTGCCCCCCCGCTACATCCGCCAGCGTCCTCTTGAAAGAAGCCTGTTTGTAACCGTATCTGCTCTGCGCTTGGATATGCACCATATGCAACCTCCCTCAGCTGGTAAATAAATGCATGTGGAGGTTAGCAAGACCTTTTGGTTGATCTGCAGCAGCCACTGAACACTGTCAGAGGATATTAAACAGGAGGAAGCTGTTGTAAGTATTGAACCCACCATATTTCTATAAAAATAACACCCATCCCTGTCAGGATAAAGTGTCTGCACCGAGCTGGTTTGTTTGGACTGTTGCCCATGCACCCTCTCAGTGTATTGTCTGTCAGTCTCTAAAGTCTGATCATTTTAAAACCAGGAGGTATTGGAAGATGCCATTTGCATCTTAAAAACGTGTTAATCTGCACAGACCTGCTGAAGATTGTTTCGCTTGGAACAAACCCAAACTACCCAAATAGTTTTGGCTCGCGTACGCCTGATTCACAGCGTTGCTTTTATGCTTTTTTTTGTGTCACTGACATGCATTGTTTTGCATAAATCAAGTTCTTGCTCTTGACTGTCTTGAAACTCCAGATCAGATTCATTCAGACTCTACAAACAGCTCGTGAGTTGATATTTCCTCTCTTGGAGTGCATCCTTACCCTGCAGTTTTAAATCACTAGAAGTTACTGTGTAGCTTAAGGGTTTGGCACCGTGTTAGCATTTTCCAACCATCCACTCTCGGGTAAACAACCTGCTATAACTTACAGTAATTCTGAGATTCCTCTGCGAAGGTTGGCTTTCATAGTAAAAGTAAAAAAAAAATGTCAAAATTTATAATTTGGAATTTTAAGAACTGATCTTTGACAACCAAAGCTAAAATGTTTAACATCAGGAGTAAACAGTGTAGTTGCACTCACAGTACACCTGTGTGACATCATGCCAGTCGGATAGTGTTGATTGGAGCCCAGTAAACGCATTTTTTAATAAACCTGTTTTATCCTCTATCTGTAAAATAAAATGCTGGTATTAGGTCTGCACGATTAATCGATTTTCAATCGTAATTGGATTATTTGATCATGACGATTTTAAAAAAATTAAAATCATCAAATCAATTTTCCTCCCTTTCTGCAGGAGCGCTTCCCAGTTCCCACACACACCAGTGCAAACAAACATGGTGTTTGCAAAAGAAGGTGATTATTTCGTGGCTAGACAGGGCAAGAGCAAGTCAGTCGTGTGGAATTGGTACGGCTTTGCAGTTTCAGATGAGGAGCAAACTACTCCCCACTGCCAAGTCTGTCTGAAGGCGGTATCAACCCGAAATGATTTTTCTTGAAATGATTTTGCCTACACAGCGTAACTCTTTTATGGCGCCTGCGCATATCCGGCTAAAACAACCTTTATATGCATGCTCTGTACTCTTCTTCTGTCACCTACTGGCTCTGCATACGCACCACATCATTTCAGTGGTTTGGTATTGAGAGATGATAGAAAAACTTATTAATATGAAATTTGGTGAAGTTGTCTCTGTATAAAAAATTTAAATCAAAAATCAAGTTTTCAGAGAAAAAAATTGAGATTTTATTTTTGGCCAAAATCGTGCAGCCCTAGCCGGTATGGATAGGTGGCCAAATGATGAATACAGGTCACAGAGATCTATGTTTTTAGCAGTTTATAATTTTGAGAAGCATCTGTTATCGGTCAAAAATGTTCACAGTGTGGTCCAACAAAACTGGCTAAATTACAAGCTTATACGAGCAGGTCACTGGGCCCAAAACAATTATGTTGACATAATTTTAGCATATCTGATGTGCTATCAGATGAATTGGTTAGTTGGTTGAGCTCTAGGGAAGACCAACAATCAATCATCATAAGATCAAAATCACAGGCTTCAAAAATGATCTTACAACATAAGGCAGAAAATAGCACCTTTCTTTTCTCTGCAATCACTCAATCTTCTCTGTGCTGATCAAACTGGCAAGTTTTATGTTGATCAGTCAGATCTGAAGGCGAAATTTCCATAGGCCGTCAAGATTATGTTTGTTTCCAGAAGACTTTTTGGATCATTTTACACCCTTTATGTCTTTGAATTTCTCAGGGAACATTTAAAGTCAGCTGTCTTGTTTTCAAATGTTTAAAGTTTAACCTCATGTAAGCAAAGAAATATCTGCTAGGGTCCTTACAGATGCTGTGTAATAACTGGGACAGACAGTGGCTCGTACAAACACTGTGACTCTTCACATTATACCATGCTCCTCCTCCCTCCCCTCTCTCTGTAAAGCTTTATTTTGGATGCACACACACACACAGCACCATAGGCTAACACAGGCTACCATGGTTAGCCTCACCTGATGTGGAGCTTGTCAAAGCGTTGCTAGGAGACGGCTACATAGGCTTCTAGTAAACAATTATCTACCCTTTCAGCAGCTCCCTCCCCCATCCCTCCCTCGTCTAGTCCCAGGGCCGTCGCTTGGAAAGCCACTTAGTGCGGTCTCACCTGTGATTCAGCTCAGCTCCGTATTGATTATGCAATTAGCAGGTCAGGCAGAACTGACACTCCCTTTTAGTGAAAGTGGTGCTCAGGGTGTGTTATTTGTGTTTAAGGTGGTAATCACGCTCACACAAATATTTAAGCGCACAGAAAAACCACTGTGCCTTTGCATGTTGCACAAAGGGCCTGAATGTGCAGTGTGTCTTGCAGAACTAATGTTTGCATTCAGTGATGTGTTTTGCAATTTTGCTCATAAAAAAAAAAGAACAGAAAAAAGGGTTTTAACAAAGGCTAGTAAACAATTAATCATACAGTTAATCACAATTAATCGCATACTTAGAACTCTCTGTGACTTCGCTTTTGAAAAAATCTTTTAAGATCAAACTGACAACATTTTATTTTCATGGCCACATTTTATCTTCATTAAGCTGTAACATAATAATCGTAATTCATTTCTCATTACAAACTGTCGGTGTTTCCTTAGTTCCTTAGCTCCTCTATTTTGACTCCTTCATTTCTTTGTCTGTGTTTGTTTGCACACTAATCAGAGTTTTGACTGCTTTATTGATTTTCTTGGTTTGTTGTTTGTATTCTGTTTATTTGTGCTAACATTTGTTGTATGAAGTTACATATAAAACTAAATCTAATTCATTCATTGATTGATCAGCCTAATGAGCTGCACCTGTATGCTTAGCTTAAAGGTGTTAGCTCAAACAGAAAGCACATTAGAGATATTCTAATTCTCTTTGACATTTATTGCATATAACTTTCATATCACTTGTCAACTGAGCTGTCTTCGAGCTTTTTAAATTAAGATAAAACAGTAAAGCATGGTGGTTTCACTTTTTTTTCATCATAGCAACAAAAGGTAGCAGGAATGCAGGAGTGATTTATATGTAGATGACAGGATGGTTTTAGATGCCAGACAGCAGCAGAGCCTGCATTCAGCCTGCAGTTTTATCGAGGTCGACTTCTGTCCATGATTTTGTATTTTTCAAATGTTAAATTCCTCTTTTCAAATTTCACTAATTGTCATTGAAAAATGTAGTTTTTGTAAAAATAAGATATATTTGTAGCTCATAAATCATAGTGTTCTTGGGGTGATCAACATCTTAAACATACATGCATGCAGAGTATCGAGACAACATTTGATTGGGTTTGTTTCCATCATTTTATGACCTTTTAATTATTTTTTTATGTTTTACATATTACATAATCCATCTTAACCTAAAATATATCTTAGATCTAACAGGTTCTTAAAGACTTAACCTGCAAAATGTAAGATTTAATTTGTTTTTCTGCTGTGAAATTTCTTTTTCATGTTTCGATATTAAATGAATGCGAAGTTATGAGCTGCTGCATTAACTACTCGTGTATCTCTTGATCCCAGATAAATGATGAGAACAGAGACACTTTCACTTAAAAACACATACTCTCATCCTTAAACTTTTGTGTCAAGAAATCTTTCGTGCTTCAGTGTCATAGCTTACTGGTCTGAGAAGTCTTTGTTGTTGCCTTGCTCATCAGCAGATGCAGTGATCTGGACTGCTGCTTTATTGGGACCCTTTTGCTCTGACTCTGGGCTCTATTTTCTTGTTTGCGGGGGGATACGGCAGAAGGTGGCGGACCCCGCGCAGTGGTATTTTCGTCTGGCAGATCCCGGCGTACAGCCAGTTCGGTATTTTCGTGGACTGAGGCGCACTGAGGTCTGCCAAGCTGGGCGTGGTGGCGTGGCAGGGGGAGGTGTCGACAGAATCAGCTGGCACAGTGACATTTTTGTGCTCGCCGGTGTGTAAAGTGCGCTAAAAGCTCGCTGATTAAAACCTGGTCAGCTTTCAGCGCAGGCGGAGCACAGCTGGTCATACGTCACCGATGCCTCACCGGCAGGCTTCCACAGTGTCAGGCACATTTCAGTGCAATAAATAATCATCAACAACTAATAATCTGAGTCCGCACATACATTTAGATCTATAGATATATACTGATTTAAATCTGATCTGATGAGCGCGTTTGGCACGCATTTGGACACACAACCTGACCAAATCAACACAGCTGAAACCGCATAAAATTAAATTAAATATCTAGTAAATAGAGACACATGATGAAGTTAACAAGATATGTAATTTGTCCCCCTCTTTTTCTTTCTTCCTCTTCCTCTTATTTCTCGCGCAGCTCGACCTGGAGATGTCTCTGTGTCCTCTCCCCGTCCTGCTGCAGCTGCTGCTGCGGCGGCTGAACAGATGATTTGTTTTAGTGATCAGATGAGTTATTTACTTTAAGCCTACATACAAATATTATAATATTCAGTTTTGTGAGCCAAATTTATTTTATTTGCCAACATCTATGAAAGAAAGAGCCAGGCCACGGAGCGCGATGCGTCCTTTACGCACAGAGGGTTCCGATTTTAATGCCATTATTGGAGTTAATGTTGTGATCTGTGCACACAACCCACCTTTGTCACGTGAGGTTTGAATATATGCAACTTTATGTGAGTGTCTTTATTTGTGGAAAAGGGTGTTTGTCTTACCAGTGGGTCCAACATGACACACACCAAATCCCTCTGTACTTATATGAGACAGTGTGCAGGACGCCCTCTGCAGCGCTTACATCGACACTTGCTGAGGGGCTGCCTTCTGTCGACATCGTGTGGCATTGCTGTCTTCAGACATCTCTTGATCTCTTTGACTACTTCACGAAAATTGTAATACACCTCGCTGGTGGCGGATTTAAAGGCAAGGAGAGGAGCTGATGTTATTAGTCAATACAGGTCTCGGCTGTGTTAAACCCACTCCACACCCTCTCTTCTCCCTCCCGACGACTTGCGCCGCTGGGAGGAGCTGAGTTAGGGAGGGGGATACTTAAGCTAGGCTGCGCCACTCACCAAAATACCAAATTGTGCTTGGGAATGCCTTGTCGGCGCGGCGGACCTGACTTACGCTGCGCCACGTCACCGGCGAAGCACGAATATAGAGCCCTCTGGCTTAATCTTCAATGTTTAATGGACTTGTGTTTTAATGTCTGGAGCTGTATTTTGTTCCTCGTGCATTTTGTAAACAGACCTCAGTGTGTCTGAGAGCTGCTTTGTGAGGGTCCCAGAATGAAACAGTAGTTTCTGCCTTCCAGGGGTGATGATGTTTGAACTTGTGCTCTGCCCTTAAACTTGTACCTTGAGTTTGAACAACAATCTGGTATTTTTGAAAACAGCTATTTAAGACATTTCTTCTAACTTGCTTGGAGCTGTCTCACTGTCAGCTCTCAAGAATGTTCAACCTTTTGAACTAGACTTTGTTTGGTTATTTGGGACTTTTTGCCTGCTGTTTGTACGTCAGCTGTTTGAGTGATAAATTCGGACCTGGATTTGTCTGTTGAAAGGGCCCATATTTCAGTAATGATCAAATCGTGGTTTGTTGCACAGCCTTGTTTTCCACTAATTTTGGACAGATTTTGACCTGTGCCAAATTCAATAATTTCCCTCTGGCTTTGCCCTCCTAACCAATTTATCTTGCTTTCCAAATGAAAGTTTTTGTTATATCAAAGTGACAACCTAGGCCACTGAAAAATGAAGCTTATGCAGCCGTGCACCAAACTGCACTCCCACAGGTGCCCACTTGAGGCCGACTCGCAAAGCCTATAAAACAGTATTCTTCAAATGTAAATTTTTACAGCAAAATTAAACAAGGTAAATAAGGATTTTGGACTGTTTTAGGTTGAGTCGCCATATTGATTGTGTTGTTTACTATTAATTAGCATCATAACTACAGTATGTCCATGTTCTGTAGTTCTGGCATTACATCAGAATAATTTAGAGTGTTTTGTTAAAAAAATCATGTCTGAAATTGTTGGTATGTCTATTCCTCTGATTGTATTCTGCCACTAAAGGTATTCAAGAGCAGAAAGGCTAAAAGGTCTGTTTGAACCAGAGAGTATGAGATTAGTCTGATTAATCATGATGGGATTGGCACCAGCCTGCCATTAAGTGAACCTCTGCACTAAGAACAGTCTGTCAGGTGAAGTTGCTTTGCCATTTATGAATGACTAAACACATCTTTAATTTTGTTACCGGCTCTTATGGAAAGTAGTCCGTATATACAACCTTTCTGATCCCTTTGTGCAAAGTCAGACATTGATACAACATAGGAATCTTTTTAGAAAGCAAATAAAGTTACTTATTGATTTATTTCTGGTTTTTGTTTGTTTTTATGAAATTGTTGCTGATATTTTACCAAATATCTGACATTAAGTAATACTTAAGTCAGGTCCTGTGCCCACCACTAGCAGTTTTGTGCTAGTCACACCCACAACCTCACTATTACAACACTTTTTTCAGTTACCTTTGAATCAGGCTAAGATTTGTCTGTTTGTGTCATACTTGCTTGTATTCAGTGGATTTTTATCCAAACAATTGATGGAAATCATACTGTAGCTTTAGCAGCAGGTCGAGACCTGAAAATAGTACCTGTGACAAAGAAAGCGTGGTTGGCCTCTTTTTCCCTAAGAACCTTTGTTGATGACAAAGTTGGCATCAGAAGTCTCAGCCCTTCCTGAGATGGATTAGTCAGTGATGGAAAAGGCAGCTGTGCTGTCAAAGTTAAACAATTTTCAACTGAATTTGCTGTGAGTGCAGCGACAAAATTATCAGTGGGTACAGGCCCTTATGTTTTAGTTTGTGCTTTGTATGGGCGACAAGAACAATCTTTTCTTTCAGTGTTGAAAGTCTCTTAAAAATAAAAACTTAACAGTTTTGTCATTGTTGATGCTCCTCATTGTGGTTATTCTTTGAGACAAGAGAAAAGAAGTCTGGCACAGCAGTGAAGAAGCCCAAAATGTGACGGATAAGTAAAGGAGAAAACCATAAGAAGAATAACAATCTGGTTATGTTAGGTTACTAATTAGAGGAAAATGTACGAATCCTTTTATGACAACATGTTGTTGATGCTCTCCTTCGGCTATCTGCAGTGTCTAAGGTCAACTGTTTGTGCTGTCTTGATTCCATTATTACCTGTACATTGAACCAATGTATTTGGTAACTTGAAAAGTGTTTTTGCAGGGTGTTATCTCCAACACATCTAGATTAAAATTCAAATCTCTAGAATATTGACTTATCACCCGCTATATATCAGACCAAAGCAGTGGTTAAAATGTTTGACCTGTGTGTCTTGAGAGTCTGTGAATGTTCCTGCTGCCCACCATGTCCCCTGCCTCTTGTTAAATGAATGGTGTGCAGGTGCTAGAGTCTCCTTGTGGGGGTAATTAAAGCACATCATTACATGGGCAGTTAAATTGTCACTGTTCTGTTGAACCTGTTTGAAATGAAAATGGAGCTCAGCTGGAGGCGGTGCTGTATTGCTCTCTAGTCAGGCACCCTGTTGCTTTGGATCAGGAATCAGCCTGTTAATGTTTCTGAGGCATGCCTATTGCTGTAGTCTGTCTTTTCTGAAGGCAAATAAACACTCAAAGAAGAAACCCCGAGAACTGAGCTCCAACCTGGTGGTATCAAACCTTTGAAGTTGTTTCTCACATGTTCTTGGCTCCTTAGATGATGGAGATTTCTGGTACTCTTATTTTGCAAACTGTCAGCCTTCCCAGATGACAATTTTTAGATAAGACTACCTCCATATTTTGACACAAAAACTTCATATCCATGTTTAGGCATAAAAAGAGCAGTTTTATGCATGCAAGAAAAATCTAGAAAGCTATATCCTTCCACTGCTTGTATGATCAGTTACTCTGAGTTTGTTTTGCAGAAAAATGCATTAACAGTATATCCCATGATGAAGTGTCATGCATATCTATGGTTTGTATGTGAAGCCATTTAGCATTTCTATGCAAATGTGCGTGTGCTGGTGTTTGTTTTACGTGGTGCATAGTCTTGGATCACGCTGGTTAATTAGCACCAGGAGGGGAGGGGTTTTGTTGTATTGGAAGTGCATGGGTAATGACCCTGTTGGCATAGTAGCAGAATGCTCAATGAGCCGTGCGTGTGTGTGCACAGCCGGTGTACAGCAGCCAGCCAAATGCCTTGCCTTCGGTGCGACATCTCTTGGCACACGACTCTGGCAAGCGACTTGTGTGCAGGATTCACAGACCCCCACCTCCCTACCCTGCAGAGATATGACTGTTATTCAGTCTGTAACCTGCTTTCTTAGGCTCACATGCAGTCATAGTAGAGTAATGTTGTAAGACCATGAGTCATTGATCAATGGTGCTTGTCTCGTCCATCTTAATCAACAGAAAACTATATTATGAAATAATCTGACCATATTTACTCAGCTTGCAAATTATCCTCTTTTGAGGTAAAAAGGAACAGCTTTGGTTGTTTACTTACTCAGTGTGTTTACTGAGTGCAAATTTGGGTTTCTTGTTAAAAGAACAAAACTTATTGGTTAAAATTGTCTGCTCAAGCTTTAACAACCAATTATGGGATGGAAGATTGCATGGCTACAGACCATATAGAGCCATAAAAAAATCTACATGGGGACCACGCTCATTAAGATAACCTCTGTGAACACATGGTCATGCCGCAACAAGAGAACTGAATGCAAAAATAGGCCTGTTGTAGACTCACAGTGCCCAGTTACTGCATGCTTCTTGTTTTTTATCAAATAAAAACATGCTTTCAATGACTGATGTCAGTCAGGAACATACCAAGGTTACAGTCAGTCTGCTTGTAGAACACACAGGCTCAGGAGAAAGAACTGATACTTCATTGACCAGTCTGTCTGTGGTGTATCCAAAGAGAGGGCAAAATGCTGGTAAAAAGTTATCAACATCAGTATCTGTCGTGGTGCCTGTTGTGACCCTGGAAATTTTAGAGGCAGCGCCGTCTCTTGGGACTTGGCGTGAGAACTAGTGACTTAGCAATGCAAGTAATGAATCTCCAACTATTTGGGGTTTCCTGTTGATGTTCACCCCCTCGTTTTCACATCTCTCCATAACCATGTTCATTTACAGTTCTTACATGTGTCTATTTCTTTCTATATTTGTGTGTACAGCACTTTCAGTGACGTTACAAAAACGGAATTTCCCCTCAGGGTTTTGTGAAGTGTGTCCACTTTGTTCTTCAAACGTAGGAGATAATGCGGTCACTTATGTTGCATCACCTTATCAGTCCCATGGTTGTTACAAGGGTATTTCTTTTCCAGAAGTGAGAATGTAACATTAATATTTTGTGTTGAATCACACTGCTGAAACTTCTTTGGCAGAGCCTGGAGTTCCTCATTTGGAGTAAGGGAAAGGGAAGGGTAAGGGAAATTTTTGTTTTGAGGATATTCTGGCTGCAAAGTGAAATTATAAAATATATTGAAAGCCCTCTTTCATCTTGTCATTTTGAGGTTCAATTCCTTGTATACATCACAGTGGACTACAATTTTGTCTCTCCTGTATCCTAAGACAAGAAAAGCAAAAAAAAGAAAAAGGGTTAAAAAGGTCAAAAACCTTCCACCTTTTCGCTCACCGCCTGCCAGCATCATCACTGCATTTGCAGGGATTTTGCCACTGGGGGTCTTTGATCTTTGCCTATGAACAGATTGAGGAGCTTGACCGAAACAGATTTGGGAGTTATGTAGTCCTCCCTTTGGGTAGATATGATGGGAAGGTGGTCCAGCGCACATTCACGGTTTCCTCTTTTACTGGAAATGTCTAGTTGTGATTCAGGCAATGCAGAATTAAAAATATTAGTCTTTTTTGCGCAACTTTGAGGAGGTGTCAAATATACCTGACACAATGTCGTCAGTTTTTTTGTCTTCTTTCAGGAAAGATGTGCCCGGTTATTTGCAGGATCATTGACATCAATCATGGGACTCTCATTTTTTTTTATTTATAGCACTGGGACAGCTATTTTTCTTTTCATGTCCATAAAAAATGATGGAATATAACTGCTTGTCAGCCATATTTTAAAGGTAATTCCAATTACCTGTGTCCAGACAAGGTATGGGATACATCCCATGCTGTTTGTTCCAGCTGCCCTTGCTATTCAGCAGAAATGGTGCAGCTCGGTGCCCTTGCTGGAATAGTGTAGACTCAGCCCTAGTAAAACCAAAAGCTGGGATTGACATCACAGATTAATGAAGATTACATGCAGCGATTACTGGCCACGGGATGAATCGTGATGACCTCATGTCCCATCAGAAGGCAATAAATCAGGAGATGTCAGTGGAACTCCCGCGAGGATGAACTGAGAACAGGGGAGATGGACATTCAGGTCACCTCTCAATGACATGGAAGCCGAAACAGCTCAAGGTTGCAGACAGATTTTTTATGCGTATTGCTTATTGGTGGATTTTACCGTCATTGCATGGGAGGCATCAAAAGAGGATCACTGAAACAACTCTCAAGCCTGATCAACATTTAGCATTTGGGCCTTCTCCAAGAGGCAGAGAAGAGTTAATCAAACCTCCTTTTTCTGTTCCCTGAATTGTTGGCAGACTGGGATTTTTCCTGGGATTACACACCAGGCCGGGATCTCATATTCTTTGTATTCTTCGAATGCAAACAGGCAGATCGCCCCACATGCAGAGGGCTGACCCCTCTTTTCAGGGAGAAGCGTGCAGATCCCATGCTTAGTGACCCCAACCTGCCCTGGCTTCCACTTCCCACTGCCACCTCTCTCTGCTCCCTGTCTCTCTTTATTTCACTGCCTCACCATCCAGCCATCCATCCACCACTCATCTAGCGTGGGAACCTACACCTGTGGCTTTCCCTAGACATCACCACCACATCCTCCCCTTTATCCAAAATGGACCTTTTCACATACTCTTGAAGAACTGTATCAGAATTTGATGGACTGATGACTCTGGGTCATGTTTGGCCATGTGTTGTAAGGGTGCCACTTGATTATTAGGTCATTCTGAGTGAAGACAGGTTCACTCAGTACATGACACACAAACATCCAATTTTGTTTCACCATGCCCCCCTTCATGACTTGAAAACTAGGATTTCTCAGAGTAAATCCTCTAATCCATTAGGGGAAGGGCCACCAAGGGTTTTGGAGATTTGACTGACAGAGGATTCTTCGCAGTCTCAGTTATAGTATTTCACACTGTCAGATGTAGTTGTGCGCTGAGAAAATAGGGCAGGTTGATAAAATTGGACTGTTCTCTCAGTTAAAGACTCATGCAAGAACTATTGGGAACTTTTAGACTGAACTCATGCAGCCACCCTGGCCAGGCTCAGTAACACACATGCTGACACTAATTGTCCCCGTGCTGACTGTGTCTCCTCACTGACAATGGTTTTGATTGGGATGGGGGTGAGTTATGGTGTTGGGACAAGGGTCTTTGTTCAGTAGCCTTTCCCCCTTCCCTCCCCCACTCCTCCCTTTATCCCCCCTTGCCCATCCATCTATCTTGTTCCAACCATTTGGGCAGCTGTCACTTAATCCAGCTAATCACAGACTGGGATGGTCTGTGGGAAACCAGGCTAGTCCGTGGCTTTGCTCAACCCCATCATACACTGACTCAGGGATCTATTTAGCCAAATGTTTACAACATGTTGGCATGCGAGCAAGCCTGGATATGAGGTAACCCTTAAAGGTGGAGGTCACAGTATGTCCACCTGTTCTTTCTTTGATGCCCCTCATTATGTAACACATGCAAACTCTTCCAGTACACTATTGCAAGAACCTCTGCAGCCAATGCATGCTCTGCCACTCATGATTTCTCTTGTATGCATTGGCACATGCATACATCCACCCACATGCTCAGTCTGGGGCAGCTAGCCCACCCTTTTGTGGCGGGGGGAGGGGGAATGGGTGGAAAGGTCAGAAGCCGAGCGACATGTCATGGGATGATCCACGTTCATGTCAAATAATCCATCTTCCAGGCTGCATCTGTTGTGCGTCTGCAGTTGGATGGGTTGATGGAGCTTCTGGCAACAGCAGCACAAGCATTACCCTTCACCAGAAAACCCCCAGTCTCACTCCTGTACTTTCTTTCTTTCTTTCCCTATTCCTCATCCACCTCACCAACCCCAGCGCTCTTTCCCCTAATGCCTTACCAGTAGCTCCAGTCTCAAACAGCTGTACCCCCCATGTTCAAACTGTAACCCAAGCCCTTTAGCTCACCCCTGTCCCGTCATCTTCCATCCCCTTCTCTTGTCACCCATGGTCTTCCACAATAACACTCCCCTCCCCTTCCTCCCGCCACCACCCGCAGCCAGACAAGCCTACTTAATCCCACAGCCCAGCAGCAACCAGCCTACCAGCTTGTTGGTCCCCCAGATCAACAACACAGACTGACACACACACACACACACACACACACACACACACACACACACACACACACACACACACACACACACACACACACACATTTCCAATACCCCTCCCTGTGACTTCTGTTTCCCTGGTCATTGAATTAACTGCAAGTCCCTCAAATAGTAGCCTCACGCTTTTTTTTTGTACCACCCCCCCCATTTCAACGTCCTATCAATGACATTACAGTAGAGGTCACAGCAGTCACATTGTGGCTACTACAACTGTCACTTGTGGTGACGTAATGGGTGCTATTTAGGTCAGCTGGTTGCCTAGCAGTGTGCCCTGCAGCACACCGGCTAGATTACTCCTGTGCTGCTGGTTAGCTTGGTTAGTTTCCATCTCTGTGTGTGTGAGTGTGTGGATGTTTGTTTACTGTGCAAAATACTCATGTTTTTGCTTTATGATGTCAAATTCTTATACTTTAAAAAAGCAAACAACTCAGGCACCTAAAAGATATTAGAGTGTTTATTTAAATGATGCATGTGATAGTTGCATACAAAGTCTGGGCTTTTGTACTGCTCATGGTGACGAGGTGCAAATTAGCACTAACTGCAATTAAAGCGGCAATTTATTCAATATTTTTATTGTTGCGTTCACAATGAGTCATATGATAGCAACAAACGGTTCTCCTGCTTTTAATTTCCCTCAAGTCAATCAAATTGAAATTATTTTATAATAACCACCACAACTCAAAAGCTGTAAGTAATTGTTGGTGTGTCTTGATTGCTTATATCTTGATGCATTACAATACTACAAAGACTTAATTTTGCAAGGCTAACATTGGCCTTGGTGTTTTTTCCAATATGCTGATATTTACTCTCATTTTCAAAACATCATGGTTACCAATATACACACGATTGATAGTAAGGAACATACAGGCTTTCCTGAACAAGGGTTTACCTGTCACTCTTATCATGAAAGTCTTTTTGTGGACAAAGCAGTGTTTGCTTATCTGCTCCTCTAACTACTTGATTACTGTCTTTTGACAGAAAATTTCATCTTGCTGACAGTTACTTATTACAGTTAAATGTATTGTTAATTGTGAATATTTTTGTGGACACTGTAAAGATATAGTTGTTTCTACAGATGCTTGGCTGACACCTGCCCCTTTGCATTGGTTTCAGGCATCAAAACTACGATATAAAAGTTGTAATTCTTGTTGCTGATGGTTTTGTTTGCTTTCTTATATCATGGAAAGGCTTTAAAAAAAAAAAAAAAAGCAAAATCAGTCTTTCAGTCACAGAGTCGCGCGTAGGTATTTTGAGAGTTTTTTGGGTTGGATCAAGTGTTTTTTACATGCTTCTAACTCAGTAAGTCCACGCCACACAAACTCAAAACTTCCATATAAAACCCCGGACATTTACAGGACAGCCCCCCAAAAAGAGGACATGTTTGGTTAAAAGAGGGCGTATGGTCACCCTAGATATAATGCTAATTTTGACATGAGCTGATTGGATGCAATGGAAGGTAATCAGTTGGATTGATAGCTGATATTGGCTGGCATTTACTCAACTGATGTGTTGTGGGCTAATCTTGACTTGTTGCCTGCCTGGACTAACACTCTACCAAGTGAAATTCAAACTACAAAACCAATGTTATGTTTTTGTGGGATCAATAGAAAAGGACAAAGGTATGATGACATCTGAGCATTGTTTTAGCGCTCTTAATGGACTGGCAACATAAAAAGGGCTTCAGCCTTTAAAACCAGTGCAACACAGTCCAACATACGGGTAACTTCTTGCTGTTCTAGCATCAGATTTATGTAGTTAAAGGCCTACATTTATTCTTATGTTAGATAAAAATCTTCCAGAAAAATACATTACATACATGCTTACATAGCTTGCCAGTGGCCTGCTAATGACAGGAATTTATTCATAAGGACATTATCCCAGGCATTTTGCTCTTCCTATAGGTCTCTGTCTCCACATTTTAGTCCTGCATTCTATCTTGGCGTATTCCCACAGTTGTACTTACTGTATCTGGCTCCCCTCATCTCTGAATCATTGGGTTTCACAGGCTGTGTAACTCAAGCACACCTCCTAGTAAGAGGACAGAGTTTCATACAAGACTCTGTAGTAGCAATGGAATCAATTTTTGCATCATCCTAGAGAGTGTGTGTTTGTGTGGATTTGTGAGAGCAGAGGCTTGCAGGAGAGTTGCATGACTATGGCTTACAAAATCATTATTATTCTGTCAATATTATGAAGAGATTATGAAGATAGGTAAAGGTCACTTATCTTTGTTATCTAAATGACAATGAGACTTTCTCTCAAGATCCCTTTCTCAAACTGGGACTCTGCAAATTCATGCTTCTCATGAACCATCATGTAAAAAAGCATTCGACCAGGTGAAGTATTTTTAACTTGTATGTTCTGTATGCACTTTGAGACAAAATTTGGTAACGTAACATTAAAGCACATGGACACATGATTGTGTCATCTCGGGATTGGTGTTGCTTCAAATGATTGAAACAATGAAATCAGCCAAAGTTACTGGGCCCTTATTTCTCAGACTTTGTGTTAGAGACACACACAAAAAAAATCAAAGCCAAGATGTTTTTTTCCAATTTCTCCAAACTTGACTAATTCCCTTCTTCCTGTCTCTCCAGCGGACGTACACTTTGATCGTTGAGGCCTTTGACTGGGACAACGGCACACGAAACAGTAAGTCCAAAATTCACTCATATGTCAGTGTACAAGCGTAAAAATTGTGTTACTTCTGTTGGCTTCTGCTGATGGGAATAAAAGTGGTCAGTAACCTAAAAGGATTTTCTCTTTGTTTATTTGTAAGCTTCTGCCGGCTAGCTGTCTAGTTCTATGTCCTACAAAGATGCAATGACCAGCAGAGGTCTATTTTGTAATGCATAGTGGTGGGGCAATTCGGCTAGTCCGACAGAATTCGAATTGGTTTGATTCATCTTTCTTTTAGATCCAGCTTCTTAGATTTGACTGCCTTCCTGGGCTTAATTGGTACAAACTGAATGTCTGTAGTTTTAACCATTTGCTGGATGGCTCTCATGAATCAGCAAATTTGTTTGGAAGGCATAAGGATAAAACCATAAAAAATAAAGATTAGTCATTGATTTAGGATGGCTGTAATCAATCACTGACTTTGGGACATGATACCGTATGATGCAATGCACTACGATATGATAAGGTACAATAATATGTATGGTAAAAATCTCAGTGCTGGGTTCACAAAACAATTTCTCAACTTTATATGGAGGTTGTAAGAAGTGGTTCCTAGAACTGTGATCTGTGATGTTGCTTTTTTACTGCCTCAAGTTCAGGCTACTTTTTTTCCACTTTGGTTACAAACATGCCTTTATTTTGAAAGTACACAAAGGGACTTCCCCTAGATTGTAAAATTACAAGATTAGATTAAAACAGCTAAAAGAAAAATCAATAGTCAAAAATAGTTATCATCTTCATCTGCTACAAATGTATGACATGTAATGATGCCAAACATGGAAAGCCAGAGACAGAAAGCCTCCTCGACTGATTAAAAAAGTATCAACAGTCATGTTTTTTAATCTCAATCATTTTCATCAGACACTAGTTCGTTTTGGGTATTCAAAAGGGGAAAAGGGTGAGATTGTGTTCTTGCATGGAGACTTTCAGTGCAGTTTTAATGTATATGTGCAGCTCTCGCTACCCTGCCAGCTTCTGTATGGTAGCTTAGCTAAGCGGTAGCAGTGTTGTCAGTAAGGGTTGGATGGATTGACTGCCAGAACCAATTCACTCATAACACCCCTCTTTCAGTAACTTATTGTTTTAACACAAAATTGACCTGATGGCATGATTTTCTTTAAAGGCATGATTATAACTGAATGAGGGAGACAAACTGGCACATCTAGACTCAGCTGCCTCACATACTTGGCACATTAAAAAGCTGTCTTGCTGATTGAAGCGCCATCTTTTGGGTAAGATGTTGTAACACAGTAGACCACTTCTCCCTGCCTTTTATACTGCTGTATTGGTTGCATTGTTGCATAGAACACAGTTTGCTTTTCAGGTAAATAGGTGCGTCTTATACATCAGACTTTTTCAAATATAAAAAGTGTAAGCTGCAGCCCACACATAATTGAGTTGTGGGTATATAGGCCTTCCTGTGCACAACAGTAAATCAGTTACACCTCACTTACAGAGACCTAATTGAATGTGTCTAACCTCTCTAGGTAGCAGGTTGAAAGCATGCTGTACTGTAAAGATGCTTCATATAGAACAGTCTGTGGTTCTCTTTTAGCAATGCAGACTACGACTTGGCTAGTTGTGACCAGCTGTATCCTGTTTTCCTTTGCTTATGTCCGCTGGGTGGACTCCTGTACAACCCTCTTTCCCGTCTGAGAGCAGTAGCTGAGTCTGGGAGGAAGAGGACCCATTCAGGTCTATAATGTCTGAATGTGCGGACTTAGCTTTGATCTGCAGGGACAGTGGCATATTTCACATGTCTTTACAATACCTCTCTGTATGTTCAGGCATATACATGAATGCATTTATAAACTGGACCGCTTCGTCTGATCCAGTCCGAGCTTGTTCCTTATTTATATGAGGTCATTACATCCTGTTTTGTCCATAACATCAAACGCACTTCCACTTATGAATGCAGACAATGGGGAAGAAATAGATTTGACATCACAGCTCTTTGATTAGACTGCTGCAGCCCTGTGGAGTCTCTGATTGTGCCCCAGGTCTGCTGTAATTGTGTGCATTTACAGTAATTAGTTCTGATGGTTCTGATGGATGCAAGGCCAGGGTGTCGTTTGATGAACCAGCCAATTGAGTCTCTGCCAACTTGTCAGTCTTAGCCAGCGAGATAGATGCACTTTGAGTGTTTAGACACAGGGTGAAAGCAAGACCAGCTCTACCACATTCAGTCATTTCATGGATACAAGAGCAAGAAAGATCCTCCTTTTTTTATTCTGCCTCAAAGTCGATCAAGTTGATAACAGGGAGCTCAGGCAGGTTGGATTCTTCTTTTGTTCAAAAGCTCCCTGAGTCTTCCTTTAGGTCACAGACATCAGCTGACTGCATCCGTGATGTCATGAGTTCAAGGAAACCAAACCTCAGGAACAAATGCTTCTTTTAACCCTGTGTGGGAGATAATAATCTCCCCCTGGTGTCAAACCTCCAGGGTCAAAGTGAGGAGATGCACAGGTTGTAGACTGAAGGCTGCAGGTGGGACAGGTCTGCAACATGGATTTTGTTTTTGAGGTACATTAAACATGGACTTACTCTCAATAGTGCCATCAATTGGTTTCCAAAAAGGCGTTGTGAAGCAGAAAGATGTAAACCATGACACTCTGAAAGGGCCAAAAATATCTCTTATTTGGTGGATTTATGGCTGAAGTTAGGGCATGGCTCCAAGAAGCTTTTCTGTTAGTGTCATTGAGCCACAGTCACCTCTCTGTAGCAGCCTCATGTCAAATGTAAATTGTTGTTAAGGCCTGAAGTGTGTGCTGATTTTGGGGCATGTTCAGGCCCTTAAAAATGATGTATTATAAAAGGGGAGAGTGCAGCAGATCTAGATTGAAGCGCAGACCCTGATTGACAGACCAAACCCTGTCAGACTGTGGATCTTCTCATAAGTCCTGAGTCAGCAGCAGCAGCCTCTTGTCTCGTCCTACGTAAGAGCTCTCCAGTGAGTGAGTCTGTCTGTCAGTGAGATTGCTCTCCTCCAGCGTCACGTCCTCCAGTGTACCTCTCATCCCTTCCCCCCTGTGTCCTCAGGAAAGGCGGCCGGCTGTTTTCCTTGTGTTTATCGAGCAGGAAGTGGAGTGGACTGGGCGGCCCGGCTCAGTGTTTAGACACCGATGCAGCAGAGCCGCTCAGGCCTGGGGCCCATTGTTCTCTATCTGGCAACGACCGGGGGTTATTTCTGTTATTGTTGCTTAATTCAGTCAGACATTGTGTCAGTCCCCAGCAGAGGAAGGTGTGTGTGTGTGTGTGTGTGTGTGTATTCCTGCTTGCTCTCTTCTACATGTCCATGGTGCATTGCAGCCTAAAGCCATGGAGGAGAGGAAATCACAGACCCCCTCTCTGCACACAGATTGTTTGCCAGTTTTGATCCCACTGTGATAAAGATTGCTTTCTTTTTGGAGGCCGGCACTGCAGCAAGCCCCACAGACGAAGAGCAACATTCAATGTGAGTGCTGCTGTGCCGAAGGCTAAATGGTAGCAACCTCTCATGACATGACGGTGCACATACAGAGAGCTGCTTAATGTGTCCCATCTCCAGGAAAAAAAGATCAATTTGCAGGCAATGAATCTCAATTGCATGCTTAAAATTCAGAGGGTACCTTGCACACACACTTTTTGGTATCATAGCATCTGTCTGCTGAATAGGAATGTGCAGCACAGTCTTGTAAAGAAGTGGTTTAACTGCAGAATAAAAGACAAAGTCAGTTTCAAAAAAATCAATGATACGGCTTCTTTCCAGGAGCATGAGTGATCATGTTGAGGTTTCATTTATCCGGTCCACCATTCAGATCAGAACAAAGTATGAGCAGTTTTTGATTGGATTTGACTGATGAGTCTCCGTCTGTTCTGGTTTCAGATGAGCAGGAGCTGTTGATTGAACGTGGCACTCACACAGGTATGATCAACCCCGGGGACCCCTGGCAGACCATCCGGCATGACGGACCAGTGGCTCGCCTCATATATCGTATCAGGGTACGGTGTGATGAAAACTACTACAGCAGCAAGTGCAATAAGCTGTGCGTCCCCCGTGATGACTACTTTGGTCACTACCGCTGTGAGGCTTCAGGGAACAGGGTGTGTCTGGACGGCTGGATGGGCACGGACTGCAAGACAGGTGAGCTGCTATCTTATCTTTTATAGTCCAAGCTGTGTCTTACAAACGGGGAGGAAGTGCGTCGTGATCTCCCTGCATGTGTTAGACAGCAGCATCGAGGTTGTGCTTGTGGTTGGTGTCTGAGAGAGTGGGAGGCCTTAATAAATCACCACACTGACCGTGGAAGACGAAGGGTGAAAGGAGGAGGGAAGAAGAGAGAGGCTGGCTTGTTTTAAGAGGAGGGGGAGTGTTGTACATGCAGGCTATAAAGTTGTCCCGTCTTAAACACCCCTCAACCCCCTCCATCCCTGTCAGGGTGCCATGAATTCTTGTTGCACTTGTTAGAAAGATGGTAAATAAACCTGCTCTTCCTCCTATCTCATCTCCCTGCCCTCTCTGGTCCTGTGTTTATAAGAATTATAAGGAAATGCATTGAGACGTGTTTCCCAGCTGAATTATCCTTTTTCTTTTTTTCTCAGCGATCTGCAGGCAAGGCTGCAACCTACTACATGGCGGCTGCGCTATCCCAGGAGAGTGCAAGTAAGTCCAGCTTGAAAATACTCTCTCTTTGGTATTTATGGTCTTTCATGTACTGCTACAACAAATTTTGTGCTTCTTTTTTAGACCTGTCTCGAGTGCATGTAATTCTAGGCTCACTTTTTTTGCAGAAAACACAGCTGTAGTCATTAAAATTTGGTCTCCAAAGTGCAAAAGCTGCTCTCTGTTATAGAGAAGGTGGTGATTGTAAAGGAAAACATTGTTGAAGGTTTTCTTAAAGAGAAGGTTACTGTGGGAAGAAGAGCAAAGATGGTTCAAAGTAGGAGAAAAAGGCGATTACTGTAACAGAAGAGGTGGGATCTGTAAGAAAGAGGTGGATAAATGTGGATAAAAGAGGATAGATGTGGCAGAAAAAAAGTTTTTGTGTCAGAAAAAGTTTCTGTTTTTGTAAATTAGAAGGGGCTAAATGTGGTTTATGCAACTGAGAGGGTGATAACTGTGACAGAAAAGGGATATTTGCAAAGAAATTAAGGGCTGTGATCAAAAAGATGTTTTGTGTAAGAGAAAGTGCTCTTACTTGATGAAAGACGGTGTTTTTCCATTACAAGAAACTTGTCTCTGTGTTAAGAAGTTGGTTTCTGTTTCAAAGAAGATATATTTATATTCATTGATGGGGCTACTTGAGGAGAAAAGTGTTCGTGTGTTCAGAAGTCCACAAAACACTGAGTAAAATAAGCAAAAGAAATCAGAGAAGTTGGTACCCAGATGCCAAATAGAAACACCTCCACTTGTCGTGGCCTGTTGTTTTTCACTTCAGCCTCTTTCTTCCCTCGTGGGCATCTCCACCTCTCTTCAGAGGGAAAGGGCAACACTGCACCTGCCTTTATGTATTTTTAGCCACCTGAAATCCTCTGTAGAATACCAAGCACCTCTCGAGCTCGGACTGAATAAAAGGGAGTGTTCGGAGTGTGAATTTGACCACTGTAAACGTGCTAGGAATGGTCATATCCCCTCCCCATCTGCATTGCAGTGCTCCTTGAAGGGCAGGGGGCAAAGAAAGGAAATGAATCTCCCACTGTGTTCTGTGCTTTTCCCCCCAAAGGTGGAAATAGATAAAGTGACGTAGAATGGTCCCAACAGGTCCACATTTCAGGATGTGGAACATCCCTTCGTCATTTGTAAACCCCCTCCCTCCTATCTGCCAGATGCACGGAGACACTCACCTCCCACGATGAGGAAGAAGAGTTTTGCCCAGAGCCGCACAAAAACAGGGGATGACCAGTTTTAGGAAACTGCCTCACATATTTTCATGTCTGTTCGGATGAGTAGTCTGCATCCTTATTCCACTCAGCAGATAGACAACAGCGGGAAGCACCTTATTCCTTCAAAAACGTCAAGCCCCAGTCAACAGGAAAAGTGACATGAATAGAAAAGCAGCAGCAGAAGAAGAAGAGGAATCTTCCTGCAGCGGCATGAATTTAAAGAAGCCTCAGGTCACGAAAGCTGGCGTTAAATCCCTCGCCAGCTCTCCTTTTTATTCCCTCTATTTCATCACAGCTTTATGGGCCGTGCCCTGTCCGCCGGCGCCTTTGTAAGAATCACAAAAGCTGCTATGTGCCTGTTGTAACACTGCTGATTGAGGCTTTTTATTAGAAAACATTAGGCTTGTTCTAACATATTTCTTCAAGGCTTGCCATGTCTTTCAGAACCTTTTTAGTTCAAGGCATTTTCACCACTCTCAACCATTTTCAAAGCTGTAGATTTACGTATTAGACTCAAGTTTCATTCAGTCTTCACCTGTAAGTGGTTGGTGAGTGATTATGATGTCAATGTGACTAAAAATTAACCCTCATGACGTGTCTTTCAATCCCTTCAAGCCGAAAAAGCAGTTATCAGCTCTCCTTGCCAAAGCCCTGTTAGCGTTATTGCTACATTGCTGTCAGACCCTCTGAAGCTAATCATATACAGTGAAGGAAGCATGTCAAGTATCCCCCCCCCCTTCCTTCAGCTCTTCACAGAGACAGCGGTGCCGTCTGCAGGAGCCTCAAAATAGCAGTCAATTGACAAGACAGCTGGGGCGACGAGACCGCAGCCTTGGAATAGCCAAGCGCCGTCGTGAAGCAGCAGTCGTGTGCGCGTACACACCGTGTATACACACAGCCGTCTCTCAGAAACGCAATGCCACCCTCTCGGTCCTTAGCCCCAGACTCAAACCCAGAGCACAGGGAGCCGGTGGAAGTATTCTTAACCCCTCCTGCCCTGGAATGTCACTCTCTGCTAAGATTAGTATGCAAAAGGCCTTTGGGTGGGACGACGCAGATACACAGAGAGGTGTGTTTCCACTGCCAGCCAGGTTGAGATCCACAGTGATTTAGAAGTTAGCAAGAACACCAAATACAAAGTAAGAACTAAAAGATCTAATGTCGAAAATATCAAGTAGGAGGATTTAGGACAACATTAACAATACACATGCATGTAGTACACAGTACATCCTCAAAACTCCTGAAAAAATTCCTGACATTTTCAGGATTGGCAGCTATGTCAATTTTTCCAATGAAAATGATGACGATAACTTTATTTAAAGCACATAATTTTCATGACTAAATAGAGACGATGATAGAAAACATAAGTGGATATGGGAGGGCTTGTCTCAGGACGGTCTTGTCTCACCTTGCAGGGTTCAGATAAGAATCTGAGGAGGACCTCACCAGCTCTGCAGTCCTTGCAGGATAGAAAGTTGCTCCTCTCTACTCTAGTTTAGATGTCCCCTTAGGCTGCTGTCTTGTCTTTCTAACGTCTTGTTTAAATTAATAAATGGTTAACAAAAAAAAAACAAAAACTGATGATACTCCCAAACTCTAAAGATGAGTCTGAGATGAAAACAAATATTTTGCCACAGTGTCAACAGCCAGAGGTGAAATGTGCCCTAACGCCGTGGATCGATATGAAAGGACAAAACATATGTGACCAGGTTGTCCCTGGTGTTGCTTTTGCTGGGGATTTTTGACCAGTCAGAATAAAGTGTCTCACAAAGCTGGGTACTAGTAACAAAAATAAACATTAAAGCTCCTGTGAGGATTTTTAATTTAGGAAACCGGAAATGAACAGTGATGTATTGTAGTTTTTCATGTCTGAAACTGCTGTGAGGGGTAAGGTATACGTAATAGCCTGTCCCCCCACAGGGGGCACCAGAATCAAAACACAGACCTAAAGTTACTTACCGCAACTTTAATAAAAATACCTCTTACCTTCATAACCACATTATTAACATTATTAATATTATTAATAATTATTATTAACACATCATTTAACATTTGTGTGTAAGCTAGAGGAAAAAAGCTACAAAATCAACATGCCAGACGATGATGTCGTAGTTCTGGAGAGAGAGAAAGTAAAGGTAGTTTAGTGTAAGTGTGTGATATTTTATTTCATGCTGTGTTGTCTGTGTCTGACAGGTGTAGCTATGGCTGGCAGGGCCATTTCTGTGACGAATGCATGCTGTATCCCGGCTGTGTCCATGGGACCTGCGACATGCCATGGCAGTGTAACTGTGAGAGGAACTGGGGAGGTCTGCTGTGTGATAAAGGTAAGGAAATGTGCTTTTTTCCACTCTTGGTCTGTTTGTTTTTGATGATATTTCATCACCTCCCACGCAAGACACTGGCAGAGTCCCCACTCTCATCATGCTGAACATCCCTTTCAGCTACAGTTTCCTGTATCTGATGAGTAACAAGTGAGCAAGAGATGAGACAGAAATGACTCCTGAAGACGCAGCATCTCTCTGTGAAAAATACTGCAACAGTCCTCAGCCTGTCTGTAACTTTTAATTGGCTCAGGGTTTAGTCACTTTTTTGCTTGTAGCATCAGGCTGAAGAGTCAAACATGTGAAGCATCACATTTTAAGAGCACCTGAGTGATTTTTCCACTTTTTGTGTGCAGTTGAAGTAGCTACTACAGTGTTGAACAATTCAAGATTTGGGCTTGTCCTGTGATTTAAAGTTCTAAAAAGAAATTTTCAGGAGTTAAAGCTCCTGTGGGGAGTTTTTTGACATTTATAGAATAGACTGAAATTCATTTTGATGCTTGTTTGATATACAAAATTAAACACGACCATCAGCAGCAAGACTGATGATTCATGTGTTGTAATTTGAAACACCTGAGACTAATACGAGAGGGGAAGTGTCGGCCAAGCAGCTGAAGAAACAGCGCTGTTATTAAAATAACTATGATAAGTGATACAGTTGACTTTCAAAAGGCAGCAGAATGAGATGTTTGGTCAGAAGAAACTCCTTCAGCATCCAAAGGACAAGGTAACTGAAGGCTGCCTTGTCCACAAGGGGCACCATTGACAAAAACTGAAAGTTCCCTACAGAAGGCGGAGCTGGTGTGAGCTTGTAGCCTCCCGGCAAACAGCTACGACAACACACCTGTCAATCAACTGAGCCACGCCCCGATAATGAAAACCTATGAAGAATTTGTTGCCTTCTCATCCTCTCTATAAATGCGTATTTATGAATACACCTCCACGCATTGTGTACCAACCAGTGCTGCTGAGTCAGCAAACCTGGAGTCTGAATCAAGTGTAGGTCACCAAAGATGAATCCAGGTCGAGTCAGAGTCATGTCCAAGTTTTCAACATAAATCTTATTATTCATCATAAATAGGGTGGCTGTTAACTCCAAACTTTTTCCTGTATCACTTGGACTTGGATTTAAGTCATAGATATAAGAACTAGGCCTATAATTCTCGTTCTGCTATAGGCAGCAGTTTTACACCACAGGTAACATTGATTTTAGGTGTATATGATGCGTTTGTTGTAAGTAAACATGCACTGATAAATTGGCAGGCCAATCGATCAGCACCGATTTCCTCAGTTTTGGGGGATTGGTGATCGGCTGATCCTTACATATGAAACCGATTTTATCCACCGATCTTATCTACCTCAGCAAAGGTCTGAAAGTCAGCCGTTGTAGCCGTTGTACTTAACTTACTTCCTCAAACCTTGTGATTTTCTTTATTTCTAAAAGCAAGATGTCAGCGAATAAGTTAGTAGAAAAAACAAACATCAGAGTAAGAAAATGAAATTCATCAGCTGCTGATCTGAGAGAGAATTTTTTCATAGTTTCTGACTAATTTTTTTTTTTCACAAATAAGAAATACATGACATTAAACAGATTTGTTTTAGTATTTAAGAGTTTCCATGATTAAATATTTCCATGCTCTTCGTTAACACAGGAGTTAACACACATTCACATTAGACCTGACTCCTCTCTGCTCCACTGTGAGAGGAGAACAGCAGCTGGATAGTTTTACTGCCTGTGAGACCCGAGCAGCAGCAGAGACACTCGATCTGCTCTCGTCTCTTCGTCACTGAGGGCTCTTTGGGGGATGAGAACGGGTCCGAAGATCCCAGGTGGAGACAGATCCCTGCTCTTTTATTTACCAGCCTGTATGCAGAGCTGGCCTTTAAGCCTGAGGAGAGTGAGCTGGGATCACTTAGTTTAGTGGAGTTTGTAAAACAGATGGACAAAAAACACTGGACATATAAAGGTCTTACAGTGCATTTCAGTAAAAAACAAATTTCCACAAAGTTAGGGGTCTTAGCCTTGATGATAAATGCAGATTAACGTGTATCATAGTGGGCTGATTCCTCAAGACTCTCAAAACCCCAAAAAGAGCAAATGACTGTGATCTGCTGATGTGACGTGCTGCCTCATACTGTTCATTTCCTGTCAGATCTCAATTACTGCGGTCGACACCAGCCTTGTGTAAACGGAGGGACCTGCATGAACCCTGAACCGGACGAGTATTTCTGCACCTGTCCACAGGGATACTCTGGAAAGACCTGCCAGATTGGTGAGAGACCATTTTTATAAGGATGGGTCTTTAGTGCATTCATTAAATGCACAAAAAGCCTTGTCAGTGTTGACCTCCTTCCCCTTATTTCATCACCTTGAACATGTGAAGATAAAGAATATTTTGACCATTAATGCGCCAGTGTGGGAGTCACCTTGTTAACTTCTTTCTGGGACAAAAGTTAAAGTTCAGTTTGGTTTTCTGTCATTCTTGACGAGTTAAAGAGGAAGTGTTTGGCTGGGGTTTTCATGGAGCAAATACAAGAGCAGTGTCCGAGTAGATTGATAGTTTCTGAAATACTCGGACCAGCCCATGTGGCACCAACAACCAGAGTCACTTTAACCCTTTCCTTCATCATTTTTATACTTAGTTTGAAATTCAGCAAACCCTCTTGACCACATCTACATGCCGAGATGCATTGAGTTGCTGCCATGTGATTTCTTGATTAGCTATTTGGTAAATAGTTGAACCTAATTAAGTGAACGGTGTTAATGACAACAATGCGTTTCTCTCTTCTGACTGCACCCGTCTTTCTACCAGCTGAGCACGCCTGCACGTCCAATCCCTGTGCTAACGGTGGGACTTGTCATGAAGTGGACACAGGGTTTGAGTGCCAGTGTCCACCAGGCTGGGAGGGTCCCACCTGTGCTAACAGTGAGTGACATGCTCTATTTACATTTGAATAAACTCTGAATAAGGTTCAACGCTTTATTAAGCTGTGATGAAAAGAAGTCAGAAATAAGTTGATGTGTGTTTTCTCAGATTTGGACGAGTGTGCCTCCAATCCCTGTACTGAGGGAGGGACCTGTATCGACCTGGAGGACGGTTTTGAGTGCAGGTGCCCTCCACAGTGGGAGGGGAAGACATGTCAGATCGGTAAGACACAATTATAGTTTCTGTAGAAAGACATGTGTTGCAGTTATTTCTTTCCTGTTTTTGCACTGTGTTAACTAAATAAAAATCCTCTGGGATCCAGTTCAAGTGCAGCCCTCTGCTCAGGATAACTGTATTCAGAGATTTAAACATGCAACCATCAACCTGACTCTGTCTGCCAGAGTACAAGCCGTCAATATCCTGCCTGAGCTGGCAGCTGCTCTGCCGCCTTTTTTTCCTCAATGACTTTATGAGTCGCGAGTGAGCGCGTCTATATCTGGCTGTTTGTTTGTCGCTGATGGTAGCATTCATTTCCATGTACCCACCACCCCGACAAGCGGACGTGACTAACGTGAAGCCAGGAAATGGATTACGAGCAGTAAACAAAGTTGGGTTGTGTGTGTGTGTGCGTGCGTGTGCATGTGTGTGTGGAGGCAGAGGGGTTGGAGGTAGGAAAGAGATCCAGGAGTTCAGTGTCACCTTACCAGCTCAGGTCTCAGCTTTCAGGCAGGCACTGGCCTCCTGTCTTACCTGATGATTGTGTGTGTGTGTGTGTGTGTGTGTGTGTGTGTGTGTGTGTGTGTGTGTGTGTGTGTGTGTGTGTGTGTGTGTGTGTGTGTGTGTGTGTGTGTGTGTGTGTGTGTGCGCGCGCGCGCGCGCTTAGAGTTTAAGGTTTCAGAGACAGGTGTGTGAGTGAACACAGCAGGACTCCCTGCAGACTGCCCCCCTTTTGAATATTTGAGCAGCTCTGTTTTTCTTTCTAGTTTCAGCTCTTAAATTTAAGCGTTAGCTTTGCCTCAAAGATGGATTTCTGGTGTCTTTTCTGTCTCTTTGTTCCTTTCTTGGTTTATTTCAAATGATGGACTCGGTTTCCTTCTACGTCCTGCCTTTACAGATGCAAATGAGTGTACAAGGAAACCCTGCGTGAACGCTTACTCTTGCAAAAATACGATTGGCGGCTATTACTGCGACTGTTTTCGGGGATGGTCCGGACAAAACTGTGACATCAGTCAGTATTTCTTCCTTTTGAGAAAGTCACCTCTAAATTTCCTGTCCTTCACTCGCGCCTATTTTTCTTATTCTGGCTAACTTCAAAAGGCCTCCTTTCACTCATTGGACACAGAACATTGGTGTAGTTTTCCTCACTTCCCCACATGTGGTAACCCGCCTCTTTCTCACCCTGGCAAAATGAACCTCCAACTTTGTCATCATGACTGAACTTGCATGACCATTTTTGATCTCTGGATCCAGTGCATGCAGGTTACAACCTTTACAGTCTATCTGGCACTTTCTTGGCTTCACTAGTTTATTCTTTTCCTTCTTTGACTTGATCTCTGCACAACCCATACCGAAAAATGCACCTTATTATGAACAATAATGATAAACACAGCAAGAAATAGTCCCTACTTTCCTGTTTGTAATCTGTAATAGATGGTTGCAATTATTAATATCCTTTTCCTTTTCAGACATGAACAGCTGTCACGGTCAGTGCAAGAATGGAGCAACATGCACGGTATGGATATTCAACATTTAAGCACCCATGATATCTAAATAGATGTCATTTTGTGGGAGTTCTTTGATATTCAAGGTGTGGCAGTTATTAAAAATCAGCTTGCAAAGAACTAGTTATGAAGACAGAAATCTTTGGACTGGTATTATGATTCTCAAATTTGCTGTGTGTCCCATCTGTCAACATGGAGGAACTAGGCTTTAGTACCTAACCCGTATTCAACTAGAACAGGTACTGAGGGAGCTCCAGGTGTGTTGACTTGAATTTGAGAGCTGCCATGTTGTCCACTTTTCATGCTATTGATGGTTGTGGTCCTGTTTGTGATCTCGATCACGATGCACCAAAACTGATCATTTTTGGTACAACAAGGCTGAAGATTTGAGATATTGTGGTTGCTGCGAACTCCTTTTAATATTAGTGATACCAGTGTCCTTCTAAGTATTAGATGCATGTTAATCTGGAAGCACTCTGCTAACGATTTTAAAGGCACTTAAATCTACAGTGTAATCCACAGATGGACCAAAATAGCAGCTGTGTTTAATAGCCAAAGGCGTTACCACCCCACTGTTGCCCTTCAGCTCATCACCTTCCTCTGTATTTTTTTCCTTCTCCAGGAGAGTTTGAAGGGTTACCACTGCCAGTGTCCTTCAGGTTTCGTTGGCACTCACTGTGAGATCCAGAGGAATAAATGCGAGAGCAAACCGTGCCAGAACGGAGGGCAGTGTCACACAGTGCTGGACAGTTTCGAGTGCCAGTGCCTACCAGGGTTTACTGGACAGCTGTGTGAGGTGAGTCTCATGTTGCACTGATCACAGTTCTGGATTACTGCATTAATAGTGATACATATTGAGATATTGGTGCCAGACGTTTTATTAATATCTGTTGGCTTAAGCTGTGACATGTTACACATCTTATTCCCTGAAGACTGGATGTTTTACTAAAAAGGTTATAGTAATAGAAGGAGGAGCTTCAGGTAAACAAACTTCATGCATTTAAAGCAGTAAAAGCAGACCACCACCCACAGGGAGACGGATAATTCCTTTAATCTTCCTCAAAGTTGTAAAGCATGTAACTCACCCAATAAGCCCTGTGCAGCTTTGATTCAAGGCTATTGTTATTGTTGATAATCTCAGACACATTACATGGCTTTGTCCTTGTTGCAGGCTTTTCTACTCTAAGTAAAGTGTGTGTTTGGAGATAATGTAGGTTAGCCGTGAGGAAACCGACACTCCCCTGCATCTCTTGGGCCCTGAATGGAGGACATTGCTGGTCAGGAGCCAGTCCTGTTTTAGCATCTCTACTATAAATACGAGCCTGTCTGAATGAGGTGACGCTGGATTTCTGCCCACATACTACACAGCTCTGAAGCCTGCTATGGCATGGTGTGCATTCCTGCCCTGCAGTGCCAAATCTATAACGCCTCCGACTTCATATTTCTCTGATTAGTATCTTCTCTCCAGTCCATGAAATTTGATTGTGTAATGGTGTTCAGATCCATCCTGGTCTCAGTGATTTCTTTCAAGGAAATAAGGACAATTTTATTCCCAGCAGAGATGCCAGATTTACTCTGTTAGCAGGTCCAAAAGTTTGGTCCAGATAGAAATATATTCTCAGCTAATAAATAGATCACAGTGAAACTTGATACATTTATGATCCCACAGAGAGACCAGGACCCCTTCTGCTCTCTTTATCAGGATCCTAATTTGCAAAACCACCCATTTACAATATATTATCCCTTGTATTCCCTGGCTGCCAATGAAAAACATGTATATATAAATAAACATATAATATTTATAGACATAATGATTTATTGGTTAAAGCTCCAGTGAGGAATTTTCAGTTTTTGCTAACTTTGGTGCCCCCTGTGGACAAGCTCTACATGCTCAAGTAAAAATCTCATACTGTTGACTTTTTATAGTTAATTAAATTAATTATTTTGGATATTTCCAGGGATCTTTTTCAAACAGGGCTGTTTTTACAGCTGCTAAGTTGCCACATACTCCCTCGCACCACTTACAGGCTTTAAAATTTACACCATTAAAATATTCAGTCTTGTTGCCGATGTTTTTGTTTGCTTTAATTTATAGTAAAAAAGGCATAAACATGAATTTCAGTCTGTTTGATAAAAGCTTTGAAAAATCCTCACAGGAGCTTTAAAGAGGATGTTTTTATTCAGCAATGTTAAAATACTGGTCTGCTTCTTTGTTATGATTCACATAAGACTGAACATAGACAGTGATGTTAGACAAGGTGAACAGGACTTCTTTACATCAACACATCTTAGCTCTGTGGTTGACACACCTTTAAACATAAATAAGACAGACGTCACAACTCTAAACAGAGTTGATATCACTGCTGTTAGGTGGGGTTTGAGTTGCTGTTTACTGATCAGCAAGTCAGAGACACACTGGGGACCAGTCACTCTTCATGCTGCTTTTCACAGTAGTGCAGGTAACTGCCATGATTTCCCAACTCAAAAGACAAAGCTGGCATTAAATGTACTATAAGGAGTTTTTATCTGGTTGACAAAGACACTGAAACAGATCCAGGTGCCTGTTCCAAAAGTAAATGAGACTATCAGCAAGAAGGCTTTCTCTGGGGTCATTTTAAATGCTTAAAACTGGAAAGCCAAAGCCTGAGATGGGGAGAAAAGTAAATATGATGCTGAAAACGCACGTGGCATAAAAAAATGAGGAGCAGGGGTGAAGGTTGGTTGCAAAGCAATTTTCAGAAGAAGCAGCAACACAGGAAGGTTAAAGCAGTTTAAATAGACCACCCAATGTGACATTTGACATATTTATCACACGTCACAGGAGCTTTTTGTCCTCGAAGGCCACTGTCACTCCACTGGCAGGTTGGGTGAGCGAAGGAGTGTTTCAATCTGACTTGCAAAAAAAATATCCCACTTCTACACACTGTACCTTTTGACATAGTTGTAAAAATCACACATTTAATTCACATATGTGCTCCTGGCCGACCACAGGGTATTCTTAACCTGTCTGCTGCAGGTTAAAATATCTCCTGTGCTGTGTGAACGCTGCAAACACAGACTAATGTACCCCAAGATTTATGGCCCCTCTTGCCCTCAGACACACTCCCCTGACCACACACGTGCAAATAGTAAAGGAAAAATGTATGTGGCCATGACACTCAGGGTAAAATAAACTGTGTGTGACCACAGACCTCTCTTACTGCGAACTCTCATGTTCAGGACCTTAAATGGCAAAGGGGTGCAATGAAGGGTTTATGCACAGTAGGCTTCTGTTAACATAAACTTGAAGATTTTTCACTCCAGCTTCTGATCTTCACATGTAGAAAGGTCACTTTAGCCTCCAGTTGTGACCTCTTTTTGTCACAGTGGAGTGATGCGTGATTTATCGCTCTGATTTATTATATTTACCGTGGCTCTGCTTGAGTCCAGATTGGCTTTTCTCTCCTTGTCTGCTCCGTTTATGCAGGATTTGTACCTTAGAATAAACTTGCAAGTTATGTAAAAACAAAAGTGTGGATGCCCTAGATTGGTTCAGGGACATCCTATGCTCATTTTTCAGCTTTAATTGCAGTTTTGCTTATTTTATTACTGCTGCAGCATTATTTGACAAGTTACTGAAGTGAGCTGTTGGTTAAAGGTGAGGGTTTAGGTTTTTTTCTGACACATAATAGCAAAAAAACCATCAGCAACAAGATTTACAAGTTTAATATCCTAATTGAATTCAGGTGGTGTGTAAGGTATACTCTCAGGGCACACTTAGACCACTGGGCCAGCAGTGTAACAGTAGATTTCCTCTTCTTTTATTCTCCTTTCAGATCTCTAGCTGGTCGCCCTCTGATGCTTGCGATCCAAACCCCTGTGAAAACGACGCCAAATGTCACAGCATGGAGCAGGACTTCTACTGCGCCTGTCCTGAGAGCTACGAGGGAAAGACGTGTGAGCGACTCAGGGAGGACTGCCAAACAAAGCCCTGTCAAGGTACCTGCTGCAGCAAAACCACATTTATGATCAAACCATTAGGCTCATAAAAATGTTTGAAGTCAAACTCTTTTTCTCTCTCTCTTTCAGTGATTGACAGCTGCACTGTTGCTATAGCGACCAACGACTCAGCTGGAGTGCGGCACATCTCGTCCAATGTCTGCGGCCCACGAGGACGCTGTATTAGTCAACCAGGTGGAAACTTCACCTGCATGTGTGACCCAGGATTCAGCGGTGTCTACTGTCATGAGAGTACGTCCAGATCCTCACTGGAAATCAACTTTTCTTTTAGCCCAACTGTCGTCTTCATGCTTTGAATTACAATTTTGAGTAATTTTGAGTTGGTCCATTTTGGTTTCATTTGATTGCATAACTAAGGAGACACAGAAAAAACTTGTGCAGAAGCTAGACATGCAGCAAAAGACTGTGGTCAAATATGAACCAGGCTCTCCTCTGCAAAGGCTATAGCCTCTGTGCAAAGGATGCACGACTCAACTACTAGGCCAAAGCAGAGCTTTGACAAGAGGAATAAACACTTTTTATTTTACTGTGTACTCAATCTTTCTCTAAGTCTTTTCTTTCACTTTTTCAGACATTAATGACTGCGTCAGTAACTCCTGTAGAAATGGAGGGACCTGCATCGATGGAGTGAACTCGTTCCAGTGCTTCTGTCCTGATGGCTGGGAGGGTAGACTCTGTGACCTCAGTGAGTTTGTCATGACATTTATCCCGTCACCTTGTCTGGTCTGAGAAGACTAGACAGAAATTCAAGAACCTGAAATGATGATGAAAGTTGAAAACTTGATGAAACTTCTTGTAATGTTATCATATGAATTCTCCCCAGACGTCAACGAGTGCAGACACAACCCGTGTAAGAACGGCGGCCGCTGCGTGGACCTTGAGAACGACTTCTACTGCGAGTGTGCCAACAACTGGAAGGGCAAGACCTGCCATTCCCGTGAGTTATGTCAGCTCTGTGTTAATGTGTGTGTTTATGTCTGAAGCATACTGCACCGTGCTGCACATCTCTGCATGTTTAGGCAGCTATGGTTCTTGTGAAGGTGTGTGACATCTGTGTTTCCTCAGGTGAAAGCCAGTGTGACCCTACAACCTGCAGTAATGGAGGCACCTGCTACGACCATGGAGATGTGTTCCGCTGTGCCTGCCCACCTGGTTGGGGAGGGAACACCTGCAACACAGGTGAGCGCATGAATCCAGATATTCAGTTTCTTCAAATTTGGGTCAATCTAGACATTAAAAAACTCCATCAAACATCCAAGAAGGGATTGAATTTATTTGTAGAGACCAACATCGTGGTGATGTTCATGTATTGTTTTGATAAGGGGTTGTTTTGTTTTTCTTCACCAATATAAATCTTCTTATGTTTTCCTAAAAAATTCTGGAAAATTTCAGGAGCTTTTCCTTTAAAACTCTGAGAGTTGTGTGTTCACACATGTCCCTCACCTTCACCCCATTATCTGGACTGAGTTTTCCTGAAAACATTTCCTGCACTAAAATTTGCCAGATGCATTGCAGGGAAATGTGCACATGAAGTCAAGGCAAAAATTTCAACAGTTTGTGTTCACACATGAAGCCCACCTTGAAAATTTTGGAGAATTTCCTCTAGTTTTGTGAAAATATGGTCCTGTGATTATGGCCAACTACTGAAAAGGTCTCTCAGTACGATCTCAGTCCCTGAAACAGTCTTATGGAAATTGCAGATTAGATATTATCAGGAAGGAAAACTGCATTTTATTTATTTACCTGCATTTCATTGGCTGTTTTTGACTATTTCATTCTATTCTCTCACAGCTAAGAACAGCACATGTGCCTCCAGTCCTTGTTCTAACGGCGGCACCTGTGTGGGAGGAGGAGACACCTTCACCTGCATCTGTAAAGAGGGCTGGGAAGGCCCCACCTGTGGCCAAAGTGAGTGTCTCCAGAAAGCATTTAACAAGATAAAACCAGACTGTCAGCTGTAAGATACTTGTGGTTTGTCAGCCTGGAGATACATACCTGCTGTGTAGTCTAGACTACATAGATGTATCCTGCTGCATCATGAGTGTAATTGTAAATATACTTGATTCAACATTGTGCATCTCTCTGAAGGATGTCTCCAGCGTTACTGTTATATTAATTCAGGGTTTCAGTGGCCCACTAAGTACAAATTCTGAAACCAGCTCAGTAAATCAGGCAACTGATAACTGGTGGACAGAACATTCTATTAGCACTTAGCTTTTCCAAGTTTTTCTGTCATGTTCAGAGATAACAGTCCTGAAGTTGTATCCTTTTAGTATCCACATTGAATAATGAAATTGAACGTATCTGTTCCCAGTTATCTTGCATTTTTGCATCATCATGCATTTATACATGCAGTTAACAATAAGAATAAGAATAACTTTATTTATCCCCGAAGGGAAATTCAATTTGGCTAGTACTATGGCTAGTACCAACTAACAGCAAGTATAGCTACAGCCTGAGGCTCATGTACTCAGTGTTGAAGGAGTGATGTTGCTCATAGACTGGACTGTCAATAGGTGCTTTAAAAGTGCAGGAACTTTCTTCAGGAATTGGGGACTTTTTGCTTTTCAACTGCAGGAACTACATCTAAATCTAGTCCTGGGGTAAGTGACCTACTTCTAGAAAAGCCACCACTCAGGGGGTTGTACTTTTTAACAGCCCAGGTGTCGTGCTTCCTTCGTATCATAGCACTGAAACCTGCAAAGCGTCACTTAGAATGCCGTGCAGGTCATGTAAAATATGTCTTGCTTTCCAGCAGTAGGAGTTCTGCTTCTGTGTTGATTATTTCTGTACCAACGCACTAAGACAAACCCCTTGTAAATGTGAACCGAACTGATGAGAAACCTGATCCTGATTGTAAAACTCAACCTCTTATGTCTCTTTTTGTTCTTCTCTTCAACAGATATAAACGACTGCAACCCTCATCCATGGTAGGTTCCCCTTTCTTTCTCAAACACCTCTGTTGCTTAGCCAAATCTTTCCCCTTTTCCTCTTTGCACACCTTCCACAAACCTCAATGAGGGGTGGAGGGCAACTCAAAGTTGTCCTTAAATCGAGCCTCAGAGAGAGGGCATCTCTTATAGAAATGAACAAGGGTAGAAAAAGGACAGAGAGGGTTTTTTTGGTGAGGGAAGAAAAATAGTCCCACCTACCCCGTGGGGAATGCAGGTGGGGGGTTGGAGTGGTGGTGGCAATGATGGGGTGTCCATTCTTCCCGTGCGACCTGGGGGGGAGCAAAGCTTTGACGAGGGATGGAGGAGAGGCATGATGAGAGGTGGGGAGGGACTGGACATGGTGATTAGCATCTGAAAGGTGGAGGCTTGTATTGATGACTCCCCCCACTGCCACCACTTACACACGTAAACGCAGACACACACACACACACACACACACGTTGAGGATGTGCTTTGTTGCAGCTGTAAAGAATGTGCCTCTTGTATTTCCTCTTCTGATTGTCTTTATTTCTTTTACAGTTATAATGGCGGGATCTGTGTGGACGGAGTTAACTGGTTTCGGTGCGAGTGTGCTCCTGGTTTCGCTGGACCAGACTGCAGAATCAGTGAGTAAAAAATCAATTTTTACTTACACTTTGAGTCCTAAAAGAGTGTCCCACAGTCCTTGAAAGTAGCATCATTAGGAGGATGGACAGACCGAGTGAGGAGAAACTAAAGAAAAATGGGCACAATCAGGAGATGGACAACTTGACACCTAAATGTAAGACCGGGGCACCGCCTTCTCCTTTTTTCTTGGCCCTCAATCGCCTCAGAGGTCAGAGGTCGTCCCTCCTCCATACTCACGCAGTCATACAAACACATATGGGATACAAATTACCCAGTGACCCTGAAACTCTTCTTCTCTGCTCTTTTGTTTGGGCCGGATAGCGTTCACCTTCTCTGTCAGGCTCGAGTTTGAGAATTCTCATTCAGATTGTGTTCATGTGAAATCTGAGTGACAAAAGGCCAAGCATCCTAGTGTTTAAAGTGGAAAAAGGCACAAATGATGTGTCGCTCCAAAAGATGCTCAAATAGCTAAAGGACCGGAAACTGAAAATATATGGACTATATTATCTTTTTTTCTAAATGTAAAGCTTTAAATTTAAACCACACAGAACTATCATATATATAAAAATCAAGCCAAGCCAACTATACGTTAGCAGCCCTTAAACATACACCAGTGAATACAGGAAGAAGCAACCGCCATTGCCAGCTCTTGTATATTCGATCAAGTCATCCTTTTTCTCTCTTACAGACATAAATGAGTGCCAGTCTTCACCCTGTGCCTACGGTGCCACCTGTGTGGATGAGATCAACGGTTTCCGCTGCGTCTGTCCGCTTGGAAGAACAGGAGCTCGATGCCAAGAGTGTAAGATGATTCAAGATGATCCCTGTCCTTTATTTTTTTTGCCACTTTCCATTGAATAAATAAATACTACTGCAGGAGCTCACCGTTTCCCTCTCTCTGTCTCTCTGCAGTCATAGGTATTGGGAGAACTTGTCACTATGCCGGACTGCAGTTTCCTCACAGCAGCCGCTGGGAGGAGGAGTGTAACAGCTGCCATTGCATCAATGGCAAAGTGGAGTGCACAAAGGTAACACACCCCTATTGGGAAACAGTAACATGGCTGTGTATAAAAAGGGCATTACAGAGAGACTTATTCTTGGAAGTAATGACCAGAAGAGTTCAGTACCTTGTAAGAAACTGTAAGAGCAAAGGTTTTATCATCTACAGTTCTTGGGTTATTAATAGATTCAGAAATGTAGGGTATTGCGTTAAAAAGAGACATGACTATGTAGTGGAAGTTCCTGCATGAGCTTAATTTTACTGACAACAACTGCTCTGATCCAAAAAATCTGGAGAAATCTCTGCCGAAAAAAGGGGCAAGGCAAAAAGTCAGTCCAGGTTAGCCATGACTTCCAGGTACTTTGGTACACTACATCAAAGTACTTTGGTACACTGCATAAAGCGTTCGTGCTGGCTATTTGCTTTTTCGGTTGAGTGAATGCTGGCGCAACTTGCTGCCACTGCTCTCTGGCTCTTTTCTTTTAGTGTTTTAATCGGTATCTGGACTCTGCAGCAGTTCTTCTCCACTTGTCAAATGTGGCACTGTTGGTTTTTTATATGCTAGATCTACTCTTAAATGATCTGACTCTCAGATTGTTTGCTTGGACCACCTTAGCTGTGGCGTGTCTCTCTCCTCACGCTGTCCAGTAGCCTTCTCCCATTCATCATGTGGAATTTCAGCCTTGTTGTGCTCGTCTGGACTGTCCTGTCTATCAATTTAAATTCATCGTCAGCTTTACTCCTCTACACGGCTGCAGAGCTCCTCCAACTCCAACTTCTTGGTGGTTATAATATACAAATGGACAACATCAATCATATTCACACCAAGGATTTCATGTCTTGCCTGGACAGTTTTGGACTACAACAGTACATAGACTTCCCTGCACACTCTAAAGGATACATCTTGGATCTGGTTTGCTGCTCTGGTCTTCCCATCTCTGATCACATGTTAATTTCCTTCTTCACTAGCCTCACACTATCCATAACTAAATAGTCACATCTTATCTCATTCCGCAATATCAAAAACATTAACTTATCAGCCCTCACAACAGGTATTGACAGCCTCCCCAGCATCAGCTTCTCATGTACTCCTGATCAACTTGTTACAACTCATTACAACGATGGTCTCCATGCTCTGCTGAAGTTACTGGCTCCTGTCAAAACTCTGACTGTGTCATTCACCCACTCTGCTCCCTGGTATTCCCCTCAGTTACATCAACTTAAAGCCAAAGGTTGTCAACTGGAGCGACTTTACAGGAAAACTGGACTCACTATTCACAAACAAATGTACCACACCCACATTCTCCACTACAAAGACACAATCTCCTCAGTTAAATCCCAATACTTTGCAGGACTTATTAGTGCTGGTGATGGGAACACCAGGGCCCTCTTCTCATTAATGAATAATACTCTGTGCCCCCCGGACTCTGTCCCTCCACATTTTTACTCCACTGATCACTGTAATTCATTAATGGAATTCTTCAACACTAAAATAAACAAGATCCATCAGCAACTGATCCCTCACAGCCCTGTTAGTCCATCTTCTCCAGTTCTCCATGCCCCCCTTTCTCAACCACTTGCAAACTTTCAACTTCCTTCTGCTGCAGATATATCAGAACTCATCCAGAAATCTAAAACACATACCTGCCAACTCGACCCCCTGCCAACTTCTTTAGTCAAAGCCAGCCTGCCCTCTCTGTTGCCCCTGATAACTGTCATCATACACTGCTCCCTCACAACTGGTAATGTTCTGTCATCCCTTAAATCTGCTGCTGTTACGCCCATACTCAAGAAACCAAGCTTAGATCCTAAAAACTTAAATAACCTCCGTCCGATCTCTAACTTGCCATTGCTTTCCAAAATCCTTGAAAAAGCAGTGGCATCACAGATTCATACACACATCTTCAACAATAACCTATACGAACAGTTTCAATCTGGTTTCCGCCCACGTCACAGCACCAAAACAGCCCTCTAAAAAATCACCAATGACCTCCTGATGGCAGCTGATTCCGGTCAATTAAGTATCCTCATCCTTCTCGACCTCAGTGCAGCCTTCGACACCATCTCCCACACCATCCTCCTTGACAGACTAGCATCTATTGGTTTATCAGACACACCCCTGGGCTGGTTCACATCTTCACCTCGTTCACCTCACTGGCTGTACTCAGTTTATAAAATTTCAAATCTCAACCATCTCCCCTCTCCTCTGGTGTCCCCCAAGGCTCAGTCTTTGGCCCCATCCTGTATATCATGTACCTTCTCCCTCTTGGTCACACTTTCCGTAAGTCCGTATCAATTTTCATTGTTATGCAGACGACACCCAGCTCTACCTCTCTACCAAACCCAACTCCACCTTCCTGCCCTCCTCTAGCTGTGACTGTTTACAGGAAATCAAATCATGGTTTGCATCCAACTTTCTCAAACTTAACTGATAAAACTGAGGTTCTCCTCATTTGAACCAGATCCACCCTCAGGAACACTCCAAGCTTCACCATCCCCATCGACAACGCCTCTGTTTTCCTCCTTCCCTCAGGTCAAGAGTCTGGGTGTCGTCCTTGACAGCACTCTGTCATTCCAAACTCACATTCATTGCATAACCCGGTCAGCCTACTTCCATCTTTGAAACATCAATCGTCTCCGTTCGTCACTTACCCCCAACAGCACCACCATCCTGGTCCATACAATGGTTACATCCTGCCTGGTCTACTCCCTTCAACTCCCTTCTCATTGGTCTCCCCCATAAGTCTGTCCATTAGCTTCAGCTGGTCCAGAACGCTGCCACCCGTATCAACACCAGAACACCACCTAGCAGTCACATCACACCTGTTCTCCACCAACTTCACTGGCTTCCCATCAAATACTGCTTGGACTATAAAATTTCTGCTCCACACATTTAAGGCCATCCACAACCTCACTCCTCCATACCTCTCTGAACTCCTCCACATCAACACTCCCACCTGGACTCTCGGGTCTGCCTCATCCATCAGCCTCATTATGCCTCCAGCCCGTCTGTCCACCATGGGATCCAGAGCCTTCAGCCGCGCTACCCCCCTTTGCCTTTTGGAACTCCCTCTCCCCTGACATTAGGATCATTGACTCACTCTCCATCTTTAAATCCCATCTCAAAACTCATTGTTTCAGACAGGCCTACTCAGACTAGCATTTGATGTTCTGCTGCAGAGTCAGGACTTGCAACTTTTTATTTAATACTTTGTTGTGTTGATGTGTTTTTAATGACTTTACTATTTTACTTATGTGTCTTTTAATTGCCCTGTAAGATGTCCTTGAGTGCCCTGAAAGGCGCCCGCAAATAGAATGTATTATTATTATTATTATTATTACTATTAGAATAATTCCCATTATTATTATCATTATTGTTATTATTATTATTATTATTATTATTATTATTATTATTAAAAAAACAGACATGCCTCTGTAGTGGAAGTCACTGCATTGGCTTTAAATCACATACAAAAACCACTATCTGTGATCACAGTTGGTGTCTGCACCAACAACAATAATGTCTGAAGTCCTAAGATTCTTAATTGGAGCCTGCTGGTGGATAGCTTTAAAGGGATTTTCCGGTGTAAAAGTTAGCCAACCAAGTTAGACACCCCCTCGAGAGATGAAAAGTTGCCGACTGTCTCCACACACAAACTTCAACCAAAAAGCCACTCTATAGCCACAAATAATGCTCAGAACAGCACCTAACTTCATCAACAGTACATATAGGGTCCCAGCCATAATACTAGCCATCAAACATCTTTTTAGCTTTGCCTGATTTCTTTAGCAAATAGACCAAACACAACTTACCCATTCTCCTCCAGCAGCTGCTTGTTTGTGGGGGGCCCTGACGAGTCGATCACTGAGTGCAGCAGAAAATTTATGATTATTACTTCATGAAAATGCAATCAGACCGAGACGCTAAGGCAGAAGAATTACTGCATCTGCAGTGTACATACAAGTCACACAAGAACTCTGATTGCATCTGATTAATGAGATGATAGACCACATTTGGAGATTGCCGGATGAGGCTCAAATATCTACTGCACTGGTTTGTGGGATTTTTCAATGACAGTGAATATTGTGATCATGTGACTCTAGGTACTATGTGGCCGTCGCCCCTGCCGGCTCAAACCATCAAGTCAGGACCAAAGACATCAGTCATGCCCAGCTGGACGAGAGTGTGTGGAGCACAGTTACCTCACCTGCTTCTCCCCGCCTTGCCATGAGTGGGGAGTTTGTACCACGGGCGGGCGCTCGCTACCACAAACAACCACGAAGTGCCTGCCGAACAGTGGGCATTTGGACAACAGCTGTGGACGGATAACACTTGTGTTTAACAGAGACAAAATACCAACAGTAAGTCCTCTCTGTGGTCTTTATTGAAGCATAAGTGTAACCTTAAGGACAATTTCAGGGGCATGTTTTGCATTGTTGCTGATCAGTGAGTGTTTGTTCATTCACAGGGAACAACAGTGGAGAACATCTGCTATGAGCTCAGGTATCTTCCTGACACCAGAAGCTTGGCAAAGAAACACAGCCTTCTCCTGCTCTGTGACCTCTCTCATTCAAATCAGGATGCTGTGGAGGTGGCTATCGTAAGTGATGGCATGAGTTTGCTCCTTATTCTAATTTAGTCTCATTTTAACCCAGTTTAGGCTTTAAAGCAGCGTTGTTGGATAGTCATTAATAACTTAAAAGTTGCTTACAGAGCTGAAATAAATTTTGATGAAAAAGTGAAACAGGTAGACTTAGGTGCAACTTAACATGTTTGCCATCTTTTAAGTCATTTCTTTACTCTCCGGTTTGGGTTTCAGTCTTTCCAGCCAGAGGATCTACCGGACCACAGTCTGATCCAGCAGGCAGCCAGCGCCATCGTGGGCACCTTGTCCAAACGGCACAACAGCACCATCATGCTTGCAGTCATTGAGGTCAAAGTGGAGACCCAAATCATGTCCCCGTCAGTGGGTGAGTAATAATCAATCAAGGTGCTCCACAAGGCTTTGTTGTGGGCCCACTTCAGTTTCTAAATACTGATCTCTATGTCTGTCTTTTCCTCCCTCTTCTTCTAAAAAACAATAGATTACCTGGTGCCTGTACTTTGTGTGCTCTTCTGCTTGCTCTGCCTCTTCTGCATCATTGTATGCATTTGGTGGACGCGCAAACGGAGAAAAGAGCGTGAGAGGAACGTACGATCAGCTGCAGACACCAACGTAAACAACCAGTGGGAGCCTCTCCGGCTCGTTGTGGGACGTGAGTCGCAGCAGCAGCTGAAAGAAAGCAACAGGGAGGCGGAGCAAGAGCGTAAAAAGCTCATGGACCCCTCCTGTCGGACGTGTGATGATGGGGAGGAGGAGGAGGAGGAGACTGAATGCGAGCTTGAGCTCGAGCTGGAAGAGGAGTGTGGTGGAGCAGAGGCGGGAAAGCAGCACGTTTATAAGTACTCTGAGACTGCAGTGCAGTCCAGCGAGGGAGTGATCTGCACCCTGCACAGCTCCAGTTCACCCCTCAAAGCACCTCACCGGACCCCCGGCTACAGCCCCAAAGACAACCGCTGGAAAAATGTCTGTGCAGCCTTGACAGGTCAAAAAGACCTCAGAGACCATTGTGTATAAGAAATTTAAATAAAGGACTCACGTTAAGGAAGCGAGATGAGCAGAGAAGCTGCTAGGCAGTGACTATTCTTATTTTTGGACTACTTTAGAGAAGAAAAAGAGGCTTTCTGTTTTTATAAGCCATTCTTTGCTTTGTTTTCATGTTTTGGTCACTGTCGCCTGAAGTGATTTTTGATTAAGGAGGCGCGAGCACAGTGGACATCCTTGTTTTTGCTTCTGTTCACTTATTTTTTTTAGTGTGTACAGAGAGAGCTGAGATGAAAAGATTTTTTTCAGGAGGCAAAAGAAGCTCTCTGCGATTTTTGTTTATGGAGTTATACCATTAAAGAAACAATGAATCTTTGAAACAGAGAAAGAGAACAACCTGTATAAAGATTTTTTTTGGTTTACAGATGATTATGATTTTGTTAAATTGTCAGCAGGCTCCTGTTCAGTGTCTGTTGGGGGGGCAGACACACGTAACAGAGACACGTAAAAGAGACAGTAAAGGAAGGGTTTTGAGGGAAAAGGACTGTTGCAGCCACAGTAACAGAGGAAACCCTGCCTTTGCTCTGTCTTTCCCACCTGTGGCCATCATGCGCCAGCCTTACCAAAACATTTGGCCTGGAGGGGAGAGGGGACAGAAACCCCAGTGCCTACTATGTGGCCTTCCATTTTTTTTCTCCTGTCTCTCAGTTGTCTTGGCTGAAAGCTCTGTATGAGGGTTTTTTGCAGTATTTGAGTTGGTAGCAAGTGCCTTTCTAAGAGCCGTGTTGAGGCTTCAAGTCGCGCTGCCCAGTTTGACCTCCTTGTTCTCAAATCTCAAAGGGATGTAAGTGTAAGTGTAGAGAGTTCAATTTCACAGCAACGCCATGCAAGGTATTTGATCCAAACAGAAATTAATACTCTGTACATATGTGTAAATACAAAAGGAGTCGCTGTGTATATTTGAAAGTAACTTAAAGACAAGTCACACATTTTTATTATTATTATTATTATTGTTATTATTATTATGATTAATATTATTTTTATTTTTTTTACAATGCCATTCCTTTTATTTATGCCAGTCAAAATAGTCGCGTTTTATAACACTTCATATCCAAAGTCCCATGGTTAAGAATCTTTACAACGAGGTACCACTAATGAAGGAATTTCTGAAGGGTTTATAAATGGTTTGTCATTAAGGACACATTTATTTTTGGGCCTATTTAACAGCTTTCAGTTACAAACAACAAAAAAATGATCATTTTCTTTGGTCATTCACAACTGTCACCAGACAGATCAAAAAAAAAATTCTGCTGCTATTGTTTACTAAATTTTCCCACCACACTACCATTTTGTTATTTTATGCTTTTATTTTTCAACTTGCTGCATCTTTTTTTCAAACTCAACCTCAAAATTTTCAACCTGTCCACTGATAAATTGTATATCCTTCAGATTTCATTTCTCCATTGATGAAAAAACCTGTTTACAGAGATGTAAAATGTTTAAAATGTGTTCTCAGTCTTTGATTATGGCCTTTCCAACCACAGATGATTTATTCAGATCTGAAGGAGAAGGTGTCCAATAGGGCAGGAAACACTTCCTCAGTGATTTTGTTGCGCCAATTTATGTTATTTACAGTAAAACAGTCATTTGCTCCTTTACCATCTGATCTAGTGGTGACTTCAGTTTTGTTTTTTTTACTTTCTCTTACAGATTTTTGTTTTTGAATTGGGGTTTGATTCAAACTAAACTTCCTTAGTTCCCTTTGGCAGTCCAAAACCCAAACCTTTCAACCCTCAAGCCTTAAAAAGCTCTCAAACCATTTCTAAACCCATCACAAACCCTTTTGTTTCAGGTGCCTTTAATGTAACACAGACATCATTTGTGTAATCACTGGTCATCTTTTCTATGTTGTTGGTTTGTTTTCACTATTAAGGAAAGTAACTCTTTGAAACAGTGTGTGCTGTATCGTGGCGTGTTTTATTCGCCTGAGTAAAAGTGCTCTCCCTGTCCCTCTCTCTCTCTGCTATCATTGAGATTTCTGGAATAAAACATTCGATGGAGGATTAAAAAAAATCGACAAGCGCAAGCATGGCTCCTTTTGAGTGTCATGAATGTGGATGTCAGCAGGTCAATTTGTGTTTGGTTCAAAGGCTTTAATGAGGGAACAATGTTTTTGCTACCATGTAAATGTATTTTGTTTTTTAAAGTTACCAACTCAATTCAAAGTTTCCCCTTTTCATATCATGTCATTGTCTCAAAACGCCACCGTTATTTTCTGTAAATGGGACACCGCAAAATAAAGAATTAAAAATGCATCACTGCTGGTGTTATAAGCTAAATATGCATATTGTATACATTTTATTCTGCAAGAGACGTTGAGTTAATTTTATACAGAGTGCAAAGGTTTCCATTTTTTTAGTGGATGTTTCATTGTTCTAAATAATCATCCCAGTTATTTATTAAAGCAGTTTTGACACATTTTGATCACGCTTGTATAATATTTTTTAATAAAGGAAGCTGAGAGTCCAGCAAAAGGATCCTGGCGGATGCTGAAGCACAGATTGACAAAAATCTTCGAAGCTGAGTTTAACTGACTTTGAACTTTTAACCGAATCACTTCCACGAGCAGATGGACTTCACAAAGGTTTACTGTTCCATTCAGTGAAGGTTGGTATGTTCTTGACTATAGAAACAGTAGCTGCCAAAAATCCTGGAGTTTGGCTCACTCAGTTTCAGGTTTATCCAATAAGCTATTAATGTTCATGTTAACTCATTACGCTAACTTAGCTTTCTAGGAATAGAAAATATGACCTTATACTGCATCTATGGCGAAAACCTTGTGGTTAAGACAGTCAATTTTGTGGCAATACATGGTGCATTTCCAAGTAAGCTAGTATTAAATATTTGATATCAATAAATATATTACAATTCCCAGATTCAAATGGTATTAACAACTGCACTGGTTAATATTTCCTCTTAAACACAGTGGGCATCGCCGGCGACGTGGCGCCGGTGCGGCATAAGTCAGGTCCGCCGCGCTGACAAAGCATTCCCAGGCACGATTTGGTATTTTGGTGAGCAGCGCAGCCCGGCGTAAGTATCCCCCCTCCCTTATTCAGCTCCTCCCAGCGGCGTAAGTCATAGGGAGGGAGGAGAGAGGGCATGGAGTGGGTTTAACACAGCCAAGACCTGTATTGACTAATAACATCAGCTCCTCTCCTTGCCTTTAAATCTGCCACCGGCGAGGTGTATTACAATTTCATGAAGTAGTCAAAGAGATCAAGAGATGTCTGAAGACAGCAATGCCACACGATGGCGACAGAAGGCAGCCCCTCAACAAGTGTCGCTGTAAGTGCTGCAGAGGGCGTCCTGCAAACTGTCTCATATAAGCACAGATGGATTTGGTGTGTGTAAGGTTGGACCCACTGGTAAGACAAACACCCTTTCCACAAATAAAGACACTCACATAAAGTTGCATATATTTAAACCTCACGTGACAAAGGTGGGTTATGCGCACAGATCACAACATAAACTCCAATAATGGCACTAAAATCTGAACCATCTGTGCGTAAATGACACATCGCGCTCCGTGGCCTGGCTGTTTCTTTCATAGATGTTGGCATATAAAATAAATTTGGCTCACAAAACAGAATATTATAATATTCCTATGTCGGCTTAAAGTAAATAATTGTTTATCTGTCGCCGCATCAGCTGCAGCAGGACGGGGAGATGACATGGAGACATGTCCAGGTCGAGCTGCGCGAGAAATAAGAGGAAGAGGAAGAAAGAAAAGGAGGGAGACGAATTACATATCTTGTTAACTACATCATGTGTGTCTATTTACTACATCTTTCATGTAATTTAATGCGGTTTCAGCTGTGTTGATTCGGTCAGGTTGAGTGTCCAAACGCGTGCCAAACACGCTCATCAGATCAGATATGGATCAGAATATATCAACAGATCTAAATATATGTGCTGACTCAGATTATTAGTTGTTGTTGATTATTTATTGCACTGAAATGTGCCTGACACTGTGGAAAGCTGCCGGTGAGGCATCAGTGACGTATGCCGATACGCCGCCGGTCTACCAAAATACCACTAGACCAGCTGCGCTCTGTCTGTGCTGAAAGCTGAGGTTTGAATCGGCGAGCTTTCAGTGCACTTTACACGCCAACGGCGAGCACGAAAATGTTACTGCGCCAGCTGATTCTGTCCACACCTCCCCCTGCCTCGCCACCACGCCCAGCTTGGCGGACCCCGGTGCGCCTCAGTCTACAAAAATACCAAACTGGCTGTACGCCAGGCTCCGCCAGACGAAAATACCACTGCGCGGGGTCCGCCACCCTCCACCGCGTAAGTATATTAAGAAATCTGTTAGTAGCACTTAGCTATCCTATACACAAACTTCAGATGGTGGAGAACAAAAACCAAGCTAAAAGAGAGTGGATAATATGATTACTGGACCATGAATTTGTTAATGTGCTTGACAAATGTCTACATTTTGATACTGTTTGAACTAGCTGAATGCTTGCTCACACATCTGTCTCAATGATATGAAAGTCACCATTTAATATTTATAACCCACGTGTGTTAATTACTTGGTCCTAATTGGTCAAAGTTTGTTACAATATCGATGAATTCTCATCAGCGATGGTATCACCAGGGTCAACCTGATTACACGTCATGTAAAATAATTCACCAGTACATTTTACCTGTTGCCTGTTGACATCGTAGCGAAAATCGTTAATGAGGGAAAGTGGTGTTGAATCATGTTAAGCGATCCCTGCAATGGCAGTAGAGCTAGCGAGTGCAACATTATGGTTAAAAAAAAAAAGAGTATGTATGTTGCTGCTGGGGTGCCAGGAAGTCTTGAAGAAAGATGAACTTAGTCCTATCTTTATCTATCACTGAGTGGTGAACAGTGAGTTGCAAAGTAAATTACCATGGTCTTCTTAATGGCCCATTTGCAAACCTGCTTATTATACTGAGTTTCATCTGAACAGTCTGATATCATCAACGATTTCACAACAACGTTGCTCCTCTTCACTGTTTCCATTTGCACAAAGATTAGACCTCTGCAGTCCTTGCTCTTGCCCTGATCTGTGTGGGCTGAGGATCGTCTGGATCGATCCATCCCATCCTCCTCTCCATCCTTCCGTCACATTCACCCCCACCGCTCCAATAGAACCTCCTCTCCTGTTCTGGGCCGATCCAGTCTTGACCAATGGGAGGCTGGCGTGATCCTGCTGGCTACATAAAGATGTGAATGTTTCATGAGTAATGTTATGATGTCTGATGGAGTGGTGGTGGTGGTGGGGTAGGACACTTTTCCTCCTGACTCCCATGGGTGCTTACAGCTGGCGCTAATAGGACCTTCCCTTGTCGAAAGCCGGATCGACTTACACAGTATTATGGAAGTTGTTAAGTCACAGGCTGGGGAGGCAAGGAAGGGCTGGTAATCTTTACGGATATTTTATACATGAATGACTGTAAATCCAGTGTAAGAAGGATCTGGAGCTGCAGTCCAGGTATCATTTGATACTGTAGTGCGATATATGGCCATATATACAACTTGAATACTGGGATGCTGTATTAATTTTTTTTTTCGTTCTATGAATTTCTTTTTGGGTTCTAATCATCATGTAGAGGCCCACTGTTAGACTGTTACCTTTGAATGTTTAGTTTCGAGCTCTTTTTCCCCTTTCAGAGCAGGTAATTCAGTGATGTTGCCCTTTAATTTTGCAAAGACTTATAGAAAAGTGCATGTTTAATTTTTGACCTCAGTTTGAGTAAATTGCCTGTGCCAGTGCCGACACCAAAGAAACAAAGTCTTTACATAAATAGTTTTCCCGGTTTTATGTGGAAGAACACAACTGGCCTGCACAGCTTCATGACCTAAACCAAATCCAACACCGTCAGTTCAACTGAAACCCAAACATGTGAGCCAACTCTTAACAGCCAATGTTAGTGGCCAGCCTCACTAATGCTCTTGAGCAAATCTCTGGAGAGTCTGGTGAAAAGCCTAAAACTAGGAGCAGAGGCTGTTATCACAGCAGATATGCGCCAATGGATTTTAAATAGGAGTTCCATCACAACACATGGGTGTGACGGTGAGGTTTTGGCCTTTTCGGACATGGTGGATCATGAAGTTGTTTTGATTCCTCTTTTACTGTCCAATCATTTAACACAAACCAAGTTATTTATTGCCATTGCTTAGTGCAGAGTCAATATGTGATGTGTTGCCAAGTTTCCTTTATGCCTGTCACCAGGAGCCCCCCCGCACCTTCACTGATCCCAGACTGCATCAGTAAACTGACACCAGATTCCAAAAGTGGCTCCTTACAACAGCCAAGGACAACTCAGTCTGCTGCATTTGTAAACACGTAGTACTACTACAGAGGGTGAAAGGCACAAGCAGTCTCGGTGTCTGAATGTGGAGGGTGTGACGGCGTAATGTATGCTACTGAAGTGAAGCAGAAGGGTTTGAGATCTCTTATAAACACACATGGACCCTCTGTACACATGCACAGTCACACTAATGAGATAGACTGACTGTGAGATGGTATTTTGTGATCCTGCTACGTCGCTCCTCATACGTACATCTGTTGATGTGGGTCTTTGGGACCATCTGACAGTGAAAGCAGCTGGGTGACAGGATTTTAGGCTAAGCCCTCTGCGGCTGTACCCACACACACACACACACACACACAGAGAGAGAGAGAGAGAGAGAGAGAGAGAGAGAGAGAGAGAGAGAGAGAGAGAGTCACAAACCAAACATGGCCCTGATGGGACATCAAGCTGGCACGTGCTGGTGGACAGCGGGCTGCAGCTGGCACTGAGGGAAACAAACCACAGTGAACTGACTGTTTTTGTGTATGTGTACGTGTGTGTGTTGATCGGCGCTGCAGCTCTGATTTGCTGCCGCAGAATCTCGAACATGGACCCTCTGGGAGGCAGCAATCTGGCAGAAGGGGGAGAATGGTCAGGCTGATGGGGGAGTGGTGCAACTGGAAGTCTTACTTCATAACGCTGTGCTGTGGCAGGTTTTCTGGGGTAACTGTTCTGAGTATATGTACAGACCAAAAGGTTTTCCCTGACATGCTTTATGGATTTTTGAAAAACTGAATTCACCAAGTGTCTAAAGTGTTCAGTGAAACTCTGTATAACTTGTTGAAGAAATGAAACATATTGGTACTCTGATCCTTTTTCCTTCTTTTGTCCCCATCAAACAGCCACAGCTTCATTCTCATAAAAAACATTTAAACCCTGGCACGGGCAGGCGGTTGGTTTTATGTTCAGTAATAAAAGAGAAAGTAGTAAAATGTTGAGTGGAAGAATTAAGGTGGCTCCCTTGAATTTTAATGAAAATAAAATGTAAGTATTGGATCCTCTCATCACTTATTATAAATTTTTTTTTTTTTTATGTCCATAAGCATTTGCTTGTAACAGACACAGGTGTGGTCCCATTAATAAACACTTGATACATTTCTATTAATACTCAAATGCACCCATAAATGAGACCATTTAAAGCTTGGAAGTCTCTCAAAACACACATGTTGCATTTTGCAGGCCAGAAAAGGTCAAAGGTCAGAGGAGGGTAAACCAACTGTAATTGTGCATAGGCTGTCCCATCAGCTGGGAGTCCTTTCTCACACATAAACTCTTTTATCACACATGCACACATATCACTGCCGAAGCATGTGTATTCAAGTGCACGTTTTGCTCATTTTGGAAATAAATGATCACATACACTTTACACAATCACACATAGACCTTTTTTTCTCTACATGAACAGACAAACGGTAAGATGTCATGCTTTGCACTGTGCTGATGAGATTTCATCATGCAGGTTGCCCTTAATATGTTTGCCTCTACATATCCCCTGTATGTCTGTTTGTACATGCTCAAGTGACAGCAGTGCAACACAACACCCAGTACAGTGATATGCAAGGTCAATTTGCACTTCACACAGCCTGAGTGACTTCGGGAGTGTAAAATACTCCAAGGCGCTACTCTTACAGGAGCTGCTGGATATATGATTCAAAGCTACTTAAGAACACGCAATTTTCCAAATACCTCTTCTGCCACATATAACACACCCCTAGCTGTGACACTAGGTCCACCAAACACACCACTTAAACTATGGTTGTCTACTGGCAGTGCCCACCCTCTGAAGATAAACAGCTCGTTAGCTACCTCTGCTTGTAATGCCCATAAAAATACTGTTACTCAAGCTAACCTTTCAGTAGTCTGATTATGTTTCTTTGTGTTAGCTTTGATGAGAAAGTGGTTATGCCCTACTTAGCCTACTATGAGTTAGCTAGCTAGCTTACTTAACTCATGTTACCTGAAGTCTCAAAGGATTTACCTCCTTTTAAGATGCCGAAGGTCACAGTGACTTCATCCAATGTAAGTTAATGCTGCTTGTGCTAACTTCCATGTTGTAAAACAGTGTTTCTCTTTTATTAAGTCATCTTTAATAGTAAAATAAATTACTTGCAAGTTCTTGCAGTAGCAAAGCTTGTAAAGCATGAGGTTTTTATTTGGCAGTTTTTTTTACATTTGCAAATGTGGACCGAACAGTGAAGTTGTGTCCTAAGGCAAGACACTAACCTTGCCTTGGTAAATGCATATGAATGGGGTTCAGCAAGTAGTTATAGGCATTGATGCAGCCTCTGCCAACAGTTAGTGCTATAGATTGGCAGATGTGACATGCTGTGTAAAAGCACCCTGAGTGGTCTCAAGAAAAAGAGGTGTCATAAAAGTTCATTCTTGCCATTGACACACTAACAAGCTGTCAATCAAATATTATCGTTTTATTTAACAAATTTAGTTCACCTTATTATTGCTGCTGTAAAGCAAATATAAGTTTGTTTTATTGAAACACTTAGGGCTCTACTTTCGTGCCCGCTGGCGGCGCGGAGGACAGTGGCGCACCTTGTGCAGTGGTATTTTCGTCTGGCGGAGCCCGGTGCCAACCAATTTGGTATTTTCATAGACAGAGGTGCACCAAGGTCTGCCGAGTTGGTCATGGTGGTGCAGCACTGGGGAAGGTGTCGACAGAATCAGCTGGCGCAGTGACATTTTCGTGCTCGCTGGCAGCGTGAAAAGTGCGCTGAAAGTTTGCCAATTCATACCTGGTCAGCTTTCAGTGCAGGCGGAGCGCAGCTGGTCCAGTGGTTTTTGGTAGATGGCGTAGTGTGCATACATCACCAATGCCTCACAGGCAGGTTTCCACAGTGTCAGGCACATTTCAGTCTAATACATAATCAACCACAGCCAATATTCTGAGTCAGCACATAAATTTAGATCTATATAAATATATTCTGATCTATATCTGATCTGATGAGCGCGTTTGGCACGCGTTTGGACACTTAATCTGACAGAATCAACACAGCTGAAACCGCATTGAATTAAATATCCAGTAAACAGTCACACATGATTAAGTTAACAAGATATTTAACTTGTCCCCCTTTCTCTCTTCCGCCTTTTTCTCGTGCAGCTCGACCTGGACATGTCTCCGTGTCCTCTCCCCATCCTGCTGCTGCTATGGCAGTAAGGCTGACCAGATGATTTATTTTAGTGATCAGGGGCCTCATGTATCAACACTTGCGTGGGACTCATACTGGAAATGAGCGCACGCAAGGTCCGTCACGCTGAAAAAAATTCGTATGTATCAAGGTGTGCGGGCGCCGAAAATCCTAATCAGCTTGGAATTGAGCGCAGATGTCGGAGTGACCGGGCCCGCCCCCGTTACGCCCACCTATAAATATGCAGATTTATTTAAATAGGGTCTCCCTGTCCTCGCACGCAGACAAAATGACAAGAAAAACTAAATTTATGGCGTGCGAGGTGGAGGTGCTGGTGGCGGAGGTGGAGGAGCGACAGCGTGTTTTGTTTGGCAGCCTGTCCAGTGGCGTCAGTGCAAAACGAAAACGCTTGGAGTGGGAGAAAGTTTGCGAGAGGGTGAACGCGGTGGGTTCCGAGACACGCACCCCCGCGGAGATTAAAAAAAAGGTGGTCGGACCTCAAGGTGGAGGTCAAGGGGCGTACAGCTGCCCTCCGGAGCAGTACCGGCCAGACACGTGGGGGTCCGGGGGAGGAGACCCTCACGCCGTTTGAGCAGCGGGTGGT